CAAACCCAAACCCAAACCCAAACCCAAACCTAAACCCAAACCCAAACCCAAACCCAAAACCCAAACCCAAACCCAAACCCAAACCCAAACCCAAACCCAAAACCCAAACCCAAACCCAAACCCAAACCCAAACCCAAACCCAACCCAAACCCAAAACCCAAACCCAAAACCCAAACCCAAACCCAAACCCAAAACCCAAACCCAAACCCAAACCCAAACCCAAACCCAAACCCAAACCCAAACCCAAACCCAAACCCAAACCCAAACCCAAACCCAAACCCAAACCCAAACCCAAACCCAAACCCAAACCCAAACCCAAACCCAAACCCAAACCCAAACCCAAACCCAAACCCAAACCCAAACCCAAACCCAAACCCAAAACCCAAAAACCCAAACCCAAACCCAAACCCAAACCCAAACCCAAAACCCAAACCCAAACCCAAACCCAAACCCAAACCCAAACCCAAACCCAAACCCAAACCCAAACCCAAACCCAAACCCAAACCCAAACCCAAACCCAAACCCAAACCCAAACCCAAACCCAAACCCAAACCCAAACCCAAACCCAAACCCAAACCCAAACCCAAACCCAAACCCAAACCCAAACCCAAACCCAAACCCAAACCCAAACCCAAACCCAAACCCAAACCCAAACCCAAACCCAAACCCAAACCCAAACCCAAACCCAAACCCAAACCCAAACCCAAACCCAAACCCAAACCCAAACCCAAACCCAAACCCAAACCCAAACCCAAACCCAAACCCAAACCCAAACCCAAACCCAAACCCAAACCCAAACCCAAACCCAAACCCAAACCCAAACCCAAACCCAAACCCAAACCCAAACCCAAACCCAAACCCAAACCCAAACCCAAACCCAAACCCAAACCCAAACCCAAACCCAAACCCAAACCCAAACCCAAACCCAAACCCAAACCCAAACCCAAACCCAAACCCAAACCCAAACCCAAACCCAAACCCAAACCCAAACCCAAACCCAAACCCAAACCCAAACCCAAACCCAAACCCAAACCCAAACCCAAACCCAAACCCAAACCCAAACCCAAACCCAAACCCAAACCCAAACCCAAACCCAAACCCAAACCCAAACCCAAACCCAAACCCAAACCCAAACCCAAACCCAAACCCAAACCCAAACCCAAACCCAAACCCAAACCCAAACCCAAACCCAAACCCAAACCCAAACCCAAACCCAAACCCAAACCCAAACCCAAACCCAAACCCAAACCCAAACCCAAACCCAAACCCAAACCCAAACCCAAACCCAAACCCAAACCCAAACCCAAACCCAAACCCAAACCCAAACCCAAACCCAAACCCAAACCCAAACCCAAACCCAAACCCAAACCCAAACCCAAACCCAAACCCAAACCCAAACCCAAACCCAAACCCAAACCCAAACCCAAACCCAAACCCAAACCCAAACCCAAACCCAAACCCAAACCCAAACCCAAACCCAAACCCAAACCCAAACCCAAACCCAAACCCAAACCCAAACCCAAACCCAAACCCAAACCCAAACCCAAACCCAAACCCAAACCCAAACCCAAACCCAAACCCAAACCCAAACCCAAACCCAAACCCAAACCCAAACCCAAACCCAAACCCAAACCCAAACCCAAACCCAAACCCAAACCCAAACCCAAACCCAAACCCAAACCCAAACCCAAACCCAAACCCAAACCCAAACCCAAACCCAAACCCAAACCCAAAGATGCTCAACAGCCTCCAAGGCTTGAATATCTTTCTTGATGTCATTACCCTTCTTTTATCCATTCTTCTTTTGAACTTGTAATTATAAAAACCAAGAAATATGACAAGATGACTCATTTTCAGATTCCTTTTTTGCTACAAATCTTTTTCATCTTTTCCTTTCTTCATATCTTTTTCATCTTGAGACCGATTGTATGTTGTTCTCCAAAACCATCCCGCTGCCCAAAGTAAAACGATTAAGGGGGCAAAATATCACCATTTTTTTAATTTTTTTTTTTACATCCAGACGAAAAAATACAAACATGAAGGAGCCAATAATTCATTTTCAAAATCATTATTGAAATTCATGATTTGGTGAGGATAATGATGGCAAGGTTAATGAAGAAGGCGAGTTGGAAAATCATAGAATGAAACAACTAAAAAAAATAATGTCGAACATTCTCGTCAGCTCGCTGCTGTCCAAACGAAGGCCGCTCTTCGGGTGTTTTCTGATAACATTAACTCTGCTCTTTTTCTTCTCTTTACTTTTCAGCCTATTGTATTTAACATTGAAACGTTTTCGGAGTAAGGTTGACTTCTCCAAAAACACACCTATGATTTTTCGGAGAGAGAAATCCAAGTCCAATATTGCTCTCGTTTCATTCTACACAAGTGATTATCATGATATTGGATCCATATCAACGATCAACAAATTATTTTATGCCTACAAACATGGCTATGACATGATTGTCTATCAACAACCATTTTACAAAAACTCCATCTTCATCAAACCAGCTTGGAATAAAATTCCAATGGTTGAAGCACAACTTGAGAATTATGAATGGGTGATTTGGATTGACTCGGATGCAATCATTTTGAGACATGAATTGACTTTAGAAGATATCATTGAAATTTCGAAAAAAGCCGATTGGAGAAAAAAAGATCACAAAATTGATTTAATAATTTCCTATGATATTAATGCAGGAATTAATAGTGGAATTTTCTTCATGAGAAATTCAGAATGGTCACGAAATGTATTGAGACGAGTGCAAACTTCGTGGAAATATTTACCTTACTCGATGCATTGGTATGCAGAGCAGACACCATTCACCATGGAGATTAAATATGGTCTCGATGAGCACGTGCGAGTGACCTATAAGAGAGTCTTGAACGCCTATTTAAAGGACTATTCAGAAGGTATTGCTTATATCATGCACTTGGCTGGCTGCCCAAAACAAAAGCCAAAATATTGCTCTGGCATTATGCACGAATTTTATGAGAGATGGAAGACCAATAATGTGACCAGTGTGAGTGATCGACAATTATTACGAAGAGCTGAGAAAGATTTTGAATTATTGATGGAGAACAAGTAAATTTAGGTGGAAATGACAGTTTGGCTGTTGTAGTGAATGAATTCGTTGAGGTGTTGGTGTGGGTCTTTCACAGAACAACGCTCATGGAGGTAGGATATGAAAAACCCACATTCAACCGCTTGGGAATTATTCTACTAGAGTTTGATTTCTCTATTCTAAGGTCTTGGATGACGATACCCCACGAGGGCCTTTGACATTTTGTGTTGGGAGCAAGCTGAATCCCTCATGTCAAACATCATTCTTAATCTTCAGTTGAATTCAAAGATGATACAAATGACATCATTAATATTGATATGGTCATGATGCTTGTCAGTGGGTGTTGTTGTGAATCAACAATTTTTGCCCTAGATTAAAGTCTTGTCAAAATATTAGCCAAAACGACAAAGAAAAATTTTTAATTTAACGGATTGCTTTTACTGCTTTTCTTTCTCAAGAGTCACCCTAGTCTACAACTACCATCATATAGCCCGAACCAATCATCATTACCATCACCAAACATAAAACACCGAGGACCAATGACCCCGAAGCATCGTAAACACACCAATAGCAACAACAACAACGTCATGGCTGCTACTCCATACATTGAAGATTTTTCGGTCCAGAAAGAGCAAGCAATGAAACGAAAATTGGATGAACTTTATTATGAGGACCACAAGAACGAGAGAACTGTTGCCTTTTCCTCTTCCTCTTCTTTACGAAGGAAATCTCAACATCATCAACAACAATACAACAAAACCACCAACACGGGAGAAAAAGTATCGAACAACTTCAACAACAACAAACGAACAAAAGCAACGTCATCACAGCAGCCATCAGAACCAGGTAAGTGACGAAATCCAAAAAATTTCGCAACCACCAAGTTTACAAAACCCTTACTTTCGAAAATGTTGACGTTTTGGCCACATGTGTTTGTTGAATGTGTGATATTCCTCTTAATGTTTGTTTCTTGAATATGCGATCCTTTGAATGTCATTTAAAACAGAGGTCATAGAGGTTCTTTCATCCTCTTCTTCAGAATGTTCTGGCATTGGTCAGCATCGCTCCATTCTCATGATGCATCATCACGACATTAATCATGACTCCTCGCGACACCAAGCATCGCCAAATCATGCTGGAGGTGTGTACACAAGCTCCTCCTCAAGCGACGAAGCAGTACAAACTCCCATCCACAACAGGACAAGAACAGCCGCAACAATTCCCACCACAAATGCTTCAACAAAGTCTACAAATTCAACCATCGCCCTCTCTTCAACCACCCTCAACAATACGACTGATGAGTCTTCCAACCACAATAACCACAGTGGAAACACAGTAACCACTACCAACAACATTGTTAAACCTGCCACCACCTCTTCAGTACCAACAGCATCTTCATCCCTCACATCACATCAATCATCTCAACCAACATGTGAAACTCCCTCTAAAAAGAAGAAAAAGAACCCTATTGAAGAGAATGAAGACGTCAGTGATGAATTACCGAGTACTTCTCAAAAAACTTTAGGAAGAAGTGTCACCAACTCTCAAGTTGCAAGACCATCACAAAATGTTCATACCGTGCACATGCCTCCTTCATCTCCCTTAGTGGCAAAGAACAAAACTATTGCTACAAAACCTCCCAAGGGAAATTCACCAGCTAGCATTCCATTAATCACCACACCAAATGCATCAGCAACCTCCACATCATCATCATCAATCAAATCTGCCTCCTCCTCCTCCAATACTCTAACACCTAGCTCTACATTACAAACCAAAACAACACCAACTCCATTAAGGACCAATAATAATCATAGCTCTGACAACCCACCATTCTTCATATCCACCCCCTCCTCTTCCAACAACAACAACAACAACAACACTAGTCTTCTAAATCAAACTCCATCTTCCTCACCTCAATATTCTCCAAGCTCCCACCAAACATCCAAATCCATTCCATTTCACACTCCTCCTAACAATCAAATTTCTCCCCATGCCAGACTATATTTATCCTCTCCGAGAGACTCTGTAACAAGAACAACTCCTCTCTCATCGTCTTTCGACTCATCTCTAAATCAACATGCAAGTCAGACTGACCATGGTGAACATTCTTGTAAAATTGGCTCCATGCATCAAGCCACACTTCCAACCCTTTGCCCAAAACCCAAACAATTCCCAATATGGTACTCACAAAAAATTGGGCAATGTATATGGAGTCCTCTAGAATTAATGGTACCCAGTGTTGCTGAAACGTGTCCAAAGAACTCAATTTGTGACACTATCGAAAAATTGGAGGCATTTGAAAAGTTTTGTTTGAAAATTGTGAAAAATCCTGACGATTATCGCCAAGACAAGGCCTTAGAAATATTACACATGTTCAACTTGGATTTACATCAGGCCAAGAGATTTATTAAGGATCATCCCATGCAAATCACTTCCCAACCTCTCCTCACTCAGGAACAGTCATTGAAAGTTTTCAATGCACTTTGTCAATTTTATCTCTATAATGGTTGTCTACGAGAATTGCATCGCCAAGTTATTCCAGAAGTTCCATATTCGACTTTAATCTGCCATTTCTTCCTCAATAAGAAAAACAAAACAATCATACCAAAAAGTTTGACGAGAATCATTAGTCTTGGTAGAAGATCAATCATTCAACAACAACAAGTATCAAAATTTAACAACTCTGATGAAACCTCTGAAGAGGATGAAGATGATGAGACCTATCATGATGACAACCAGTCGACACAACCTTCAACACTACAGACAATATCTGCACGTGCAACACGTGCCAGCGAAACCCTTCATCGTCATCATCCAATCACTAACCATGATAATGAGGATGAAACATCCTCGAGTAGTAGCGACGAACGAGTGCCTGAAAGTAGTGACAATGAGGAATCGAGTAGTAGCAGTGAAGAAGATAATCAACATGATTCAAGAATCAAACAAACCCAATCCTTACCTCATTCCACACATGTCCACTTCAATCACTCTCTTCACAATAGTAATAACACTCGTCATCACTGCACCTCCGTATTAGCAAATCGCAAGAATACCAATTATTTATTGAGTAGTGACAGCGAAGAAACTGATATTTTTTCCAACGAAGGTGAAAATTACACAAATGGTCATACACATGTGTCTGCATCAGAAATCAATTCTTATGGCTCTTCATCTTCTGCAGAGGAAGCAATGTACATTGCGATTTCGAATGAAGACTCTTCCTCAACCACAGAGGTCTTCAACTTTGAACACAATCAAATGTTTGAGCTACATCCTCCAACTTTTGAGTAGAGAAAATACCAATTATTTATTGAGTAGAGAAACAAAAGAATCAATTCCGTTTCACGGAATTGGGATCAATGAAATTCGTGTGTTCAAAGTAAACAATAATATTTTTATTTCAATTTTAAAAAAAATACACACAATCTTTTTTTCGAGATGGAGCACTCATCATCCCCCTTGCTTGGGTTTCAAGAGGGTCCCATTGATCCTGCAACAGGAACTTCCCTTTCGTTAGAAAAGCTTCAATCCTTGTTGGATTTATATTATTCTGGAACGTTGTACATTTCTACCCCAGGAATGACACAACAAAATCAGCAGCAACAAACCAATATCGAAACTATGCTTCAACGCTCATTTGGTTCCGATAGAGATTGTTGGAAGAAAGGTTTGCTGCTCCTAATGTCTTCGGCTTCATCCATTAATGCATCATCTTTACAGCATGTTCAATGGTTTGCCTTGACATTATTGGAGGAGAGTGTCCATCATGTGGAGTATTGGCAAAATCAAATGACTCTCGAGGAGAGACAACAAGTTGAAAATGTGTTAATGACGAACATTTTACCTAATTTTAGAGTAAGTATACTGGCCACTTGTTACTATTAATTGAATTTGAATTGAATGAATGGGTATTTCCATATTTTTTGACTTACTTTTCTCTTAATTTATTGTCATCCATTTTGAATGTTCACATCAAACTGAATCATCATCTTTTATGTTTACAATCACAGCACTTTGCAACACCCATCTGGAGAAAAGCTTGTAAAGTTGTGGTGGAAATTGCCAAGATGGAATGGCCACAAAATTGGCCAAATTTATTGCCACAAATATTTCAAATTGGAAACAACTCGGAAACAGCAGTAGTTGCGTTAACAATTTTACAAATGTTGTCGGAAGAAATTTCAAATATGAGTGGAGAGAGTAAACAGGATAAAGATGATATTCCGGAAGATAGAAAAGAGTCTCTATATAATTCAATGTTGATTGTTGTTGATGATTTGTTACGGTTTTTAGAAAGTATTCTATCCTCATTATATCCAGGATATTATGGAACTGTTTTACGTGCCTTCATAGGTAAGTATAGAGTTGGTCTTGAATTGACCACGTTATAACCCGCCCGTTGGAATCTGCAAACTTCTATTATAGAAAACAATTCACAATTACTAGAACAATTGTTCCAACAATTCAAATCCGTTTCTGAAATTACCATTTCCTCATTGGATTGTTTGACTCACGTGTTGTCATGGGTCAGCCCAATTGAAAAATATTTATTGTCACACTCTACTCTCTTTTCAAATATTGTTCAATACTCCTCTCTCTACTTTAATATTCATAATTGTACTTCATCATTGGGTAAGTGTTTTTCAAAGAAAATTGGATTTTAAAATTACACACTACTTCTAAATATATTAGAAAAAGCAAAAGAAAATATTGAAAACGTTGTTTCAGATATCAGTATTAAAGCATTAAACTGCTTTAATGAAATAATCTCCAAACCAATGAGAAGTACAGGATTAGGCCAACAAAATGCACAATTATTAGGAACACTAATGAACACCATGTATTCCACCATGTTACAGCTACTTCAAAATTACATCAATTTATTCAATATCAATGATAGTAAGTGTCATGACAAGTCATTAGAACCATTGACTCAAAATGATTGCCTTAACATTTTGAAACGTTGAATGAATATCATTATCACACATTGATAGTTTCAAAAAAGGAAAATTTGGTAGATAAGTTTTCACAAGGTCAGCACGAAGAATTTGTTCACAAAATGAATCTCATTCTTCAAGGATTTTCTGAGAATCATCTTTCCAGAATTTTATTATGTGAAAGTCCTGAGAATGTTTCTGCAGAACTTGCTTGGCTTGGACTGAACTTTCCAGTTACAACATTTATTGAAATTCTTTTTTCGTATACTACATTGCAATTTACAACTGATAACTATCAAACAGCAATTACGATTTGGAATCAATTCTTAGATTCAATGATGAACTCTTTTGATGATTTGACATCATATACCCATTTTGAATTTTTCAAGAGAGCTCTACTAAGCTTAGTTGATGATGTATTAAGAAGAACCAACTTTAGAGATATGAAAAATTATTTTAACACCAAACTTTCTGCTAACATTGATCTTGAATATTTAAACGAATTGGATGATGAAAAGAAAGATGTACACGATTCTACAGAACTTGACAATTATTTGGAAATTTGTATTGATGTGGTTGGAAATATTGCAGAGCTTTTCCCAAATGAAACCGTCCAGTTGATCATTGAAAAATTCAATATTTTGGTGGATGTTGAGTTTACACAAAATTTATTTGGAAAGCTACTTCCATCCAAAATTCAACAGCAACAACTTCTGAGTTCAGAAGAAGTTGATTACATGAGAACCGTTTGTAAAGATGTTCGCTCTGCATTAATTACTCTCACTCGATTATCCAATGTGATGGTTTGCCACTTTGAAACAATGTTTTCCATTTCCACAACAGTTATTTCCAAAGTATTGACAATACAGAATATGGGTATTCGAAACATTTTCTCTGATAACAATTCTCAACTTGCTCTCTTGTTGAAGAGTTCACATCCTCACTCGAGCACACTTGGATTATTTAGATTAACAGGTGAAACTTTTTCATTCCTACAACAGTACACGAGATGGATCTTTTTGTTTGGATCGAGTATTTCCAAAGGCATTCTGGAAGCATTTTCCAAACAAAATTCCTCACATAATGTTTCATCTGATCTTGCCGAGATGCAAAATCAATATGTAGTATTGGTTACAAGTATTATCGAAAATATTGCACAGTCCTTAGTTTTATCGAGCTCTGCGACCAATTTCATCATTCCCTATGAGATTGTATCTTCAGCTGTTAGTCTGTTGCTCTTAATGACTTCTGCTCTTTCACAATTGGATTACACATTGCAGACGCCTCCTTCTTGGAACGCCATTGCTTATAAGCATATTACTTCTACCTCTATTGAAGAGATTAAATCCTTCAATGAGGTTATTATTCCCAACATGCATACAATGCTCTCCTCTCTATCTGCACGTTATCCTCCATTGTTGGAAAATGCAGAAAATATTATCTCAAAACTGTATGTCTCTGTGTCTGTGAGCATTTTGAATAGAATAAGAATTATTCCATTGACTGTGAAAAATATGGATACCAAAAAAGCCCAAACGGTTGTGTATGAAATGTACAATAATTTATTGGGCTCACAGCTCATTACTCCGTTCGAACAAGCAATTCAAATGCTCAATACTCAGCATAACAGCGAGTTGGTTCAATTCATTTCTCTGTTATTCAAAATTTCCCAAAGTGTTTTGAGAAATATCAAACATCAACCTAAACAATGCAAACAAGTCGGTTTTGAGGTAATGAAGAAAGTAACCGCTCCAGATCTTATTGTAAATTTGATGAATTTTACACTCAATCATAGTACCGATAAGACACACCTTGCACTCTTAGAAGTCATTATTGATTTACAAATTAACCTGTTTGATGACTGGAAGGCAGAAGTTGGCCACGAATATATCAATGGAATTATCAACACATTCATGGATATTATGACAAGATCTTCTTCTATGAGCCTTTTCATGAAAGAGCCTATTGGTAGAAATGTGTTGACTCAATTTTTAAAATTGTTAAAAGCACTCGTATCAGATGGTTCAGGAAAATATGCAGGAACTATTGGAAAAATTATTTACATCAGTAGAAATTTACTTTATCCTGAACTGAAAAATGTTGGAGAAGGAAAACTATCTGGTAACGTTGGTGCCATTGAAGTGTTGCCCTATTATTATGACATGCTTTACGGAATTCTTCACTATAATTGGAAGCATTTCTTTTCAGCACAAATGATAAACAATGAATTCCAAGAAATGCAATGCACTAGTAATGAGGCATTTGAAGAGTTTTGTTTCATAATGGAATGCTTTTTGAATTCCTTCTTTTCGACTGATATTACTATTTTCAAGACTAATTTGGCTCATTTGGAGAGTTTGAACGATCACCACAAATTCTATGAACGACCAATTTTCAAGCAACGCATTCCAAGCTTGGGCAACCTTTCTATTATGGATAGTTTCATGAATGCCTTCTTAAATATTCTCATTGCCAAAAGTCACAGCTTGTATAAGAATGATCTACTGCTCACCATTTTCAACATGGTCAATGCAGGAAATTGGAATCACTTTGCCAACTATATCCAAGAATTTTTGAGTAGTGATAACAAGCTTGTTCAAAAATTGACCAATGAACAAAAACAACAACTGCTTGTGAGATTAGTGATGAAGCTAGATTCATATGATGAACATGATTGGAAATCATTCCAAAACTTTTCTCGAAGACTTTCACAATTTACGAATGACCTTTCTTACAGTGTGAAGCAAAATACTCGATCTGGATTGTCTTTCTTGACCATGATTTGAACAGGTTCTCGGCGCTCTACAATAAACCTCTGTTTTACTTTCAACAGAGCAAATGTGTTTGATGTAAAAGGTTATGTGTAGCATCCAGAGAACAGAAGTAGTTGCTTTAATTAAACAACAATGTCACCACCGAGAGCTTTGACCACATTAGCTACAGCACTCATTTGAGAGCCTCTCTTGTTAGCATATTCAGGTCCTGAATATGACCACCAATCCCAACATCCATTAATATTCTCAAAGCCACCAGAGGTCACTTGAGGATAGACAACAATAATATTATTCTTTTCAGCAATTGCATTCAATCCAGTGTATTGAACAAATTGTTCTTGCACATAGGACACACCTTGTTCGCAGCCATGGAATGCAACATGAATCTTACATGCTGTATTTTGTTGGCAAGCGGTTGGAATGTAAATGTAACCCTTCTCATCCATGTCCGTACCAGAGAAAGAACCAGATTGATCGTAGGTGAATAAATTTCGATCTACTGCTTGTGTGCTGTCGGTAATGTTGTTGGAATAAATGGTTTGCAACACACGTAAAGCACCACGAAGGTTACAATTGTTAATCCAAGGACTCTGAGTGACAGAACAATCATTTCCATAGTCTGTTGTGAGTATATATGAGTGAACATGAGTGTGTCAAAATTAAAGCATATCACCAATTACATGTTTCCAAATTATTCATAGCAAATGTGTTGCATGACCAATGTTACGGTTGAACAACGATCTTGTTAGAACATGAAAAAATACTGAATGTGACAACACGTACCATTTGTAATCCAAGCATGGCCAGCAGGAACATTAAATGTAACATTAATATTTGAGGATGGAACTCCAAATTGTTGATATTGTTGATAGAGGGTCTTCATGACAGCAGTGTTCACTGTATTATCTGAGGTACCACTAAATAAGAAAATTTTGTGTGACTTGATATTGGAAAGACGATCCACTTTTCCTGAACTCTCATAATCTTGTAATACTTGTTGCAAAGCATTCAAATCAATTGGAAGAGCAGCATACATGCACTGATCGAAAGCATTGGCCATTTGTCCTTGAGCGCAATAGTATGGACCACCTTTTTTTTATCAACAGTCATGGACAGAAATCCAACCATGAGGTCGAGAAAGTTCACAAGATTTCATCCAAATGAGTTTGAAAGATTGTTCGTGGGAAAGTGGTGAATTAGACCATCGAAATGTCATCAATACCAGAACCAAACATTTCAGGTAAAAATACGCCATCATCAGTTCCGACACGCATCATAAACACAAATGAATGATCATTATTGAAATAGTTCAATGATATCATCATTGGATTCAAAAGACCTACTTACCAGCGAAAATACCAGCTCCAACAATGCTTGAACTGTACGCAAATTGGAACTGAACAGCCATAAAACCTCCCGAGCTCAATCCGCTCACAGACAATGAGTGAGGAATAATATTTAATTTCTTGAGAGGAATATTCGGACGACCTAAAACCTTCTTGGTGATTTTACTTGTAGTAGTAGTTGCCATACGAATATCCAAGGCATAAAGAGAGGAGATAATGGTTGTGGAGAAAAAGGTGAGAAGAACAAGCACACACAAGGCTCCAATCAACAACTCCTTCGGAGAAAGTGCAACAAACGCCATGATGAAGAAAATGATGGGAACGCGAAATTTTTTTCAAGACGAAGTGTGATGAATGGATCATCCCAATTACAACAAGGATGATCAATTGGCTTTTCCAATTCCCGAAGCAACTCAGTGATTTTTCAACAGTTGTTTGAATGTTGTTGTGACTTATTCAATCTCCTCTAAAGATATATTCGTAACATAAAATTGAATCTGAACACCTTAGAGACTACAACAAAAACTCAGATGTTGGAGATTCTATATATACCCCCTTAGAAACAACTTTCAATGAACAATTCCTGGATCAACATCTTCATATTCTTCCTTGTTCGTCCACATGGAGTAGAAGGTTGGCAAGTCTTTATAAGAATTTGGTCGTACGATGGGATGTTTTTTTCTTTTTTTCAAACTTGTCATTTCGTCCATATTTTTATTTAACATTTATAACATACCTGTCCAAACGTTTGTAAAGAACTTGTATGACTCAGTTCGATCTCCTTCAGAGGGCGCCTCTTGTCCAATCAGTATTAGGAATTCAAGTTCATTTCAGGAGCGAGAACAACAGAAGTGGCTGTTTGAGTGGTCAAGTTTCGCAAAAAACAAATAATAGAAGGATTGGTCCAATCAAGACCAAAAAAAATATATCGATATTTTCGATTTGAATCTGATCATTTCTCAACACACACCAATCTCACACAAAATGACTTTCTGGTATGGTAACCCAGCATGGATTCCTACAGGATTTCAAGTGGTGAGTAGTAGAGATGTTGATGGTTGGGTGTGTTCAGTTTCATGTTTCATACTATTTTTCGTTATCGATCTCTGTGATGATCGGATCTGAAACATTATGGATGATGGACATTTATCACTTGTGAACGGTTGATGCCAATAATGATCTTCTTATTTCCATGATGATGATGATTCCATATTGATGAATATATGGATTCTGAACGAATCAACTCTGACCTTTTTCCTGATCAATGGATTTATTCTTTAAACTTCTCTCTCTCTGTTCGTGCAGCCTCCACACTTGATGCAAAACGGACCCATGTGGCAAAATCAAGCCATTCAAACCTATTACATGTTCGATAAAGATCGCAACGGAGTTTTAAAGAAGAAGGAATTCAAGAAGGCTTTGACTCATATGGGAGTTCACAAGCATGAGGCTAAGCATCTTTTCAAAATGATGGATCGTGATAGAAATGGTGTCATTACTATGGATGAATTTATCAATGCCTACTTGTTCATCATGGCAGGTAAGTAATAAGAAAGACACAATTTGAGTTTGATTGACAACACTTGTCATCTCCGATTTTATCCTTTTTCATTCATGTACCTGAATGGATTGGGAATAATTGAAAAACTATTGTTGAAACAATTTGTGTTCAATACCCATCACAGGTGGGATGAGATATCATGGAACTGGCTACTCTGGTACCTTCTCCACTCTCGGTCAAACAACCACTACCACCACAACCACAGTCATTGGTGGATCTCAACCAGTTTATCCTCCAACTACTGGTTATCCTCCACAAACCGGATATCCAGTACAAACTGGTTATCCACAAACTGGCTATCCACCACAAACAGGTTACCCACCTCAAACTGGATATCCACCTCAAACAGGTTACATGCCACAACAACCTTATGGAACTAATCCTTATGTTCCTCAAACCGGTTATCCACCACAAACTGGATATCCTCCACAAGGTGGCTATCCTCCACAACCTTATCAATAATTCATATTAGATTCTATGCACAATTCACCTTTGCTCGAATCGTTGAATGAATAAAACAATTATAATTATTGAAATTAGTTTGAATTCTTTTGTTCTACAAGTGACAGCTTTTCCAAAAAAATGCACCGACACCAACCCACTCACCTTCCCAAAACCACTCGTTATCGATGCTACGCGATCACACTTCTTCTACTACTACTACTATTACTACTACCCATCATAATCATCATCTCAATATGTTACATTAAATTTTTTCGACCAGATGATAAACCCATTCGATCCACCACAACAGTTCAACAGAGTTCCACTTCTTCATTTTTCATATCCTCCATGAGAACATTTTGGAATCCTCCATCCACTCTTCCATTCACAAAATATGGAGCACAACAAAATCCTTCATCTCCTTCGAAGCCGTCGTCGACTGCTTTTTACAAACTCTCGACACTCGCTGGAATGTCAAATGTCAGTGGAGACGGAGGACTCGGTGTGGATGCACAACTCAACCATCCTCGTGGTTTATTCTGTCATTATAACATGCTTACAAATAATTATGAATTATACTTTTGTGATACGAATAATGTTCGAATTAGGAAAATTAATTTACAAACTGGCATTATTGAGACTGTCATTAGTGATCGTGATGATGTGTTACCTGCAGTCAATGATGGAAGGTTATCGAATTTGGCATTTCCAACAAGTTTGGCATTATCGAGTGATTTTGTTCAGGAAGGAAATGTAACTCTTGTGATCACAAATGCATTTATGAGTGATGGAACAAAGGTACGTTTAGAATTTTCAAATTTATTGATATGATAATTTTCAAATTTATTTAATATTTTTCAAATTTGTTGATTTTCATATCACTGAACTTTTGCATCTTCCAAATTTGGACATACTGTTTGCATTTGGCGTTTCACTCTCAATTCACATTTCACAACAACAACAACAATAGATTATTAAGGCAAGTTGGAGTGGACTCGTCTCATGTCCAACATTGGGCTCCAATAATCAGTGCAAATCAAAAATGGAATTGCGAGAAATTGAGCTACCTTTGAATTTTCGAAATGTTGCTTCTGTCTCTGCCTACAGAAATCCCAAACAAAAAAATCGAACCGAATGGCTTTTTGTCGATTCCTACAATGCAATCATTACAAAAAATTATTATGAATCTATTGGTACGGAGAATGTTCCCACACGATTAACTCTTAATTTTGCAGGAACAACCTCAAAACCATTTGCAGGTTTTGTGAGACCTGAACGAGTATATGCAGATGTGAATAATGATCAATTATACGTAACAGATTTAGATGCTGGAATTGTTTATCAATTTACTTCCATTCTTTTAGGAACCACACTGACTTTAAAAAATCAATTTCTCATTTCAGCACCTGGTGGAATGACATTTTCAAGAGATGGAACTGTCCTAATTAGTGGAAGAGGAACAAGTAGGATTTATGAATTGACAAAGAAAAATGAGCTTAATTTAATGATGGGTTCAAAACCTGGGTTTGAAGGAGATGGAGGTCGTGCCAAAGATGCAAGATTTAACTCTCCAGATGATTTAAGTTATTGTAATGGAAGTTTATACATTTCTGACACGTTTAATTCAAGAATTCGAAAAGTGTCTTTTGATTCAAACACAATTGAAACCTTTGCAGGAAATTATGAATATACTGCATTTGGAATTGGAACCAGTACTATTTTAAATGACCCAACGTCTTTGAGTTATAATCCTCTATTTCCAAATGAGGTACTCATTGCTGACACAAACAGTAATGTCATTCGATCTCTTGATTTGATCACAAACAAGATACAAACGGTGGCAGGCAGTTACAATCCAGGTCGTTCAAATTCTTCGAACATTATTCGACCACAGTGTGCAGTGAGAGGCCCCAATCGAGAATTATACATTTGTGACACTTACAATCACCGAGTGTTAGTGAAATATGAAAATGGAACTGAAGAAACCATTGCTGGTATTCTTGGAAGTTCAGGATATAGTGGAGATGGATATTATGCAAAAGATGCAAAACTCTTTACTCCAACAAGTATTGCCATTAACAAGTTAGGAGAAATATTTATTGCAGATTCAGGTGAGTATCTGTTGTTTCGAACATTTCGATTTATAAATCACCGACTTATCAATCACAAATGAAATACATCATAATTATTGATGAAATGATGATTAATCACAAATGTTACATATATTTCATGAATATTTTTCTCTCTCTTCAAAGATAATAACAGAATTAGAAAAATCGACAAGGATGGAATCATCTCTACTGTGATTGGAATTGGTAATCCAAAAAATCCATGTCCTCGATCCAGTCAATACATTCAAATGCCTGTCACTACCGCCTGTGTCATTCATCCAACTTGTTTACAATTTGATCATGAAGGATATCTCTATTTGAGTGATGTTGGTCACCACATGATTCGAAAGGCAAGTCCTGATTTGACCACTGTTTATATCATTGCAGGAAATGGCCAAACAGAATTTATTAGAGATTCTGGAATTGTTGCAACACAGGCATCTCTCTTTTCTCCAAGGTGAGTTGTTTCTTTTCATAAATAGAATCATTTTTGGTGATGGAATTTGTGTGAACCATGACATGCATGTACCATTCATTCATACCATTCATAAAGAGGTCTATTTGTGATGGACAATGGAGATGTCTTAATTGCAGATAGTCGACATCATTTGATCCGAATTGTCACAAAAAAAGATAATTTAATTTCCACAATTATTGGAACTGGAAAACGAGGAGACAGCATCTCTTTCGAAAACGCAACTCTCAATAATCCCTTCTCTGTCATTGTCACAAGCAATAACGAAATTATATTTTGTGACAATGGTAACAACAAGATTAAGAAACTGACATGTGCACCAGGTCTCTCTGGAATATTATGTGAACCTTCGATGGATCAAAAAATTGTAATATTTATTTCAGTCATTGCTGCAACTGTTGTACTTGCCATTTGTTGTGTCATTTCCATTGTAACCATTCAATGTTATTATAATATCAAAAAACGAAAATCACTCCAACAATTACGAGAACCTTTGGTTTATCAACTCGAAGAACGTTTATTACCAATTAGTAATGTCACCATTGATAAGACTAGAAAATTAGGAAGTGGTACGAGTGGAACTGTTTATTTGGGTTATTGGGATGAAATTCTAGTGGCAGCAAAGAAAGTTGAAAAATCTTCATTAACAGAACGTGAAGTTGAATTTTATAAGAACTTACGAAATCCACATATTGTGACATTTTATGGAGTAAAAGAAGAAGAAGAAGAGGAAAATCAAGAGATTAAAAATGAAGGAAAAGAGCTCTATGACGATACAACATCGACCAATGGTCATCATGAAGGATCCATGTATCTCATTATGGAATATATGGGAGGAGGATCTCTTCGAAAATATATTTATTCTCTTTCGAAAGGAACTGAAAAATGCACATTTGTGGAGAAACTATGTTTATTGAAAGGAGTTCTCATTGGATTGAAATATCTTCATGAAAATAACATTACTCATCGAGATTTGAAGCCTGATAATATTTTATTAGATGAAAGACATCAAATTGCAAAGATTTGTGATTTTGGAACTACGTTAAAAACAAGTGCAAATCTTCAAGAAGAAACCACTCTTGGAACTCCAGCTTATTTACCTCTTGATGGTGTCACTAGTCAAAAACCAAGCACAAAAGTAGATGTGTATGCATTTGGAAAAGTCATGTGGGAATTACTTTTTGAAAAATCATTGGAAGAGGCATCATACACTCATGAACCTCCAATTCCTTTCTATTCTGCAGTTTCTTGTTTTGCATGGATTAGTGACAATCCTTCAGTAGGCATTCAATACAAGGATGAAACCAATGAAGATGAATGTTTCAAACAAATTGAAGCACATTCAGAAATTGTGTGGGAATATTGCAAAGTCATGAAAGAATGTTTCAGTCAGAGTGTGGAAAAGAGACCAACCATTTTCAAAATTTTAAATTTGTGTAAATTATGGATTGGAAGGTTGGATGAAAGTAAGAAGGTTATTACGAGTCGTGCAATGAATGTCATAGCAGTCACTGAAAATTATGTTCCTCTCGATTTGAATTCAAATTGGAATTACGTGAAAGAATAAGCTTGTCATGAAAATAATGAAACAACTTCAAGTTTCAACATATACTCCACGCCTAAGGTTGAGCGTCGTCACGACACTTGAAATTCTCAACCAACATACCATCATTTTTACCGATCATTACACAAATTTGTGACAATATTTGAAAAGATGCGATTTGACAGAGAGATATCTCTTTCAGTGCACTGAAATGTATTTGCAACAACAATTTGCAACAACAAAATGCGTAAACGAGCTCCAACAATCCTTCCTTCCGCCAATCAATTACCAGCTGCCAGTACTCACTTCCAAGAAATCACCGTTCAACTACTGTCACAAGAAACAACCTCTCCTCTTCAAAACAACATTTCCTCTTATTTTTCTCGCATGAATGGACCTGTCTCTTGTCGTGCCTGTGGTGAGCGTTCGAAAAAACTATTATTCTCGTTCGGAGAGAATATTTATTGTAAACGTTGTGCCTACGATATGGAACGTATCTATTTACAAAGTTTTCGACAACGAGAAGAAATGAGAGAACGAGGAAAGAAAGCTTATGAAGTTGACATGCAAATTGAAAAGAGCAAGGATGCAATTTCTCAACCTCCAGTCATGAATCATCCTGTTATGAATGTAATGAGACGTGCGAGTATCATTTCAGCGAATTTTCCAGAACTGTTTTCTGGAATTGGGAATTCACCTTCTCATGTGACATCTGGAAGTGTGGGATCTTCCGGTTTTACATCTACGACGACTTCATTGAATCCAATGGTTTTGAATTTGATGAATAATCCTTCCAAGATGTCACAGTAGGAATATGTCATTGACAGGTGAGCTCGCACTTACCACAGATTACTGTGATCTGATTTGTAATTAATTTGGCATCCATGAAAGAATACGAATTATTATCTACTTAGTTTAGGGTATTGGAAAATGATTAAACTGAAGCTGAAACATCCTATGACAGAGAAACACCATCGATACGTAATAAACGAGGTTGAAGCATGTAAATCATTCCATTTTGGGTGGTCACTATTTGTGTCTGCTCACTGTCCACTAAGGGTTGCTCAAGTGACATCTTTCTTCCTGATATTTCTCCATTCGAAACATCGATTAGCAAAAGACCACTGTCACATGCCACAACAACAGTACTGGCATGATCTACAGAAGGAGCTGCAGCTATTTGCAATGCGCAGACATTTGACACTTGAACTTGTTTTGTCACATCCACTGTCCATATCGTTTCAATTCGAGACGATTCTAGATTGACTTGCATACCAAGCAATCTATATTGGTTCTTTGTGGCATCTTCTTCCTGTTTAGTTCGAATCAAAATCACCACATTGTTATTGGGAAAAGCAATGGCATTGGAACATTCACCTGGCCTGTCTGTTGTCAACGCTACAGACTGAGTTGCCTGCGAAAGATTTGTTTTTAAAAAAGCAGTTGCAAAGATCATGGGTCCATCCATTGTCCTAAATTGTGACAAGGCCAACATGTAATCATTCAAGGAACTCACATGATGCGGGACTAACGAAGTGTCAACACTCGTTTGTGAAATAACTCTTCCACTTGCAATTTCAAACTGCACCAATCCTCCATACACGGATGCAAACACAAAGGGACTCTCCAAATCTCGAATCAATTGGCCGAAATATCCCTTACTTGACAAACTTGGAATTTGGTACAAGATTTGCTTGGTGTCACTATTCAAACACAACACTTGTCGACTGGTCGAGAGAAGAACTTTCGATGAGTCTGAATCTTCAAATAACAACAAACCGTGCATGACTTCCATGAGACCATCACTTTCGAATAGAATGGTCCAATCCTCGCGAATTAGTGACTCTTGAGTGGCTGGTGAGGTAGTAGTTTTGGAAGAGTTTGAAAATTTCAATAAATAATTCCTCCCATTGAACACATTCTTTCTCACGACATAGTAATTTCCAAATCGATCCAGTACTGGAAGTGGCATCACCACATCGGAATCTAACATTTGCAACTCGTAAGAAAGGTTGGCCTCCTTTAGAATACCATGGCGGAGACTCTTTAAATCCACAAATCCCAACACAGTTGATAACAAAGAGTCCTTGTCAACAAGTTGAGTCTTTTCATCATGATCACGGCTGGCAATGGTTCTCTCAAGAAAGAGTAATCGGTTTTGAGCAGTATCCAAAAGAAAGGAAGATTCTTCCAGGAGTAGCGCCTTGGATGTATCATTCGAGAGTGAGATGGAAAATTCTGAATGGGGGTGATGATGTTGTTGATATCGGAAGAGTCTCGATTGTTGGCTATTGAGATTCACTTGATTCCATCCTCCTCCTCCTCCTCCTTGTAACCTAATAAGACTTCCTACAGGTGGCGGACTGGATGAAACGTTCTGGTGTGATGAACGTTGAAGATAAGACTTTGCATTTGGATGATTTAAAGTTCCGACTCGAATGGAAAGAGCATTGGAAAAGGTGAATAACTCAATGAGGAGAAGAATTTGCAGAAGAAGAAAGAGTGTGTACACCACATGATTGTTAAGGTGAGAGAGAACACGTAACGATGGTATGGAAGAGACAGACGTTGGGGTCATGTCTTGTTTTGAGAGAGAGGTCCAATGGTTTCAATTTGTTGTTCTTTTTTCAAAACAAACGATGAAGTATGGACGTGTGTGAGGTGGGATCCCAACAATTTGGACATGATACTTGGAATTTCAAGACATCTAAAATTGGACATTCCAATAAATTTGGAAGCTTGGACATTTGTCGACAGCTTAAGGATGGCAAATTCTCAATAGATGGTAATTCGTAATCATCAAGGAAAATATCGCATTAAAAGTTGACAGGGTAAAATATAATACGATGATGTGAGCATTCGTTGGAAATAGGTGCAATGTTGTTATCAATAGGACTTCGGATTTGTTTACAATTTAAATTCAAAATGAAACGAATTGTATTTATATGAATAATATGTTGTTTGGTCGTCGTTGTGTGGTGACATGCAATCTCTACTTCACATAATGATGGATCAAAACGACGACCATGTCAACCTCGATATCGAGAAGAATAAATTTAATTGAATGGTTGTGGAGGATAACCATAAGGATTGTATGGCATACCACCATATGGCATTGGTGGAGGAACTCCATAAGGTACTCCTCCCATCATTCCCATACGTTTTCTGAAGGATGGCATTGGGGTAATATAGTTTGCACCTCCTGCCATGATGAATAAATAAGCATTGATGAATTCATCGAGAGTGATGACACCATTACCATCACGATCCTATGTTTTGGTTGTTGTTGTTGTTGTTGTGAAAATGTCAGAAGATGATGACAGTTGTGGTTGGTTCATCATTGTCAACAGGTTGTGGTGGTTCATATCCAATCCAAAATAAACAATGAACACTAACAATCACCGGAAAAGTAACAATTTTCACTTACCATCATTCTAAACAAATACTTGGCATTCATTGGTGGAATTCCGAAATGAGTAGCAGCAGCAAACTTGAATTCCTTCTTGGAGAGAGTTCCGTTACGGTTGAGGTCATATTGCCAAAAGATTTGTTGAGCTGCTTGGACATAATTGAATCGGTTGGCCATGATGTGAGGAGGCTATTTGTGTGTGCATTCCAAAAAGTTCGAGTCAGTCAGTTGGTCGATCGTGTGTTGATCATGATGGTTGAGTCATGACCGTATCATCATCATCACGAGAACGGTCATGAATATAAATTTTGACATTTTTCATCGAGATGATCATCATCACGCGGAAGATAGGGAGGATGATCCTGTTCACAAAAATCTCGGATGATCATCATTAAAAACTTACAACTACGAATCCAGCTGGCATCCATGCTGGAGGTGGACCTTGCCAATAAGTGGTAACCGTGGTCGTTGTGGTACCTGGTTGCACATACATTCCTGGCATTCCTGGATTATATCCGTACATTCTTATGATTCTGGTATTATGTGGTTAGAGACTGTGTTATTGAACGTGATGATGGAATGACATGGACAATGGTAAATAAGGTATTAGAGTTTGCCAATAAGAAACCATTCCAATTGAAAAACATTCGGTGTGAAACAAACATCAGTTGGATACGAGATCACGACGAAGGTGATTAAATTGAATTGAAATTACAAACGAATCGAAAACACCTACATATAGATTTGGGTTATTTTTTTGCGTGTGACTTGAAGAACACAGGCGTTAGTTGGGTTGTGGTTCCAAATGTTATTGCTTCCAATAACAAGTTTGTGGCAGGCTATTTTTGCATTCAAAAAGGAGAAGGGGCAGTCGACTCAGGGGTGTTCTTGATGTTCTTCGGGTGAGGGTTGTTGATCGTCCAAGGCATCAAAACCTGGGTCATAGGCTGATGCTTCGGACACAGAGCCATGACTCGAACGGCGATTTAATTCATGTCGTTTTTTAAGGTCTTGATATTCTCTCTGTACAGAGGATTCTGAACGATCCAAATCTTCTAAAGCAACTCTGTATGTGAGAAAAGGAATGAGTTCATTTGTGATCTGAAGAAAAACTTTCTTCGACGAACACACTTACCTTAATGGAGGATAGGTTCTACTCTCAATTTCTGCACACTTAATTTCAAAGACTCGACTCGATTCGGAGAGTCCTTTGAGTGGATAAACTCCCAAGTCACGGGCTGTGAATGTTCTTTCGATGGCAACTCTTTGACGTTTAGATTTAAAGCTACTGGCTTTGCTTGTACTTTTGGTACTCGATGTGAAACTGCTACTGGATGGCGTATCTTGTGTTTCACTTAATGGATGGTGACGAGCTCCATCAACACTCAGGTATGTTTTCCCGTCTGCTGTTTCACTCATAAATTCGACATTTGAATACAACTCCCGAGTTTTGTAAAACAATTCCTCGCTCACTAGCACTTGACCGCCATGTGCCAATGCTTCAATTCGAGCAGACTTGTTCACAACATTTCCAAAGTAATCGAAGCGTTTCATGGTCTATCGTTTGAATTCGGTCAAAATATGAGTAATGTCAGAAATAATAATTTAAACGTACCTTGTCCCAAACACAATCACCCTATTGTACATTAAAAAATACCATTCCCGGTTTATAAATCCACGTCATGACATCCACAACAGAATTTCAAAGGTAAATTCAACTGATACTTCAACTTGTACATACCTTTCCGTAATGTAATCCAATACGAACTCGTAAGCCACTCCAGAAGGCTTTTCGAGATTTTGGGTCCCATTCTTGACGACAATCCCACTCATGATAAAGGTCGCCTGGCCATTTAGCATTCAGTAATGCAAGTTGAACTTCCATTGCCCAGATAACTGCATCGAGTGGGTCCTTGAAAACGACCTGGTAACGTTTGAACAAGAAAACAAATAAAATTCGAACACTCCTTATTGAAGAACAAAAATCTTTGAAAACTTACATAAAACGAGTCACCATTCGTCTTGACCTCATAACCTCTAAATTGCATTAGTTTGGATCGCATAATAGAATTATGAATTTCTAAAGCAGTTCTCATTGCCTTTTCATTGTTTTGCCAAAGCTTAGTACTGTTTTGGACGTCTGTAAATGCACAAGTTATTTTCCCTGATTTAGGTGCATATTTGGCAGTTGGATCTCTTCTTGCAATCACTACAACCACAATACAAATAATCAAAGTGATGATAAAAAAGAGAGTTCCTCCAATTACAATGCCAGCAATAGCTCCTGCAGAGAGGCCAGGGACAATATATGTAATTCCACAAGTTTGAAAACGTAGTGAATAATTTTGGATTTTCTTTAGAAGAAAGAAATCTTGCAAAAAGTTGAGATAAATTTCTTTTGCTCCTTGATTGCAGCTACAGAATGCAGTAGTGGAAGAGCATGTCGCAGAGGTTGAAGAAGAGATGGATCGAGTAAAACTGCCGCCTGACGAGGTTGATCCTCCATTTGAGTCACATGTGTCTCCATAAGGTCCAAAATCATTGACACCAAGTTCAAAAACGGATCTGTAGAAGAGGGTCGAAATAAAAGACTGCTTGGTCACCTCCAAGTTAACACTATCCATATACTTCAAAATGTTGCCCACCATTGTACCAACAGCAAAACCTTCATAGGCTAGCATAGTCTTATTCATTTGGGGATAGTATTGAGAATAGTATTGAATAAATTCTTTGGCCATAATGTTTGTGAAAGAAGCTGAGGAAAACGGCTCTAAAAAAGAGGCAGTTATCACATTTGTTTTTAAACCGGACAGTGTTGGGCATGAAATTTCAGAAGGAATTCCTATCAACGAAGTGCTTGGTTGTTGTGCTAATTGTGCTATGAATGAGCATGCATCATTGCTGTTGGCTAAAACAAACACAAAATTTCCATAATACGGAACGTCATTATTGATGGAGCGCTTGGTAAGCGTTGGCAAAGGAAGTGTGGAAATCTTCACATTTTCAGCACTCTTTAAAAAGAACTCTTCCACACTTTTTGATGCAGAAGTCCAGTATTCTTGGTTTGCCACGAGAATGGTCAATGACAGCTGCTCTGAAGTTTGAAAAAATAAGGAGCGGGCATAACGAGCAACAGTTACCACTTCTTCCACAATGGATGGTCGAAGGTTAATAATAAATCTGGAAAACGGTGACCGTAAGTCTGGATGACCTGATACTGGACCAATGAGAGGAATATCATGCGAATCCACTAGGTCCCTCAACCCAGAAGCGTTCCCAGAGATCTTTGAGCCCAAAAAACCAAAAACCTTGTTTCGTTCAATTAAAGTTGCTGCCTTTTCCATCATATCTGCATCACTCGTATAGTATTCAGTATAGAGATGTACTTTTCTTGGAATTTCAGCATTATCATTAAGAGCTTGAATGAAGGACATTACACCAGCCTTAAATTCGTCCACCTGAGATGAGTTTTCGACAGGATACAATTTACCAAAAATTATTGGTGCTTGCACACTATCTTTCAATGCATTCACATCTACTCCACATTTAGATTTGTCAAAAGTTACAGTTGAGACTGGAACAAAACGTGTTGACACAAATTCGAAAATATAATTTGATCTCATTCCCAAGCTGCACTTTTTGGTGGTTGAAAATTGACCAAATGGTATTTGGTACTTGATAAACTCAGAGTTGGAAAACACCGTATCAATAAAACTTGAGCCAGAAATTTCTGTTTGAGGAGAAATGTTATCAAGGATTTCGATTATGAAACTTCCCACCAAAAAGCCTTCAACAACTCCTGTGGTGTTTACGTTGCGATTGGCAAGGTATTTGTTGGCAATTGATTGGTATGTGTCAATAAACGAATGCTTGGAGTGAACATACGGGAATGGTTCCACCAAATAAAAATGAATGGATGAAAATGATGAGCTATTCAGTAAATCAGCAATTCTTGACTCCCATTGCAAATGTTTGAAATACAGACAAAATACGACGACTTCTTCTCTAAGCTTAATAGAAGAAATACCGGTGAGAATTTTCTGTACAACATTGAACTCTATTTCATCGTTTGGCAGCGATATTACAAAAACTTGAGGATTTGCATTTTCAGCCATTAGGTAATCTTTGATTTGAGAGGTGGAAAGAGTATTTGAATTAGGAGAAAACATAATTTCACTATCTAAATAAAGTTCATACTCTTCCAGCATTCTCATAAATTGCGATCGAACATACTTTCCATCTGTGTCTTCAGATCCAATAAATGAAAAGCGGGTCAGTCCTAAAGTGTTCATACTGTAATCCAAGAGTGATAAAAGTCTCTCTCTGATCGATGTTTTTAAATGAATAATGTTCATGGAAAAATGCTCGCGCAATTTTGGCGAGTCGAAAGATGTCTCTGGATTAACCAACACCATGCTACTAAATTGTGATGCAAATTGCTCTAAGAATGAAGATGCTGTTGAGATGCTGTTAATCTTACTTCCAACAAGGCCAATAGCATTATGATCGACAACAAATTTTCTACTCGCATTAAGTAATGACTCCACGGAGGTGGAAGTGTCATTCATGACAATAGGTAAAATCTCTAGCCTCTTTCCCCTCACACCTCCTTGCTTATCGTTTCTGTCTTTGAACGCAGCAGATACCCCGGAAATAAAATCCGAGTTGTACGCACTACCATCCGAAATATGACCAAACACTATGGGAAGAGAAATTTTGGTAGGATCAAAAAAACAAGAAAAGCTTGAAGAGCCAGGTAAATCCCAAACAATGGGATCTCCAATTTCTGTGAATGAGGCATCAGCATTTTGTACAGTTTTCCATACTGATCGAAGTCCTTGATTGCATGAGCATGAAGAGGAAAATGAGGAGGAAGATGACAACACTCTTCTAGAGGTCCAGTCACTCCTAAGATGATAATTTTTGACGGTTTCACTCGATTCTATTGTTTTTGCTGTGAAATCAGATGGAGTTATTTCTGTCAATGTGGGCTTGTTTGAAGAGGATGTGTTCTCCTCAAATATAAAAGTCGATCTCCGAGAGGAGCTCGTTGTTGTGGAGCATTTTGTATAGGGTCCAACCACCGTATTGTCCATCACATAGGTTCCTGATTCATAGAGCAAATCAATGAAGTGAGATCGAGTCAAATCTCCAGACACACGTTGTGTGAGTACATTTATGGTTAACTTTGCAGCCATATAACCTTCCAATTCAACCAATGATGGAACAAAAGAAGGATTGTATGCCTTCATTGCTCGTTGGTATGACAAAACGATTGGATATTTCGTGTTGGTGGGAGCTGGAAATACTTGAGTGACGACAACACGATCTCTGTGAGGAAGAATGTTGGATCCAATAAAAGAACCTGTCATGAATAAAATGTCAGGATCATAGTCTGTTCTCGCCATGACTCGATTAATAAATTCAACAGTAGGTTTGTAGGTGGACATGCAAATAATGGCCTGTGGTTTACCTTTAACGATGGAGTTGAGTGCATTCGTCACTTCGATTGTATTTCTTTCATAGGTGCCCTTAGAGACAAGACTCATACCAAGAGCGTTCAGAGCAAGAGTAGATCCGTCTTTTTTGTTGCAAGTCAGCCGCAATGCAAGAGAATTCATGCCAGAAAAATCGTTAAGGAAATGTTGATTCGTGTTGTTTCATTTCAAGAATATCAACATCAAGCATATAAACAATGTTAATATCAATATTGAAAGATAAAATTGTTGTCAGTGTCACTGCATCATTTGAATCAACACACAAAAACGTACCCAATCCTGACACTCCAAAGGCATCATTCTGATAGAAGATTGAAATCCTGCGCAACATTTTAATGTTGACCAAGTATTCCACCATTGCAGCTGTTTCATCTTGATAGCTGGCTCTTACGTTGATAAGATTCGGATAGAAGGGCACACGCAGAAACAATCCTCCAGTTAGGGCGCCGATATATGGTATTTTTGATTCTATGAGCAGATTGAGAATGGCTTGACTTGTTCCAGTTCCTGTTGTTTTAAATGGATGATTTGTAGTAGCATTTCGAAACAGTTCATCCAAATGAGTTATTCACAAAATGAGTTGATTTTAATATTGTCACATGACAGATTAGAAATGAAAATTGAGTGACATTAAGGTTCATATTTAAATCGATCAAGTCGTATGAATTGAAATTCAAAATCTACTTACCCATAAATCCCAAGAATCCGAATATGGACTGATTATTCAGTAAATTGAGAGTGTTATTGATGCAGCGAGCAGGTTCATATCCGTCGTCTAAGGAGTAGAGGCGTAGTTTTTTTCCTCCCCATACACCTCCCAATTCGTTAATTTCCTTAAAGGCAGCCTGGGCTCCTACCATAAGTGGATATCCAAGTCTAGATGGACAACGGTCATAACCAACGCAACGGATGTATTGTAATTCATGGTTTGAATTTCATTCATTATTCGATATGTCGGTAGAGAGTAGCATTGGGATCATCATGATGAATTTAATAAGGAGAGAATTTGGCATGACCAAAGAAAACCAACAAATGAAATCAATGAAATTGTAGTTTTTCCAAGAACAACAATATTCAAGAATTTAAGTTGGATAGATTAGATTCAAATATATAGATATTCATTATTATTATTACCATGAATTGAAGTATATGTCGTGATATCGTAGAGTGGTATTATAGTGCGTGATATTCATCATTTAGGCTGTACTACTTACTCTCGTGTTTGTCCTGTCAGGGCCGTAGACTGACCAAACACAATTTCGGGCTCATCGTTCCATTTCTTGTCATATAACGTTTGATTGAATGTAAAAGATAGCTGAGCCTTAATGGACGTGCACGAGAGTAGAGTATAAGCAAGGAAAATAAATATCAATATTCTTCTTAATAACGTCATGGCAGGAATTGTTATATACTCAAAGAAAGAGAAGGAATTTAGCAACCAAGAAATGAAAATAGGCGGAAGGTTATGTATGTAAGGCTTTCACGCGTGCGTTTGCTACTAAAACTACGGTACTGTTGTAGCAACAAAGGTTGTTGTTGTTGTTATTGAGGCGCTTTTTTGTCGGCAAGAGGTTGGCTGCTTTTTTGCTATTGTTTGGCCACGCATATAATTTCGCGTTAAAGGGCAAACTGCATTGAGCGATAGCAAAAAAAATGTCACTCCTTCTTCCGCTTACGGTTCAACAAATTAAAATTTCGGAGTGCCATTCTTCGGATGATTTCCGAAAAGTGTTCATGGATTGTGATGAAGAAACTTCTCAATTAGATAGCCAGACCAGAACGAAGGAAGCCATAGATTCCATCTTTTTTCCTCTCAATCCCCAAGTAAAGTACGAGGAAAATCAATCCTCCTCGGTACAAAATAATTCGCCGTCTTTGATCTACTCATGTCCTCATAAGGTGAATGTAAAATTTGTACTCAATGCCACGAATGTAGTCGAGGCGAATGATGACGATGCGAACACAGAGGAGCAACAACATGAACAACAGCAACAAATTGAAAATGTTAAGCTTTTTGTGTCATCGGAACACTTGCTTTTGCTCAAATCCAACAGTAGTGGGATGACTGGTTACAAAATTCATTTCAGAGATATTTTGATGCATGGTGTTCAACAATCTCCAACCCTGTGCATGTATTGTCAATTATCAACCATTGAGAGTGGACAAGGAAAATCTTCCGTTGCGGAAGAAGAGGAGGATTTAGATAATGATGTGTGTGAAATGATCATCACAGTGGTAGCATCATCGGCAACACCTTCTTCCTCGTCAATGTCTGAAAAGCAACAACTCGATCAAGTCTATCGGGACATGTATAGAGCCTTCTCTGAAGCGGCAGAAAATGTACCCCTCGACAATCAGGAAAATGAAAACCTCAATTCCATGATGAATGATATAAATCTCGATGATAAATTATGCATGAATTCGGATGGTTGGGTTTACAATATTGAAGAAATGAGAAGGGCCGTTCTCATCAGAGATCGAACTGAACGAGAGGAGCATGATGGTGAATTGAAAATTTTGGCAAACCATGAAGTGGCGGCACCAGCTGGTGTCGATAGTGACGATGATGATTGGGAAGACGTCGAAGAGGAAGCCGAGCTTGACAATAAAAAGAAGAAAATCCTCTAAGATTATTTGTCATCTCACATTTACCAGGAAGTCATATTCATCATCACATCATCGACCATCGTCAATTAGTCAATGACAACGAGCACACAAAACAGCACTGGAATGAATTTTGATTGGAATGAAAATTTTGTTTTTTGTTCGAACGAAAAAAATATTATTATTGAATTTTTCTAATCATCATCATGTTGAAGCATTGGTTGCCAATCTTGCTTCGAGCTGGAAAAAAGTCCAGTCTTAGCCAGAAGGAAAAGAGTAAGTGCTATATTTTACACCGACCAGTTCATGTTGAATTCCAATCCATTTCATCAACCACCATTTGATTTTGCTTGTTCTATAATATTTTCAATTCGGATTGACTGTACATGATGATGGAAATACTACTTTCTTCAAATTAATGAATGAACTTTATTTCCTATTCTCTTTCTCTCTGAATCAACATTTATTCATCATTGGTAATGATTATCTATATATTATTCACTATTTTTGCTTCTCATATTAATCACGGCACACCACATCATCAAATTCCTATTCTTCCTCTCTTCATCGATTCATGGCACCACAACAGACTTGTTCCTCTCAATTTTCAGTCATCATTCTTCTTTCTCTCACTGCAGTCTTATACATTCAACAGAACACAACAACACCAAGAGAGCCTTCTCAACTACTTTCCAAAATCTTTTGCGTGTTTCTTCTCCTAAACCACCTAGTGAAGAATCCGCAGAAAGTTTGAGAGAAAAGGCTGAGAGGATTAAAAGAATGAAAGCCGAGGAGAGAAAGAACAATCCTCAACCACCTCCACAACAAGAGGAGGAAACAAACAAAACTGAAAATACATCTGAACAATCAACAGAGGAGAAAACATCAAGTGATAAATCCGACAAGTCAAAATCAAAGACTGACGAAAAAAAGAAGAAAACAGCTGATTATGAGGATATGGGAGACTCTCAAGCAAAAGAAAAGGTTCGCACCAAGCCAAATTGGCATTATTATGGTATGAAATATACATTACCAGTCGTTACTTTGATAGCTCTGTATAACCTCTTCAGTGCTTTTGCAGAGAAAGGGTTCAGCTTGAAAAATATGCAAGAAAGATTTGAGGAACTTATTTCTCCTTTGAAAAAACCACAAGTCTCCAGATTGCTGCCAGATATTCCTCAAGGTCAACCAATTAAGCCAGTACTTGTTGTACCAGTCGAAAATTTCCTCATTTATTCCTCGTATAATTCACGTACTGGTTGGAAAACTCAAAAACGTCCTGGAGTGGATCAATTTTTACAAGCTCTTTCCAAACATTTTGAGATTGTATTTTTCTCTGACAATTACATGTCACCATCTCTTGCTCAAATGTTAGAAAAAATTGATCAATATCAAGTGGCTCACAAGCTTTTCAAGGATGCCACTGTCACAGAAGGAACAAGAAATATCAAAGATATTTCACTTTTGAACAGACCTTTGGAAAAAATTATCATGATTGAACACCGTCCAGACGCCTACAGCAAACAACCAGAAAATACCCTTAAAATAACACCTTGGAAGGGTGATACTCAAGATAGAACTCTTGTTGATTTGATTCCATTCTTGGAAATGGTTGCAACAAAAGCTGGCAGAATTGATGTGAGGACCATTTTGCAAGAGTATGGCAACAAGGAGAAATTTGCTCCAGAAATTGCTCGTGATTTTATTAACATGTTGGAAAAGAGAAGAAAGGAACGATCTCCTCAAACTGCTACTCAACCCGCTAGTGAAGAAAAAGCTCCCTCACAAGGTGGAGGTTGGTTTGGATTGAGAAAGTAATAAATGAATATTTTATTTCAATAGGTTTGCGGTTCTTTGTGACAAAGGATTTCAGCTGTAATGCAAAGCGATAAATTAATCAAATTGTATTCCAATCATTTCAAATCCAGACAAATCTTATTGGAATAGCTATATCCAGAAACTCCATACATGAATTTGAAATGAAAATGTAGCTGGAGGATTGTTGCAAAGGCTCCAAGCTCATATTGGTGCTGATTTCAAAATGAATCATGATACAAATCGAGTACAGACGGCTTGGTTGTTTCATCATTCGTCGTCAATCATGAGGATGAATGCAGAATTGTATTGCACTTATAATCCTCATTGATTTCTGTAAGAGGTTTAAACTTCATTCTCATTAAGGAAGACAACTTGCTCATATTACACGTCGTTGTAGGCCAGCGAAAATTGATGGAGGGTTCTCCGAACAGAACGTTTGACTGCTTTTTGAATAAAACTTTTATTCAAATTCAATCTATGTTCCACGTTGCTGTTGGTGCAAGTGCAGTGATTGGTGGTTTGTTATTATTAAGAGAATTCTTTAAACCAAATAAATAACCTTCAATATCTTCTACAAAACATACATATTTGGACTGTCGATAATCATCATTTGGAATACTTGAATGTGCATGGGGATGATATCGATTCCTATGCTTCTTTGAAGTGCAGATGTATTCTTTACTGCCGTGTGATTGGCATGCGAAAAACTCTCATCTTATTCGAATCATTTTCTGGCCATTGATATCAATCACAGAGACATCACCATCGCCAATCATGTCTCGAATATGAAACATGGGATTGAATATTGTATTCTTGAGAGGTCTTTGAAGGAGAGAGTGAACCATAATTTCCTTGAATTGTTTTCTTTTCAATATGGAGAGAATTTCTTTTCTTCCATTGTCAATGTAGAACATGAATTGTGAAAGATTAGGAATGGCAAAGTAGAAGGAGTCTATATCTTTGATAGTTAATGCACCTATTGTCATGAGTAAGGTAATGACTTCATCGTGTTTTGAATTTTGCTTCTCTTCAGTTTCGTCTGGAAATAGAAAATCAACCAATTCGGATTTTTCAATAAATGGTTCCGTCACATTGGGGAGAACATTTGCACAAAAGTTAGAAATCACTTGTGCCAGTTGTTTTTTCATTGTTTCACTCATCTTCCTTCTCGATTCTTCTTGATTTTTATACATGAAATAAGGTATACCTGAAATAATTCGAGAATCATCCTCTTGTGAGTTTTCATATTGTTGTTCTAACTGTGTTAAATAATTTTCATGTTGTTTCTTGATGGTTGAGATATAATCCTCTGTAAATACATATCCGAAAATATCCTTATACATTTTTCGATCTATATAGAATCTTCTAATTTCATGACTTTCAATCATTTCATTTAGAGTTTTTTCTATTTGTGTTGGAGTTTGATTGGGAATTATGTCCTCATGAAACAGAAAATGTTTAAGAATAATGGGAGGAAAAAAGAATTTCATCTTGTGCTTGCAACTGAGAATGGCAGTGTCAATTTCTTGTCGAATTTTGAGTAATGCAATGTGAGTGTCTGAAAATTGAAATGACTCTCCCTCTTCTAAATAGCTGACAATACTATCTAAATTTGAAGAGACGTCTTGGTTTGTCTCAATTTGTTGCTGCTGCTGCTCATCGTGAATAGTGTGCCTATTCAATTCGGATGTCGTCGAAGACTGTTGTGTAACTTCTTTAATTCTTGAATGCTGTGAGGCGTCTTCACATGATGATGAAGCAACGGTAGAGGTCAAATCACTTTTCGGAGAGGTTCTTCTTCTTGAAGGTGATTTAAATGATCTCGTTGTTTTGGGTGACGATGATGACACAGTATTTTCACTCAAAGAATCCAATGACGGAGAGTTCAATCTCTCTGAATTCAAACCAGTATTATGTTCATCAACGTTGAAGTCTGTTTTTGCAATGTTATTCTTATTATTATTTGTATTGATTTTTCTCTTTTTCAATTGAGTAGTGGTCGTTGTAGTACTTTTTTTCAGAAGAAGGTCTATGACCCGAACAAGCCATAATTAATTGAAGTTCCGATAATTCTTCGAGTTCCGATCTCTTCAGGCCTAAAGCTTTGGCCGTTTTCTTCTTCTTGGAAGTGGGAGCAGAAGGACTTTCTTTTAATGGCATTTTTTTTGGAATAAAAAATAAATATTAAAATTAAATAGTAATGTTCACATCTTCCTCTTCGATACAACACAAGCAACAACCATAATTTCAATACATATACTGACATTTATTATTCCATCTTTTGAAATTATTATAAAGATGCTCAGCGAGTGGCATGAGTTTGATAGATTACAAAAAAAAATGAATGAAAATCTCAATTCAGGACTTTCTCAACCTTCGGTTCAATATGCTTCTCCGATGGACGCATTATTAAATTCAGCACTCTCTCTTCGGGGAGTTTGGATCTTGGATGAACAACGACAGAAGGTGTTATTTTCAAGAAGATTTACAACGGTAGAAAAGAGAGCCTTGGAATTGATCCGAGCACAACATCAGATCGGAATGGATGAGAGTAGTAGGTATTCTTATTCTATGGTTGCAAATGGATTTATCTATACAATGATAATATTATTGTTGAATAGAATCAATTGTTTTCTCGACACAACAACTGCAACCACACACAACTGGCAAGTCATTTCATTCTTTACCGTTATCAGCCTCTATTTCCGATTTTGATGATGGATTTTTAGTGGAATATTTCAGACTAGCGAGAAAACAATACGAAACACTTGCTGCTTCCACGGGCGGATTATCGATGCATGCACAATTATTTAAAAATTCCACACAACAACCAAAAATTCAATCGTCAATTTTGGAAACAACAGAAAGGGAAAATAATGAATCCTCGTGGAGAGTATTCATGAAATTATTGGAAGAGAATTATGCAATATTTTCAATGAACACAAAATTTGTTGAAAAGTATCATTTGGAAGAACAATTAATGTTATTGTCATCAATGGGAGCAGATTCTATTTCAGCAGAGGATGAAGATCTTTCAATTTTACTACCTATAGAAGTATCTACCAGTGCGAATACACAAGGAGGTCATAGCTCTCTCAGTGTCAAGTATCAATCCGCCGACAGGATAAAGTCACCCACCAAAAAAGGGTTAAAATCACCCAATGGCAAAAAACATAGTTCATCTGCTCGAGGTTTTTCTACAAAATCAAATAATAATTCTCCCAGTCTTAACAATTTATTGCCTGGTTCGGGAAGTCAAATTTCAGAGAGTGACAAGAAAGGAAGCATTCCGACTCCTCCTTATATTTTCCCATTCGTTTCTATTGTAGTGGGAGGTGTCACCTTTGTTGCACTCCCACTGATAGTTCCAAATTCCTCAGTACATGATTCATTTATTGAATTTTCAAAACTGGAAAATACTCTGGAATATCCATCCATATCTGGTGCGTTTAGCTTCTTGCAGGATCTTTCATCAAACTTTTTCTTGGCCAACCAGAAGCATCAAAAGTCTTCTGAAGTAACCAATTATATGAACATGTACATTAGTCAGTGTGCTCCATTTGGAAGGCCTTTGGATTCAGCACCATCCAATGTTCATCTCTTACTCACAAAACCATTTCCAATGGATGATCCAGAGTTGGCATTTTTGAGAAGACCCTCATGGAAAGCTCATTCTCTGAAATTCGATCAACAACGCATTCATTTCATTATTCGTGAAAATATTTTAAGTGCTCAATTTGATAAGAAGGACATTCCAGATGAAATTTCATGTTTTGGATCGGTTCTGTGTAGTGCAGAAATTGATGGATTTTCAGATGTGACTGTGAGCTTGAGCGAACTACGTAATACGAGACATTTTTCAGTGCATTATTGCTGCCGAGATCATCCAGATGAGATGTCTAACACGGGATGTGAATTTGCAAGCTTGTCATTTTCTCCTCCCTCTGGTGCATTTGTTTTGTGTAAATACAATATTGAAAATGTGAGCAAACCACCTGTGAGAGGATATTATCAAATGAGAGAATTGGCTGACAATAAGGTTGAATTTTTACTACAACTTGGTATTGATTCAGTTGATTGTCAATTTGAGTACTGTAATGTAATTATTCCATTTCCCAACAGAACAGAAGTGACTGATATTTCCTATCAAGCAGTGCAAGGACAATTAACAAAAGGAAAAGGAAAAAATAATTTAGTATGGACCATTGGTAACAAGTGGAAAACAAAAGAGTTGTCACTTTCTGGAACTCTGACTTTTAATCAATCAGATACCATATTGAAGGATGTTTCCGATCCATTTTTTGTGAATAAGAATTCTCTGGTTCGACTGCAGTACAAATTATTGAACATGTCACTGAGTGGGGTTGTGATTGATCCAAAGACTGTTTCTCTCAATTCATCTCTCAAGTTAGAGGCAGTTACCATCAAGAGAGAGATTGTGGCTGAAGATTGTGTGATTTACAACTCGAGAGGAGACGTTAGACATGTTCAGTAGCTTGAGATTTTGAAATTAAATAATAGTAATAATTTGACCAAGAATACAGTGATCGACTGTCCTTCATTGAACGTTTAGAGTTTTAATTTATTAATAATTTCGTTTCAGAATAAATAGCGATCTCCATGATGCAGTACAGAATCAACATATCCATCATTTGGTCAAATAAATCTTTTCAAGTTTGGCAAATGCATTCTTCCAATCTGAAGACATTTCTTTTTCTGCAATTTCATTCACTTTGGTGACCACTCGAAATTCCACATGATTTCCATCTCCTGTGATTATGTGTCTATCATTCTCCCACGTGAATAAACAAGTTCCTGCAAACTCTGCAAGAGGATTAATTTCAACAATTTTCACTTTTCCATCAATGGTTATTACAAGGTCAACAATAAAATTTGGAATATCAATCACAGAATTGTCAATCACTTGTTTATACAAGAATTTTGAAATCTGCTCACTAATCTCTTTCTTATTCTTTTCAATATGAGGAAAATATACATAAGGATTGTATTGTGTTATACCAGTAAGCTTTCTATTGAATATGAACGATCTAAACTCCATAGCAACATCGAAATCATTGAACTATTGTTGAACATCAATTACCATTCGTTCAGGTGTCAAAAGTCATGACAAGAGATTGGAAATACTCACCTCTCTTAAAATAATTTCATTGGTTTTTGTACTGTGATTGTATTGCCCATTTGCAATTTTCACCAATTCTTGTCGAGCTCTCTCCGATTCAATCAACAACTGAACTGCATCTTTTCCACATTTCAATCGAAGAATCGATGTACTAGCTCTATAAAGAGCATACAATTTTCTATTACTTTCCGTTACGAAATCAATATGCATTTCCTTTTCCATCTCACAAATTTCCTTATAGTGCTCATACACTCTCTGTACAAATCCAATACGACTGGTGGCTGCATCTTTTGGTGACATGGTTGCCAAACGACAGAAAAATCCATTTTCATAATTCGTGAGCTTCTTCACTGTTTGATCAATTTTCTCACAAATACGATGAAGAACTTTTCTTCGTTTCACGAGAATTGTCTGATTTTGATCATGATCAACACGTTCACTCTTCCATTCCTCATATTCCATATAAATATCCTTCTCCAACGATTTCATCATTTCCTGAACACTCAAATCTTGTTGAAACTTGCTCACAAAGTCCTCATGTTCGTCCAACAAGGCTTGAGCCTCTTCCGAGCTCAACTCAACACTCACCGACTGAAACGTAAAGGCTTCAACCGCCTTGTAATAACGATCAAAACTTGTTTCCGATAAGAGCCGATCATAATCTTGCTCCGTTTCGCAAATGTGTTTCATGAGAGCACGATGATGAGAGAGATCCATCGGATTGACTTGAATGTGTTTGAGAGAAATGTTGCCTTGACGAATACTTTCTAAGAAGGACATTTTTTTGAGTGTACAAAAAAGGTGTTGGTGATGAGGAGGACCCAGAGCTTTAAATTATTCTTTTTGTAAAAGCCTGTTTAAAGTTCCATGTTCTTGCATGAAATCAAGGAACCGTTCAAACTTCAAAGTGGTGAACTTGGACGAAAGTTTAGATTCAAAAAAATGCCTTTTTGGAACGTTATTTCATCGTCATCATCCAAGAAGAAGAAGAGAAAGGAGGAAGAAGAGCCAACCGAAGAAAAACTTCCAACAGGATGTCTTCACCATAAGAATCATGAAAAAACAGCCACTGGTGCAATCACTTCCGATGAGAGAATGAATTCCGAAACAAATAATCATCATCATATTAATAATGAAAAGATAAAGATCATTGAGATTGAGCATTTACCATTGATGGAGAACGATCCAAAACATTTATTAAAAATTGTACACATGAGTGATAGCCACCGATTTCATGAAAATTTGAAGAATTTTCCTGAAGGAGATGTATTTATACATTCTGGAGACATTTCCCATAAGAGTGAATGGAAAGATTGCGAGAATGATCAGATCCAGACGAAAGAATTAGAATCTAATTTTAAATGTGCTCCTAGCGTAATTTCATTCAATAAGTGGCTTGATAAATTACCTTACAAGGTGAAAATTGTAATTTTAGGAAATCATGATATTGGATTTAATGGAATTTCTCCAAATTTTATACAGCAAAAAATATTACCAAATGCCATTTATCTTCAAGATCAAGCAGTAATTATCAAATACAAGGGAAAACATTTACTCAAAATTTATGGAACGCCATGGACTACAAGCCGAAATATGGGATTCAGTATGAGTCATTCATTGATCGATCAAAAGTGGAAAGAAATTCCAGAAGATGTTGATATTTTAGTGACACATTTACCTCCGTTTGGAGTCATGGATTTGGCTGGTGGCTCTGAACCGCAACAATATTGTGACTATTGTAAAAAGAATCACAAGTATAGGAGACATTGGGGAAATGTGGCTTTACGAAAACGGGCAATACAGCTCAATGAAAAGGGAAAATTGAAAGCACACTTGTTTGGACATGTTCATGAATTCCATGGATTGGAAATTGAAAGACATTCGAAAGGCAAAGTTCCATTAATTTATTCCAACGGAGCTTCTGTTACTAATCATAATGACACGGACGTTAAAAGTCCTAATGTCATTGAGATTGACATGGATGAAATACCTGACAAGAAATGAATGTAGTTATTCGAAGAATTTCTTAATGTAGAGAGCTTTGGGTCCCAAAGGGAAAAAGAGAAAAATCATTCAATTTCACAAGGAGTTATTTCATTTGGTAGTTTAACAAAGCCATCACTATCTGTAACTTTTAAATAAATACCAATTAAGGATGTTGATGAAATTGAATAATTAGATAATTTATTCTTCTTACTCATCGTCTTCAGAACAGGAATCATCCAAATCTTCCACCAAATCATCCACCACTCCTTCCTCTTCTTCCTTGTCATTTTGAGTGAAATATTCTCCATATAAATCATCAGCAGAAACCACCTTTCCAGAAGCATCTCCTTTTTCTTTCAAAGATGCTTCCTGCTCTAACTTTTTTAAATACTCTTGTTGCACCTTGACAACTTCGAGGCTATTATTGCAATTCGAATATGCTTCCAATAGATCATAATTCAATTCAATGAATGAGTGACCCCATTTAAATTTTCCAAGTAATTGTTTCGCTTCCTCTTTCAGTCCACAAATATACATGGTCGCTGCTAATGCTTCAGCACAGCTCAATTTCAATGGTCTTCCATAATTGACGGGATTTGCAGCCACAAGATACGGTAATAATCGATTGTTCGGTGATTTGAGTTTGTGGAACGGCACTTGATCGAGTTGGTTCCATGAGCAGTCCACTACACATGCTCCATGCTCAAGAACAACGTCCCTATCGGCCTTTGAGACTGATTGTTTTCCTTGTGGTGTCAGCACGACTCCTCTGAAATGGCAAGAAACTGGCAAACTTCTCAATAATCTCATTCTTTCTAATTTTTTGCCGGTACATCTTTTCGAGTCACATTGCTGGAAATCCCACATGGCAAGGTCAATGGGAAAATTAGTAAGTTTTTTCTTGGGCTGATCCGACGATGCTGCTGAATGTTGAGACGATGATGCCTTTTCCTCTTGTTGCTGTTTTCTCAATTTTTTCTCTGCTAATCTTTCCAAACGAATTTGTTTTTTTGTTTTTTTTTCTCTTTTCGGTTTTTCTTCTTGGTTCTCTTCTTGTTCATTTTCTTCATCATGTTCTTCCTGAAGAGTTTCCTCATTTCCACTTTCCGAATTATTTTTGGCATTCTTGGATTTATTTTCTTCGTCATCATTATCTTCCTTTTCTTCACTCACAGTTTCCTCCTCCTCCTCCTCTCCATCATCATCATCATGCTCCTCCTTATATAATTTCTTTTTACTATAATTAATTGCCGATAAAGAACTAGTATCTTCATCCAAGCCTAGGGATCCCGATTCAGCGTCCAACATGGTAGCGGCTTTATAATATCCACCATATCCTCCAGCTTTATATCCTCGATGATAACCTCCTCTTTTATTGAATCCGCCACCTTTTGCAGCAGATGATGACTTGCTTCCTCGTCCCGAACTGTTGTTGTAATAACCGTCATCATCAAAGCCTTTTGACTTTTTTCCCATTTTTTTTTTAATAATCACTGTCCACCCGTTTATTGTGATTTGGAAATTCAAAAATTGACGGAAGAAACGAATGTCCGCCAATGAATGGATTTGATGGACCAAATCAAACAAAACGTTCAGCATTTGTCAAAAACTCAACTTATTCGTTTAAGCAAAGTAATAGATGAGGACAGGTTGCGGTTGTTTAATGGTTCATGGGGTTCTCTTTAAACTCGATTCGATCATGAGGTGTTACACTTGCATGACCAATTTGTTTGAATGGTTTCCAATCATTGATGGCCTTACTTGAACTCTCATGTTGAAACATCTCCACTCGATGCATGAGATCTGCCTCTCCAATGATTAAATAACCACTCCTTGTGAGCCCAAATATTTCGATTATGATCTTTCAAAGAGTGTGACTTGAAAAACATTTAGTGGACCATCCATGTTAAATTTCAGATCTGCCCAAAAGCAGTCTATTCCACATGGATCAAATCACTTGTAAACGAATAACATTGGCTCCTCTTTAAAGTAAGGAAAAAACTTCATTGGAATATAATCATGTTGAGTGGTGAATCAAAATCTTCGTCATTTTCACAAAGTGTCGACACATGCACCTATATAATAATAATTCAAACATTTTCATCCGATCAGACACTTTCATTCAGAGCAGGATAAACAGATCTTGGATAACCACCTTCAGAAAATACATTCACCACATAGGAATTTCCATTCACCACCACATTCGATAATAATTTCTGATGACCTTTCAAATGCTCCAAATGTGCCACCGTACACAAGGCCATGAAACATTCAGGTGAAATACCAACCCAAAAACTACCACAGGATTTAAAGAGAGGTTGTTCATTCTCGTTGCCATGATGTGTGTTGTCTTTCTCCTCTTCTTGTTTGAAACGAATACAGACATAATCGGGAGTCGTCTCCTTGTCCAATCGTCCAACGAAATTGATCATGTCTTGGCCAGTAAAGTTGTCATTGGAATCATCCACGAGATACTGTGTAAACAAATCAACAACAGCAATGCAAAATTGTGAGTCATCCACATAGGTGTAATATAGATATATTTTCATAGATCATTGTAATATATATATGGATATATACAACAACAAAGTGTGAAATTTATCATGTTGTAAAATTCTGACCACTTACCTTAAACCAAAAATGGTATCCACTCACATTCGAACCATTCTTCTCACCAACCACACAATGTTCAAAACCACTCAAATCTCTATTCTTTCCCAAATCATACTGAGTGAACCAAATCTCATAAAGCTTTTTTTTCACTTCTTTCTTTGTCATTTTCAAATAGTCCTGAGCCAATACTTTCATACATTTAGTTTCCAAAATGGAATCTAAAAAGTTTGAAATTTCACTCTCTTCTAGTGGAGTGTTTTCTTCTCGATCGAGTTGATCCAAATTATAGTTATCGAACAACTTGTAAATCAATGCATAGGTCTTGTAAGATGTTGTTGACGACGCTTCTGTGATGAATTCACGAACACTCGAGAGTACATATTGCTTTTTAGTGGAATCGAATTTATAGAGTCGGAATAAATTGAAATTTGGATTTTGTTTTTTCCTTTGAGTACTGCAAACGAGTGTAATGAATGGAGAGACAAATTGAGTGGGTTTTGATGAGAAGGGAGTGAGTCGATTTTCATCTGCTTGCCAGATCTTGTCGAAAATGTTGTTGTTGGTCGAAGAAGAAGGTGGCAAGGATGACATTTTTTGTGAGTGATGGGTTCATGTGAACCTTTGCTCTTCATCAACCATTTTTGAAAAAATGAAAATGACTGAAATTTAGAGGAGATTAATTCTCGTTTGTGGAAATGGGGAACACATTTCGAGAAAAAGGCTCGGAATGTAATCACATACATTGATAATGGGTACCCAATGTAGAAATACAATATACGTAAATGGTACTAGAATAGAAAGATGTTCTTCAGAATTGTCATGGCAACGACCAGAAGAATGTTTGGAATTTTCATATATATGAACATCACAAGTGGATGATATTCATCTAATTTCATCAGGAAATATTATAATTTTTAGATTTTATTTCTCGATTATTATTGAGGTCCACGGAACGCAGCTCTCTGTTTTTGAGTGAAGGCGATCAACCAACGACTCTACTCGATAGTTTGAAACAAACCCCAAAAAAGAAATTACCATCTTTAGATTCTCTCAAAAAAACCACAACAACATGACAACAGCCCAACGACTACAATCCAAACACTCATTTCCCTCCCCTCCTTATTCATCCTTCTCAATGCAACTACTCCTTGTTCTTCTTCTTCTTCTTCCTCTCATCCAATCTCCTTTCCACTCCACCACCACAACCACCACATCAAGAACGGCACAATTTCAAAATTTCGTTCTTGGAGATCCTTCCGTTGTAACTCTCCCTTATTGTTCCGTTCTCTCCGTTTCTCCCAATAATGTAGTCATTCCAAGTGGTTCCATGTTGACTCTCACCGTTTCTCATCCCAATGATTTGTACATGCCCACACTCTCCAAAACGAGTATGCTTTCACAATTGGATGCCTCAACCTTTGCATCGACTGCTAAAAATTGTTTTTCTCTTGTAAATGTTGTGAATGTGAATGATTTTCTGACTGCGTCAGATGTGAAGGTCGCCAATAGTAAAACCATGACTGTTGTCTTCAATTCAGTTGGTACGAACAAACAATATAGGTAAGTTCAATGATTTAGAGGAATGACGAGAATTCTGATGTTCATTATTATCATCGTATGAAATTTGTGAAATGTCTTGAAATAGTCTTCGAATTAACAATTGCTTTGCATACACAAGGAGAGTGATGGCCACCTTCATTGAATTCATCCCACTTCCAGTCATTGTTATTCATGGCTTTTCCACAGGAACGAAAACTGCTCTCACATTTACACCTAGTGTTTCAAGTAGTACACTTTTTGCATCCACATGCATGGCCAATATTCCAAACAAAGTATTAAGCTATCAACCAATTAGTGGAACTGCTACTGGTCCATCTAATATTGTGAACAATCCTGTTGTAGATATGAGTTTAGGATCGAGTGGAAAGTTATTACTGGGAGGAAAATGGAATGCAAACGACCTCGATATCATTCTCAATCAAGTTACCTATCATGGTTACAATTACAAATTCCTTCAAGATATTCGTATTGAAATGAGAAAACCCAATGCCACATTCGTAAGAATCCCTCTAAAATTTAAGAGACATATTAGTCTAGCTTCTGAATGGGTGACATTGGACGCTTTCGAAGTCTTACCAAGAAGAGCAGCAGATCCATCCGAGTTGGAGTTTTGGTTTAATAATTATTTTGTGGATAAAACTGTTTCAGATATTCAAGTGACCATAGATCCAAATGTTGCAACTGTGTCCATTGTTGACGCAACAGGAGCGGCAGCTGTTACGGATGTGAATATTTTATTGACCTATAATTATTATCAAGCAACATTTTATGATGTGGACAGTAACCCAACCTTTCAATTTACAATTAGTGATGGAGTGTTAACTAGTTTTCTAATGACACAATACGCAACAATATTCCAATGTGCTCTGAAAAAACGTAGAAACATGTATCAATATTATGCACAAACTGTGTATCATTTCATTGGATACTCCTCTCATCATAGAATGTTAACTTTCGACACAGCAAATAAGTGGTATAGTATTGGAGCCTCAGTGAATACGAGCTCTCCAATGTTTTCACAAAACACAGTGTCTTTTTCAGACTTTGTCAATACAAACACACAAAACCAAAATGGAATCAAGGTAACCTTAATGGAAAGTGCTGCCACTGATTATGACATCAATTTTTACTCACAAAATTATTTGGTGTCCATTCCTCATCATAAGGAGCCATTGGCCACTTCTCCATTAGATTTCACAATTTTAGACTCAACGGATATGAATTCTGGAATTCTTATCACACAAGAAGATTTTCAATTACAATTTCAACAAGATCCAACTGCAAACTGTAACCAAGATTTAGATTCGAATATTGGAAATCAATTGAAGTACTTCTTTGAATCGTATGATCACACCATCATCAAACTTCCAGAATATAGTCAAAGACTTAATTTTTCAAGCAGCAGTGTTGCATTAGGGGCTGATAAAAATTCTCTAGAAATGACCTATTCCAATGTGGGATATTTTCAAGATTTTACTATTGAAATGGACATGTCAATTATCCAATTTTTAGAACCAAGAATCACAAGCAATGATTATTCATTTACAGTGATTCCGGATACCACTCCATTCATGGAAACAAATGCCACCCTTCTCATCAATATCACTAACAGTGGTGGTGTCGAAGGCACATTTGTTTTGAATGTCACATGTGCAGCTCCAATCGCCATTGTAAATACTCAGGGAGGATATCGAGTGCTCACCATTGCACCAACAGCCACATCTTCCGTTTTTATCAATGTCACTAGTGAAATTATCAATTCCCTACAGCTCGTACCATGCTCTGTTACCATTCAAATTATTCGAGAAGAATTATGGAGCTACTCAGACAAATCTCTCACTATGCAACACAATATTACCATTGATCATGGATATTTTGTACCTCGATGTCAAGCACGATATTATGAACCCTATGTGTTTGTGGAGAGAGTTGAATTAGTGAAACCAGAGTTTACACGTAATTCCTCACTCTCTTTTAGTAACATTGTCATGGTGCAGCTAAAGAGTAATGGAACCGATCCAATTTCAGCAACCATTAAGGCTACTTTAGATTCTATCTCGGGAAATCCATTCCAAACCTATGATCAATATCGGATGGCTCTTTCTCCCAGCAATGACCCTACAATTCTCAATTTTACCATTCAGAGCAACGCTGCAGTACAAATTTTAACAGAGCGATTAGATCAGAAAATCTATAACTTTGTGTTGAACATTTCTCTGTTAGAGGACTATGTCTGTTGGTCCAATGTGGGAAAAGGAGGATTATTCAATTTTTCATTTCATGTCGAGTATCAATGTCCTTTGGGCTATACAGATACTTTGTGTGATATGCCAATTTGTTTTGGACACAACTCTTCCGATAATGCAACATGTAGTTCACATGGACGATGCGTTTTACCTGACACATGTGAATGTGACAACAATTACATTTCTGAAAATTGTTCCATTCCTGTTTGCTTTGGAATTGCATCCAATAATTCCAATTCTTGTCATGGGCAAGGCATTTGTGTGAGTGCCAATAATTGTTCATGTTTTGAAGGATTTACAGGAAATGAATGTGAAATTCCAAAATGTTTTGGAATTCCCGCTGATTCGCCTCTTGTGTGTTCTGGACATGGCTCATGCCTTTTCAAAGACAATTGTTCCTGTCATGATGGATATGTTACCGAAAATTGTTCACTCCCTGTTTGTTTTGGATACAACTCTTCATCTCCTCAAGTGTGTAGCTCCCATGGAGTGTGTCTCTCTCCCAACAATTGTTCATGCCATGAGAATTATGTATCATTGAATTGTTCCATTCCTGTATGTTATGGAATTAGAGCAGATCATGAATCATTGGTATGTTCAGCGAGAGGACAATGTCTCGATGCTAATTATTGTCAATGTAGAGAGGGTTATTTGGGACAAAATTGCAGTCTCTCTCTGTGTTTTAACATTCCTTCAAATGATAGCAGTTTGGTGTGTACTTCACACGGAGTTTGTCAAGATTACAATCTCTGTCAATGCTTTGAGGGTTATGTTTCACCAAATTGTTCAGAATCTGTGTGCTTTGGTATCAATGCAACATCTCCACATGTGTGCTCCTCTCATGGCATGTGTATGTCTCCAGATGTTTGTGATTGTGATATGAATTATATTTCTGAAAATTGTTCCATTCCAGTTTGCTTTGGAGTGGCCGCCAACGAAAGTCACACTTGTTCAGGACATGGCCAATGCATGAGTGCCAATAATTGTTCATGCGATATTGGATACACTGGAGAAAATTGTGAAATTGCAATTTGTTTTGGAATATTGTCGAATGACACATTTAGGGTGTGTTCCAATCACGGAGAATGTGTTGCATTCAATAATTGCAGTTGTCATTCAGGATATATTTCACATGACTGTTCAGAACCTGTTTGTTTTGGTCACAATGCAACATCTCTTTTGGTGTGCTCCTCTCACGGTGAATGTGTGGCTCCAAACAATTGTTCATGCCATGAAGGTTATGTTTCCTCAAATTGTTCAATTCCATTGTGTTTTGGAATTCGATCAGATAATTTTTCACATGTTTGTTCAGGTCATGGCATTTGTCAAGATTATAACAACTGCCAATGTAAGGATGGTTATGTTTCACAAAATTGTTCAGAACCAGTTTGTTTTGATATTAATGCTACTTCAAGACTTGTTTGTAGCTCTCACGGAAAATGTTTGGCTCCCAATGAATGCAAATGTGATGAAAAATACATTTCTGAAAATTGTTCCATTCCAGTTTGCTTTGGAGTGGCTGCAAACGAAAGTCATACCTGCTCGAAACACGGCCAATGCATGAGTGCCAACAACTGTTCTTGTGACGAAGGATATGCAGGCGACAACTGCCAAATTCCAATTTGCTACGGTGTGTGGGCAAATAATACAGTCCATGCATGTTCTGGACATGGTGACTGTGTGAGTTTCAATAATTGCAGCTGTCATTCAGGATATATTTCACATGACTGTTCAGAACCTGTTTGTTTTGGTCACAATGCAACATCTCTTTTGGTGTGCTCCTCTCACGGTGAATGTGTGGCTCCAAACAATTGTTCATGCCATGAAGGTTATGTTTCCTCAAATTGTTCAATTCCATTGTGTTTTGGAATTCGATCAGATAATTTTTCACATGTTTGTTCAGGTCATGGCATTTGTCAAGATTATAACAACTGCCAATGTAAGGATGGTTATGTTTCACAAAATTGTTCAGAACCAGTTTGTTTTGGTTTTAATTCCACATCTATGCACGTATGTAGCTCACATGGTGAGTGTGTAGCACACGACGAATGTTTGTGCGCTTCAAACTATACTTCTCCAAATTGCTCCATTCCACTATGTTTTGGAAAAAGAGCAGACGATCCGTCTGTTTGTTCCTCGCACGGTCATTGTGTGGAACCAAATGTTTGCTCATGCAAAACAGGAACTTACGGATCTGCATGTGAAATTTCAGATTGTTTTGGAATTTTAAGCAATCAATCAAATGCTTGCAATGGAAATGGAATTTGCACTGATTTCAATCTTTGTGAATGTTTCTCGAATTTTACTGGACCCACTTGTTCCATCTCTGCATGTTTTGGTTTCGCCTCAAATGATTCTCGTGCATGCAGTGGTGGACGGGGAGAATGCCTTGGGCCCAATCAGTGTCAATGCCACGAAAATTATTTTGGAACTAATTGTGAAATTTCAAAGTGTTTTGGAATTTTTTCCAATCAGACAGAGTTGGTCTGTTCTGGAAATGGACAATGTGTGAATTCTGATCAATGCAATTGTACTGCTAATTATGTGGATGCTAAATGTTCAACACCTGTTTGTTTTGATTTGAACACATCTCACCCAAATGTGTGTTCTTCACATGGAGAATGTGTGGCGCCAAATAACTGCTCCTGTTCACCAGAGTATACTTCTGAAAATTGTTCCATTCCAAAATGTTATGGAATTCGAGCTGACAATTTTTCACATGTTTGCTCTGGACATGGCATCTGTGTGGATGTGAATACTTGTCAATGTGACAAAGGATACACGTCTCATGATTGTTCTGAACCGATTTGTTTTGGATATAATGCTTCTCATCCTCAAGTTTGTAATTCTCATGGTCGTTGTGTTTCTAGAGATATGTGTGAATGTCATGAAAATTACACATCAGAAAATTGTTCCATTCCAATTTGTTTTGGAATTCCAGCCAACCATTCCAATCATGCATGTCATGGAAATGGAGTTTGTGAAAATGCCAACAATTGCTCTTGTTTTGAAGGATTCACCAGTTCGAACTGTTCCATACCAATTTGTTTTGGTATTCGCGCCGATCACCACTCAGAGGTTTGTTCTTCCCATGGCGAATGTATAGCTCCGAATAACTGTTCCTGCATGAATGGATACACTTCTCACAATTGTTCCATACCAATTTGTTTTGGAAACAAGGCAAATGAAGAAAATGCATGTTCGAGACATGGATTTTGTGTTGGACCCAATCAATGTGAATGTCTTGAAGGATATATTGGCTCAGAATGTGAAATTGCTCTTTGTTATGGCATTCCATCCAATGATACGTCTCATACTTGTTCTGGGCATGGAGTTTGTGAATCGTTCAACAATTGCACTTGTGATCCAGCTTTTGATGGAATGAATTGTGAAATTCAAGTGCAAAATAATCAATCAGCAAGCCATAACCAAACAGGTGCAACCAATGCAACATGTCCACAAGTAAATGGTTTGGTTTGTTCTGGAAATGGAGAATGTCTACACAATGGAACTTGTGCATGTAATGAAGGATATGTTTCACACAATTGTTCAGAACCTGTGTGCTTTGGATTTAATGCCACAGATGTTATTAGAGTATGCAATTCACATGGTCGATGTATTTCTCGAGATGTTTGTCAATGTGACAAAGGATACACGTCTCATGATTGTTCTGAACCGATTTGTTTTGGATATAATGCTTCTCATCCTCAAGTTTGTAATTCTCATGGTCGTTGTGTTTCTAGAGATATGTGTGAATGTCATGAAAATTACACATCAGAAAATTGTTCCATTCCAATTTGTTTTGGAATTCCAGCCAACCATTCCAATCATGCATGTCATGGAAATGGAGTTTGTGAAAATGCCAATCATTGTTCTTGTTTTGAAGGATATTATGGACCTCAATGTGATTTAGTGAAATGTTTTGACATTCTTTCTGACCATGCATCAGAAATATGTAGTGGAAGAGGAAATTGTTCTCAAACCAATGTGTGTCAGTGTGACACGAATTATTTTGGATCGGATTGCAATCTCACAACATGCAATGGTATTGTCAGTAATCACACTTCATCGGTTTGTAATGGTCGAGGAACTTGTTCCAGTTTCAATACATGCACATGCGTTGGTGGATATTATGGAAAGTGGTGTGAAATGTCATTGTGCAATGTATCCTCATGCATTCATGGACATTGTGAAGGCTCGTCTTTTTGTCAATGTGATCCTCATTGGACAGGTGACTCGTGTATGACACCTACTTGTTTTGGAAAAAGTGCAAATGATCGCTCCGTTTGCAATGGAAATGGAAATTGTACAGACATTGACGTGTGTAATTGTACATGGAATTACAAAGGAATACAGTGTGATATTTTACAAATTGGAGTGGACGAATGTAATTTATATCCTGTCATGACATTGAAAGAATCCGATTGGTTTCCAAAATTATTGAATTTTGATTTAACGAAATCCATATCTAACAATAGCACGGCCACTGCTACTCAGAATGTGTGGTTACATTCGAATGTGGAATTTAGAGAGAATATTCCATACAGTAGTCTTCTCCATTTGAATAACAAGTTTAATTATCAACTGTTGATTGAGAATAAGGGAAAACGTTCCTTCCAATTTAGAGTTCATTCATATTGTAAAGAAAGTGGATCGTTTAAGCAACTTGGTGTACCATCTATTCATGAACAAGAATTGTTACAAGGTGCAACTCAAACTATTGAGGATGTGGACTCATTTGGATTTGGATTTTATTTCACAAATTCACAATTTAACAAATTGGAAAATATCACATGTTACATTCATGCAGAGTTTCTTCCTTCTGGAATGTTTGAATCGTGCCAGAATGCGGATCAATCGCATCACTCTTTCAAACAATTGCACAATATTTCGATAATTTTTGAAAACGTGAATTCTTGTCAATTTATAGACGAAGAAGACGTAGCCCTGAGTTCACAAATGGATTCATCGAGATTGATCAACACGTTTGAACATTATGAGCCCATTTTTAAAGAACTCTTATTGCAGCAGTCAACATTCACTGAAAATACCACAGTGAGTACATCTCTTCAAAACAGTGAATCACCAAGTATTATTGAAATTATGAATATATTTACACAAAAGAGAAACAATTGGATCATCACACCTTTTGATCTCAATAACAGCACCATGATGGCTGCTCATTTGCTATTAACAGCACAAGTTTCGAATTTGGAAAATCAATTTGGAACCTTTCTTCCAACATTGTACTGTAAAGATGAAAGAATTACGAGTGGTCTTGAATTCACAGAACAATTTAAGAAAACTCAACCTCCCATCGTTCTGTATAATGATATGAAAAGTACATTTTTCCAGTTTAATGTCACCATTCTAAATTTTACTGGAAATATTGATTTTGGAAGAGTGAAAGGAGGAAAGGAAGGAATAGCTACTGTCTCCATTGATGACATGGATTTGAATTGCACATTATTTCTCATTCCTAATCCAGAAACGTGTTGGTTGTCCACTTTATCAACATCAATTCAAGAGGCTAAATCAACCAATTCTACGAAGAGAAAATTTTTCTCCTTCGATGACAAGAAGTTATTTAAGAATCTCATGTCGAAATTGAAATTACCACTTGTCTCTGGAGAATTTACCTTTCTTCAAGAAGTTAGACCTTTCGAAATTGGTGTTGTTGCTCTCACTTACACGTGCATGAGTTTGGGATTTGCCTCAATTTTATGTGGCACAAAAATTCCAAGAGATCGAAAACATTCACTTCTCCAATTGGTCGATTTTGTCAATGAAAAAACCAGAAAGAAATTATTGGCCAAATTCAACAAGGATTCACAAGGACAGGGTGAAAGCGAACCCATTGTGACAGAGTTTTTATGTGAAAATTGTGGTCACCGTACCTTGAAAAAAGCCAAATATACCATTCAAGTGGAGAGTTATCAAAAAGAAGTCTCCTTCAATGTATGTGAGAGTCAGAACTGCTTTGATGCACTCTCTTCCATTCACAATATTAATTATTCGAGTTGTTACAAATGTTTTGATTGCGAAATGGGATTGGAATTGAATGAGGCACCTTTTTATGGAATTAATCTCGATCATCTCACGAGTTCTGACATGATACCTCCTATCATGTCTCAATCCATTTTATTTTCCAATAATAACTACCCAATGTCCACCACTGAACATGTTGGTGACGACCATCATATCACTCTCCAAGAATGGAACAACAATGATGAACAAGTAATTGATCTCTTGTATGGCGGTGAAGAGGGAGAAGAGGAAGATGATCATCCCATTCTCTACACTGCTTAATGGAAATACCGAAATGTTGTTCAAACGTGACGACTTTAAACTGATCCTTAGATTTTGCATGTGGCACCACTTATTGAGATTTCTAATGGCTGCGAATCTCCAGCAGCAATTTCTGTAAAGATTTACAAACATCAATAAATGAAGCACACGGTCATTATACATGTGCATCATGGTCGCCGTATGTTGTTAATCATTTCATTTAATGGAAAGTCAAGAACCAGAAGAGTATGCTCTTTATCATTTATGTTCAGTTAATTGTGAGTGTTTACTATTTACAGGAGAAGGATCTAGACTAGAAGATAATCTTGACAATCTTTGAATAATCCGGATCAGGTCGTGAAGATTTCCATCGAACAATGAACGCGATGTGCTGGAACACCCATAGCTATCTTATGAAATGTATCTGTCGAGAGGTTGGGGCCGAGATGATGACTGTTTCCAAAGCCTTGAAACATGTGGCTTTCATCATGATTGTGACCCTTGTTCCACACACTACAGTTGATGGTGAGCATTGAAATCAATCCTTTGGGCCATCTCCATTAATTGATTCTCTCTATTTGAAGAACATGAGCCTTCTTCAATCATCATGAGAAAGGCTTGCTCTTGCACACTCCACTGATGCTTCATTGGAATATGAGGCGTGAAAAAGGAATGATGATCCAATTCGAAGTCTTTGTCCTTCTCTTCCAAAGAACATGATGATGCAGTCATTGGTTTCCAGTCTCTGTGGCATTCCTCCAACATGTTTGCCTCCGAGTACTCGGAATATGAGAAGAAGGCTTCATCATCATTGAGATCTTCTTCCAGATCGTTCGGAGTGGTATTAGGTTGATGAGCAAGAGGAATGAACAGCCTCTGAGATGTGTGTTTGGTGCTGTTCCGACCGCAAGAAGAAGCCTTTGAATGATTGAACGTAGGCATGGATCGGGAATTCATCATCATGAAGGAAGTTATTGATCCTTCTTCATCCATTTCCATGGATAAGGTTGGTTCTCTAGGCTTTCTCTTAATTTCAAGATTCATGGTATTGTTAATTCCGAACATGTGGTTCTCAATTCTATTGTAATGATAGTGTTTGGGTGAAGAGTGATGTTGTTGTTGTTGATTTTTATTTGAGTCTTTCTTTGAGAAGAGCCTTTTGGTTTGGCTCAACAAGACACAAAACTCTTGAAAACAATTCGAATATAAAATTCGCTCACACAACATTCATAACTCTCCATTTGGAAATAATAAGGTGAAACTGTGTCGAATTGTCAAATGTCATTGTTCACAAGCCTAATTTCACCTAAGGAACCTCCACCTTGCTGAATTCGATTAAAATGGTTGGTCGACAAAAAAGACATACCGTTCTCAAAATGGAATGGTTCCACCCCAAATCCATTCCAATTGTCAGAAAATTCGGAGTGAAAGACCGAACCATAAGAGTTCTCTGAATCATCATTCATATAATCTCAATACCAGATGAACCAGAACATTGTATCTTTTACAAAAAAGTCAATAGTGAACATGCCCCACATTGGTATACCGTGAAAAACAAGCCTTTCATTTAAAACAAAGCCTTTCTCGATTTTCAAAATCCACATGGCCATTTTCATAATGATTTATTCTTGTTGAGAATTTGACGAATTATCAACCCAAATACGAGCTTGGAATGGTGATGGCTAGATAATATGGAATGACAAGTGTCAAATCTTGTATCTGTGAATGACCATGCAAGAGCCTCCTCTTTTTAAATGCCATAGACGCGACACGCATTTCAAGCAATTTGTGATGGTTACGTCTTCAAACACACTTCTTCTTTCTCTCCACTTAACAATTATATCAGAGCCTCCGATAAAGTCCCTTTTTTCAATTTGAGAATAAGACAAGCAGTTCACACAAGCCATCTAATCTAAATTTAGCTCTCTTTTTCCAACAAAAAAATGTCCAAAGTTAAGGAAGTGAAGAGTGATGATGAATTTAGAGGCTATTTGAGAAACAGTACAGGAAAGTTGGTGGTTGTGGATTTCTTTGCTGAATGGTGTGGGTAAGTTAACTTTGAATGATCGGATCGGATCTTCTAAATGGGTGATATTGATTTTTATTTCGGATGTTTGATCAAACTCAATCTTTTAATTGTTATGGTGATTGTGATCCAATTAATCTATCATTATAATGATTATTATTTCACGAACGATTGTTTGATCAATCACGATGATTGATTCAACAACAAATGTAATTTGAATTTCAAAACTTCTCTCATTTGAAGTCCTTGCCAAATGGCCAAGCCAATTTTTGAAGATTTTGCATCCCGATATTCAAATGTCGTGTTTCTAAAAGTGGATGTCGATAAACACAATGGTATTGCGCAAAAAGAGGGCGTACAAGGCATGCCAACTTTCATCTTTTACAAAAACAATACAAAATTAACTTCTGTGGTCGGAATGGACATGCAAAAAGTTGAACGTCTGATCAATGAGTATGGCGATACATTTCAAGCTTTCCAAGGAGGTGGTAGAACTCTCGGAGCATCATCAAGCAGTAGTAGTAGCAGCGGTGGTGGTAGTGGTGGTGGCTTAGCTGGACAAGTCTATAAGAACCCTTGGGCTGATGAGAATCGTCCGGTTCGCCAACCAAAACCTCAAACAGACGATATGGATGAAGATTTGGATGATCTCGATGAGGAGACTCGTAAAGCCATTGAATTATCCCTTCTTCAACAAAAGATCAAGAAGGCAGGGACCAAACCTTCTTCCTCGTCGTCGTCTTTGTCACCCAGTGGTGGTAGCACCAAAACTTCTTCACAAGAAGGCACTTCCAAGGAAGGAACTTCTGCCACACAAGAAACAAACATTGGTGGTCTCACTAATGAACAAGTCATGGCAGAAATTGAAAAATCAGTCGATGCCAACATTTTGAAAGAACTGATGGAAATGGAATTTTCAAAATTGAGAGCTATCAAAGCTTTGTTAAATTCTCCTCAACCTCCTTCCAAAGAAGGATGTATTGAATGGCTTTTGGAGCATCAAGAAGATGCCGACATTGATGAACCAATTCAATTCACAGTTGAAACTGAGGAAGAGAAAAAGAAACGTGCTGAACAAATGAAGGAGCTGCTCAAACAAAAGCGACTCGAAAACAAGAGAAAGATGGAAGAAGAGGAACGTAAAGCTCAAAAGGAAAGAGAGTTAAAGCGCAGAGAGCAAGGAAAACAAACTCTGGAAATGATGGAACGAATGAAAGAAGAACAAGCTAAACGAGATTTAGAATTGAAGAAGAAGGAAAAGCAAGAAGAAAAGAAAGAAAAACTTCGAATGAAACAATTATTGGAAGAAGATAAACTTCGAAGAAAGATTGAACGTTTGAGACAGGAAGGAAAGACAGCTGAGCTCGCTCAGGTCGAAAAAGATCTTTTTGATTTACAGAAAATGGGCTTGAAGGCCTATCTTGCTCGTGACACAGCAGGAGGCAGCAGTGACACTCCAACCACCAGTGTTAGCAGTAGCACACCCACAGAGTCATCATCCGCCGCCACTAGTGCTCCATCTCAACTTCAAGAAAGTGCCATTCGAGTTCGTTTACTTGATGGCACAACAATTACTGCCAAATTCAAGCCAACGGATATAATCAAAACAGTGCATGCTCACATTGCGTCTCTCATTAAGGACAATCAATTCTCATTTAACTGTCCTGGTGTGCCTCCAAAGACATACTCTCTCACTTCTGCGAATATTAACAAAACTTTGGATGAGGAAGGACTACACCCAAGAGGTCAACTGATTTGCACTCGTAAATAAACGCAAGTAGTCAACTTATTTTTTGTATCGCGATTGAAATAATAACCTACTAATCTGACAAAAATTTTTGGGGAACTTGATCTGAGTTTTATTTGAGCATCCTACTTGGAAGTATATTTACGCAAGTACTTTTTCAATCCAAGGGGATCCTTTTTCTTGTCCACCTCTACTTTCTTAACAGGAATTTCACACAACACTTGAATTGGGGCTTGGAAAAACTCAATTCTTTTTGCCGCAAATGCATCCATTAATTTCCAATTCTTCAATTTGAAATCTTTTGTCTCCTCAAGATACTCTCCTGTAATGCTGTGGAATGGCATCGAGCTGGTCACAAGTCCGATCACACGAAGCCCCAACTCCTTTTCAAGTAATTGTGACATGCTTTCAAATGTAAAACCAGAACCAAAACTATCACCTTTGTTCGAGTCGACATTTTCAGCAACAGATACACGCACTGAAAACTCCTCAATGAGTGGTGAAAATATCAAGTCACAAAATGCATTCAGATTGTAAAACTCTGAAATCTTACAAATAAAATCAGAGAATGGTTTCTCCTTTCTCAACAATTCACGAGCAAGTAATAAATCACTTCGAGATGGAGCTCTTTTTAGAGTGGGAATTCCATCATAATCATCTCTTTCAAATACTTGTCGTAAATGTTGATACAAAAAATCTCTTATATTTTTAACCATTTTCACTTGATAAATTGAAGGAAGTGAAAATCGTACAATAGATCCCTCTCGAATCAATTTTGATGATGAAAGGAGTGATGTGAGAGAGCTTTTTTGGCTTCCCAAAGCCTCCATATTGATCGAAATATAATCAAATGGTTTCCTTTGAGTTTCTGGATTATTGTTTGACAAAACTTGTGTTAAATCATTGATGTGGTTCAATCGAATCATGTGAAGTCTCTTTCCAATTTCGTTTTTAAACACTTCTTTACAGAATAAATAATTTGAATCGCTTCCCAACTCCACACAAGTCAACACGCATGGCTGTGAGCGATGTAAAACTTTTGTAATATCAGTTTCGGTAAATCCACTTCCAATGAGTAAAAATTCAAAGCTCTGTTCGCTATCATCAAATCCTTTTGGCCAATATTCTGGATAATTCCATTCAATTTCTTTGTGAATTTTCAAAGTGGAGGTAATAAGATTTGAACTTGGTATGTAAAAATCGTGATCAAAAGGAATGGTTTGCGATTCATAAAATTCATTCAATAATTGTCGTTTAGAAGTGTCTTTAGAAAAGATTTCGGTCGAATGTGAAGTTATCTTTTCCATCTTTTTTGGAATTTTCAGAGTATGATACAGTAATTTGCTTAATAGATATGGATAATCACGATGTGAAACCTGAATAACATGTTGCAAGTCAGTACCTTCACATTCAATTTCATAAATAGGGCGATACATGCTGATCAAGACCAATAAATTATGAAGTTCAGCCATTGAGGAGTCACAAAGATTGGCTTTTGTGGTAATAGTACTGAGAGACTTGACAAGAGATTTGAATCGCTGCTCACATCTTTGTAATAATTCTTGCTCCTTTTCGCTCATCTTGCAACAATATCTTGAGTGAAAACTTTGTAATGCAAATGCATAAAACAGAGGATACAAATCACGTTGTAAAAATCCCCTTGTCATTGGTTGTGAAACTCTCTCTCCAGAACTATTTCCACTCAACAAATCGCTATACATATTTTCAGTGAGTGAAATTAATCCCAATCTCACGCTTCTTATGAATGTCTCAATACTGGAACGTAATGTTAGTCCCTCCGAAGGAGCATACAAAAAGAATTTGTCAAGACAAACTTTTGGCAATGGTAAGTTTGCACTATGAAACTCGTTAAATAATTTCACGCTGAGTGCTGTCACTTCAGAATCAGAGAGAAGTACTAATCTTTGGAATTGATCAGAGGCCTCTGGTACATGTTGCAAATAGGAGAACCAAAATCGTAGCCCTTCCTGGATGACCGTGTTTGTGTGACTTGCTTCCGAATGTTCGGACGAATCCAGAATAAAGAGTAATTGATACATGTCATTGAGCAATGATTCTAAATCTGTCTTGGAAATCGATAATTCATCACCATGAGGACACATTTGCGTAATGAGTGAAATATAGGTCCATGCTAACATGTGTTTCACATTACTATCATTGGAACCCTTTTCAACTTGTCCTAATAAATTAAGAGCATTTCTGAGGTATTGCAAGGGTTTGTACGATGTGTAGGGCTGGGCTGCGGATGCAACGTTATTCTTTTGAAATCCCTTCCAAAATAAATAGGACTGAGCCATCATGACCCATGTATGAGCTCTCTCTTGAATATTCAGCTCGTGATTGAATCTCGTAGAATTCTTAATGAGCAATTGTTTTGCCAGCTTGTAAGAGATTTCAGGCCGAGCAAAATAAGTTAATGATATTCCACACACTGTCAATATGTGGATACCTTCCTTTTTGAGCTCTTCTTCTCTGCCATCGAAAAGTTCACAAATTTTCTTGCATTGAAATCTCCAATTTAATCGACTGGTAGGAAGAGATCTCTTTTGCATTTGTTCATTGATCTTTTGTTGCTCCTCATCACCAATCATGATCTTGTGAGTTACAGAGTTTTCATTGCTATTTGTCTCTTGCTGAGAAGCAGCAAATTCCATCATAGCCTTTTTCATAGGTCTCAAAATATCATCCAACAGTTCAATAATTTTCACTTTCACTTCCTTACTTGGTGTGAAATGATTCAAATAATATTCCTTTCTCATTTCCATTTCAATTCTTCGTGCAGATGCAATCATGTTTGAATTTAAATTTGAAAATGGATTAATGAGAGGTGACTCTTGATTTTTTTCATATTGCAATTGTTCCTCATTCAACTTTTGAATACACTTTTTCAATTCACCTTCCAAAATTGATTTTTCCTCTTGAGGAAGAGATAGGAATTCTTGTTGATCATTTGTTACGGAATGTGTAGATGATTGATTTAAAACCTGATGATCATCATCACGAATATTCAAAGCTCGGCACAATACCGAGTAAGCCTTTGAATGTTGATTCAATTCGGAATATCCTTTAGCAAGTCGAAAATAAGCCTTTGCTAACGTGGGATCGATTCGGAGTGCTTGTTGAGCATCTCGGATCATTGCTCTGTACTCTCCAACATGTTGATAACAGGCACTACGATTGGAATAATAGACAGCACCATTTGGATCGTATTGAATGGCCTTTGAGTATTCTTCAATGGCTCGATCATACTTTTTCAATTTGAAGAATTTATTTCCTTCCTCTTTGTGGCTCTGGGCAAGCTGAAGAGATGATGATGTTGACTCGGAATTCATATTTTTTTTCTTTGAGTTGATCGATTTCCGAGCATTATGAAGGACTTTTGACAGCGAATATTATTTGAATCTGTTTAGCAACAAATTTAAAGGAAATCGAGAGGCATCAACCTAAGAGAACATTTCAGCATTCTTGTTAGTGCATATTGTATCTAGAATGTTCACACTCGGCTTCGATTAACAAAAAACAAAAAGAATATATTTTTCAAATAAACGTTTATTGGTATAGAAATTCCGAAGAACTCTGTGAAGGTAAAAAGGGTGGATGAGCACCTGCCGATATGAATGTGCTGGCAAAAAGTTGTAAGACAACAATCACACATTCATATGAAGAGGGTTAGTAAAAGAAAAGAGGTATGGTGGGTTGATAAAGTCACACACTAACATGAAACAAGTATTGTGTTGTCTTCGCCACTTGTTTCAGCTTGTTGTCGAGTGTGATTGTGAATGATGTAGTTGGAGATCCGGTTGGCAAAATTTGAGAGAGAGAGTCGAATGGAACATGTATCGTTCGTCCTCTCTCTCTCACTTCTTACACAAACAAACCTTAATAATGTACACATGGTACGAATGAGTCTTGAACAAATCATAATCTAAGCAGCAACCATAAAAGTTGTTGGGGTGAAAGCAATGCTGCGCACTACAAACAGACTTGACAAAAGTCAAACGAAACCATAAATTTGAATGGGAACATCTAAAAGTGCACCACACAACAATGACATTACTGAGTGCAGAGGGTACTAAATCGGTTGCGAGCATCCATTGTCACCATTGGTAATGTACTTTCAGAGACTACACGTTAGTTATATATATATGATCGCACATGTACAAAATCGAAAAGAAGATATATATATATAAATAAACCACCATAGATATAGAATGAACTCATCCCAATAATTCCTTTTGTCTATCTACAAGTCCCTTAAGGCCAAGTTGATAAACTCATGTGGATGTGGAATAGTCTCAAAGGGTTTGACCTTGACTTTCGCATTATCCACAAGTACCTCCACTTCATATTCACGATAGTAGATTCTTGCGACCTCATTAAAGCCATAGCTCTTGTAGAGAGATTGTGAATAGGCACCAGTACATTCAACAAGAACTTTGGTAAATCCTTGTTGTTTGGCATGTTCGAGATTCTTTTCAAGCATTCTGGTTGCCAATTTCATTCTCCTGGCAAAAGCAAACACTCCAGCGCTGCAAATCTTGAGAATCTTCTCCTTCTTCTTCTCACCACTCTTGGTAGTATCAGGAGAGAAGGAACGAGGAGAGCCTTGAGATTCGCACGAGTCTGCAGGAACGTTTTCATGCTTTTGAGAGTGATAAATCTCATGCAAACGTTCAAGCAAAACTCCTTGTTGAACAACTCCAGGATCATTACATGGTGGCTCAACCCAAGTGTCATAGTCATGACACAAGTGGAAACCAACGACCATACGAGAATTCTTGTCGATAGCAAGCATTGAGTTTCCATTGGCAGCACATTGTTGAGCATAGATCAAAGAGTAAGCAAAGTAATTGATTGGGTTGGTCTTGGTGGCAATACAAAGAGGTTCTTCCTGTGCAAAAACGACTGAGAGAGCAACAGCAACCTGTTGGATATACTCTGGAGTGAAGAGAACAATATCGAATTGGTCGGCAAATAGTTGAGGGGAAATGATTGCAGCCTTTCCAATCTCAACGACGTTGGTTGTTGAGGTTGTTGGAGTTGGAATTGCCTTCGCCAAAACAGCATTCTTGTTCATGGAGGTTGATTCGACAACATTGGTATTGTCCTTATTGCTGTTTTCGCCACTGCTGCTATTCTTCTTGTTCAATTTGGTACTGGTTGCGTTTTCTACTGACGACATGATCATGAGAGACATTGCAAATGAAGTGTGTTGAGGTATGTTGAATTATGGTACTTCTTAAAGTGATAGTGTTGTTGATGGTAATAGTTGTGTGGGATGTAACAAGTTAGACACTATTATAATCAACCAATATAGAGAGAGAATATACGAGATGGATAGTTTGGAAAATATATACAAACTACTGAAAATGGATAATGTGTGTGTGTTAGTGAGTGATGAGTGCGTCGTAAACTACTACAAGCAATTATTCAGCATTGATTGTAATGGTTGTAGTGGGAGTTGAAGAACTATAGATTGAAGCGTTTTGTGTGGTAACGGACGACAATTATAGTAGTTGTAGAATAGAATTTTGTTGTGTGGTGTGATTAATAAACAACGATGATTGGAAAATCACTATTGTTATGATTACTTGGGTTGTGATTAAGATTCTTCTTGCAATTAATTCGGAAAAACTTTTGCATCGCTTGCCTGCAAAGCCCGGTTCTTGTTATCAGTGTTGCTGGAGAAAGAAACTCCTAAATGGATCAAGAGGGGTTGTATGATGGATAATGTATCTACACAAAAGAGTGTTGCTAGCAAACGAACGAAAAAATTTCGGTTGGTTTACTGACGAGAGAGAGCGTGAGAGAATAAACGAACGAAAGGAGCACAAACTTGTTGATGTGGTTGTGGCGCCAATGAGAACACACTTCAAAAGAGAAGTTTTTGTGATTTTTTTTGATTTTATATTTTTAAAAATAGAATGCCAAAATTGGTATTTATTGGTCCGGACTTCACGTGTTTCCGTTCGTAATCATTATGGCAGTCGCTCCTCTCATTTTCATCGTGTCTTGTTGAGGTTTTCAAATGATTGATCTTCATACCAATTTACCAATTTGCTTATCTTGAATCAAGTTAAATGAAGAAAAAGGAGCATGTACATATAAACCACATTGGGATGTGAGATCATGGACACGCTTGTAGATCTTCAGTCACACAGTTCCAGAAAGGAAAAAGTTAAGAAAAGGAATTGTATCAATCAATTCCCATTTACGAAGGGACGAAAGATTTCAAACCAATTGTCACTCAATACAAGAAACATGTAATTGTAAGCAATGAAAGATTTACAAAAGCCTTAGAAATGGTTCCGCAGATTTCTCTTACACCGGTGGGAAATATCTCTCGGAATTTGGGATTTACGAAATTTGGTGATTTCTGCATTGAGTGACATTTTCGATTTGCCAGTGACTCACATCTGTTGCATGCAACTGATCGATGAACACGCAATTTCACTCACATTCAGCGTCGTTGAGCTATCTAGTTCCCCTTTTCAGTCTCAGTATAGCTGTAGTGTCACTTGAGATGCAAAATCATGACACCTCTCCTATTTGTTGACTAACATGCAAGAAGAATCATCTTCGTAAGGACAGACCTGTCTATATGATATTCCGAGACTCATTAGTCCCAAACATTTAACCCATTCTCCCAATCATCAACGGGAACATGGAAATCGCCACTTGATGCAGTGTCGAATTTCCAACCACCACATTAGTATTTCCAGTCGACTGAGAAGTCTCTCCTCCCACATACAAACCCAAAAACAAACCCAAAGCCAACAGCATGACCAACGTATGCAGAATGATGAATACAAAAAATCCAATCACCAATTTTCGTCTCGAGATTCGTGTTGGAACTTTAATGGAGGCTGCAACAACGTTAACGTGATGACAAGAGGATGCAGCAGCAGCACCTTCACCGTAATCGGAATCTTCTGGAAGGACCACAGAATGATGTTGATTTTCATCATCATTTCTACTGCTGTAATAGGTGGCAATATCGACATGATCAAAATTTGGATTATTAAAGACTTGTTGTTGTTGTTGTTGTTCTTGTTGAACACGATGAGAATTAAAAAGTGTTGAACGACTCTTGTCTACAAGTGAATGATGATGATTCACAGGATGGACTTTTTCGGATGCCAAGTCGACATGAGCAGAAGAACATGGAGTTGTTGTTTGTGGTTGGTAGTGGTCGTTTGGATGTGATTGTGGCTGAGAATGAACAAAAAGGTTAAGGAAGGGTTGTTGAACGAAATTCTTTGTTGTCATCGATGAAGAATCCAACGAGGCGTGGCTGAAAGACATTTTTTCTGGTCCGACATCAGAGCATGACAAGAGACATGTTGAAAAATTGATTTTGCCTTGCAATTCATTCCAGTTTTTAGTGCCAAGAACGCGCAATATTTCTAAACGAGTATTGCAGTAGACTATTTGGATGACTTTACCATTCAGATGAGTAGCTTGGCGATCACATTCCATCAACAATTCTTCTCACTAAGGTTAAACACTCGAAGAAAGACTTTGACCCCTAATCCAGAAAGACTTGGAAAACGTTAGAAGAAACACATCTCAGATATGAAATGAACTTGCAAGTTTAAGAACTTTTTTTTTCCAATTTCCGAATACAACTTTTTCAACGCGCGCATTTCAGAACTTGACATCCAAGTTCGTTCGCTGCATCACTGACAGTAAACCGGTAAACGGTCGAATCTTCTTTTCGCATCGCATGAACCTGTGCCTTAGGACGTTCCCATTTCAACAACAATAAAATGTCCCAGCCATTACCCAAAAGGTCAATGTCGGAATCAGCTGCCAAACGTCAACCACAAAAGAGCAACCCACCAGTTCACCACATGGGTCTCACATCTTCTATGACAGGACTCCTCTCTTCACCTCTTTCACGATCGACCTCGACACGACTAGGCAACATTGTATTATTATTACTCATGATTGTTCTCTGCTATTCGGTGTGTCTAAACAAATTCTTCACTTTGGTTCGAGCAGATATTGTGACCACCTACTCGACTCGACACTATGGAGGTTACGATGCAGATATTGTCCACTCCATGGCCACAGATTCCAAAGGCAACAAGTACGTTTTTGGAAACTCTGTCTTTAACAACAACGCTTGGGGTAAAATGTATACAGAGAACTACAATGAAGTTTGGACACCACCAAAGAATATCACTTTCATTGCCAAAGTGATGGGAAATCCTGGAAAGACAGAATGGTCGTTTTCATGGCCACAGAACAATTATATGAGTATTTTTGCTTCTAAAAAGATTTTAGTGGACTCTGATAATGAAACGATCATGTATATTGCTTCGGTGATTGATGGCAGTGCAACCTCTTTCAACTTTTTTGGAAAGTATTTGAATAATCCAAGAAATTATCCACAAATTATTTTGGCATGTTTTAACACTTCATATCCCAATCCAAATGCAAACACAGCTGCATGGGATGCTAAAGTGATCAACTCTCCCTTTCCACTCGTCGATATCGTCAGCATGCACAAAAAAGGAAATTCATTAATCATTGCTGCCAATGTGGGAGTGCCACCACTCAATCAAAATCAAAACATTCTCATGATTCAGCAAACCCTTTCTTACAATTCATTTCCAGCAATCTTTACATTGCCTGAACTTCAATACATCCTGACAGATCCTCGTGACATGAGAGCAACAGGAGTTGTTTTAGACAGTAAAGGACTCATCCACTTGAGTGGTTATGTGATGGGAAATGGTAGTGTCACCTCTGGAAATATGACTGCCACTTTGGGATGCCCTATTGTCACCACTGGTTTAAAGACTTTCAAAACGTTTGTATTGAAATTTAACACTTCGAGTTCCACCTGTCAATTAATTGCCAACACAACAGAGAGTCAAAACATGACCATCATTACTTCCATTCAAAACCTCAACGACACGATTTATTTTGCTGGATATTATCAAAGTGTGAATGGAATTGCGCTATTGTCAGGAAATGTTCTTCCCAATTACTCAAATGGTGGAATCTTTTATTCTCGATATTCTTCCAATGTGCTCGATTATGTGAAAACCATTCAGACAGACTCTCCTTCGAATAATGTCCAATTGGCTGTGGGTGGTTCTTCAAAACATTTGGGTTATTTAGTAGGAGAGTTCCAAGTTCCAATTTTGATTTCAAAAACTTCCACTTATTTGAATCCAGTTTACACAAGTAGTCAAAACAATAGCAAGTTTTTGTTGAAATTTAATGGATCCGATGGTAACTTGGAATGGGGAACGAGATGGAACTCCACATTGACTTTTACATCTGTTTCTGGTTATCCAAATGATTATCTCGTCTCAGTGGCAGGTTACTTTTTCAATGAAGATTTGACCTTTTATACGGCAGTCTCCTCTGTAACTGTTCCCATCTTTGATCCAGCTTCGAGTGAAGGATTCTTACTCACTTTTTGCAATTCTGATGGATACACTTCAGAAGTCAATCAATGCAAAGACTATTATTGTGGAAAAGTCTTGTATTCGAATCCATCGGTATGCAGTTCACATGGTTCGTGTATCGCTCCAGACACATGTTCCTGTAAAACAGGTTACAATGGAACCAGTTGTGAAAATACCTATTGTTTTAACATTGCTTCAAATTCACCGATGGTTTGCAGCGGAAATGGAACTTGTGTGAGTGGAGACAAATGTACCTGTTTTGCCAATTATACTGGTCAACAATGTGAAATACCTATTTGTTATGGATATTTGGCAAATGACACCAAAGTATGTTCAGGACGTGGACAATGTGTTAAAGCCAATACTTGTCAATGCAGTTCTTCCAATTATACTGGATCCGATTGCAGCTCGTATTATTGTTATGGAACTTTGAACACCAACACGAGTGCAGTATGTAGTGGACATGGAGTGTGTTCTTCTCCCAATAATTGTTCATGTGATCCAAATTATGCAGGAAGTCAATGTGAAATTTTTTACTGTTATGGAAAAATTGGAGCTGCCGGATGTTCCAATCATGGAAAATGTGTTGGACATGACACTTGTAGTTGTGATACTGGATTCACAGGATCTCAATGTGAATTTAATGTCTGTTGGGGAGTGAGCTCCAACTCATCACTTGTCTGTGACTCACATGGTACATGTTCTTCATTCAATAATTGCACCTGTCAGAGTGGTTATTACGGAGCTGGTTGTAGTGTGAAATATTGTTATGGAATTTTGAGTAACTCTTCCAATGTCTGTAGTAACAGTTCTGGAACATGCATGGATATCAATAATTGTCAATGTTTCAATGGATATTTTGGTCAGCAATGTGAACTCAAAAAGTGTTTTGGAATTCTTTCTAATGACACTCGAGTGTGTAGTGGAAGAGGAACTTGTGTGAATGTCAATCAATGTTCCTGTGAAGGAGATTATCTCACTGGAGTGGAGTGTGAATATACATTATTCACTTTGGATTATTCGAAGGGAGAATTAGTGACAAGAGATCCACAAATTGTGAATCAAAATTATTATCAATGCAATTCTGTCTTCTCCAATTTGACTTTATTAGGAGACTCGAAAACAACTACTTGTTTCACCGATTCAGCATTGGGAGTCTTTATTGTTAAATTGGGAGGAGCTTATCTGCTCAAACCTAATGACACTTCTCTGCAACATCCACAAACGTCACGAAAGTATTTCATTCAAGAAATGATTTCAAGCAAGAATTTGACTGCTGTGTTGAATGTCATTCCAGAACGACCCTTTTTTGGAAATTCCATCATTTTAAGAGCAGATGCTTCACAATCAACTCTCCCTAATCGAAAATTAGATTATTCCTTCTCGTGCTCGAATTGTCCTGCCACCATTTTGAACGTATTATCCACTTCTCAACAGCAACCTGTTGTGACACTTTCAGGAGATTTATTTACACAAGGACAATCCTACAATTTCATTGTCAATGTTGTTGATCAGGCATTGGGAATAAGCAGTAGTGCATTGAAAGTGGTATATATTTATTCGAACCAGTCACAAATTAATTTATGGGATGCCAACTCTCTTAAATATTACTCTCGAATGTGTTCGAATGGATACGACTGTGTGTTGGAGAATGTTTTGGTGGGACATCCAATTATTGTGACTTTATTGAATTCAAGTTTTACAAACATTTCACATGAATTGGATGGAAGTGTTCTGTCTCAAATGAGTGGTAAACAATTGTATAGAATTCCCTCTAGTTTTATAACATTTAACAAGACTAGTGTGTTAAAGACAGTAGTTTCAATTCCTAATTTGGGAATTTCTGAAACATTTAATGGATACTTGACATTTAACATGGATCCAACAATGCAATTCTATATTGATGGAGGAGACAAGAGCCAATTCATGGATAAGAAAGGTTCATTGGTATTATCGATCAAATCGTTCGATGCAAGATATTCTTCTTTAATTTCATCCATTCAATGGTCCTGTCAACATGTCACATCAGGCTCCTCCTGCACAAATATTCTCAATTCGACCACTTCTTCCATCATTTCCTTCACTAATAATGGTGGAATGATCAATTCAGGCATTTACCGTTTGAAATGTCAACTACAAACAACATTTGGATCCAATTTCACACTTTATTCCACCTTATGGATGATGGATAATTCATTGAGATCCATCTCTTCGTTAGTGTACACACAACCCATCGTCCCAGCTCAAGGATACAACAACATGATCATCTTAAAGACTATTCTCTCTCAAACCTCGAGCTCTTCCATTTCTAACATCAAATTGACAGCTGACTTTCCAACAAAACTGGCCTTCCCTGCTACAACCTCCACATTTAAAGATCAACCAGATGGAAGTACACTCATTCAAACCACTATCGATGCTTCCACCTATCTCTATGAAAATATACTTTACACCTTCACAGTGAATGTCACTTTGACAAGTGGTCACATTTTCTCATCTCTCTATTTTACAAAAATTATGCCAAGAATGAACAAATTCAGTGGATGTAATATTTATCCTTCGAGTGGAATTGCCTTTGACACATTATTCACACTCTCTTGCAGCAATATTGGTTCTGAAGCTGATTATTCTTCATTGAAAATGATTCTTTTTGATTCCTCTCAAAAACAAATGACACTTTCAAGTTCGAAACGAAATGTCATGGTCACAAGATTACCCATTCTCTCTGATTCTGCATTTGTGAAATTTATTTTAGAAGACAATTATGGAGGAAGTGTCACTTATCAAGTTGCTGTGAAAACAAATCTTCCACCAGACCTGGCAAGTGTCATTTCAGTCTTTCCACCCAATTATTATGCAACCTATGTCTTTGATTATTTAGATAAGGCACTCAAAAAAAACATTGGATACGATGTCACTTTGAAGCAATATATTGACATTGCGAGTGCATTGAGCATCTTTTTGAATAGTCCATCCGTGGATGCATCGAAGGCATTTGCAGACATTAATGACAATGTGTCAAAAATGATCGACTACCTCATGACATATTTGGATTTGTTCGAAAATTTGTCTTTCAATGCAGATGACCAATTGGTGGAAGTACTTTCACCGCTCGTTTCAAAAATTGTCTTGTTTATCAATAAGGTTGGACAATTAAGTACTTTGAATGCCTCGGATCGTAATTCCCTCATTCAAACGATGAAATTTATTCTTTCTGTCAATCCGAATGTGAGCTCGGAACTATCAAATGCCATTGCATTGTTGAGCTCCTCACTGACAAGCCCATCCTCATCCTCTTCGTCTCAAAACATGACACAATTCTCATCTAACATTTTGCAAGTCATTCAACTCAAACTTGGATTGATTGATCTCAAAACAGCTCAAGATGGAGTGATGGATTTGAATGGAATGACACTTTCATTAACCTATGGATTGAAATTGACAAGTTTTTCAAATATGAAAATTGTACTGAATTCACAATTTGGTATTCAACTTCCATCAACTTTACAATTTGTGGACACGAATGCAGTTGCAAGTGATTACAAATTTGTCGCAACAGTGTTGAATGTGACAAATTCTCAATTTTCAATTGGAAAAAATAAGACAAGAATGATTGTTTCTGGAGGTGTCATGACTGTGCAAGTGAATCGATTGCAAGATGGAACGAGTTTACAAATTTCGAATTTGCAAAATCCAATTTTGTTGGATTTCCTTAATTTGGCAATCAGTTCTGACAATTTGGTATTGTATCAATCGAATAAGGCAAATTTAACTTGTCGATATTTGCAAGAAAGTACTGGAGATTGGTTGGAAGACGGTGTCACTACTCTTGTGACTATAAACTCTGACAACACGATATCTGTCAAATGTCAAACTACTCACCTCACCACCTTCTCAGTCTTCCTGGATACAGCGAGCACTTCCAGTAGTAATGGAGGCAACACTAACGCAGTTGCTTCCTCCAACACCAAACCTCTTGCCAATGGAGGTGGAGACTTGGCTGTGGCCATCGCTGTCCCTGTTTCCATTGTTTCATTGATGATCATCCTCTTGGTCATTGTGACTGTTGTCATTGTGGCTCTTGTGATTCGAAGAAAGAAGATGCAAAAACAGAAAGGCCTATCCTTCAATGAAAAGAACAAATCGAATGAAAATCATTACAACATGTCAATCAATAATACTAACACTGCAACGCATGATCCAATGTTAAGAAATTCACAAAAGAATTCTGTCTCAGGTTTGTCTGATATTGAAATGCAAGAGGACACTGGAACTAGCTCATTATTTATTTCAGATTATCGATCGGTGAGAGAACAATTGATGAGTACTGGAGGTCATGGAGATATTGTTCCAATTTCTGTGAGTCAATCGGCGGGAATGACCTCTAGCAAATCGAATCGATCCAATTCATCAACGAGTAGTGGAAGAACCGATGTGATTAATAGGAAGTATGAAATTTTAGAAAAAATTGGTGCCGGAGGATGTAAGTAATTATTCAATTATTGCGAGAAGTGTTGTATTCGAATATTAATAATTTCTAATCTTCTTCGTGGTATGACATTGTGACCGATGAAACTTGGTATTCATTATGATTCACTTCTTCTCATTGATATCAAATGCACAGTTGGAAGTGTCTTTAAAGCACGAAATCTCTTTTACACAGGCAAACCTGGTGAAATTGAATTCTTTGCCATTAAGAAAGTTCAACTTTCTGGAATGTCTGAATTGAATGAAAAATTCAAAGAAGCTGTTAACATGTTCCGTTGTCGTCACGACAATATTGTCTATCTTGAAGATGCAGTCGTCGATGAGAATACCATGTCTCTCTATCTCATCATGAAATTCTATGGAAATGGAGATTTGGATTATTTCATTAAGAAACGTAAAAGACTTTCTGAAAAGATGATGTTGCAAGTTATTCTTCAAGTATGTCGTGGATTGGATTACCTTCAGAAAACCATGTCCATGATTCACAGAGATATCAAACCATCGAATATCTTCATTGATGAAATTGATGAAGCCAATGAACGGATCAAAATTGTGTTGAGTGACTTCGGATTGGCAAAGGAAAGCAATGTGTTGAATTCATTTAGTTTTGCAGGAACTCCCTTCTTCATGAGTTCAGAATTAATTGTTGGAGGAAAATATTCATTCAACACGGATATTTTCAGTTTGGGTTGTAGTATTTTCGTCATGATTACCTTTGATATGAGTCTTTCATTGGGCCAACTCTTGTTGAAACATCAAACCAACCTACAAGAGGCAAAAGATTATATTATTCGAAAAATTTTGGAGACAGACACTGTCTACTCACAACAGTTCATTGACTTGTTGTGGAGAATGGTGGATTTTGACCCTGAAAAACGTCCAAATGCAGGTGACATTGTTGAGAGTTTGAGTAAGGATGAATATTTCAAACAAGTCTTGTCTTTGTAAAAATATTAAAGAAGCTTGATCACAAATCATTCAAATCATTTGTTCTTATTGTTGCCGTAAGAAGAACGTTGAAGGCACCTTAGATATCAACGATCATGAACGGTAATTGGTCTTGAGAAGTGTCACACAATCTTTTTCAATCACACTAACCGATGATTCACGGTAAATTAATTACGAAATTGATGTTGTACTCTAATTAAAGCTTTAATAAATATAATAAATATGTGGTGAATTCAAGTCATCATGAAGTACTCACGGTGTGTCAAGATTAACAAGATATTCCTAGAAGAAGTAATCCTTTCAAAAATGACAACTCTTATCTTTGTTCTGTATATGAAGAGTCTAATCTTCTACCTCCGTTCGCTTCTCTTTGTGAAGAATAGGATGACATATTACTGCCATAGGTAGAATTTGCATTTCTACTGTCGTTATTATTATCTGTTGACGATGGTGAATGTTTTGGTATATCTTCACGAGGGCCACCTCCCGAATATGAATTATTGCTGCTACTACTAGCGCTTGCACTGCCATACCTACCAGAATTATTGTAATATCTGTTCGAGGTATTATGATAGCCCTGTGGTTGGTTATAGTTGTGATGATGTCTATTATAATAATTATGACTTGTATGTTGGTTATATGAATGGTGATGGCCACCACCATTATATTGATGCTGTTGGTGATGATGGTAAGGCTGGTAATTCTGTTGTTGATGTCTTCTCGGAGTGTAATGATGTTGAGTAGTTTTGCCATGATCTAGATTTTCTAAATAGGTCTTTTTGAAGAGTTCTGGATCTCTTTCATAGAGTTCCAATTTATCTTTGAGACTTGTAATAGCATCTGAAAGTTTCTTTTCTTCCTGGGGTGTCATCTTGACTCCAGGCTTAGTGATTGGTTTTTTCGAACGATTGACCTTAATCTCATGATCAAACAAACGATGACCAGACAGGGACATGGCTTTGTTTGCTGCTTCAATATCCAAGAATTCAATAAAAGCAAATCTAGAGGGATGTTTTCCATCTCCTGCCATCCTAATATATGCAATAGGACCACAAACACTGAAAATTTCCACCAAATCATTGTGATTGGCTCGGGAATCAATATTTCCAACATAGATCGTTCGTGCAATTTCCTTATCCTTTTCTACATCACCTGTACTATATACGAGATTGTTATCAACATTGGGATCTCCAATTTGTTGAATGAAAGGATTCAAAGCCTTTGCTGATGATTCTTGAGAGGCTTCCAATAGCAATCCAGCTGCAGCACCTTGTGTGGTCGGAAGGGAGGTGGATGTTGTGGTTGTCGTAGAGGGTGCTGCTCCAACAATTTGTAATTTAAATCCAACCATTGGTGTACCGTTCAGTTTAATGGCTTTTTGTGCAGAAGCCTCTTCAAAAAACACAATTTCATATTTGGTCTCGGAAGAGGAACTTAACAAGAGATTTTCATAAAGAGTTTGAATATGTTGAATTTTCAGCATCATGAATAGGATTGGAATGCATCATCATCACGATCAAAAAAAAGATAAGATCTCTCACATCCAAGAATAATAAAACTTACTGTATGCTCCTCATCATTTCAATCTCTCCACAAAAATTAAAAAACTTTTGCAATGTTTCTTCATTCACCACCGGAGCAATATTCGATACATACACAGTCCTTTTTGCGCTTTCACTGGTTGATGATGACATTTTTTTTATTTAATTTTTTAATTTTTTTTTTCAAATTTGAAAAAACTCTGATCTTCACGCACGAGTTGTTTTTTGTTTCAATGACATTATTAATAGAATAAGCGCCCTTCCATTTTCTAAACACCATGATGGTATTTAAATACCTAAGCACAACTAATCTTTCAAGGGAAAAGATTGTTGTTGTTGTAACTATTGGTTGAACAACGGTCATCGATCAAAACGACACCCATTCTATGTTTTAAATTGAGCTCAATATACCCACCTGTCACAACTTGTGAAATGATGAAGTTATTTCTTTTTTGATGAATTCATCCTTGAAACATTTCATCACCACACGTTATGCACTCCTGTATAGGGGAACTTGAATGATGAACCACACACATGTTCAAAAGTTCATGATTGACCTGGTTTGCAACTCGTGTAATTTCCAATTAAAAAAAATGATCTCATCCTTCTTCTCAAGTTCCGACAGCAACAACAAGCAAGATTCCAATGATTTCCAGCGTTTCCAAACCAAGGATGATGCAGCTTTTCACTTTATGAACGATCAACAACAACAACAACAACAACAGTATACTCCCTCACCCCTTTCAGCTCAGATCATTCCGATCAAAACACCCGAGTATTATGAAGACTATGAATTTGGAATTGAAGAAAAGAAGAAGAAGAAGGACGAGCATGAAGATGAGCCTTTAACCATGATCGAGTTGTGGGCCTCGGATGTACTCGATTGTAGCTCCTATTGGGATGGTAGTGCTGGAGGTGGACATGGATTTTCTCAATCAGTTTCGTATGGACCTAGAAATGTGATTGGACCTAGCACGATCTATCCAAATGCAGGCTCACATGGATCGGCATGGTGTCCAAATACAACAACCGGACCTGGTAGGTTGATTTCAAATGATTGTGTGTGCGTGTTGACTCATTGAATATGCATCATGGTTGAAAATGGATGAATCATTTGTGTCATGTTGCTATGGATATGAAACACACACTCATGTACTGGAATCATTTATTGAATCCTCACATGATGGAACGACCTCCTTTGCAAAATATATTTGTCAATGTATTTGCATCAGAGTTTATCGTTCTCAAATATGAACAGGCCATTCAAATTCAAAAAGTTCATGTTTATGAAACGTCATGTCCTGGAGCGACTTATAAAATTTCTGCTCGTAATTTACACAATGATGATGAATGGATTGTCTTGTACAGTGGAACTGCTACAGCTACTGGAGGTGGTGCCAGAGATTTTTCACCAGAGTTGACCGTGAAGGATGTAGTTTCAGATACGATTCGACTCGATTTACACATGCCAGGTCAATGGACTGAAATTGGTAGGTTTTTGTGCAAACTATTGAGGATCTTTTCCAATGATGAAAATTCAAACTATTGTCATATGATGACCTTGTGAATATGATCATGACGAATATGTTTTCTCATTCTGACATGATATGCTTCTTCTTTGAAAACTGCACAGATGCTGTTAAAATTGTTGGACTTGGGCGTGCTTCAAAAATCCCACCTCCTCCAGGTCCACAACTTTCTCCACTTTGCATAATGTATAAGAAGCTTCTCATGGAGGGCATGTACACAGATGTTATTTTATATCATCAAGAATCGAGAAGAGAAATTAGAGCTTTGAGAGCCATTCTCGCTCAACGTTCTCCGTTTTTAAGGAAACTCATTGAATCTGCAACAGAATCTCATCATAATGTGATCACAGTGAGTTCACCATTCCCTTATGCAGTCTTGCTTGGTGCTGTGGATTTTATTTATTCAAATCACGCTAATTTAAAGCCATGTCATGTTGTGGATACCTATGTACTTTCTTCAGAATGGAATATTCCAACACTTGCAGAATTTTGTGTGAAAATATTCAAACAAATTGTGAGCGTTCATAATGTGATCATGTTTTATAGAGAAGCAAAACAACACAATTGTACTTTAATTCTTGATGCATGTTTCGACTTCATTGTGAAGAATTACAAGACAGTATTTTTACAACCTGATCTTCACACTCTTTCCAAACAAGATTTAGTGACGATTTGTAGAAAACTTGCAAGCGATAATAATAATTAATTGCCATGATCGATTATTATCCACACGATGCACATCGTGTACAAACTCTTTTGTACTTTCAATTTAGTTTCAAACAATACAATCATATTTTTTGTGTTTTCACATGAATGTAAACGAGTCAATCATTCCAACATGATCTCATGACCAAAATTAATCATGTCACATTGTGGCTGGCACCAACACTCCATTTACCAGTAGTCAGACATTCATCATAATATTCAAGTGAGTGATTACAAAAAAATGCCCCAATCCTCATCACTCGGATCAACTCAATTGTCATCATCATCATCCTCCTCAGGCATGTTGTGGTCTATCCCTCCAATTTTTGGCTGCTTTACCCGATATCCGAAATTATTGTTATTATTTCTAACCATTGTAGAAATGTTAATGTTTTTTGATCGGGGAGCGATAGCCTCAGTGTTACCTTCCATCAAGGAGCACTGGATGTTATCGGGGAAACAAGAAGGAATTATTGGAAGTGCTTTTATAATAACATTTTCAATAGGAAGTACATTGTTTGCTTTTTTGGCGAATTATGTGAGAGTGAATTTAATTATGTCTTTCGGATTGTTTGTTTGGGCTGTCAGGTAGGAAGAAAGTTGTTTTTGCACATTATATTTATGAATGTCACGTACATATTGATCATCCTCTGATGCGCAAATATTGAAAATATTCAACAAAATATTGACTCAAAATCTATTGACCTGAAATTTTCCGGTAGTGCCATCCTGTCGGGACTATGGGGATCAGTATCTCACGGAGTCGATGAACAATGGGGATACTACATGTTGGTATTGTCACGAGCTCTGATTGGAATTGGAGAGGCATCTTTTGTGCCGCTCTCAGTCACGCTCATTGATGATATCGCAACAAAAGAGTACAAAACTACTTACATGTAGGTATTTGTGTAGTTGTTGCAACATTGTATGAAAAACTATAATTTTTTCGGTTTGATTTCGACAATGATACATGACAAATGCCTTCTTTCATGTGAATGTTTTTATGCAATGATGGGATGCCTTCTTAATTTTTGTCATGATCATTTGTATTTGTACCTATAACAACTGCTACCATATCAATTCTTACAAATATATTTTGAAAAAAACTTTTGAAATTCAAACTTTGTGAAATTCACAACATGATGGTTCATGAAAATATAACATTGGTTTAGGAGTTTTTTCATGTTGGGAGTACCATTAGGAGTAGCATTTGGATACAGTATTGCCTCATATATTGTAAATATTAGCAATTGGACCTATTGTTTTTATATGGAATCTTTATTTGGACTATTCTTTGGATGTCTCCTTCTCTTTGTTCCACTTTCATCGGTGAAAACAAAATACCCCAAAAAAACAGATGAAACTGTTTCCGAATTTGAAAAACACAATACCAGCTTAGAAATTGAGGATGAAGATTATCAAGTGGATATTATTAAGGTTGAAAAAATTGACACAGTTAATGGCTCTACAACACAACAAGACATTGACACTTTACCAATGCATCATCATTCTGAACACTCTCATTCTGAAATGGACGATTTATCAGATGGAGAAGAAACGAACAGCGAGTTTTCTCTTCTTCACAAAACTGGTGATTCGAATGACGATGACGAAGAAATTTTACCACATGAACCCATTGTTGAAGAAGAGTTACGAATTCACAATGAAACCATGCCATTGCCACGATTTCAACAACATCACAAATGTGAGCCCTCCAAAAATAGATATAGAGTTTTCTCGTTTTGCTCGGCCATGAAATATCTATTCTGCAATCCAGTTTATTGCTTCAGTACATTGGGATCGTGTGGATATAACTTTGTGGCAGGTGCCATTCAATTCTATGCTCCTTCCTATGTTTTACACAAAATACGACAATCGGATAGTGCAATTACCATTGGATCTGATTATGCAAATTTTGCAAATATTGGTTTTTCTGTTGTCATGCTTTTGGCCTCCATTATTGGAACCATGTTGGGTGGTTTTATTGTTGATCGATTTGGTGGTTCAAATGGAATGCGAGGAGGTAAGTGATTGTCGTAGTTTATCAATATATTGAAAACATTTTTTCATGCATGGTTCTAACATGTTCCACTCCAAATATTAATTATCACTGTTTGAATGTTTCATTTTCACTGTTAACGCGTCAATTTTGGATTTCAAACAATCAAGCCACAAGAAGTTTACTATTTTGTGGAATTTTCTTAATGATGGGATTTCCTTGGGTCATTCCAGTATTTATTTTCAATGTGAATATCTATGTCTTGTTGATATTGTTTGGAATTTCTTGTGTATTTCTATTTTGTTCCACAAGTCCTTTCCAGTGTAGTGTTGTGAACTCTGTGGAATACAAAAATTTGAGAAATTATGGAGTGAGTTGGCAAATATTTCTGTTCCACTTGTTTGGAGATTTTCCCTCTGCATTTATCTTTGGTCTTATTCAGGATAGTTTTTCAATTGATGTTGCCATGAGTTGTGTTTGGATCATTCTTATACCTTCTGCTTTCATATTTATTGCTGGATATTTTGTTTCCTATTTTTGGTTACAAAGAAGACATGACAAAATGAAACGACAATTCATCACAAAGAAAAAGGTCAAAGTAGATTTGGAGAGCCTTGACAATAGTAGCGAAGATGTGAAAGATGACTCTGATAATGATTCATCGTCAGAAACAGCACGACATGACAAGGAAACACTTCCCACAACTACCAATAATAATTCCTCATTGGAACATCATGCATCAACGTCATCATCAAAAAAACCAATAACAACACGAACACGAACGAACAGCATGGACGAAAAATCTAAAAAGAAATGATAATAATACTAATATATAACTATTTAATTATTTTAGATATGATTTCATGCTATTCTGTTACTAAATGATACAATATTAATTCCAGGGTTGGAAACCCACATTACAGCCATTCAACATGAAATTTCTCAATGAATGTTGAATTAGCAAATTTGAGAATTCTCAATCATTCTGCATATATTGAGGCATTAAGCGTGATCTATTTCCGCGAGCCCTATATAGTTATATTGGCTCAAGTCGTTGAATGAAGAGATCATGCGTTTCATGTAGCTTTAGATTTTAGCTTTCCACAATCTTTCTCTCAAAAAACCAAACAGAATACTATTTCCAATCAAATTCTTCACTCTGTTGCAGCAACATTTAGAAGGTTCATGAGTGGTGATAGGACGTAATTCAAATGTACCATTCGAATACACCATCAATTCACCTCTCCATGTGCCATCTTCGATATAAATCAATAAATTCATCAGAGTCATCCTGTTCAACTTGTGCCTTAAGAAGATACTTCATGAAGCGGCCGATCGGATCAAGAAACTCTATGGTGAAGGGACGAGCTCGTTCATCCACTCTCAATGAAAGTAAATAATGAAACGGAACTTCTCTGAATAAAACAAGGTTGGTTGGTGTTCAGAATCATTATGATTCTCTGCACTCATCCCCGAAGAAAGGATGGGAAGAAATTGGAGAGCTCGTCGTGTTCTTGTCCTCCGATTTTGAAATCATTAATATCATCTAGATATTATTATTCTTGCATCAACAACCTCATCCTTCAACTCATGGAAACCCATCTCTAGATCCTTCCGATCATACCCTTTTGTAAAATCTAACAATTCCAATTGTACCAAAGAATCATTCTGATGATTTTCCTCTCCTCTCAAAAGGTGGATGGAACCATTCGTATTCATATATAATATTAAAGGGATATACGAATTTATATTTGAATTGTTGATCAACCATGAGACAGAACAAGAGAGTTCAGGGACACTTTTAGAGTCTCTTATTCTGCAATATGGTCGAATGATGCATTTACGGTGTTCTAATCTCTGGTGGTGGGAGTGTCAACAAAGTCATGCGTTGAAACGATCATTTAATGATGGCAGATCTAATCATCATGATTAAGGTTTGTTTATTTAACTGAGAATATGGTGTCGCCTAGTTGTATTGGTAAGAGTAAATTGATCACTTGGTCATTCCACACAAAGAGACAATCATGCGAAGAAAAATAGCGTTAAAGTGAGTCATGTAATAGAAGCGAGTTAGAAAGGAATTTCAATTAGAATGACAGTCGTTGCAAAGAAATTATTTTCAATCAGTGTTGTTGTTGTTGTTGTCAGTGACAGCATGAATGAGGTGGTGTTGTTGTCAGTGACAGCATTTGTATCATCACATCAGAATTATTTCTTTTTCAAATTTTCCTCAATCTTTGCAAAATAGGGCGTTGTTTGTATCCAATCCATAAATGTTTCATTCACATGTCGTTTCGAAAAGTGTTGTGAAGTATGTTCCTCAAAAGTGAATTGACTTTGACCAGGCGGTCGTCTTCGATTGGCTGGTTGAACAGCAAGTGGAGGTATCGTCGAGAGTGTGAGATTGAGTTTGGCACTCTTGTGTGAAATGCTACCTGTCGATTTGAAACTCTGTTTGGGAGGTCTCTTTTTAGAATGTTGTTGAGACAAGTGATGTGAAATTTGTTGTGGTTGTTGTAAAAGTGCAGGGACAATCACGACATTGGGTTTGTAGGGCATGTTGGTAGTGTTGGTAGTAGTGGCAGTGACAGTGTTAGTGATGTTGGTGGTGCTCATTAAGGATCCTGTCGATTTACTCTTTGCTCGACTTCGACTCTTATTCGAGACAGTTGGAAGAGATTTTGTACTTTTCGAGGAGATCATTTGAAGAGGATGTTGTTGTTGTTGTTGGAAATTGGAATCAGTGGCTGCCACATCGATGTGATGATGATCACCATGATGTTCACAAGATCCATATTGACATTTTGGAGCATCATCGGAAGAAGGAGAAGTTGAGATTCTCCTCCGGAATGAAAACCTCCAAGATCGAGTCTTTTTGAAATTTTGACTACTACTACTCGAACGGGAATTTGTTGTAGAACCACCATCCACGTTGGGAATCATCGAGCTGTCATCACTTCCATGTTGATGTTGTTGTTGTTGAAAGGGATCTGTTTTGGAAGTGACAGGTTTTATGGCAATGGCTGGATGTTTCTTGGCAGTGAGTGTATTGGGAGAGGGAGCTGCTAAAAAACAAGCAAATAGATTGGAGAGTTTCATGATGATGATGTTGTTCTTCTTGTTGTTGTTGTTGTGGATGAAAATGTACTTGTTGTATTTTGGCAGAAATTCTTGAAAGATCGGATTGAAATAAAAGGGTCGTTAGAGAATGATCGATCAATGGTAATATTATTGTGTTGTGGAAGAGAGTTGTGCACAATATAGTTAAGCCTTGCTTTCTGTGTGTGTGTGTGATTGTAATATTATTATTTGATGACGATAAGATAGGAGAGAGAGAAGATGACACTTGACGTGTCACTCAGAGTCTTTTTGGAATCAATATGCGAAGGAGAGAGACAATGAATGTTGTCGTCAATAAATGATCTCTTCTTCTTCTTAGAGATTGGTGGTCTCCACAATGTACTATCGAATTGGCCAATCTTGTTGTTGTTCAAAGTCCCAACAATTCAATCGCGGATGATACAACAACAGTCGTGGCTTTTTTTGTATGTTCTTCTTGTATTTCAATAAAACCACCACCACGAGATTGTGATGGATGACAACAACAAGTTGTTGTTGTAGTTTTGGTGTTGTTGTATGTTGCAAGAGAGATGAAACTAATGCAGAAGTATCCGAAGAAAAAGAGAGCTCTTGATTTGTCCAATGGATTTCCTGAACTTGATAAATGTCTTTAAGGATGACACAAGTTTGTGAATATATCCACCACTTGATAATGCACTACTACAACAGCAGAAGAAGCAGAAGCACCACTACTTTAAGAGGAATTGAGATGTCGAGAGAGACAGATGCACTCTCGCGAGTAATTGTCTTTTACAAGGAATGATCCGCAACAAGCAGGGCGAAGATAATATTCGGAAGATTGTTGTTGAAGTCAATGATCAACAGTGTTGTTGTGGTTGTTGTGGTTGTTGTGGTTGTTGTGTTGGTGTCTGAGTTTAGAAAGAAAGGAGCGTCGTGAAAGCCGTTGGCTGTGTTTGGTGTGTGACTTGTGCGCAAGTCAAAAGTCACTCAACAATTTCGTGAACGTGTGAGGGCGCGCAATGCTTTTTTTTGTTCGGGGAAATTTGAAAGACGTTGTTATCCAGACAGGATAGAGACAATTCGCCAATGAATGCATTACATGCGGAAGTCATGATCTCAACTTCTAAATTTTTCAATTTAGGAAATTTATTGTGATTCACGCATGAAAGATCTCGAGAGAGAGAAAGATGATTTGAATTGCGACTCGCTGTGACAAATTCTCATGAAACGAGTCATGATATTCCAACGTACATTTGTGGCCACGATGATTTCAAAGAGATTTTAACACTCCTTTTGGTCTCGCAACAATGTTCAACGAAAAAATTTAAAATCTTTGAAGAACATGACATTCGAATGAGTTAAATCATTGTGTTGGCAAATGGGTGGACAAGATCCAAACAATTCAATACAACACATTAGCGAATAGAGTGATCATAAGGATGGTGTGAGGGTGAGTTTTTAACAAGATGTGAAAGATTATCAACATTATCGATCCCGGTCACAACTTGAGAAATCACGTGTGTGGAAAAATTGTCGGACTCATTCAAAACAGGTCGCTTCGAATATGCGAAGAACGGATTGAAGAAATATCGGGGTAATTGGAAGAAAGGAGTAACGGAAAGAAATTCATCCGTTAACGGAGAAAGTGCAGAATGTGGAAACACCAAGCAATTTGACATGTGGCATTTGTACGTCATTAGCTCAAAGGTCCACTCTACTTTGAACTCGGAAGGACAATTGATCTTCTTGTTAGAAAAGATAGAAGTGCTTCCGTAGAAATGGATTGGAATGAGGTGTGATCCTTGAATGAGCGCATTCGTTCAATAAAAATCATTCCTTAACATTCAGCAAATTTCACACAACACATAAAAAACATAATTCCCACAATCACTTTCAACAGAACTTGATTTGCATCCTATTCACAAGAATTCTCTCCACACAATGGCACTCATGCTTCTCTGGAATCCTGTCCTTCAAGGTTTCGTTTACAATTGTTTTCTTCTCGCGAGATTCGTTTGTTTTTTGTTGCCTTCTTTACAGGAATGTACAAACGAAAGGAGGGTGTGTATGCAAATCCAAAAGATGTTCGAGTTGCTGTTGTTGAGAAAAACAAATCATCCACTGAGACACCACTCGATGATCCTTCTAGTATGACGAATCGAATGAAGAGAATTCATGCGAATGATTTGGAGAATATTTTACCATTCTTTTTGGTGACAGTTCCATATGTGTTGGTGAGCTCGTTGCAAGTTTCAAGTGTCACATCGCCACAATATGCCATTTGGGATTCTGTCATTGGAAATGTGTTAATGTTTAGCTTTACTCTGTCGAGATATTTGTACTTTGTGGCTTATTGGAGAGCATGGCAACCGTGGAGATCATTGATTTGGTTCTGGGGAGTCCTCACAACAATTTTGATCGGTATTTACACGATCGTTTGCCTTTATGTGTTGTAAAACAGTGTGGTTGAAACTATCTCCCTCCAAAGGAGTAACTCATCCTGCTAATGAAATGTTATCGTTATGTGTTGATAAATGTATTTCATTAATTGTTAATTGGCCAGTAATGTTATTTTGTTTGTAGCAACCTTTAAGGTTAAACATTCCCTAAGCATGCATCACATCAGAAAAGTAGATTGTGATCAGAACCACCACAACTAAAGAGCAACTTTACAACAACGTAATCGAGCACACAAGCGTGAGCTGGCGAGGTTTTTTTGTTTCTCTCCAAAAAAAAATTCGCAACACCCTTTTGAGAGTCATTCGCTCGCACTCACTCTGTTGCCTTGAAATTGGATCCCTTTCATCATTATTTTGAAATCCTTTCATCAAATATTTATTGTTGTTGGTATTATTAATACATTCTTAAATTATAAACACGCACAATCATGGCAGAAGAACAAGAATTTAATAATCCATTCGATCCAGTCATTCCTGATGATTTGGTTACTCAACAACCTGATGTCTCATGGGAATATCTTTTCCAACCAGATCAATGGTACATTACACCACAAAGCGTTTCTGAGAACTTTGTTCCTCTTGTTTTGAGCTTGGCTGCTGTGGCCGTCGCTGCTTTTGTCTTTTGGTTCTCAAGAAATCAAGGAATTAAAACGCAATGGTACAGAAAATTAGAAAAAGGAAAATACTACTTCTCTGAAACACTCATTTTCAATGTTTGGATTGCATTGTATATTCCTTTGGCTATTGGTGCTTGGTTATCCTATGTTTATGGTGGTCAAACTTGGAACAGAGCTTTGACTGTCTATGCTTTGCACTTGATTGTCAATGTTCTTTTCTCCGTTTCTTTGTGGTGGGTTAAGGATTTGAGTTTGGCCTTGTTGAACCTCATTACATTGATTGGTGTTTCCATGTTCACTACAAGTCAATTCAATAGTATCTTGAAGTTTGCTGGATATATCAACACTCCATACATGTTATGGCTTTTGATTTTCACTGTTCAATTTGGATATTTCTGGTATTTGAATGAAGGAAAGGAATTGATGGAAGCTGCCAATCTTGCAAGAGGTGGTGCCAAGAAGGCTCAAAAGAAGAAGAAGGGACTTCCAGGAGATGTCAAGAAGAAGCTCCAACAACAAGTTCAAGATCAAAAAGCTTCTCTTTCATCGGCCGGTGAATCCGAGAAGGAAGAATAATTTTGAAAGATGTTTATGTACGAGTATGCATAGTTTTGTGTTGTATTCACTCACCCCGAAGAATACATTACCCTCTAGTTCTGTTTCAAAGAGATCTTTTATTTTAATATATTCCATGTTGTTGACAAGTTTTGTTCAAAGCTCTTGCAAGCCAGTGCAATGTTGTCTGATTGATCTGCATCAATCCAGTGAATGAACAAGAGTGTAGATGCTTTACAAAAATAAGAACTTGAACCAAAAATACACCATCACAAAAAAATATCAAAAGTTGTGTGTCATCATCGTCCTTTCACCATCAAAAAATTGAGATCGTGTGTGATCGCTCATCATCATCATCCTTCTTCTTATCGTTACTTCATCATGTCCTATATTCTCTCCCCAATTTCACCATCACCTGTTGAATTTCCTGATGAATCCAAATGGAAGGAAAGAAATGATCGTCAGCTTCGTTTGTGGGGCGTTCACGGACAGGCTCGTATCGATTCCGCTAAAGTCTGTTTGTTGAATGCTACTGCTGTTGGATGTGAGGTCTTGAAGAATATTGTTTTGCCAGGTTTTGGTAACTTCTCTGTGGTTGATGCTCAAAAAGTCTCACCCAGAGATTTGGGACGAAATTTCTACTTGAGAAAGTCAGATTTGGATAGAAACAGAGCAGAGGCTGTCTCAGAAGTTCTCGCCGAGTTGAATCCTGAAGTGAAAGGACAATTCCTTGCTGAAGATCCAGTCGTTGTCATTGAGAAATCTCCAGAATTCTTTGATCAATTCAACTTTATTATTGCTTCACAAATGCCAACTCATCAAGTTGAGAAATTGGCCAAATATTGTTACGATAAGAACAAGGTTCTTGTTTGTGTTCGCTCCTTTGGTATGATTGGCTATTTACGTATTATTACAAAACATCATACAATCGTTGAAGCAAAATTAGATACACAAATTGATGATCTCCGTATTACGAAACCATGGCCTGATTTTATGAAGTTCTGCGATCTTCAAGATCTTGATGCCATGGACAACAATACTCTAGCTCACACTTCATATCCAATTTTGTTGGTCAAGGCTTTGAAGCAATGGATGTCCACTCACAACAATCAATTACCTCAAAGCAGACAAGACAAGGAGGATTTCCAAAATCTCATCAAAGGATTATCCAAATCATGGAGTGTTTTGACAAACTTTGCCGAAGCAATTGACAAGGCCCATTTTTGTTACTCTGAACCATCCATTCCAGATAATGTTTTGTCAGTTTTCCAAGATGAACTCTGTTCCAATCTCACAAAAGATTCTGATGATTTTTGGATTATGGCTGCTGCTGTGAAAAAGTTTGTTGAGAATGAAGGACAAGGACTCTTGCCACTCCAAGGACGTGTTCCAGACATGCATTCTGACACTGAACGATACGTCAAGATGCAATCGCTTTTTAGAAAGAAGGCTCGTGCTGACATGGAAATTGTCAAGAAATACATGAAGGAATTTTTGAAGCAAGTCGGAAGATCTGAAGATGAAATTAGCGAAATGGATCTCAAGGAATTTTGTAAGAATGCTTATTATTTGCGTGCCATGCATTACAGATCACTTGAACAGGAATTGAAGTCGCCAAACAAGGAGGAAATTCAATCCCAAATGCAATACAATGAGGACTCAACAATGCCATTCTACATTGTGTTACGTGCTGCTGATAGATTTTTGGAAAAACATGGCAATTATCCTGGTCAAGATGATGAGAATGTTGCTTCTGATACAGTTGAATTGAAGAAGATTGTTGATGAACTTTTGCAGGAATTCGAAGTGACAGAAACTTGTCACGATATGGACAAGTATGTGGCTGAGATGGTAAGATATGGAGGCTGTGAGCTTCACAATATTTCTTCCTTAATGGGAGGTGTTGCAGGGCAAGAACTGATCAAGTTGTGCACCAAGCAACGTATTCCAATGAACAACACATGGGTGTTCTCTGGAATTCGATCAGTTTCTATTGCTTTTGAGGCTTAATTGTATTCTTTGGTTGTCGTCTTTGTCTTTTAATAAATCGATCACCACTTTTTATTTATTCGAATAAATAAACCTTGAATTTGTATAAGAAAAGATCAATTATTCAATTATTACCCGATCACTTGTTGCACCTCACACATCGACAAAAACAACTCTCGCAATATTTGAGAATTTATAATTTATTTTGAGAGTTTTTCCGGTTTCTTGCACGATCCAATTATTGTTGGAATCCCTTACCTCTACCTCCAGTCTTTGGCTTTTCAGTTGTGGTACCTTGTGGGACAGTTTGAGCTACTGGTTGTTGTTCACCTTCAGTCTTTGTTGGAGCAGTCTTTCTGTCGGTTCTATATTGTGGCTTTTCACCTGCCTTGAATTGACGCTTTGGTCTTTCGTTGATGATGGTAACCTTCTTTCCGGTTTGCTTGTGAGTTGCTGGCACAACGGTAGCTGGCAAATGCAAGTATTCTCTCAAGAAATTAACACCTGGACCAGTCAAGAACCAGTAGTAATGTCTCCAAGCGTATTGTTGCTTGACTAAACCTCTAGAAGCAAAACCTTGCAAGAATTTAACAACATGCAAGTTCTTAACACCTTGAATGTGTGGGTGAGTCTTCAATCTCAAGTCGTTCTTGGCAACAACTACACCTTCCTTGAACAAGTATTGCATAATAGCAACTCTGGACTCGCTTGGGATGAACATTTTGAAGCGGGTTGATTATGGGGTTTTGGCGTATTTTTTTCAATCAAATTTTTCTAAAATTTTGGACAACCAGGTTATTGGAGTTTACAATGTGAGCTAAATTTTTTTGGCTCAAGTGTTGATCAACGTGGGTATTAAGAAAACAAACGACTCAACATCACGAGTAACCATCTCGTCAAACGGAGAAGGCTGTGACACAATTGATAAGGTGAAGATATGAATGGTATCATTCAGAACACCAACCTCCTACCTCATATTCCATCCTCGATTTGACCATACGTTCTTTATGTACAAGTGGACGAATCTCCTCTTTTGTGTCAACACTATTAATGAGAGAAAGATGAAAGGTTGAGGAAAGGTTCTTTTGTCATTGGAGCCTTTTTCTTGAAAAGGAACGGATAATATAAAAACCCAAAAAAATGTTTCGTTTTGTGCTTGGGGTTCATCCCTCGAAATCCCTCACTCGTTGCTGTGCTACAGGACAAGGACTGTATCGTCATTGGAATAGAAGGATTTCCGAATTGAATATTTCTCTCAATCATCATCATCATTACAGCACAGATAATAATAATATTAATATTAATAATAATAATAGTAGTAATAATTATCAATGTAGTTTTCTTCAACAACGGAAGGTTCAATCGGAACACAAGGATGATAGAATGATGAAAAATTCAACAATGACACGGACGAAGGACAATCCTTCCAAACATCTTTGGAATCATGTTTCTAACAGTGTACTTTCTCAATCCTCATCCACACGATCTTTTAGCACTTTTAACGGAATAACAAACATTGAGAATAATTCCTCCTCCGGGAAAAAACGAAATTTTAAATCCTATCGGCAACCTAATAGTGAATCATATTATTTTCGTGAGGAACGAACCTTGTTATCGGGAGAAAAACCAACTCTTGTTGGAAGGGTTTTAGGTGTTGCTTGGAAAATTATTACATTTCCTTTAAAAATTATCTCATTTGCAACCATGGGAGTTTTGTTCTTTATTGGACGATTGGTACTTTCCAAAGTTCTAAAGAAAGATTTAAAACAAATGGAGCTCATGTTCACACGAATGACATTGAAAGATGCAGCTCCTTTAAAGTCATTCTATCGAATGGATAATTCTACAGCACCAACTCCTACTTTCATGGATCCCCTCACTCAGCAGTATATTGAGGTGGACCCTATTTTAGAAAAATGTTTAAAATTTGTGGATAATGATCATCTGGTTTATGATCGTTTAAAGACCGAAACAGTGAAACATAGCGGTATGAAAGATTCTTTAAATGTCACCTTGATGGATGCCAAGGAAAAGACTGATCGAGATATGAATCCCGAGGCTATTGGCAAACTTTGCTTCCGAAATTCTACTTTTTTGAAACTATTAACAGATGTTAAAATGATTAATGCTCAATCAACGCCTGAAGGACTTGTCAGGGATGTCCCTCTATTTGTTATGAAGAAATTGACAGAGAAGGAAGAAGCAGAGTTCAAAAATTATGAACAAAAAGATGAAACTCCAACTCATAATGAGCATATTGCAGGATACAAATTTGTATTTGTGGCACAAATGCATATTTATGCCACTTATGTCAATGGTCAATGGCAAGATTTCCAGAAAATTGACATTGTTGTCCAAGATGAAGTCGAAGAACAAGAAGAAGTTCTCATGACCTTTGATGATTTGTCAACCAGTGAATATGTCTCTACCTCGTCATCGAGCACAAGAATTATGGACGCTGAGTTTGAAGAGAAAAAGTAGGGTCTTGAGTGAATTAAATAGGTTTTTATGTATAAATTTTGCTATCTAGTAAATTTAATTCAGAGATCTTAATGTGACACTTCCTTACAATCTCATTTGGATACAATGATACAACTATAGTTTCAATAATGTAATGAATAGTAGGAATTAAAATGTGTTTCACCCATAATTTACTTCAATGTCCAGTTGCCAGTTAATTCTCGAATTTTTTCTTCAGCAACTTGCTCATTCGTAGCTCTCTCCCTCATAAATTCCACAGTCAATTTTTTTGCCTTCGAGTCGAATCGAAACACAAAGAAATATTTCGAAAAATCAAGTCCTTTCAAAGTGTTATCTTTAACCGAGGAGTAAGTCACAGTCGATATATGTTTGGATTTTTTTGAATGATTGCTGACTTCACCATGATTACCATCAGAACCCTTTCCTACCACCAAACTCGTGACACTTTTCACAATCTTTGTATTTTCCAAGGTGTCCTCGAAAATATACAATTTATCAGTATCAAAATCTACAAACATGTGGATGGAGAAGATATTCGATTTTTGTGCAATGGAATCACTATTTGCAATGCTGTCTCGATCATAATCCCTTGGATAGTGCAATACCTCACAACAATACATGTGTTGCTTCACTGCACAATGATGACACTGTCTTGAGAATAAATTATCCTGATGTGAATTCTTCTTGAGAGTCAAAATTTCAAAATTCTTCATCTTGGTACTTTTCACACTGTCCATGTATTGGAGAAGCTTTTTCAAATATTCATTCAATATTTGGGCACTTCTCAATTTTTCATCCTCCAATTTCTCGATGCCTTCGAATCGATAAATGACATTTTTCAAATTCCTATCATATTCCACAATTTCCTTTTTCGTGTAAAGTTCGAAACCTTCCACAAGAGCCACCGTTTGACTTAATCGAAATGCCAAATATTTCAAATCTTCTTTTTCCAATTTGTTGACAATTTTTGTAAAATCCAAGTTTTTCAACATTTGCATTCGACTTGTAAGATCAAACGATTTCAACGCCAAAATACTTTCACTCCTCACTTGTTCACATCTTCGAATTTTCACAAGAATATTCTGAAGTGTCATGACACATTTCAATGGAGCCACTCGTTTCACCATTCCCTTAATTGGTTGAATATGTTCATATTTCTGTGAATGCAATTTCAAAGTTTTGAAAAGTCCATTATTCACTTCATCAGGTAATCCTCGAAATACTCGTCTCACATAACTTGGAGTTTGATCATCTACAATTTCAAATAAATTCACATCACCAACACGATCAACATGACCAATGACACCGCTATTGTCCATTACATTCAAATCATCATCATCATCACCACCACTACGATCAATATTGTGGTGGGCGACTGGATTCGATCCCTCTTCCATCGTGATCTTCATTGTTGAATCATTCCGCACATTTCCACCACCACAACCATCAAAACAGATCCAACAACATTCCTTGTGGTGAGAGGGCATTGAATGAGCAGTGAACATGTAAATTAAATCTACATCGAGAGAATCTTGTGAGCCATGAATGAAATAGGGAGTTTGTTGGAGAAGAGAGGAAAGTGCCTTTACGTTAATCTCTTCATGATTGTTTCGGGATGAGAGAGAGGATGATGATGAATGTGAACATGATGTTCGGGTGATAGTAGTGGTTTTATGATGCTCTCTCTCAAGAATGTTGTTTGTTTGACATGATGATGATGTTTCTTTATCCTCCAGCACCTCATGATTTCGTGACTTTCTGAACCCACTTTTGGTCATTTTTTTGTGTCAAAATTCAATTCTGTGATTGAATCAGTTCAAAAGTTTAATCGCAAAGAGCTTGTCTGATGTGTCAACAGTTGGAAATATTGAAGTTATTGTCCTTTCTTTTTGATAAGATCAAGGACAGCTCTTCTCACTTCCCTCTTATCAAAATTGCCATTTTCATCAAATAGGTCATTGAGATACCATGAGTGAGAGACTGTGCAATTGGATGATTTATATTTCGAGGTCAGAGAGGAGGGTGAAGGAAAATGTACAATGATTTGATACTTGGGACAATTTCTCTTTTCGGCTTCCTCTTCATCCTCATCATAAATGTCACTCTCGACACGAATAAAGCCATATTGCAAAGAGTAAGCTAGAGCAAAGGTTCCTTTCTCAAAAAAGTAGCTGTTCAATGCCAATATTAAAATGACTGATACGTAACTGTTGTTTTGGTCGTTCATATGGAAAGAAATTTGAGATGCAAAGTAAAGAAGAGCAATTTTGAATCAAGTTAACCCAATGTTTGGCATGAAATAATTATTACAAAAATTCCGAATGAAATAAGAACATAATGTAATGAGTTGAGAATCAAACCTATAAACCATGAACAACAAATACAATAACGTACGCAATACACAACAATAATGCATAGAGCGGTGTTTTTGTAAAATAGGCCATAATTGCTCCACCACAAGCTAAAAATCCTGTTATTAATTTAAAATTACTCAAAGTATGATCCTCTTTAAAGGACTTTTCCTCAATCAATACCGATCTTACAAAAGAGTCCAACATGTACTTCACCGAGTACAAATCATACACATTGATGATTGGTTTGTTTTTACTTGAAGTATTTTCCTCCGTATTATTTGATAAAGAGGCCGTTGATGATGTTGAATGTTGTGTAGTGGTTGTTGGTGGTATTGCCGATGATGATGAGGATGAAACCACCATTGATTCTTCATCCATCATCATGGAAGGATGAAGGCTTCCGCGTGTGGAAGGAGAGACTCGCTGTTGCATGTTGTTGTTGGAATATTTTTTGTTGTTTTTTTGTTCCAGAAAAAAAATATTCCAACATCTCTCTCAAAGGATTTTTGCTGTTGTTGCATCATCAAACAAGGACGACATCACACGATCATTCAACCGAATCTATTGGTTCTTTTTTGATTCAATACTGCCTCAAAAAAGAACCTCTTGTTGCATGATTTTGTGTTTTTTATTTTGAACACACTTGCATCACCATCAATATTTGACTTTGTGAATCGTAGAGAAATCTTTATCTCGGGATTTTCAACTTGTGAATTGTAACGATCAGAAAATATAATCATCATCCGACAAGAATTTGCTATTGATTGATTTTTTCAAATATTATTGAATTTAAACACAAAGCATTCAAGCTTGGAATATTATTATTATTTGGGAAATATTTCTCTTGGCATCATTATTTCGATAATTTTCAAAACTTTGTGTAACACATGATCACCATGTCAAATCCTCCAAACACAACGGTTTCGTCGGCTCAACAACCCATTTCGCCTCGACCTCTCAAGAAGGCCTTCTCTCCGAAAAGACCTATTACACCTTCCACTCCTACAAATCTTACTCCCACCACGCCATCCAAGGCTGCCACAACTTCTGTCGGTTCAATACCTTCAGCTACGGTACCAAGCGATAGCGTAGCTGCTGTGATTCAAGGAGTTTCACAACCCACCACAAAACCAACAATAGAGTCAACTAGTCCAAGTAGAGTGAGTAATAATGAAAAACAGCAACCATCAACACCTTCCAAGCCATCCACTTCTGCTTTGCAAGGAAAATCAATCGAATCTAAACCAAACAGCTCCAGTTTTAATAAGAATTCGGAAGCTCAATCAAATTCTCAAACATCTACACATTCAAATGCAAGCAGTAGTTCTAGGTCTCCGTCACAATCTAATGTGAAACATTCCCTCAAGTCATCTCCATCTGTGAGCGGAAAGAGAAAAAGAGCAAGCACAGATCCTGCAACTGCAAGCCACGACTCTTTGCATGGCTCTCTTAAGAATGAAGTTGCTAGAAATCGTTCCGATAAATTATCAAACGTACTAGGAGGAGCAACAAGCATGGCTCCATCGTCCGTATCTAATACTAGTTCTACACCATCCAACTCAACAGCTTCCACAGAAACAAAACGAAGAAAATCTAAAAAAATCATAGACGATGAAGAAGAAGAGGAAAGTTTCGAACCAGCTCAAAAGAAAAAGAGTACGACTCATGAAGATAAAACAGGAGACAGTTATAGCGCCATAAGAAGCGCAATTACGCATAAAGACAAGGAAGTTCGACATCACCAAAGAAAGACCAATTCGATCAAGAAGCATTTTATATCAGTGGACAAGCCAGAACTTTCAGAAACTAGTTTCCCAGATAGTGACCTTCAACCAGAATCCTCAATCGTATTATTCAGTCAGGAAATGTATCTTAAAACTATTTATCAAATTATTAAGGAAAGGAAGAAATTTTAAGTTGTTGTAATATTTACAATATGAGTGGAAATGTTTTACATACAATATATTGGGATATATGAATAAATCACCCAATCAAGAGCATTTCACTTTGACACACACTCCACCTATACCTCCAGTCCGACATTTCCATTCAAACATTCGAAAATTCTTCACCACCACAAAAAATACGCGACATGTCGACACTTGGTTTTTCATCGGAGAGACTTGTCCACTATGTAAAACGATCGGCACTTCGATCCTCTAAAGATCAAACACCACTCGATGCACAGGTCTATAAAATCGTGTTGGAATATATTCTTGAGATTTTAGCATTGGACGCAAGTCCTTTTTCTTCATCACCATTCATTCCATCCTCTTCTTCTTTCTCACAACAACAACAACATCACAACAGCATCATTGTGGAGTATTCGAGTGGAATTGGCACGAATGGAAAAATCGAATCCGAACGATACACATCTGCTCAAGAATTAATTTCAAGAAAAATCTCCATGTGTGTGTTTTTACAAGAATATTCGTTTGTGTTATTTCGAAATAATATTCCCAAGTAGGTTTTAATGAATCAGTGAATGTTTGTACAATGAATGATCACACTATTGTCTTGTATGGTTTCATTGAATTACATGATGATGGAATATGATTTTATTAAATATAATTGATTCTACTTTTTTAATGGAATATAATTTTATTGAATATAATTTTATGGAATTTACTATTATTGAATAATCATTTGATGATGGAATATAATTGATTCTACTTTTTAATTGGAATTTACTATTATTGAATAATGATTCAAATATTGACTATTTGAATGAACATTTATTGAAAAAGACTGTACGAATATCTTGGAGACATTCAAAATATCATTAACAGTGGTAAATTAGATGACATGACCTATGCTCAATTACTAGTCACCATGACAACACTTTACATTTCACACAATTTACAAGATTTAAATCCAACCATGATGTTGAATCACATTTCATCTCTCTTGCAATACATGACCAAAACTGTGAATCATTCACAATTTAGACTACAAAGACAAATGGCAGCAGAATCTCTACAAGAAATTCTCTATTTTCACAACATTCGAATTTCTGATTTTATTCCAACTTTGTTGAAGTGCTGTCAAGCAGAGAATTCACACGCTCTTCAATCGTTTTCAACATTGTTAGCAAATTTAATTTATCTCGAGTCGAACAAAACTAAGAGAGAAGTGATCAATAGTTTGACTTTCCTCATTGAGAATATTCAATTATTTACCATATGGGGAAGGACAGCCATTGTTGAGATTATTATTCAAATCATTAAGGATACAGATTATCCTGATCAGTTATGGAAGAGAGTTTTTGGAAAGTTTAAAAACAGTATTAATCCATATCTGATACATTTATTCTGCAATGTCACATGTGGCATGTCAAAACATCAGAATGTTACAAAAAATCCGAAGAGTGAAAAGTTATTTCAACTCAATATTGACGACTATAGTCAACCACTTTATGTGAGAGAGCAATTGATATATTTTCAGAAACAGCAACAAACGCAGGACTCGACCACGATTCGATTGAAATATTTTGACGAGTTACCAATCAAAACGATGAAATGTAAAATTATTTCACAAATCATGACGATGGATGCGTCCGTGAACAAGAATTCCATGGAGTAAGTATGCGAGACAAGTTTATGAATTTTAATATTCGATTGTGTGTCACACAATGTTAATTGCCGAATGATGAAATATGTTGTTGTGAATCATGAAAATCTTGTATCGATGAAATGGATGGTCTAAATATTCACATCAATATATCTACAGATCGATTCTTCATTTATTGGATTGTGTTGCCGATTACAAGTATTACATGAAAGCTCTTCCAAAATATTACTCGAAATCTTTTAAGCAACCACAAATTCCAGAAGAATCTCAAACAGCAGTGACAAAAATGGAAAGACAACTTCATATTCGATTTGAAATTATTTTCACAGTTCTTTATTATGCTTACAAGAGCTCTCCAAAGCAAAGCCAACCTATTCTAGAGTAAGTACTGGATTTTAATTGTATTAATAATTTAACATTAAATAATTTAAAATTATTTAATGTATGACTCTTAAATTTAAAATATTTTCACACACTTAGCTTTTTAATTGACATTTTAGAACGTGAGAGCAGTTTGAATATTCTCATTTCTCCAGTAATGGATTATACCATTTCATTCATACAATCACTCAATCACAAGGAGGACGATCAACTCGTAGAAGGTCTCTTCAATCACATCATTCACTTATCCAATGAGCTTGGATATTATTTTTCACTTTTTGAAGCTCTTATCACCAATTTAAAAAAGGATCACCTCACGGTAGGTAGTTCTCATTGAGTGATCATCATTTGAAATTCATGATGTTAAATATTTGATTGGAATTTCAAAAATAATTTTTGACTTGTCATTCAAACACACTTTTCATGGCATCACACAGACCATGCTTTCCTGTTTGTACAAATTCGCAAGAAGTAAGCCAGTTGCAAATTTTGGAGATTGGAGTTTTGGTGATTCGATTCTTTCCATCATTCGAATGATCATTTACAGAGCTTGTCATTATTTCTCATCATTTTCTGAAAATGAAAACAACCATTCTTTGGATTCAGAAATGATTTCATCCTTCACTTATTTCCATTCACAACAACAACAACATTGGACTCTTATTCATAATATTCTCTCTCTTCTCATTCAAGATTACAATAATTTAGAAATTAAGCAACGTGCTCACTTTTACAATTCTCTTCTCACTCAAGTATATCCTTACAATCCACGAAAATTATCAAATATTTTAGGATTTGGAGAGAATGGCATGTTCCATCATTATGATTTCACAACTACTTCCATTAATATGGAAAAGACACCTCTGTTGCAACATTCTTATATTCATGAATGGTCACCAGGTGCCATTGTATCTTTTTTATCTCATCCACTTCTAAAATTGGAATTTGTGAAAAATGTTGGTCACGAATGGTCCTTACTCTCTGCAACAAATGACAACAACAACAATGGTGGAAGCTTGATACGAGTGAGAGCAATATCAACAGCAGGAAATGTTGTTGGAATGAATAGTGGAAGTGTTGGTGATGGAAATGATCTCGTACGACTCGGAGTATCGAATGGAAATAATTTAAAAGAACATGAAGATGATGATCGTATTATTCATTTACATTCAGAGCATGCTCTCATTGTTCAGTATTATATGGACAAGTATGTGAAAAGTTATCGATATCAAATTCAATTGCAATACAAGATTTCTGCACTCGATTGTTGTGGTGGAAATGATCGTTCAATCAGTGGTGATGGTGGTGGTGGTCATGGTATGAATAATAATTTGAATAATAATAATAATATGAATAATAATAATAATATGAATAATAATACTATTGGTAGATCAGAAAAGAATGTAATTGATGAGAATTCTGATTTGGATTCACTGGTAGGAATTGAATTGATTTTTGGAGGAGATGAAATCGATCGATTTATTGGTTTGGAAAATGGTGTGAATATTCCCTATCTTAAAATACCAAGAAGTGAACTAAAGATAGAAAAGAGTCAAACTTTTAAATTTCATGAACATGTTGATGAAACAACAACAACAAGTAATCGAACAGAAATTCAAGAAATATACTCTCATGATGAACATGCAGACTTGAAAAAGAATAGAACAGAAATCACTTGTGTCTTGACACCAAACAAAACAGAAACCATGCATCAAGAAACACTCGAGTTGCCGTCTGAACATCTCTTTACGATCAAATTCTTTCCTGTGAAACCAGTTCCAGGAGTGATTCATGTTTCAGCTACTTTTACAGCAATTAAGAGAGAGAATACCATGATGAGAACACAAGTGAATGATGAATATGCCTCAATTGAACCCACGACAGCTTTCTGTCAAACTCAATTGCCAGATATTCATATTCAATTTAAGGATCTTTTTTTACCAATTTTTGATCGAGATTTGCCCGATGGCATAACGAAAGAAGCACTTTTTGAAGCCATGTGGAATTATAAGAGTGTGAAAATGGCATCGAGTGTGAAAATTTTGAAAAATACTACTGTGAGTGAAGTGATGGAAAGTTTTAAATTGTTTGCTGTGAATCCTAAGGATTATATTTTGATATTCCTTCCACCGAAATATCATCTCTTGATTCGACTCTCTCAGAAAGATGAGACCACAACACTTCTTTCCATCAAGACAGATTATTGGCAATGTTTGTCTTTTGTGGATGAAATTTTTCAATAATTGAACAGATATAGAATGACCATTGATTGATAACAGTGACTGAACTCCAAGCTCTCATGTCTAAATTTTTTGACAATAAATTAAGCTTTACTGGCATATCATGACTCTCAAAATTTAGAGAGAATCAGTTATGAAATGATGCATCGCTCCATCGATGACTGATTCGAGAGAGAGCTAGAAGATGAGGGCAATTGTGGTGGCAATGTGACATCTGATCCACCACCACTACCGCTATTACTGTTGTTATGACTTGTCGTCGTTATTGTCCCTGTACCACCAACGTTGCTGGAACTTGTTTTCATTGAAGAATGTTTACCATATTCTCCACCCTTGACATTTGTGAGTCTCAAATTGCTGAACAATGTATTTAAAGTATCATCTTGGGCAGAAAGACTTCTTTTTCTTTGAGAATTGGATCCTAATTGGTTGTCACTTGCAGTACTACCTTCAATCACTCTCGAACGATGGCTCGAAGTGCTGTCAGGAGCCATGCTCACAGTTCTACGTGACTTGGCTTGTTGAGAAGCACCACTACCGTTTGAATTCTTCTGTTGTTCAGTTGTACTTTTAGTAGTGACAGATTGTGATTGTGGTAACTGCTCTAAATTGCTTGAAATGATATATCGTGCAACGGCTGACAAATTTCTGAGTTGTACGGTTGGATGTTTCGAGAGTGCCTTCACCACTTGCTTGGCTCTCATTTTCGCATGTTCAGTCTGAGCAATGGCAAGTGTATTACACAAACCAACGCTCAATTGATAAGGCAACAATCTTCCACTAATCAATAACTCTTCACAGAAATTCCTCACATCCAATGCAATACTATAGAAATTAGGTGGAACAATGAGTTCAATTTTCTTAAAGTCAATAATGGATGCCTTATTTCGAGAAGATGATCCAGCTCTATTCTTAAAGTGATATTGCTTCAAGGTGGTCAACACTCCAACTTGCACATTGGAATTGGCCTTCTTTGCCCATTTAGGTACAAAACCTGTTCTCGAAATTGGAGTGTTTGTTGTTGACATGCGTTTGCTGTTGGCCATTTCTTCCTTCATGCTTTCCAGATCCATAGAAGCACTTGGTGACATGGCAGCAGTCGAGTCCTCATCATTATTACTCGCTCGCACACTCACATAATGATCGACCTCCTTGGAGAATTGCTTATTTTGAACTGCCAAATAAATAAGTTGAACGTCATTGGAAGTGCAAAAGTGTGCACAAAACATCCATTGTGGATAGACCATTTTCAAACATTCCAATAGTCTCATATTATTCTCGAGATAGGCAAAAAGATATTGAATTTGTTGCTCATTATAAAATTCAATCATGGTATAGAGACATGTGCTGAGTGGAGAATCCTTGTAAAAGTGTGATCTTGGATCTGTCCATGATTGTTCATCAGCATATTTGGACCAATGTTCATTCATGGTTGGATATCGCATCGTCAATGTTTCTGTACAAACTGTTTTACATGTCAAAAATCTTCTAAATTGCAAATAAACTCCAATACGGTCGCTCTGTCTCACTACTGTCACAATATCCGTTGGATAAAATTGTGAAATAGAAGGTCCATGAAAACTATCATCAAAAACAATTCCAAAAAATTGATGATGACATTTCAATACATAATTGCTCAATGCGCTGGAATCAATATTCTTTCCAGTGTGATCCTGTACAAATAAATCCTTAATAATTAAATCTCCATGTATGGTTGATGAAGGTTGTTGTTGTTGTGATGAATGTAAACTTCTCATTGAGCTCATATTTGGCATGGACATACTTTCCTTGATATGATGATGATGATAAGAAGAATGTGCATGATGTGTTGAGTAGTGTCCTGACATTCCATCATCGGAATAATAATAGTCTTCAAACCCGTTAGTTGAGGCTTGATGGTGTGGTATCTGATGATGAGTCTGTGATTGTTGGGAATGGCCATTAGGGTGATTAATATATGGTTGCTGATGAGAATGATGAGAATAAAATTCATGATGATGATTCATTTCTAATCCATCATCATCATTGGAATAATTAGAAGGAGAAGGAGGAGCATGATGATAGGACGAGGACGACATCATACCTCCATCCACCATCATCATGGAATAATCATGATCCACACTTCCAGTCTCACTCAAATGATCCGAGCTCGCAGAATGATGATAACCATAGTGAGAGTGCTGACTATTGTTGTGCGGGCTCGGAGGACAGGACGATGAAAAAACACTTGAAGAGTTGTTACTGCCATAAGATCCTACATGAAAACCAACAGGATCAAACTCTGAAAATGTGTCGTTGCCAAGATCTTCGAGTTGGTCAAATATCAAGTCATGGACCACCAACGCTGGTGTTGAAGGAGTTTGCATCATTTTTTTATTCTTTTTTTTGAGTTCTATTTCGAATGCTTTTCGAAGTTGTTTGGAAGGAAATGATTTGCATAGAACTAATCTTTTAAAAGGAGCGTGCTCATTTTGAACAGTTTGTCGAATCCTTATCGTATACTTCCATTAACTCAGAGATCCCATTGCGAGTCCGTTTTGTTTCACAGCTTGCATCATGAATCCATCTCGATCTTACCCATGTGGAGTTGCACATGTGTTAAAGGGGCAAACACAAAGGCCTCACAAGCACGGGATCCTTTCAACAACAACCATATCAGCAGCCACAACAACAGTATTATACAACAAGTAGCCAGCTCTGCTTAAAATCCACATGCTTTGTTTTTTAGATGGCGATTTTGCCCTGTTGAGTAAGCAATCTATGTACCACACGAACCAACATCAAACTTGTCAAGTAACAAAGACTCATGTGAACAAATTTAGTGATAAAGCAACAACGATTTATTACAAAAAAAACTCAACATAGGGTTGAGAAAAAAAGTAATAAATGAATTGTCGAAAAAGGCAGAAAATTTCTAGGTAAATTGCAATTACATCACATACAAGCTAGGGTCAATGCTAGGTGGGATAGGTTTGATTTCAGTGCCCAACTCTTGTTCAATCTTGTACAAGTTAAATCTATCTTCATAAGTGACAAAGTTAATAGCCAAACCCAAGTGACCATATCTACCAGATCTACCAATTCTGTGAAGGTAGGTTTCAGAGTTCTTTGGAAAATCAAAGTTAATGACGACATTGACAGCTTGAATGTCAATACCTCTGGTGAATAAGTCAGAGGAAACTAGATTTCTGCAAGCGCCGTTTCTAAAATCATGGAATACACGGTTTCTTAAATCTTGTGGCATCTTGGCATGAATGTAGAAACAGCTGTACCCAAGTTCAGTAATCTTCTTGGCCAACAACTCTACTCGGTTCACAGAGTTGCAGAAAATGATCGATTGATTGATTTGCAGCTTAGAGAAGAGAGTGTTCAAACAATGCACTTTTTGACGTTCCTCCACAAAGGCATAGTATTGAGTAACACCCTTCAAAGTTAACTCATCCATCAAGTTAATCTCGTATGGCTTGTTAAGGTACTTGTCTCTAAAATCTTTAACAGTGATTGGGAAGGTGGCAGAGAATAGGAGGATTTGACGATTTGGAGGAAGGAAAGAGATGAGCTTTTCAATGAGAGGGACAAACTCTGGACTCAACAATTTGTCAGCCTCATCCATGACCATCATTTGAACCTTGTTCAGGTTGGCAACTCCTTTGCTTGCAAGGTCGATAATTCTACCAGGTGTACCTACGAGAATGTGTACTGGTTTGTAAAGTCTCACAATGTCATCCTTCAGGGAAGTACCTCCGGTGGTAACCATGACTTCAACGTTAAGATACTTGCCAATTTCTTTACAAACATGACTTGTTTGCAAGGCTAATTCTCTTGTTGGAACTAGGAGTAAAATTTGAATTTCATTCTTTGATGTGTCAACTTTTTCTAGACAAGGAATGATAAAAGCTGCTGTTTTTCCTGTTCCGTTCTTGGCTCTAGCTAAAATGTCTCGTCCAAAGAGTGCCAATGGAACTGTTTGTTCCTGGATGGGTGAAGGTCTTTCGAACCCCTTCTCAAAGATACCCATCAATAATTCTCGTTTCAATCCAAATTCTTCAAAGTCAGATCCTTTGGTGAGAGTAACATCTTCTGTTTGCATACGTTCATCTCGTTGTGGAAGATTGAGTTTGTCTTTCCAGTTTTCATCTTGTACTAATTCCTTTGCAATGGCCAAGTTGGATGGTTTGTGAGTATCTAATTCGTTGAGTTCATCAGTCACTGTTTGTCCTCCAACAATTGCAGAGTAGGATAATTTTTGTGTTGGATTGATTGGGTTGGTTGATGAAGAAGTTGAGGAAGTGTTGGATGGAGTGGTTGTCGATGAAGTAGCTGTTGTTGCTGATGTTGTTGTTGATGAAGAGGATGTGGACGATTCTTGATGGAGGTTCTCATTAACCTTGTTCATATTTTCCAAAAGATTGCGATGGTGGTTGTATGATTGTTTTGAGTTAAATCTTCCTCCTCTTGCACTGCTTGAGCTGCTTCTGTTTTGAGGATTGGTGGTGGTTGGATTTGATGAGGAGTTAGAAGAGTTGGTGGTGCTGGAGCTTGAAGGACTTGTAGTGTTGCCGCTACCACTTTGGTTGTAGTATCTTCTATTTCTGCTGCTGTTTTGGTTGTTGTTGGCATTCATGTTTGTCGATGTGTTTGTGTTGTTGTTGCTACTGGTGGTGTTAGAACCATTGTTGTTGGTGTTGTTGGCAGATGGTTGGTTGTAGTTGGTCTTACCTCCTCTTCCACCCTTGTTGGAGGATGGTCTTGAACTTTTTTGATCAGATGGTGGTTGTTGAATCACAGGGTGGCTTCTGTTCGTGCTTGTAGTACTCATTCTTCTTCGTATTTACAAGATGATGAGGAGTAATAATAATAGTTGTAGTTGTAGAATTATTGTTGTTCAACAACGATGGCGTGTGTTGGTTTAAAACGCGGAGGGAATTCTTCTCAGAGCGAAAATGTATTCTGATGTTGTTGTTGTGTACACAGCAACAATTAGTTATCTAATAATGTTGCGGTGTAGAATAGAGGTATATAAAGAGTAGAGTATGGACAAGGAATAATATTGTTTTCACTTGTCGTGATTGCGAGAGTTTTGTATAAAAAATTAAATCGCTTGTAGTTTGAATGTGCGCTAAAAGAACCGAATGATTAAACTTGTGAAATGGTTCGCAATCAATACAATAGAGAGTGTTCGAACGAATTTGCTTGGTGGTACCGAGGAGCAACGAGAGAGAGTATCACTTGCTTGATGTATTCGCGAATAATAAATCTTGGACGCGATATAAAACCACAAAAGAACAAAGCAAGAATTTTTTTTAATAAGTTTCTCGAGAGTTTCTTTGTTTACAACGAAATCTTTGCAACAACAACACCCATCCAAATAAATTTCTGATGTGAACTTGCAACATTGAATTGAAGTAGTTTTGGCAACATTGAATTGAAGTAGTTTTGGCAAAGGATAGCTATCCTCTGTTTCAATTGATGCTTTCAAATAAGAACAACAATCTTGGGCAAGTTTGATTTAGATTCAGTTGAAGCCTTTCGGTGGAACACAATGTCGGTCGAGCTCTTCTTCCGAAACAACAACAGTCCATTTTGAAAAGCAAGCTTCAAAGAAAGATTGCCACAAGAAATATGAACTTGATAACATATGTTTGTTACTACTCATCGTATTATTAAGAGTCTCTCCGGCTAAGTCTAACACAACTGCCTTCCTCTATGCAAGCAACAACGTTGGCCAGCGTTCATGAACGAAAATGGGAATTGAATAAAAATTTTTAAAAAAATAAATTTTTTTAAAAAATCATCAATTCACAAAAAAATGAGTCGTCTAATGATGGGTAGCGATGCGGCTTCTTCTATGAATGAAGAATTCAACGCCGATGATTTGCCAGAAGTGAACTGGGAGTCTTATCAGGAGGCCGGAATTTTGACACCACTCGAAAGACAACGTATTGAAAGTATTAGTACGAAGAGAAGCGATGTAAAGGCTGTTATGGATACCGTCAAGCAAACCGGTAACGTGGAATACATTCAACTCTTCATTAAATTGTTGAATGGAGTGCACAAAAACGAAGCATTGATCAACATTTTGTACTTGATTGATTTGCTTTTTGAAAACGACAAAGCCTTTTGTGTTCAATTCCATGATATTGACCAAAACGGAACCGATAATCAAAACAACCCATTCACTGCTTTCCTTTCATTGTTCATTAGAAACGATATTTTCATCACCGAGAAGGCCTTTAATTGTTTGAGCAAATTGTTTGAATTGGACGCCGACAAGGAGGTGAGATCCAGTTTGTACAACACTCCAGAAGATGTCGAAATGTACAAACAATTACAACAATTGGAGAGACAAAATCAACGTGGTAAAGCACCTGAATATGGATACAGACATCAATCTCAGCTCGAGAACTTTATTGAAGGAATTGCCTCTCAACTCAAAAACTCTGGTGATGATGTGAGAAAGGCCAGAATGTGTGTTAGAGCATTGATGAGACTCTTGAAGCGCAATGATTGTCGTGCTATCTTGAATAAGGTCAAGGGAATTCCTCCATTGATTAACTTGTTGCGTGTTCATCGCACCAATGTGCAGATTTTGTATGAGGTTTCTTGCTGTTTGTGGATGCTCACTTTCCATGAAAACGCTGTCAGCTTTTTCCAGAATGAAGCAATGGTTCCAAAATTGCACGATGTTTTAAAGAGTGCTCAGAAAGAGAAGGTTATTCGAATAATTTTGGCCACTTTTAAGAACTTGTTGAAATATCCCAAGTTTGTGACATCCATGGTAAATGTGAGTGTTCCAAAGACTCTTCTCAATTTACAAAAGCGTTCATTCGAAGACAAGGACATTACCGAAGAGCTGAAAACCCTTATTGAGACACTTGATGCTCACATTGATGAGATTAGTTCCTTCGATGAGTACCGCCAAGAAGTTTTGAGCGGCCACTTGGAATGGACACCTGTTCACAGCTCTGAAAAATTCTGGAAAGAAAATATGGACAAGATGGAACAAAACAATTTTTATATTCTTCGTGAATTGATCAAGTTACTGGAAGATGAGTCAAATGCTGACAACTTGGCAATCGCTTGTCATGACATTGGAGAATTTGTTCGTTATCATAACCGTGGTAAGCGTGTCATAACTGACCTGGGAGCCAAGGCAAGAATTCTCCAATTGATGGAGCATCCAAACGAAGAGGTCAAGAAGCATGCTTTGCAATGTTGTCAAAAGATCATGGTTAAGAATTGGGAATTCATCAGATAAACGCTTGGAGTCCTTCTGTTTTATTGAGTAATACGAGTAAAAAGACAATCAATTTTGAATTATCAAATATAATTAACAGGCGTGTTTGCCCAATGCAACTGATGATTGATAAAGGTGGAATTGTTGCAGTTCAGAAAAGATATAGCTAAGGTGTTTGTAAAAATTCTTCGAAAGAGGGAAGCTTTTTGTGTGGCGCCTTCTTTTTAGAGAAGAGGAGAGTCATGGTCTTGAGAGAAAGACTCTTTTTGTGTGATTGTTGTTCGCTTTTAGATGTGGGAGTGGATGGTGAAGATCGATAAGCCCAATTCACCACATCAATGGAAGATGGTCTCGTGGATACACTTGACTCAGTTTCAGAGTAATCATTGTCGTGCACGCTAGAACCACTATGCAAACATTTCATGTGGTGAAACATGTCTCTAAATTCTTCCTCTCGAGCTGTGAGCTTGATTGAAAACTTCTTGTCGTTAAAAAAGAAGAAAAATATGGAGGGTTGATTCAGGTTTTGTTCCAGAGTGGTCAATGCGAGAGGGAGTGTGAAAAGTGTTTTTCTTCGACGAAGGAGGGTTTTTTGTTTCCTAATTACTAGATTGGATCCAGAAAATTTGATTGTCACATCCAGATTTTCGTTACTCTCAAGAGCAACCTCTTTGGGCGCATGCAAAAGGAGAGCTTTAAATCTTTTTCTCTTCTTTTCAGTGCTTGCCCTTGAGAGTTCATTCACGTTTTTTGGAAGACCAGAGTGTTGAAGTGTTGTGTTAGTTGTTGGTAAAGCCAGTTGTGTGACGCCGTTCCCAGAAGGCTTACCAGCAGCTAGGAATAACGTGCTTGGGGAGTGATGACCGTTCGGACTGTCCTGAGTCGAGCACCAGTTCGTAGCATCTTTTGACTGGACCACACTCTTTGATGACTGAGCTGGAGTGATCTCTGTATGTTGTGATTGAGGCGATAATGACAGCAAACTCATTTTCTCGAGAAATTTTGGGCTTTGCTCATTTGTGTTTTCATGATCCAGTCTCCTTGTCAAGCTTGTATTTCTCGCATTTGAGGTTTGTTGTTGCAATGGAGGAGAGCTTGACTGACCACTGTTAGAGTAGAAATCCTCTCTACTCACAAATTGCGTTTCGTCACCATGTGACAACAGTGTCATTTCTGGCTGTGGAGAAGAAGAAGAGTACAGATCTGACTCATGCAAGGGACCAGAAGATTGTTGAAATGAGGCGGGTGAGGATGAAGATACTCGAGGTGTGGTAACACCAAGTCTTGGACTCAAATATGCAAAACGAGGAGAATAATGCATGACCAGAGAGCTTTCAGTTCTTGGAGTCAAAATGCTTGGTGAAGGTGACATAAAGACCTTACAAATGGGATATCCAGTTTTCTTTCGTGCAGCATTAATATCAGATACAAATCTTGTCAGGTCCGTGAGACTGTTCAGAGAAAGTTTGTTTCTGCATAAATTGAAATTACAAAGTGTTGTATGATTCTACATGGACGAGATATGCAGATGAAAATATTATTGTAATACGTAGCTCATTACAGCAACTCACCTTAATAGATTCAAGTAGTTTTACACATGCTTCTTCTGCCATATTGTTATTGTTCATATTTAACATGACCAGGCCATGGTTGATTAGGAGAGCGTTTGCCATATGAAAACCTCCAGCATCCGAGATTTCATTTCCGGACAAATCCAAGCTTTTTAGGAGTGTTCCATTGATCAATTCGGTCAATACTTGATATGAAAAAACGAGCGTTCTACTCACCATTTTAAAGACTTGCAAAATGAGAGATATTTCGAAATGACAATAACTCCCTTATCACCCAAAGAATTGCAACCCAAGTTGAGAGAAGTTATTTTGGTTGCTATTGTTGTGAAGCGAGCGAGGCCTTCCAGTTGAACATTATTTTTCCACAAGTCAATATTTCGCAAGTAGTTTTTGTTTTCGTCGTTGATTAATGATCGCAAAATGTTGATGTTTGTGATTGAATTGTCAAAACATTTGAACGTCGCTAAATAGGGAGCGTAGTGCTTGGAAAAATTTGTAAAGTATGTTAGACCTTCATCTGAAATGTAATTAGAGCTCAAATCCATCTCTTCCAAATACAAAACAGTGTCTTGGTCCTTGAATGTTGAAGCAATGCAAGCAATTCCGTCATCTGAAATTTGGTTTTTTCGTAGGTTCAACACTTGCAATGACTCACAAGCTACCAATAAATATTCTGAAAGTTGAGACATGCTTGCTTTTGTAATGAAGTTATCTTCCAAATCCAAAATTTTTAGCTTGACCTGATTTGCAGCAAGACATTTAAATAGAGGTGTGGCATGTTCAAAATCTTTTAATCCACACTTTTTGAGCCTCAATTCTTTCAAATTGCTTTTGTGTGACGTAATATTAAAACAAAAGCTATTCCACTCATAAGATTCCGTATTATTTTGATCAAAAAGAGTATTTTGCCTAATAATTTTTTCGACAATGCTTTTTCTATCGCTGCTTCTACCACTTCTTGGAGAAGATGTTCTTGGTCTGGGCAGCGATAAATCTGCCGGTTGTGGCAAAATTTTAAGAGGAGGAACGAGAGGACTGACGTTCGGCCTGGATTGTGCATTGACATTGGATCTAGGAGAATATCTGGGAGAGGTGCCAGATGATGATGCTCTTGGTGAAATATTTTGCAATTGTTGATTGCTGACATGTAGAGGATTGGTTAAATCAAGTTTCGGAATTGTTACAGGTGATATTCTTGGTCCGTTGGTTGTCTCGTTTACGTGATGATTTGCTGATTTATCAACCACAGGTTGAATTTCATTATTGTTGCTTCTGCTTTCGAATCGGATCAGAGGTGATTCCGTGTAGAGATGTTTCAGACCTGACAAGCTTTTGCTTTCATTTTTTTTGGGCGTTTGATGTTGAGGGGAAATAGATGATGGAGAATGCTGCTTATTGCGTGGTGAAGGTTTTGGCTGAAATTCATAATCACTCTCTTCAAGGATCTTTTGAATGTTCGGATTTTGTTTTTGAACGAGTTTCAAGGGTTTACTTTTTGAAAGGAGGCCCTTTATCGGATCATCAGGAGATTGCTTTTGTTCCCTTAACTGATCACTAAGACTCATCAAAGAGCTGAGTCCTGGCAGATCATTTTTCTTTCTACTGTTCTTACTAACTTCATTATTCGATGGGTAGTGATTTCCAACTTTCTTATTTCCTTCCATAGGAGGTGCTCCGACGGAATCCGTTGGAGGGTATTGTTGCTGCTGTTGCTCCTCTCGAGAAGCGTCATCCGACGAAGCCTTACTCAATTTCATTAAGGGAAAGAATTTACGTTTTTTCATTTTTTTTTAAATAAAATTAACGTCCAGTTCCAAATTCAAATATTTCCAAATACAACGAGAGGAATAAACACTTGGAACTCGTACGAACGTTTTGGTTTTGTTGTTTTGAATTGATGTAATCCAATGTTTGAAAGAGATGTTCATGGTGCAACTCCACGGCATATTTCTTTCAGGATGGATCTATGCAAGGGAAGTGTCTGATTTGTTGATATGGAAAAAGGACGTCTGGTTCTTCCAGATTCTATATAATTCCTTGTTTGACACGATCTAGATCTTTGATTCTCTCCAATTCTTTGAATGTTGTGACAAGTCTTTAAAGGTCAACATTCTAAAAAAGACAAGTCTTTCAAATTAGTCGTTTTTCCATTTTTCTCCACTTGCCGTTACTATGTGTGAAACAAGACACTGCGTGTAGGGTGAATTCAAATGTATTCAACATTAAGAGAAAGAGAGTTAATCAAGATTCTTATTTCCAACCTTTCCTTCTCAAAAACAATACATTCAAAACACTCTTTCAACTTTTCCTTGCAAAAATTCAACTCAATATGGTCGAAATTAAACAACAACAACAACAATCATTGCCAACCTCTCCTCTCAAAATCATGATCTGTTCAGGAGAGAATGACGATTTGGGACATCAATTGGCAGAGACTCTCGTCAAGAGAGGAGCCAAAGTCACTCTCTTGGTTCATCCCAATCACACTTCCTCCAACTATGTGAAACATCTCACAGAGACCATTGGATGCGAATTTGTTCTTGGTGGAGCCATGGAAGATGAACCTCTCGAATTGGTGAAAAAGCTTCATGGTCAGAATGTGATCATTTCTGCCTCTCTTCGAAACTCATTGTTACATCCCATGGTACAATACAAAACTGATATTAATTTGTTGAAAACTTGCCACTTGTATGCCTTGCAACCCAACAGTGATTTTCGTTGTTTCATTCCATGTCAATGGTCCTTTGATTTTACCAAATTCACCACTCCCGTAGTAAAGCAAGAAGAAGTTGAATGGAATTGGATTGAATGTAAGAAGGGATTCTTGCAAATGTTGAGAGCAGACAATGGTGGAGTTCCCTATATGAGTTTCTTCACTGGATTTCCAATGGACTTTTTAATTGAGTTTCTTGTGGATTCTGTGAATAAGCAAATCAAGTGTTATGGAGAAGATTGGAATGATTATCAAATAGTGTGCACCTCCATCAATGATATTTGTCAATTGGCTTCAGAGAAAATTCTCCATATCAATCCATTGAGTTCCTTCTCTACTCAGGAATTTACCTTTTATGGAGAATGTTGTTCTTTGAAACAAATTGCACAACATTTGAATTACAAATTGACTCTATTAGGTTCAGTCGATGATTGTACCCGTAAAATTACAAATTTAAGGGACAAGATCCTTCAATGCGATCATCATGGATGTGAAAAGGAAAAGTATGAATTGGCTTGTCTCTTGATCATGCAATTCATTGCGAGTGGAAATTTTAAGAATTACACCTTCTCTCCTCAACCAGGGTACACTGTGACGGGTCCAACGAGTCATTTAGGTGGTCCCATGATCATGGAGAAAAAGTATGAATTTGATCGATTGGAGAACTTGGTGAACAAGATTGGTTCTTCTTCAAGTCAAGTAAAAGGATTGACCCCGAACCAATAATTAATATATATAAACAATAAAGAATTTGAAAGTCTCAGTCACTCAACTCGATTGTTTCTTGATAAAAAAAGCAAATCTAGAAAATAAAGGATCAAACAAAAAAAATGTCAAGTTCAACACTCAAACACTCGAATGATGAACACGAATCATGGAACGAGAGGCAATCGAATCATCAAGAGCATGGTCTTCCGATGGACTGGAGAGAATTATTATTGGAGAGCGCTAATGGATCTCTATTTATTCATGAAATTGTACCCTATTTGGATTTGAACTTTCTTTTGAATATCATGTATTTCGTTTCAAAAGATGTAGCAAGGCTTATTCAACAACAAAATCATCACACGTTTGTTGTGAATTTAAGAAAAATAACAAACTTGAAAGTATTGAAGAAAACAAAGCAACACAAGAAAAAAAGTTCGACCGTTCAATCAAAAATCAAATCAATGATGCATTTGGCAAATGGATTCAAATTTGAGATGCCTTTGGACATGCACAAACAAATCATTGACAATGTAACCACAATTTTAGAGAGGGCTGTTCACAATAAGAAGGAAGTCGTTGTGTCCATTCATATACCATCCTATTACAGCATCAATGATGCAGTTAAAGAAATTTTGAATGGTATTGCACAGGCTTGTAAAAGGTCAACAGATGTAATGGACACTCTCTCTCTACATTTATCAGGTTACGTAAAGGCATATGTCGATGTTACTCCTTTCTTGAATCTTCGTGTGAAACATTTAAAACTCCTTGATTGTGCAATGGACAATTTTTATTCAATAATGGAACATAACTTGGTTTTTGATCGTTTAACAATTTCTGGTCCCTTCACATATACAGATGTATTTGATATTTACAGACTTAAAGCACTAGAGAAAAAGAGCCTAATAATACGACCTACCTCACCTTTCACACTCTCAAACGGAAAGTATTTTGAACAGTATATATTACCAATTATTGATTGTATTGAATTCTCAAAATTGACAATTCACCTCGACAAATCTCTCCCTATGCCCCTATTACAAGTGAAAACGAAAAGTATTGATTTGTATCAAAGCAGCTCTATCTCGAACACTTGTCTTCCTAAAGTGATTTCTCATAACTGTGAATCGTTGAATTTCAGCCAAGTTAGAACTACTTTTACAACCTCAAGTTTTACTACTTTAAATGTTTTGCCAAATTTGGCTTTTTTGAAATCACTTTCATTGACATCGTGTCACATTACTTTGAAATGCGACAAGAATGAGAAAAGATCATTTGATATGCCAAATCTTACCTTCTTGACATTGGAACGCTGTATATTCACTTTTGGAGAGGAGAATAACCTATCCTCCGCAGACAATCCTTTCTTTATTTCTCTACTACAGATTCCAAACGCCGTAACTGTTTATTTGATAGAACTGGGATTGAAAAAAGTACCAAATGTGAACAGCTTGAAATTGAGCACTCTTTGTTTGAAGGGCAATCCAATTAATGATGATACTTTTGATATCAATTTTGTCATGCAATATCCAACACTGAAAAAGCTGGATCTACAATGTACCAACTTTAAATATTTCAAAACCATAGAGCCACTGTTTGACAAATTTGAACACCTTGATCTCAGCATTATTCCCCTCACAGACATTCTCGTATCATTGAATGGACATGCTAAATTATTTTCTTTAAACTTTCTCTATGAGACCGAACGAAACAAGTACTTTGAAAGTTCAACATCATGCTTCAATGGAAGCGATAGAGAAATTTATGAATCTCTAAAAAACATTCTCACCATGAAAAAGTACAAACATTTATTTTCAGATGAACTACCCAGCGTTGAATTTATTAGAAATTCAAAAAAGTCACATCTTCATTCTCTAGACAATACTAATGTTATCTTTTGGAATGTGCTCTACTCTAATAATGCAGCACGAGTTAATAATCCCAGAATGGGCACGGTGATCATTGATATCCTAACAAACGCAACACAATTTGCTATTCATCTCACTCCTTCATTGACAAAATTTAACAATGGGCAAGAATGGATTTTTATTGCATTCTGTTATCGGAATCACACGTTGCAAATGGTTGAAAGACTCGACTCGACACTCATGGAAACACATATTCCAACAATTCTTTCGAGTTGGAGTTACATTTCGTCTCATAGAAATGCCGTTCAACAATTAAGAGAGAAATACAAGATCTGAGTCGACTCAGCACAAATTAGTTTAGGAATTGTTATTCATTTTGGTAGAGCAATATATGTATCACATAGTACATAACTAGTTAGAGGTTTGAACTTTGACCATATGATGACAAGAGAAAGAAGGTCGTTGCGACCGTTACCCAAACTTGGCGCCAAAACAAATTCGAACCGTTTTACAGAATTTTTTAAAAAAAATTAATGCATCCACTTTTCCATCTCCTCAACCATCACAACAACAACAACCACAGATGCAACATCCATCATTGATGCCTGGAGGATACATGACGCCTGTATCTTCGTATTCTGGAAATGCGACTACCTCTTCTCCTCCGATGCTCTTGAACAATTATGCCACAACCCCCACAACCCCCACAACGAATCAACCAACTTGGGTTTCCATGCCGTGCCAAGGTCGTCCATCAACACCAGTTGTCATGAGAGGATGCATCACCACCTCGAATCAACAGTCAGAGATGCTGAATTTAGCTCAACAATCCTATCAACCACAAACGCAGGTAATGAATAATCATCCATGGATGGCTACTAATAGTAGTAGTTTGAACTCACAACCAAACATCACGACGGCTCGAAGACCTGGTTGTCTACCTGAGAGTGGCATCCCGACGAATCCAAAATACTTGCAAGAGCTCGAAGGAGCTGAATTTCAAGTGTACGCTCCAAATAAGAGGTACAATAGAAAGAAAATTTGTTTTGAGGTGGTCAAGGATTCAAAACCCAAACTCGACAATCGATGGCAAACCGAACATCGAGAGAACTTTGGATACTATACTTGCTTGGGTGCGAGCTGCGATTGTGGAGCGAGCGTAGTGGTGGATCAAAATACCTCTGTTCCTTTTGCAGGAAACGTTCCACCCTCCACTCCTTACCAATACGCTGAGCCTGCAAAGAATAACAACACATACAACCCAGAGATTTATCAACAAGCTGCTGCATTTGTCACAAACACGTCACAAGCTGCTGGTACAACTCCTCAATCCAATTATGAGGCAGCCGAATTTGCAGACGCATTCGCCGATGAAAATAACAATGCAAAATCTCAACTAAAAAAGAAACAAGCGAGTTTAGGAAACACCTCGACACAGAAAAAGCCATCTGCTGAAACTGCAACTACCTCTCAAACCAAACCAGAAGCTCCACAATTGACAGAATCCATCGAACGAAAGAGTAGAGGTGCCTATCAAAACAATGACAGCAACAATGCCAACAAGAAAAAGACCAAACAAGAATTATATGCAGACGTGTACAGCAAGACCTTGTCGAAAATTCAAGAAAAGGAATTTAACCAAAAGAAGCAGCTCATGACCAAACAAGATGTGGTCAAAGCCAAGATAGAAGAAGAGGAAAAACTGAGTTTGGAACGAAATCAAAAAGAGTTGAACAGTTACATGAATCGAGGAGAAAAAGCTCCATTTTTCCCATTCGGTTATTGTAACACAACACCGGTGAGTGATAAGAGTTATATGGTGACCTATAATGTTGGTCCTCGAAACTCCACACAAGTGGCCAAAGATATTGTGGCACGAAGATCCAAAACACACGAATACGACGGATGGAAGAAACTTCTCGTCGATCAAGAGGACTTCAAACAATGGAGACCAAAAAGTTATTACTGGAAGACCTTTGACCGATTTGACAAGTACAATCATCCAGACGAAGAACGAAAAGAGAGACACAGTTATGGAGCGACTGAGGATGACCTTAAAGCCGCTACCACGACGGAAAGCAAATCGAAAAAACAATCTAAAAAGGAGCAAGACTCTAAAAAGACGGACAAGATTGTGTCACAAGCGGTCACAGAGGAACAAGTACCTGTTTCATCATCAACCATTGAAGAGAAGGGAAAGACACCTAATACAGAAACGGCAGTCGACAAAGTAGCAACATCTGCTGGTCACGCTCCAGAAGATTATCAACAACAAATGCAACCACCTGTGCCGAATGGAGTGTATTATTCGAACCAACAGCAACAGCAACCATTCTTTTATCCAGCTCAATCTCAAACACCGCAGTCCGGTGGTATGGTGCAAGGAATGAATGCCAACGGTTGTTTTGATCCTTATGGTCAACCACAAATGGCAAAATGGGACACCAACAAACGAGCACCACATGAAGGACCATTGTGCAACGATTTACAAGGAATGCAATTTGCCAAATTTATTCCAAAGGACTTTTCTAATTTCAATCCCAAGCACTACAAGGGCCTCCCTACACATTATCTCAATTATATAAGGCCAGCAGGGAAAATTACTCCAAGCAATGATGTCATTTCCGAGTGTTTCCATTTCTATGATTAGAGTTTGTATATTCGTTGCAATATGATCATTTATCTACATTTGAATTTTCAAATATTCATACAATTTTACTCTCAAATACAACAATTCCGGATCAACGGCAATGTACAGAACGAGTAATAAAATTGAAAAAAAACATAAATCCAATAACACTCCCAATCGACAGCCACAGCTGGAAGCATCACTTGATGTTGATCGACCAACATGACCATGACGACAAGTTGTTGTACGGTTGGCGGAATGTCGATGCATTTTTTAAAGTGAGTCCTTAATTAAATTCATTTGAGGTTGTGTTGGAGGCGCATGGCTTTTAACCCTTCCACCTATCGAAAAATAAAAATTGAAAGAGTTTCCCCTGTATTTTCAATCATTTATTAAGCAGCCTATAGGCTGCGAGTGTAGATATTGAATTTTGATTTTTGTTAGGGGCACCAGTTGAATTAGAAGCTGAGTGGCAAATAATAGTACAGTCCCTAATCCAGTAAAGGTGTGAAACAAAAACAAAATTAGTATCCGAGAATTCCACTTCCTTTGTCTCAAACAGATCAACTCATCCAAGATCGCTAATGACATTATATGTTCAACACGCAACATCTTCACCTTTTCGAAAAACCCAATCAAATTAATGACTTGTGCGTTTCTACATAAACAATGATTTAGTATAATATGGTTTTGAGTTCGTGTGCCAGGAAACATTTCAAATGTAAATTTACTCCGCATGCAGTACATTTGTAACCACATTTAGAGTTGATCTCTTGCAGTAAGCACAACAATTATGACTTTTGTCAGTATTCTCAATTGGAAAATGCTTTAGCAGAATCGTCTCTTTCATATGAATAAAACTCTACTAGTAGTTGCGTTTGGTCTTCATCGTTTAAAGTCCAATCTAATTCCGGTTCATTGTCTTGAGATGTTTCGGTGTTGTGATCCTTGTTGATCTGTTCGAGAGTCTGTGAATGAAATGATGTCATGAAACTTGCATCATTTGTGTAAGTGCTTAAATCTAGGAACAAGATGGGTTGGAGCCTTCAACACCATTACATCGCCAAAACCTGGGCAAAAAACCTTCAGCAATAAGAAATTCCTGAGAAATCATGATATTTTTTTCGTTTCGAATATAAAAATAGTTGTTCAATCGAGAAAGACATTTGATGCCCATCGAAATAGAACCGCCCCGAATCTTTTGAATTTTATTCAAGATTCAGTCCAGCCAAAAATTTTCGATAGGTAGAAGGGTTTATGATCGGTCATGGGTTTGTTGGAATAAGTGGTCACGAGAGAGTAACAACAAGTTCAACAACCACGACCCAAATCAAGAGGTGGTAAATCCAAAAAGTGAATATTTGAGTTGGCACATAAGCAGATGCATTAGAGCAAAAAGATGGAATGATGAAGCAAGCTCATCAAGTGGATTCTAATGATCAAGCAAAGAGAGGAAGGCATAAAGTGTCTTTTTTGAAATGTTCTTTGGATAATCTCAATCCAACTTCCTTTGGGAGCTTTGATTTACCAACTCCAAGAGCTGCTGCAATAAAGTTCAACATCCTGTTTGTCCAAATCGTTATTTTGTTTGTCAGAAACGTTACCTCTTCAAAAGCAAGTTGTAATTGCAAAAGCATATTCCAATAGTGCGGCAAATGTGATTTCATTTCAAAAATATTGCTTGTATAAACTTCCTATTGCTGAGAAATGTCATTCTCATTAGGACTTTCTTTTGAAATGTTGGTTGTGTTTGACAATGCTGGATACAGGTCTGAAATCATGTCAATACTAAAGTTTTGATTAATCACTGAAAAAGTATTGTCATTTTCCACAAGAAGCTCCATTTCTGGTTGTTGCATGGTGATGGCTAGAGAAGAATTTGGTTTTATCAAATTTCTATATTGATGTTTCAGTTTTTCAATCTTGTGTTTACGAGATTCTAATTTCTTCAAAATAGCTTGATTTGTAGGTTGTTGAGAAAGAGGTAACGAAAGGTCAGAACCGCTTGTACTGTTTGTTATCATTTTCAAATATCATAAAATGATTTGAAAATTGAAGAAATAATTATATAAAGAATCTTTTGGTTCACTTACCCACTATTCACAAAATTCGTGTCATGATTTGTTGAATTTGAATTGGAAACTGAAGAGTTAGATGCAAAAAATATATAATTAAGGCAAAATCGAGTTTTTAGAGAATTCCAAAAACTAATCCACTTGTCTGTTCAATTCAATAATCACCATTTCATTTTGTACAATAATAATTATTTTTGTGAGCTGCCTCTTCTACTTACCTAATTTTACAATGTAAAATTCTCTCTTCAATTCAATATACAATTTGGTAACATGTTTTGTTGGTAAGGAGGACAGCAGCGAGGCATTCTCTGTGGTAGCAATTTTTGCAACTTCCTTCTCTACAAGCTGAAGCTTGTTCAACAGAATAATTTTCTCAGCATCACACTCATTACTAAGCATGTCCAGTAAATGAGAATCATTCTCATTATGTTGTGACTGACATGCTTTTTTAAATTCCAAAAATCTATTCGATAATTGATAGTAGAAAGAGGAAATTTCAGTTTTAAAATTTTCTATGGCTTCCAATGTGAGATTTGGATTCTTCTCTTCAAGAATATCATACAAACATGAGGAGCGCTCTCCCAAAAAATTCTTTTGATTTTCCAAAAAATCCCTGCTGTCAGCAGAGTTTGAGGACTCAGCCGAGGTTGAATATGGAGAAAGCTCTGGTGTATTTGAGTGATGGATTGCTTGACCAGTAATTGCTATGGAATTATTGTTATTATTGTTCACACTCGTAGAATTGGAGATGGGGATTTGCAATTTCTTATTTGATGTTGCCCCATTATTCATAAAATGATTGAGTGTGGGTAGGCCATTATATTTTCGAACCATTTTCGATAATGTTCTGTCAATAAGATATTGAAATGGCCTAGTAATGGATTGTTGATTTCTGACACTTGTAGAAAACCATGCCAACAGTCCTGCATCTCTCACATAATTATCCAATGAATTAGAGTTGATAATGTGGGGTTTCATTTCTGCCTTGTGAGCAATTAATATCGTGTTAGGTATTAAATGAACTGGAATTTTCCCTCGCCATTGATCAATTGCAGAAACTGATTTCGCACTCGTAATGTCAAAGACTATTAAAATTCCATGACAATTTTCAAAATATCGAGAAACTGTTTTCTTAGAATGCTCACTGTGTGGAATATCTAAAATGTTCAATCTTACTGGAAACTGAATGGCAGTTTGCTTCTCAAGAGGAGCATTTCGGTATTTGCGAATTGGTTTTGAATACAAATCCACACCAATGGTGGGAATGTAGAGTCCATTGCTTGTCGGAGAGATCATCAGGGAGGGATGTTCATTGTTTTTCATGTACTTGTTAATGATGGCAGACTTTCCGACATTCGGACCACCAATAACAATAAACTTTAAATAATATTCTGGCTGTACATTGGGCACGATAGAATTGGTTAATGATTGATTTGTATTGAAAATGATATTTTGAATTTCCTGATTGAGCAGGTTTGTGTTGGTTGTTGTGGATGGTGATGATCTCAATGATGATGTAGTTTTTCGTGTTGCCTCAACTCCGTTTACACTCTGTTTTGGGATGGACTGTTGGAGTTGCATTACCGAATCCGAATTGTTGTTATGAGAGGAAATAGTACGACTTCCTTCCGATGAACGTTCATGTTTTAATTGTTGGCTACTTCCATTCCCATATTTATCATCAATCTTCTCCTCTCCGCTTCCATGAAAATTTGACGACGAGGTCGTGCCGTTCATAAGAGAGGAGGAAGATGATGATGATGAAATGTGTGCTCCTCCTCCTCCACTCAAACTAAACCTTTTCCACAAGTTTTTCATTTTTCTTTTTTGAGAGTTCCATTTTCCAATTTTTGAATGTGAAATGTGCATAAACCAGAAACTGAACAAACTCAATGCCAATCTCATCAATCCACTGAATATTGAAGCTGTTCTCTGTGGCTGTGGCAATGGTTTGATGAAGCATGCTTCGAGTGTTCATTGGCGGTTAGGAGATAACAAAAAAATATCAACATCAACATGCAAAGTCCCTTCCATCATGGTCGTCTTTGGGTGATACCGATATGAATCCTTTTGCAAGTATTAAGCACTATTTCCCAAACTTGGATCCCAATGTACTCAATGATAAAGATGTTTTGATCAAGTTGTTGGAGTTTGTTAAAATTATCACTCAGGAGAAAGAGAAAACTAAACAAATTCAGGAGGAAACAAGGCAGATGCAACAGAAAACAAAGCTGATGCAGGAGAAAACAAACCTCTTGATGGCACAGACAGAAATTGCAAAACTCCAACAAAGAATTCATCAGACGAAAAGACTGAGCAGCGCAAACCATTCCACCCCATCCAATCACGAATTTTATTTAAAAATCAAGGACTCCCTTACTCATGTCGATCAGCCTTATTGGTTAACAAGCTGCGATAAAGCAACAACAACTTGTAATTCACTTTTCGTCCAAAAAGCTTTTAAAACGGACGATGAGGTTCAAGATGCAATCCTCCAAATCCTTGAAAGAAATTTTTCAGAGCATGATTGTAAATTTACAGCTTTGGACACTAGAGATTATGTTACGATCGGAAACTACAAACCGTTCATGGTTCTTGTTTCCAAATGGCTGAACATCCATGACATTTCAGATTTGGCACAACAGGAAGGTTTGAGTAAAATTGTCGAAGCTGTTATTGAAGTGAAGGCTAAACTAAATGAGGAGGAACATATCGGGCAGGTGTTTAAATATTTGTATGAAGTGAGCAAGTACAACAAACATAGAAAAGTATTTATCGCAGCCTTGTTGTCTTATACTGAAATTCGGATTGTGCGCTTATACTTCAATGAAACAGAGGTTATCCATGAGATTAGTGCTCCTTTCGTATTATTTGATCCAAAGATTAAGAGCAATGATTACACTTCTCAAGGCCTCACCTATTTGTATTCAATGCTTCAATATGGTAATATTGAGGATCCAGTTCCAACTCCAGACTATTTTGTTACTGTAAAGAAATTATTGGGAACAGGTGGAACGTGTAACGTTTTTAAGGTTGTTATATCAGACTTCAAGACTCGAAAAAGAGATTGTGCTATGAAACTCTGTAACTCCCACCAAGACCATATATTGCAATCAATGAAAGATGAACAACAAATACTTGCAAGGATACAAGATATTCCACACACACCAAAGATGATCCACAAAAATCAGCATTGCGTTTTCTTTCCAGTGTATGAGCCCTTCGAAAACTTTATCCAAAACACTTTAGATGGTCAAAATATACTAAATTCTGTGGCGCCTCTAACTTCACTTCTCGAAGCAATTCACAAAAGAGAAATCTATCATAGAAATATCAAGCCAGAGAACATCTTACAAGATGCAAACGGCACGATTATTCTTGCAGACTGGGGATTCGCTATTGAAGAACGCGAATCTTTTTTTCAAGGATTCGCAGGAACAGCAGCTTTTTGTGCAGAAGAATATGTGAGAAATTGGATTGACAACAAAGGAATTGAATATAAGGCCTAAGGGAGTTTATTGAAATGTTTTTATGCCATGATATACCCACAAAAAAGATTGGAGTTAATATCCAAACTTAACCAACTGAAACATCAAGAGAAATTTCAATTAGCCCTTGATATTTGGAAAAACATCTCTGAACAAGATCCAACATTTAAGGCATATCTGAACGGTATTGTAGAAAGTACTGATCCTTATCAAGTATTGAGGGATTTTGTCAACTCGTATTTGGAAAATGGTGTTGATATTGGTGATGCTGACATTAGTGATATATCAGATGAAGAAATGATGGCAACATCATTTCTTAACGAAGATCCAAACCTCTTCGATCCTATTCAGAGGTAATTACTTCTTTGTTCCTTATTAGTACAGTTGTTGATGAAGTCTTTATTCATCCCTGCTGAACCCAAAACATGAACTCCAAAAAAATCTCTCTTGTTGTGTTGGCCAACAGTGAATGTTCAATAATGAATTTTTAGGAGAGACATAAATTTCATCACCCATAAACTCTACGAAAATGAAAACAACAACTTTTATTTTAATCACGACCATCATTGTTATCATCATCAATATTATCAATACGAGCATCATCATGGCCTCCGATGGAGTTCAATGGAATGTCTGTAATCATTACGAGGATTTTTCAATTGTTGAAAATACAAAATATATTTCACATCAAAGTTTGAATGATCAACAATTTCGTCGATATTTTACCATGATTGATGCTGTCAATTACATGAGTAAGTGATGTCAAACTCAATAATAGTTGGTCCATATTCTAAATTCAAAATATGGAAACAACTACATGATTTTCAAACCACATGTATTTATTAATTTTTGGTATTACAACAACAACACGGTTCCACCAATTTTTATGATTTCAATTTTTTTGTTAAATAATTCACACAATTCACAAATAATAATTCTAATGATGACGAACAGATTCTCTCAAAAACGAAACTTATCGAACCAAAGCCGAATGTACTCAAATCAATGTTCCACTCGATCACTCCGCACCTCAGTCCGAAATGATTAAATTATTTGTCAAGCGAATGAGAGCCGATTCCACAAAGAATGCTCCTCGTGCATTATGGCTATTAGCTGGAGGCCCAGGAGAGGCCAGCAATGTTTTTGATTTGGATATGGACTTGTTAGTAAAATTGTTAGGTGGTCAATTCGATGTTTACACAACAGATCATCGAGGAGTTGGTCGAAGCAGTCGTGTCACATGTGTCACAACACAAGCAGAAACTCCAGGAAGTGATGAAGGAGTTGTTATTAGTGAAAAGGAATGGACAAAGAATGGATGTGCTCAAGCTTTTGCAAATGAATGGCCTGGAAAAACTCATCTCTTTTCTTCAAAGGTAAGTTTTTGTGCAATGGTGCAATGGTCACACTGAGAATGTGACACTGTGATGCGCACCCAAATCGATCTTGAAATAATTTTGGTCAATATTGCCTTATTATTGAATTGCTTTTACAACAAACGTGAAATTTCAAACAGCAAGCTGGAATTGATATGGTCAAACTCATTCAATCCATCAATGCTCCTCAAAATCAACAAGTATTCGTATTGGGTCAATCGTATGGTACTGTTTGGGTTTCCAGAATGATTCGTTATTTAGAATTGACTGGTAATGAGGGTTTAATTTCCGGGTACATCATGGACGGAGTTGTCAATGTCATTGGAAAGCCAGCTCCAATGGGAATGAACGAAAAAGTGAAAACAGGAAGTCTTACCCTCAATTTATTTGATGAAGATTTCACAGCAGTTGGAAATGCTTTCATGCAACTTTGTGGTGGAAATTTCTCTGGAATTGCAACTTCTCAATTTGTGGAAGAAGGTCGTGACACTTCCATTCTTCACAACAAACAAGTTTACTTAAATTTCAAGAATGAATGTAAAGATAAGTTTGAAAAAGTTTTCAATTCAAAGAATGATGGAAATTTAATCTCCTATATGCACCAAATATTGAGAAGTGTCTATGTGAACGATACTTGTCGACCAGTTTCAGAAGGAATTTCACTTTTAGAATGGAAAGGAATTTTTGATCATTTAATTTCAGATCAATATGGTCGAATGCTCATTCCTGCAATTTTTTATCGAATGGATCGATGCGATGAATATGTAGATATTCCATTTTTACTTCATATCAAGAAGATTTTCATGACAACCACCACTACGACTACTACGACTACGACTCAGACAACACAAAAGGTACCTCTCATGTCACTTGTTCTTAGATACAATATTGCATTTTCTGAAATGTGGGATCCAAATGTGAAATTGGAACAATTAATGAACGAGTTCAATAGCTCAGAAATTTTAATGGGTGGAATTGGAGTTTCTCTTGCATCCAGATTGGATGTTACTCAATGGCCCACCTACACACTTGATGCTGATTATTTTCAACAAAAATTCACCACCAACACTCCTCTTTTAATCTTAAATGGTAATTTAGATCCAAATACTCCATTATGGTCAGCATTGGCACTTAATGCATCGATTGGTGGAAATTCACATGATCTTGTGATTATTCCATTCTCTGTTCATGGCACTTTGGAATCGAGTCCAACTGTTGGAGAGTCATTTATTCCTGTTGGAATGCAATTATTGGTCAATTTCATCACTATGGAACATCCAAATGTGTTTCTCATGAATCGAACTTGTTTGGATGAAATTAATTTCAATTTCACAGGATCCTATTTTTACAATCAACGAGTATTTGGAGTTTATAATCTATATGAAGATTCTTACATTTCAGATTCAGAAGTGCCCTATGTGAGTTTATATCTCACAGTTGGAATATTTATTGCGGTTTTAGCGATTGCTGTCGGCATTGTAAATTTCTTAATTTATTATATTGTCAAGTTGAGAGATGAACAAAAGTTGAGAAATGAAGAAAATGTTCCAATCCTAACAGCAGTAGATTCCTCTTCTGCATCGTTGGATGTCCGAAGAGGTTATCAACAATAATGCATTCCACCTATAATGAGCTAGCTCATTAAACGACGATTTCAATATTGAAATTTCATTCACACAAAGCAAATACATATCGACACATGTGGTGTAATATTTAACTCAACAACAAAGTTTACTTGAAAATGGTGACATCATAACCACTACACACATAAAGCTCTCCTGTCATTTCATTGATGCACATTCCATGTAACTTGACACATTCAAGAGTCAAGTGTTTAACCGATTCTCCTTCTTGGTTGGTAAGAATTCGAATGTCACCTTTTGGACCACTGGTCAAAATATAGTTAAAAACAGAATCCCACACAACACCATTGATCGTTCTTGTTGGAATATTGTTTGCAAACTCTTTTGTCTTTTTCCAAGAATAGTTGGTGGAATAATCGCTTTGCATCCAAACAGTCCCAACCTGTGTATAGACAAGCATGGTAGAGATCAAAACAGCTTGTGGTGAGACAAAGGACCACGAAAATGGAAGGATGGAAATGTGTGTAGGTGGCAACAGTGTTTGAATCTCGGTATTCTTGGAATCAAGTATGTGGATTGGAGGGAATTGATGAAAGTGACAACTCAAGTTGGTTCAAAAACATATTTACATCACCACACATGGTCGTAATTTGCGCTTGGATCTCGTCTTCAAGATGTTTCCCTCTCCAATAGGATGAGCCAAGCTCTGGAGGCCCTCTTCAGAAGCTTTTCTAGTTTCTCGTACCCAGAGTTCAAATGCCTCTTTGACATTCCATCTCGTTTTGGCAGAGGTTTCAATGACGTGAGGAATTCCCAAATCCTTTGCCAACATTCTCGCTTCCTGCATGAAACATTCTCGCTGTGAATCCAAGTCACACTTATTACAAACGAGAACCATTGGTTTCTCTTCGTGTTCCTTCACTCGTAAAATGTGTTCGTGAAATTCTCGGATGGCATACATACTCTTTCGATCAGTCACACTCAACACCAAGAGAAAAGCAGAGGCACTTCTCATGTATGAGTCTCGTAAAATCTTGTATTCGTCTTGACCTGATGTATCGACAATCTCCAACAAGCATGCCTTGTTATCAATTCGTGTTCGTTTCGTGTAAGAGTCTTCAATAGTTGGGTCGTATTCCTCAGTGAAGATGTGTTGAATGTATTGAATGGTGAGCGCCGATTTTCCAACATTTTCTGAGCCCACTACAGCAATGTGATATACTGTGAGGGTAGACAATGAGGATGTCATGCTGGTGGTCATGGTTGAAAAGGAGGTTGCAGAAGTTGAATGCTCCATCATCATTGGGGTTGTATTCTCAACAAGCGGCCAAGTGCGCTGGTGTAGTTCTTTTTTAAAGTTGAAAAATTCAGTTTTCTTCAAGACTGTTCACCATTTGAATCAATCTATATTTAGATAATTAGTCAGTGAACTTAGACAGTACGAGAAGAACTCAAGATTTATCTCCAATCTTTCAATGAATATTGCCACAATAATGCTCAACAAAGAGTCACTTCTCACAAAAAAGTCAACTATTCCGAGTGGAAACTCTTAAAATCCACTATTGAGGCTGTTTTCATTCAAATTTTCGAGCACTTTTTTTGCAGCAATTTTATCCAGTGGTCTTCTAAAAGTAACTGTGTCCATCTTTTTACAAATTTCAAAATCACAATATCCGCTCGATTGAGGTCGAAATAAAACAAGTCCATACCGAAGCATCGAATAAAAAATGTTCATAGGAATTTGTTCAATGAATTTCACGTATGGAACGACATGATTGGGTGCATTGAGAAGCATTTTCCATGCAGTGACAACATGCTCCTTTTCCCATAAAACAGGAGATGAAACTTGCGCTCTCAGTAATTTTCCATACAATTCTGGATATAGAACTTGTGAGAATTTAGATATAGTGGCACCTAGATCAGGATAATCTTCTACTTTTTGTTGAGTGGTGTAGTAAAGCTCAACAAATTTGCTTAAATCATGAAGTCTTCCTCCTAAAATGCTGTAAACTTGCTCAAAATCAGGAGGAGATGGAATTGGTTTTTCTTTTGAATTAAATTGGCACGAAAAAGAGGAAACAAATTTTTCATAGGCACTCTGAGCCTCATGTTTTGGTAAATCACCTAAACCAATGATTTGTAAATTATCTCTGAATGGAATATCCATCATGAAATCATAGTAAAATAAGGGTGAGCACGTCAATAATACTCTGTAAATATTGTGTTAATTCATGATCACAACTCAGGGAATGATTGTTTTTTGATCACACCACACACATACCTAATATTTCGATAATCACGAGTTAAGTTAATTAACCATAACATGAAATATTCCAATGCTCGTAAACCCACAACATCTCTGGTTAAAGAAGAAAATGCTTCCATATGATTCACGAAAAATAGGTGAGGCTTATTGGCAGGAATCACCACTTCCTTAAATCTTCGAAGAGCTCTTTTGAATCGATTTAAGGACTCTGATGCCTCTTGCTCTCTGTTTTTGGTGTCATTGGTGACCTCCTCAAGCGCATCTAGCTCTCCTCTCAATGTCTTGGCTAATCCACGAATAATACTCGCAATTGCATCATTGACATCAAAAGTTTTGTTCGAAAATCGTTCCTCCAAACCATGCACATCATCAAAAGGAGAATTTCTAATATCCATGTGTGTAAGTTCGTGAGGATATGCTTCCAAAACTGCCTTTGTAGCCAACTTGCTTCTCCCTGATTGGGGAATGCCCACGATTATCAAGAATCAAGATACTGTGATAGAAGAAACGTTTTCATCATATCCACCATGACGGAGTAATGATTCGAGATACTCAAATACTCAACCTTAAAAATTTACCAAATATTTACCAAAATTGGCCTGAAATCCAAATAATTCTCACCTTACTAGTTGGTAAATGTCACACCAAATACTATGAAAACTCAAGATTCAAAAAACCATTTCAAAAACAATCCCCAATCCTCACGGATTTACCAGCACCAATGGTGCTAACAATAAACTAATTAGATTTTTTTTTGTAATACCGATCCCACTTGGGGTCAATCAAACTTTCAATGAGGTAATTTAATTAAACAGGTTCGACGGATTGGATCGGATTGCTCCAGCGATTATTTTTGAACTTTCTATCAGTCAATCCAATCTATTTAAATTTCCTCAATAAAATTTTTAATGGTCTTTTCTGCAGGGACACTTTATTTGAAAAGATGGCTTGAACTTGGTCGAAATAATAGGGAGTAAGAAAATACGACTCTCTTTAATTCATAACAAAAGAAAATTCATTCTCTTACTCCAATCATGCAAATTCCGAGACAGCCCTTTTTAATGTGCGGCAGATGATAGTACCACTTATCACCTTAGAAGGATGGATGTATCAACAAGGGACATTTTATGTGACACCACCACAGCCTCCACGAATTCTCTGAATGGATGTGAAAACCGACCGTCAAATGTTGAGATGTCGACACTTTGATTTCAGACAAAAACTTATTGAGAAGGCTCGAATGCATGCATGCAAGGTTCATGGCATTCAATGAACATCATCTGGTGGCAACTTTGAACTTTGAATTGTTAATCATTCAAGAATTTGAGAAGAAACAATCTCTTATGAATAACGAACCATTCTGAAGAATCAGCCCTTCTCTCAGAGTTTCATCCATGACAAGTAATAATTAATCATTCCAGAGCGACCACATGAGCTTCTTTTTGCACCTTATACACCTCCAACCAGTTCAAATATTGCTTTGTTTGCTGCATTCTATGATACGTGTCAGAAAGATTCTTCAACAACTCAACAAAAAGAGAGAGAATCACTTTTTCCTTCTTTTCTTTCATCTCTTTTTCATTGAGCTCATTATTGCTGAGTTGACGAATCAATTCGGACAAATCTTTTTTCACTTGTGATGGTAAATTCACTTCATATTTCGAATAAGGTGACACATATTGTTGTTCCATGAGTTTCATTGTATTTAAATCCATACTTTTTCCAGTCTTATAATCATAAATAAACTCAAAAAAAGGCAATATTTTCATAGGAAAATTCCTTAGCAGAATATTCTGAAATGAGAGCATAAAATTCCTTATTGTGCCTCATGAGATGTTCCAATTCACCATTCTCTGCCTTTCTTTTTTTGAAAAGGACATGTTTGGCCAATTCCAACAGCATTACATTTCCACCACACACTTGTATAATACAAATGGAAATGAATACATCCATCACTGCATAGACGACACCAACGATGGTACTGGTAATTATATAAATAATCAAGAACAACAAGATCAACACAGTACAAATAAGGTCAATTCTCAAATAGAAAGGATCATCAAAAAGTAAAAACTTGTAAATACCAAATCTCTTAATATTGGTTCTATTCAAAATGGCATCAACAATAAACGTGCCTGTACTCATCAATACTGCAAGAATGACCACAGCAACACCAGTATAATTGATCCCTTGATAAATTTCCATCACCACAAGAGACGAAGAGATGGGAATGAGCACAACAATGTTGAATACAAGAGCAGCCAACACCGAGAGTAAAATTCCAGCTAGAGCCGAACCCATAACTCTGTGAACTTTGGTCCATGAATCCCTCGATGTGGTCTTGGTCATGAATGTGTATAAATTTCTTAAATAAAAGAATCGAATGGTTGTGGCAAAGTAAACAGCTACAACGACTAGAACAGAACCTAGTGGTACAATTCTGAAAAGGGAAAAACAAACTCGTTGTGAGAGAGAAGTATTACTCCAATTTCGAAGAATTCCAAAAATGGGTAAATAAGGTAATATCAATCGTCGCTTCATGGCATAGTTTTTAAACATTCCTGTCGAAAAGAATATTATATAATATAAAATAGTAATTCCAATAGCAATGTAACTTGCATAGTCTTGTTCATCCAAATCGATACAAATTGAGTATGGGCAATAGTTGCAATTCGATGCAGAAATCATCGAGAGAACACTATCGATCGTTTGATTGAATGTGACACTTCCTAATTCTCCACTCTGAAAGACTTGAGAAAGGTACTTTTGATCGTATAGAATCGATACATTCCACAATTTTCCAAAGACATCCATATCGTATGGTGTAAAATTTAGAAATGAAAATCCATATTTCATCCAAGCAGAATCTCGATTCAAAATATTCTCATTTCCACACTCTTGAGGAATGTTCAAATATTTTGTTTGATTTTGAATGGCATTTTGCAAAAAGGAGACCACAAGTGTTTCATTCCAACTCTCCATTGGGTTTACAATGGGTAAAAGAAAAACAATTCTTGGAGATAAGGGATAGATCCATAAATCCTGCAAACTGGTCCATTGTCCAGTGTGGTCTATAATTTCTGCATTATCTTTGAATCTTTTGAAAACACTCGGCGATGATGTCTGAATGAATGCATCGACATCCACCATGGTATTTCCAGTCAAACAATCCCGATTCGATGATATTGCCTTCGTTTTGATGTTGTAATTTCCAGGAAATTGACTTTTCATGAATGGTTCATTGAAGATTCTAAAATAAGAACTGTCCGATGAGATGGCCAAGATGGGAGGTGATGAAGAGGAGTTAGAGGAGGAATCGTTTGTCATCATTGGTGAAATTTTGTCAAACAAATCGTTCAAAGTCTCTGGTTTTTGAACAATGTGTTTGAATCGTTGCATGAACTTGTTCCTCCACACAAACAAGAAGACATACTCACTCACACCAATGACTCGAGAGGTTTTTAGAATTTCTTGTGATGACTTGGGGTCCGAGAGAATTGACAACAAGTTGAGTGTTTTCACATTTGAGAATGTTTGGAGGAGTGTGTTGGGTGATTGTGGTTGGAAACGTTGAGAATGAATAACAGTGATCTCCATGGAGAGGAATAGCAAGGCGGTGAGAAGAAGGTAGAAGGTTTTAGAGTGTGTTTGACAGCACCTATCACGATCACCATGGATGATTTGGAGCCAAGACATTTTTTGTGGAAGATGTCATGATGGTTCTGAATGTCGCTAAGATGCCATAGACGTTAGAAATGTTCACCAAATAAATTTCACTATTTCCTCGTTTGTGTTTCTTATTGGATCGCTGCATTTTTCCTTTTAATTTTCATTGTTTTTGTTTGTTACGATCAGTGATTCTTTCACTCGAAGATGCAAGTTGATGTTATTTACAAAATGATATCAGTTAGAGACATGCAATAGCTCAGAACTCAATGAGACCAACTTGTCATCAATGATTACATTCGACACTGATTTTTCACAATTCTCAATTGATCACAACAACTTGCTCAATGTTCTGAAAATCGTCACCTCACCGCATGAAATAATAGAAATAATTCTTTATACATAGCTGACATAACAATCCTCCAATGTAAGATAACTTATTAACATGTCTAAATAACACAAGGTGATATAGCTCAGTCGGTAGAGCGTTGGTCTAATAAGCCATTGGTCGTCGGTTCAATCCCGACTATCACCAATAATTTTTATTTCCAACAATTTAAATTGAGTAAATAACCCCGATACAAAGTCGGAACAGAACTAAACTCCGGTAAAAAATGAAGAGATTTCTCAAAGAGTTTTTTGCTGGCTCTCGGAGTGGTGATGATCAATCTCATGAAGCACCTCCCATTGAAGAGTGGAAGAAGGAAGATTTTGTCAAATGGCTCAAAGAGAAGGATTTTAATGATTTCATCGTTGACTGTATGTACACTTGTTTGAAATCATTAAAATCTATATATTTTGATGATCTAATAATAATTAAACTGTTCGTATCCTTCAATAATAATTTAAATGATGATTTATATGTGGCACCACTACTACAAACACACCACAAACACACTACCTCCAACAGCCGTAAGAGAGAGTTCTTATTTTGATGAAGTGCTTGATTTTACAAAACTCACTCTTCATGATTTGGTGGTGGTACTGCCCAACGATTCTGCAGTGGATGTTCTCAATGCATTGTCCGGTGATTATCCCTTGATTTATGAGTCTGTGAAAATCAGTAATAATAATAACTTTGATAATTATTTACAAAGTTCTGATTCGGTTCATGTCGTTCGCATGGATAATATGACTCAAGCGCTTCAGAATTTACCGAAAAGTAATGCCAATAGTAATGGAAAATATCAGCAACGCACAATCTCGAGCGATTTAGATTTCAACAATAAGAATCTCTCTCAAAGTACAAATTACGATGATTCCAATAACAAATCTTCTCCTCGCAACTCCGATGAAGAGGATGTATCATCTCCGACCTCATCCCGAACCACCTCTGTGTCAGCCAAACATGTGGAAGTGAATGCTTCATTGATTGAAAGCTTTTTACAGAGAAAGAGAAAAATATTTACTGAAAAGACAATTCCCTTTTCGAAATTTGACAAGGACTCGTGTCTTGCCAAAGATATTGAATTTCCAGCATGTCACAGTGAAGGCTTTTCATTAACACTTCCCAAATTTACCAAACTCTCTGCTCAAGAAAGCCATTATGTCGAGAATATTTTGGAGAAATTGAAAGCCATTGAACTGAGCTGTTCCAATGAGAATGAAAAAATTGAAGAAATTGCCCAAAATTTGGCAATACCTGAAAGATTTAAATATATTTATTTAAACCCAGAAAATATTGATATCCATGCATTGGACAGCACAAATGAAAAGCCATACATTACCATTCAATTGTTATTGAACTATAGAAGCGATCTCAAGGACGAAGAATACCCAGTAGGAGCCTTCTACTTTTCTGTCGCCATTGGATTGTTTTGCATTGAATGGAACGATCAAAGTGTGGCTTGTGTTCGAAGAAAGGATATTACCAACTCGGAATTTATTGAAATTGAAACCATTTATACGCTCTATGAAATTGATGCTTTACTAACAACTGTGTCAAAGGTTTGCACAGAGTGGAATTCTACAAGAAAATTCGACATCAAAAAGTGTAACCAACAACACTTTGTCGTTGACATGCTTCATCGGTTGAATATCATGTCCGTCATTAATCATAATCGATTCTATGAAGCGACAGAAACAAAGAAAAAGAAGAGAACAAAGATCAAGCAAGCATTTGCTCCCTACCTTAATTATGGACACTTTGGCACGTGGATTTCAATTTCTGCATCGTTATGGTACAAATTATTGTCGAAAAGTTCATCTGCGGAGTCTGAAAGCAACATTAGTGAAGACTTAAAACAAGCATTGTTCAATGCCATTTTCGAAGAGGAAATTTTAACTCCATCTACTGAGTAAGTATTACATGGAATAGTCATTGTGTGACATTAGTTTCAACGAAATTTGCCGTCATGTATGTGTATACTCCATTCTCTCATTTTCAAATTGTTTGAACCAGAATTGATTTGACAAGCATTCAGAACAACATTTCTAACGATGACAAACTTGTCATTCTACACTTCCCTTCTTCATCTTGCATTAAAGAATTTGGCTCATTGACCACAAGTTTTGGAATGAAAACTGAAACAGAACCAAATTTCACATTGTCTCTGTTGAGAGTTTTTTACAAATCCATGAAATCTTCAACAACAGATGATGAATTTCCTTCTAGCAACAGCACAACTGCACTCGTTTCTACCAAACCATCTTGCTGTTTGACCGGATACACACTTTCTCCACCCAGAAGATGACAAGAGTCGATTTCTTTCTTCAATGTTCAACAAAGCTGCCTTTTGTGACGAAAATAAAGTTGTTTTTTTATTTATCTCAGAGAAGTACTTGTTGGAACCACATACTCAGCCAACACATCTTCTACTTGAGACGAGTTTGAATTGGAAGAGAATAATTTGGTGAACCAATTATAATTGAGACGCAAGGAAGGAGTGGCTTTTCTATGAGGACTTGTCAAGGAACCACTTGAACCTTGTCTTGGTGAAGTTAATCCGTGATGAGTGTTGTTGTTACTGTTGTTGCTGCTATTACTTAGAGAAACCAATGGAACTCCTGGAACATGAGGTGGAATAATATCGATTCGACATTTCACTGGTTGTGTGAGAACTGAGTTCGTCCTCGTTTGATTACCACCACTGAATCGTTTCACCTCATTCTTCACAGAGAAGAAGAGACGACAAATTCTTTCAGCTTCAAATCTCTGTTCAGGCGACAAGATCATAAAGGTCGAATTCTCATCATGAAGATCTCTCGAACCAGAACAAGTCCAATCAATGTCTCTCAATGAAACCTCAATGGCTTGAATGAATTGAGGGTTTTCACGAGAATTGAAAAATAACTCCACTTGCCATGTAATGTGAAACAATTCCAAAAATTCGGATCGAGGTGGTCCTTGTTTGTTGTTGTTGTTTGAAGTGTTCATTGGACCTTTCATCGATGAAGAAAATAATTTTGGATTATTTTTGGTTAACATGCAATCGGTTCGTTGATGCAAAACACTCAACTTGTCGCCATAATCTCTAAAGGTCACCGTCCATGTTCCACGAATATCCTTAAACTGATCGATGGTAATGGCAGCTTCCTTTTGAGGAAGTTGTGAAATACTATTTTTGAGAGTCATGATGCACTGAGCGACTTGACCCAATGTTCCAACCACCACAGATTGATCAATCAGACACAAGACTTTAAGCATGGGATGCGGTTTTTCTTCTGGTGGTGTGATTACATTGAAAGAACTCGTTCTTTGATGGTGCGTGCTTGATGTTGTTTCGGATGACATTTGACTTGAGGCAGCAGCTGGTTGATGACGTTGTCTCTTCACACACAAGGTTCTAAAAACATTGACCAAATCATCGGGTTGAACATTTTGTGATTGGAATGTATTCGTCAAGTCTTGATAACACTCAAGAGTGCAGAATTTACCGCCATTCTTGTTGGCATCTGACTTTTCAAAGAGATGATGAGTGGCATTAATAATTTCAATCATTCTTAAAGTGGGATCTTCAATTTGAGAAAAATCATGAATTCTCTTGAATTTATCTGTGTGTAAAGTGGACAAATTGGTGTTAGAGAGAACTCGTGTGTGCGCTTGTTGCGGATTGACAGGTTCGAATTGATCGATGCTCATACAGTGAGACATTCGAAGTAAGTCTCTCGTGAATTTCATGTTGGTACTCGCATTCTTAAACTCTTCTTCTCCATTCGAAGCTTGAATCCAACTTTCTGTTTGCTTGTAAATCATTTCGTTGAACTTTTTACCTAATTTGGCAAGTGAGGCTTCGATACAAAAAGGTTCCAAACCTTTGTATGCCTGTGGAAATTGTTCCAATGGATTATAACTGATAGAATTCGATCTGGCAGGTGAGGTTTGTTGTTTGGTTGAAGTCGTTGGAGAAGAAGGTAAACGAGGTGATTGTAAAGAAGAGTTTGAAGCATCTTCTCTACCTAAAAGTTGTCCAGGAAGGAATTTTAAGGACATGGAACGACCATGGACATGCTTAGAAGCGCTCAAGTTTTGACTATTGTTGTTGAGGCTGTTTTGTTCTCGAGCATGCTTATCCATTCCCTTGACATCTGACACTCCCAACGGATTCATCATTGAAGAGGATTTTCTGGACGAGAAGGATCTATTTCCACCTTGTTGTTGTTGTTGCATTGGATTATACGCCTCAATAATGGATGAATCTTGTCTTCTCACTCCTCTCTCATTGGGTGGAGTCAATTTGAGTTGTTTGGATCGATCTGGAGTCGTTGGAGTTTTCAAGAGAGATTTTTCACAATTACCATCACAACCATCACCACCACCACGAGTCGTTAACGAACTTGCAATAGATTCTGATCGTGGAGAATACGATTCCAACATGTCATGGAGAGTGTCATTTGAATAATTTCTCTTTCGTTTGAGTGGAGAGGAATGTTGTTGTTGTTCGAGAGCTCCATTTTCTAAGGATGGATTGGAATGTTTGGTCTTTTTGTGGTCAATGAAGGAAGAAGCTCGTTGGTGGTGATGATGATTGCGATTGGATTGAACGGTGGAAGTGGTGGTGAAGGATCCGGTGGTGGAGGTGGAAGTGGTGGTTGTGGAGGTGGAATTGATTTTGAAAAGGTTACTGAGAAAGGATTTCATGGGAGAGTGTGTGTATGGGATATGGTTGATGATGACGACAAAGGTGGAGGAGAATTGATTTCACAAATCCAGTAGGATTAATTTTTTTTACATGATTTTTTAAATTTGACATTTGGCAGTTAATCAAAGAACGCGCGAAAGATTTGTAACGGCTAGTCGGGGTGAACAAAAGAGGATTGAATAAGGCCAAAACCAGAGTGAGATGAGACCACTGGAAACACTTCCATTCAAGACAACATGATACATTCCAAAACATGTATAACTCAACTGTAAAACAACCTCTGAATTGTTGTTCAATTCCTTCCAATATCTCCAAACATTCCAAGTTGTATGCAACTCGAGAGAGAGATGATGAATTTCTGCTCGGTTTCTCTCTTTTTGGATTTTATCTTCATGGATGATCGTTGTTGAACTTGTAGATTATACAACTTCAATATCTTCTCTCCTCAACAATCATGAATGTCATGACACTCTCTCCACCACAATCCCACACATTCTGCACTACAAAAAAAAGAGTGAAAACACAAGTGTCACTTGATTCATCACTTGGTCTGCTGATCAGTTCATTGAATGTCTTCTGATATTTCTCCTCATACAACCTTACCTTTAAATACGTCCTCATCCAAAGGAACAACATCTTCTTTGATGGAGGAATTGTTGCAATCGGCAACCACAGCGAGACCTGTCACGCTGAAAATTGTCATGCTGTTTGTGATTTTGTCTCTGTTCTTTTGTACGATCATGGTACTTGTTTCGAGTGGTGTGTTTGTGAATAAGTGTCAATTGTCAGAAATTGTCACTAAGAACGATATGAGAGCAGGTCATTCAGCGACATCTTCCAATGGCCCTCTTCCATCATATGTGACAAGAGAACCCATGTCAACAAGACTTTCGGTTGAAATTGATGCTGCCATGAAGCGTCGACGTGCCCGAAAGAATTTGAAACCCATGGCATCATCAACAAATTCAAATCCTCCTTCAACCAATGAAGTGATAGGAAAAACAATACAAGAGGAAACACCCATCAAGTCAAAAACTAAACTCTTGTTAGGTCATCATCGATGCAATCGGTATGGTAAAGTTGCAGGAATGCCCATCATGGTCCCAAAAGGAGGTCCCTATATTTATACACCACAAGATACTGTAATGGCCACTTGTCACATTAATAACTTGTGCATGACTTCGACAGGAGAGTTTGTCTTATTTCAATCAACGGATCGACTCGTTGGAGAGGTCATGTTTGAAAAGTTGAATTCTCAACCATGGGTTTGGGTCCAAGGATCGACCATCATGTCCGAGAGAGGAAACTTTTTCATTAAATTGGTCGATGGAGATTTAGTATTAAAATATTCGACAACAAAGGATAAGACCAAAGTATTTGAACGTGCCTATGTGAGGAAATTGATTCGAAATGTCACCACCAATGCTGTCAAGGAAGAGTTCGAACCCATTGCATTTGCTGAGAATTTCACAATCTACGACAAACCCTTGTTTGCTTTGAAAAGATTTGCATCAGGAAATGTTGGTCACGTCATTTCAGAAGCTCTTGGAATGATTACAGGTTTAATGATGAATTTCAATCCAGAGGGTCCATGGGAAGATCATCACATTTTGTACTTGGATGATGTTTTTGACATGTCTGGCAACAATTGGATGGGTGCTTATGAATACGACCCAAGACATGCTACTCGATATTCGATACAAGGTGGTCAACTCATTAGCAAAAATCCCATTCTTCAAAGATGCCATCAAAATGGAGCTTGGAAAATTCTCCCAGCCCCTTGCTCAAATAATTTTGACAAGTCAGCAACTGCTTCCTCAGAAGCACCTGTCACTCTTCAAGCGTGTTTCTCCAATTTTTATGCTGGTCACACAATTACGAACATGGTTTCACATCCCTACGGAAAAGAAAGTCTCTACATGAAACTCAAGACCATTGTGTTCAAGAATTTGGGAATCTTTCCATTTGATCAACATTACTCAGAGTCGGAAAAAACTGTAAAAATGAAGAAATATGTCATGGAGAAGGATATTGTAATTGCCATGAATCGAAAACTTCCATCCGGTCGTCACGGACAAGCCATTCATAATGTCGATGAAGTTGTCGAGTATCTGAAAGAAAATATTCAAAAAGATCCATTCATTCAAAAACTCGTCAATACCTTCAAGAAGAAATTAGTGATTGATTCATTGGTGTTATCTGATTTTCCAACCATTAAGGATCAAATTCATTACTTTTCCAATGTTGACGTCTACATTTCTGATCCTGGAAGTGCTGCCTATTATGCCATGTTTTTCAGAGATGACACTTCACTCTTCCTTCCACCAACGTGTCACATCAAAGAGAATGAATTGAAGTGTCAACCCTCGCATGGTATTAAGGTTTTGCAATCACTTCCTAGTGTTGAAATTGCAGATATTATGGAGATTAATGGTGGACCAATTCCTTGTAATTTGAGACCAACGGTCTTGTTCCCAGACAATTGTGATGTCATATTACCAAAGGACATTGTCTTAAATTCTGTGTTGAGAGCAGTCAAAAGAAGATATCGAGAGTTGTTGACTCTTGAGGATACCTTCATGTAATGGAATTCAATGCAGAAGATCTCCGAGAAATCAAGTCTCTCCGGAGTTACAGATCTGTAAATAATTCTTCCCTGTGATCATTTTCGTTTGTCAATTCAAACGAAAAAAGCGTTCGAACAATTCCATGAATACAAGTTGCCTATGATGTCATGAATTGTAACCTTCATGATCGTTTATTGGTCCCTGTTTTGTAATAAAAAGGAAGAAAAAGTTCATCCACACAATACTTAACACACGCTCACAAGTGGCTCCTAAGAGCTCCTTGAAGAAAGAAAAATCATTAATTTCACTCCTCTTTCAAAATCTCTTCAATTTATTCGACACTCGTACATAATAATGTTCGATCCCATGCACGAAGATGAAGAAGAGTACTGCTACTCGGACCCAGCTTCTTCTTACGGTGATGATCCAGTAGAAAGCAGCAGCTCTTCAAGAAATCGCGGATTGATCCTTCAAGTCCGTGAACCCACTCCAGAAGATGTTTCTTCCTTGATGTTCTTGGGAACAGCTATTTCATCATCAAAAAAGCCTTCATCATCATCATCATCATCAACCACTACCACACAGGACCCTCTCTCGGAACAAGAAACCAATGATCTTCTTCACCGTTTACCTCCCATTCAAGCCTCTAGCAATAACTCTCAGGATTTCTTCATGATGAGAGAGAAATCTCTCAAACCTCCTTGTGCCGCTGAGACCATTCATCAGATCTTTCCTCCCGAACAATTGGAGAAACCAGAACAATTGAAACTCGAGGAGGAAGCCTTGAATGGTTCCTCTCTCCGAGTGCTGAGATATTTGCCTGAAGGGAAAATGGATCGATCCGTTCCTCATATCAGCATGACCTTCTCTCAACCCATGATTGAGTTGTCGAGTGTGGAGAATGTAGAGAGCGTGAATGTTTTGGACTTTATTGAAATTAACCCCATGCCAAAGAATGGTGGAAGACTCAAGTGGATGGGCACTCGAACTGTCTTGTTTGAACCTTTGTATCGATTTGACATGTCCACACGATACACAGTCACTATTAAGGCTGACAAGGTCAAGTCTGTCATTGGTGGAGTGATGGAGAAGGATGTTGTTTTTACATTTGAATCACCACGATTGGCCATGTTAAAAAGAGTTCCAAATTCATCCATCGTTCCTCTGAATGAGTTTCCAATCTTCTATATGGAATTTGATCAGGAGATTGATCCTGCTGTGTTGATGAATCATATTGCCGTCAATAGTGGTTACAGAGCTCAATTGGTGCTTAATGATGGTCGTTCCGATAAGAATGAGCAAGTGAAAAAGTTCATTGAGAACTTGTTGAATGAGTACAATATGAAAAAACGAAATCTCTCGCTCTATGAGGAGGTGATGTATAGCTTGAACAATGCTCCTCCCAATCGACACTTGTGGTTCATGATCGATGTCAATTCAAAGAGAGTGTCACTTTCAGAGTCTGTGCAAGTTGTTTTGCGTGCTGGAGCCACCTCATCTGAAGGCAATCTTCCAACCGAGGCTGATATTAGTTTCTCGGTGCGAAATTATGCTCCTTTCACTGTCCAAAATACCTACGGTGGTACAAAGCCCTTAGAAGCCTTCCAATTCGTATTCTCTAATAGTATTGATTATGAAGAGCTCCAAGAAGCTCATGTCAAGGCAATGCCAAGCATTGAAAGATTTGAACTTCAACCCTCCTCGACCAGTTTGTATGTGAAAGGAAAGATTTTGGGAAGAACAGAATATGTGGTCGAGTTGAGTGAAGACATGCGTGATGTGTACGGACAGAAATTACAAGGAAATCGAACATTTAAATTCAATGTTGGAGGTGCAGCTCAAAGCTTGAGTGCCTTCCAGACGGGTCTCATTGTCTTGGATCCAACAGTGAATACGAAACCTGTGTATTCTGTATTCTCTGTAAATCTGAATGCTATTCATGTGCAAGTGTATCAAGTGACACCTGCAAATTATAGTAGCGACTTGTTCTATGTGGATACATACTCACACTCTGTAAAGACTTTCCCTGGAAAGAAAGTTATGGATTCAACCATTAACACCAATGGAAAACAAGACGAACCAACAATTACTGAAATTGATTTGTCCCTCTATTTACAATATCCAAAAGAAAATCTTGGACAGCTGTTGGTGTTTGTCGAGCCTGATAAAAGCTCTTGGAATGGAGATTGGAGATACAGACCAACATTTGTTTCCTGGAATCAAGTCACCAAAATTGCACTCGATGGTTTTTATGACGCCGTAGGGGGCAACATCTATTGTTGGGCAAACTCTTTGAGTGATGGCTCTATTTTGAAGGAAGGAATAACTTTCAGACAGTCAAGAATATCAACCGATTTTAAGCCAAATAACACTACTGGTGTTGCCACCATTGCTCACAACTATGATGGTCCAATAACCATGACTGCAAATCTAGGTCATGATTGTTGCTTTGTTCCAGATTTGTATCTGTATTATAATAAGAAAAATGGATGGTTGGCATATAACATGTTCAATGATCGAGGCCTCTACAAACCAAATGAGGAAATTTTCATTAAGGGTTATGCTCGTGACATTACGATTGAGCAATATGGCCAACGCTACAAAGTGCAACTTCCAAAGAAGGGTACTTACAAATACATAGTAACTGACTCTCGTGGAGCCAAGTATCATGAAGGCACTCTAAACATTTCAGAGAGCGGATCTTTTGATGTGAAATTCAAGATTCCAGATAATGTCAATCTTGGAAATCATGTACTGAGAGTGGACAGTCTAGGTATGGACACAACCTTCAAAGTTGAGGAGTTTAGAACACCAGAGTTTACAGCCTCAACATCCATCCCTCAGCTGAGATATGTGGTGAATGGTGTTACTATTTGCAAGACAAAGGCAGAATATTATTCAGGAGGCTCTTTGTCAGGATCAAAGTGTCAGTATATTGTCAAGCAATCTGAAACTAGCTACTCCCCTCCTAATTTCTCTGATTATTCCTTTGGTACAGAAATTTACAACCCCTTCTATAGCTATTATGGTTATAGCAGCAGCAATGATTTCTTTGTTCCTCCACCTCCTGTTAAGTTCGAAGGAATCATTGACGGAGAGGGCCAACACGAACTGGCAATATCATTTAAGGAAAGTGAGAGACCAAAAAAGAGCCCAATCAATGTCACTGTAGAATCTATTGTACAAGACATTAATCGCCAAACCATGTCGAGCACATCATCGTTTTTGGTTCATCCATGTAGATTGTATTGTGGATTGAAATTGGAAAAGATATTCACAAAACCAAAAGTACCTGTGAACCTTTGTCTTGTATGCTGTGATATTGAAGGTAATACTGTCGAAAATATTGATATGGAGCTCGTTGTTAAGACCAAGGTTGAAAAGAAAAAAGGCTATTCGATTGTTCACGAAGATGTGGAGGTTTTGAAAACCACAATCAAATCTCAAAAGGAACCCATCAAGTATCCTGTAAGCTTTGATAAGGGTGGAAATTATGTGTTTACTGTGACCATTAAGGATCCAGAGTCTCACTTGACAAATACTTGCTCTGGATCTCTGTACATTACTGGAGGATCAAAGAGTAAGAAGGACGTGGTGGGAAGTCGCCTTGTAAAACAGAATGTCCTCATGGTTCCAGACAAGACAGAGTATGAGGTTGGCGATGAAGCGAAAATTATCATTCAATCTCCTTTCGATTCAGTTACCACTGGACTTGTCACACTTCGCTTGAACTCTGTAACTGAAACTTACCCAATCACCATTGATCCAAACATTGGATCTCTTGAATTCACAATTCCTATCAAGAAGGAATACGTTCCCAATGTCATGGCCTCTGTGTCACTCCAAGGAAGCGAATTGCGGGTTGACTCCCTTGGTAATATCTGTACATCAAGTCCTAATCAACCAGCGTATGGAGGAGGTGAATGTCGACTGAATGTTTCACGTAGACAACACCTATTAATTGTTGAAGCAATTCCAGAAAAGCAATTTGTGACACCTGGAGTTTCAACATTTATTGATGTTGTTGTAAAAGATGTAGTCACAAAGATACCTCAAGCAAATTCTGAGGTGTGCGTCATTGCTGTGGATGAAGCAGTACTCGCCCTTACTGGTTATCGAATTTCAAATCCTATGAGCTCCTTTATTATGGATTATAGCGGTGGTTTTCAGGAATTTTCTGTCAGAGATTATGTATTTGTTAAGAATAATTTGGACGATATTTATGTAGAGGCAAAGAACGACTGCACTGATGATTGTGATGAGAACGAAGATGATAACGATCGTGATGGTTTTGGAGGTTGTTACTGTGCCGAATGTGAAGAGTGTTGTTTGGACTGTTGTTGCAAATCTTGCTGTTCTAATGCCAGACGCAACAGCATGAGCAGAGAAAAGGGAGATGGTGTAATGTATGACGATTGTGAACCTGAAGAAAATGAAGGTGGTGAGGCTCCTACTAAAACTAAAAAACCAGCCATCGCTCTCAGAAAGAACTTTAATCCTGTTGCTGTATTCAGCCCAGTTAGTGTGACTGATTCAGATGGTAAGACTCGAGTGCATTTCACCCTACCAGATAATTTAACTAGATACAGAGTGACTGCTGTTGCAATTCAAGGGGATGACTTGTTTGGATTGGCAGAAATCTCTATTGTGGCACAACTACCTTTAGCCATCCGACCATCACTTCCACGATTTTTAAATTTTGGAGATCGTGCTGAATTTACATGTATCTTGCAAAACCAAACGATGGCCAATTTGAGTGTCCATATTGCTATTGCGTATACAGGTTTGGAATTGTTGGATTCCTCAAAGAGAGGTTTGAGAGTCCTCATTCCAGCCTTACAGAGGGCAGAACTACGATTCCCAATGCAAGCCGTTCAAATTGGTGTTGCCAAATTCCAAGTGGGTGTTTCTGTGAGCGATTCATTCATCAACTTCTCGGATGCAGTTGAGAAAGAAGTACGAGTTTTCACACCAGCCACCACCGAGGCCTTTGCACACTACGGAGAAATGGATGGCACTTGTAACATGTTCCAACCCGTCAAAATTCCCGACCAAGTGTATCCACAATTTGGTGGCTTGCAAATTACTACCAGCAGTACCTCTCTTGCTTCTCTCACCGATTCATTCCTTTATTTGTATAATTATCCATTTGATTGTACTGAGCAATTGTCAAGTCGAGTGTTGTCTATTGTTGCCTTGAAAGATGTTCTTTATGCTTTTAAGGCCAATGATATGCCAAATGAGAGCACGTTACTGAAGAAACTAGAAAGCATGTTGTCCATTCTGTATGGAAGACAACATCCAAATGGTGGATATGGATGGTGGACGTATTCCAATGGTTGTGAAACGAGCCCATATTTGTCTTGTCATGTTGGACATGCCTTTGCGAGAGCCAAGCAAGCAGGTTTCACTTTGAATGAGACTTGTGTCACAAAGCTTTCAAAAGTTCTCTCAAATATTCACAATTACTTTTACAGCTATTATTCAGAGGAAGCGAAGAGAAGTATTCGTGCATATGCGTATTATGTATTAGGACTGTTAGGAGATTCTAACGCAGCCAAATTGGCTGAATCCTTATATAAGGAATGTGGTGGTGTGAGTGGAATCCCATTAGACTGCTTAGCATGGATAGCAACTACCATCTTTTTAGGAAATCGTTCAAATGTGACTTCGACTGTCTCTGAAATTTTGAACTACATGCTCATGCAAATCAATGAAACACCACAAACTGCTAACTTTGTTACCAAGTACGGAGATGATGTAACTTCCAAACAAATCATGCTTCATAGCGACAGAAAGGTGGATGGAATTTGCTTGGAGGCACTTATTACCATTTCACCAAAGAATGACTTGATTGCAAAGGTCGTGAAAGGATTGTTAGCTCACAAAAAGAAAGGAAGATGGAGCAATACACAAGAAAATGTGTTCATATTACTGGCTCTTAACACCTATTTCCATGTGTTTGAGGGTGTCACTCCACAATTCGTTGTCAAAATGTGGTTGGGAGATGATTTCTGTGGCGAACAAAAGTTCCATGGTCGCAATAAGGATGAAAATATGCTGAGCATTCCAATGATGCAGTTAGAAGGAGAGGGTACCTCAAAGACATTGGTTCTCTCAAAGGAAGGTCCAGGAAGACTTTATTATCGACTTGCAATGGATTACGCACCAAAGAATTTATTGCTACCACCATTAGATTATGGATTCCAAATCCAAAGAACCTATGAAGGTGTCACTGATGCATCTCATGCCCAATATGATAAGGAGAAAAATTGTTGGAAATTCAAAGCTGGAGAAATGATTCGTGTGAAAATTAATATCACCACCACTTCACGGCGTTACCATGTGGCATTGGTGGACTTTTTACCTGCTGGATTGGAAGCTTTAAATCCTGAATTGAAAGGGGCTCCTCAGGCTGCTAAAAGTCATCACCGTTGGTGGGACTGGCCATGGTACGAACATCAAAATATTAGAGATGAAAGAGTTGAAGCATTCTCTAGTTTGGTGTGGGAAGGAAATTACTCGTTCAATTATATGGCTCGTGCGACAAGTATTGGAAGTTTTGTCATTCCACCTGCAAAGGCTGAAGAAATGTATAGCCCTGAAATATTTGGTCGTTCCTCCACCATGTTTGCAGAAGTTTATGAGTAGAGAAACTCGTGGTGGGAATGTATTAAAAAGCGAACAATATCAAAGATGATTTGTCACATTCAATAAAGTCACACAGACAAACAATTATTATTGTCACCAAAATGTTTTTATTTGAAATCACTCTCTTCTTGTTTGGGTTTGATGATTGACTTGGCTCACTGTTTTATCAGGAACTACAAGTGTCATTCAAAGCTTTCTCATCTCTACCCCCATCATGAACACCATTAAAGATAAAACATTTTAACACCATCTATATCCACCATATCCTCCATAAAAAGGCATGGCTGCTGCATATCCTCCATAAAAAGGCATAGCTGCACCATAACCATAACCCAATCCACCATAGAAAGGCATGTAATAATTAGCTCCATAATTTGAACCATAAGCAGTTGGACCAACATAATTCGCACCATAGGCAGAGTAGGGTTGATAGTTCACAGCACTCACTTGATTACTATATGCTTGAGTATTCTGAGCATAGGAATTGTAATTGCCACCTGCCACTCCATAATTTTGTCCTGCTCCACCTTGATATCCGTAGGCACCATTATAGGCGGAACTCACTTGAGCATTGGTAAAGGTCAAACAGAAGAGGAGAAGAGTTGCGACAATGGCGAGAAGACCAAATCTGAGAAATGATTGCATTGTGTTTAAGAGTTTCAATAATTTGAGGAGTATTGTCAAGTAATACTTGAATTTTTTTTTGGTGTGAATGAGAAACTTTTCAAAGACGCAATTTATGGAGAGTTGGTGAAGATTGAATTTGGTAAAATCACAAAAATGATTGGAAAAGAGGTGATGCAAAAGATCGAGTGAAACAATGTGTTGGTGACAAATGGGTAATGAAAATGGTGGATGGACTTTTTTGGAATTTCGATCAAAGTGGAGAGTGTGGTGCTCCTCAAGTAGGAACTGTACAGTTCGTAAAGTGAACATCTAAGCAAAGGATTGGTTTCTAATTTCTTAATACTTATACAATTGCGGTTGTTGTGATCTTTGTTTACGACTACTGTAAAATCTCGACTGTAAGAAACGTTTGCCCGTAAGCAACCCCATTAAACATAAGGACTTTTTTTTGCCAAAACAATCATTTACCCTCGATTGTTGCTTACGGGCGAGATTTTACATTATGTTTAAACAACACATTGTTTGACGGTTTCGGAATTTTTTTCAATCAAAAAAAATGCAATCATCGGAAAATGTCATCATCACTGCCAATGATTCACAACAATCACAACAACAACAATGGACATTGGAAGAACATGATCAATTTTTACAAGGCTTAAAGCGATATGGAACCGATTGGAATAAAATTCAAAATTTAATTCCGACCAAAGAAAAGAATGATATTAGAGAATATGCGAAGGAATTTTTCAAAATGAATAAGAGTGCCATGAATGATTTAATGGAGTGTTTTGATGATGATTGCCATCGGAATCATTCTGAATCATTCATTTCAACACCGGAGGCACTTGCAAGTGCTTTTTTAACCAATCCCGAAAGCGTTAAACAATGGCAAAAAGAAACATTAGAAATGAATCATACAAGAAGAATGAATCAAACATTTGTTGGATCATCATCACCAAGCACTGAAATGACAAAATTTGACAAGATGAATCTCATAAGCACTCCCTACAGTCAACAATGTGATTTGTTAGATTTGGAAGCTCAGACTCGAACCTTGGACGAGGAGGTTGAATTAATGAAAAATAGTGAGGAAAAGCAGTCATTATTGGAGTCAATATTAAAGAATATCAAGGAGAGAGGAGATTCATGTGAAAAGATTGAAAATTTAATTGGATCCACAGAGGACGAGCAAAATTCAGAAAAACGTACAAACGGAGGAATTCACGTGCATGATCATTCATCAATACCTTCGAACAAGCCAAATTTTCGAAATATTTACACCTTTCTTGGAGCTTTGTTTGAACCTGAAAGATATAATGTTGAAGAATTGAGTGAAATGTTATCACCTCAAGAAAAGGAGATTTTACAAATACTCATGCACAACTTGGCGATCACTCTCTCGACACAGCAATTTCAGGAAGAGTACTCGACCTATGTTCATCAACTTTCTCAATCTTCCGGCACCGCCTCCGGACCTCCAATCATGACGCAACAACAATACCAAAATTTCACTCAACAATTGTCATCCAGAGGAGAAAATTCGCATACGTCTTCTTTACAGAGAAACTCACCGAACCAATTGCCTGAAGAACAATAATCCTGATTGTCCATTGACTGAGTACAGTATGTGACAAGCTGCATTAAAGAGGCCATGGATTGACAGAGAATTCAATTAGCTCAAATAAGATTGAGCATTACGAACAAGGGAGGACGGAGAAACAGTCCACTACGGCATCATTCTAGTTCTTATCAATGATGGGAATGTCACAAGTAATGATTGGATTACTTTTTTGACTTTTGATCTTTCTGGTACCATGGAGAGGACCAATCTGTTGTGTCTTGATCTTTGAGATGAGTATACTTGGATTGGCGTGCTTTTCCAGGATTTTTGCGCTGATAAAACTTTGGCATGGATTCATAATCAACCATATCTCTTTCTACAGGTTCCATGTAAACAGCTTCAGCTTTTTGAGCAATCTCTTCATTGTCCATAAAAAAGGCGCCCTTATGGAAATACCTCTGACCAAATCGCATCTTCTTCGCTTTCTTTTCTTCAGAATCAATTTTGGTTTGTTGTGTTTCACGCTCTTCTTCCTCTTCGAGAAGTGAGGATTTTTCCTTTCTTTGATATTCTTGCTGTTCCTCTTCTTGCCGAGCTTTCATAATACTCATTCGTTTGAATTCTCTGTCAATCCATGCCATTAATTCTGATTCTGGATCTAGAGTGTCAGAATCATCAATGCTGAGTAATTCTTCGTCAGCTTTGACAATTTTTCGTTTGCTTAGTTCCTCATCCTGTAAAACTTTTTCTAACATTTTTTCACTTGTTTCGCGTTTTTGTTCTTGTCTCTTTCTTTCAAGTTCTAAACGTCTATTTTCTTCCTCTTCCAATTGCTCTTCAGTTTTGATAGTGCTTCGCTGACTTTTAGAAATAAAGACCGGCCTTATATCTTCCTCTTCGCTGCTAGAGCTTTCTTCGTCACTGCTTGGCTCTCTCTTCACTGGAGAGGCTAATGTGCTTGATCGATTGATTGTTGGAGGAGAGGTTTCAATTTTTTCATGTTTGACTGCAGACAATGATCGATCTGCTTCTGCCATCTCTTTTTTAGGTTCAATTTTAGATAATTCATTGGGTTTCACTTGTTTCCCTCTTACAATAGAATCTAAATCCTCATCGTCATCACTACTTTCACGTTGTGATGGCCGAATAAATTTTCCTACAGGTTCAGTTTGTTTTTCAATTTTGGTGCCTGGCGCTCCAGCCAACAACATGGCGTCCAAAGTATTTAATGTTTGGTTTTTGTTGCTAATATTTTCCTCTTCCTTTTGCTTTTGTAGGAGCCGAGCTCGAAGTCTTGCTCTACGATCTTCAATATCACTGTCATCATTTTCTGATGAATCATCCGATGATGTACTGTCATACTTTTTTGATACCACAAGTTTTTGTTGTGTTGATGATACTGATTTTACATGATTCATTGAATGATCATCACGATTCATCGCTGCTGAGGATGATGAAGGCAACGTTTTTGAATATTTTCCATCATTGGCCACTATTTGTTTGTTTTGATTTTGCTGTTGTTGAATTACAGAGGATGGAATTAATTTCTTTGTTTGTTGGGCATGGTTATTTCTTGCAAAAACTCCACCATATTCATCATCGGAATCGTCTTTTTGTTGAACACTACTACTTGTTCCTAATGGATGTTGACCTTTTCTTAATCGTTTCATTTTTTTAATCTTTTCAAAACCATTATAATGATGACGAATTTATAATCAAAATTATTATTATTATTATTTACTTATTACTTTGCGATTACTTTGAAACAACTCTTTTACAACGAACCATTCAGCAGTACAGATTATTGAACATGTTTTGCAGTATGGATCCAATTAAAGCTCATGATTTCCATTCAAAGACTCAGAATCCAATTCCATCAAAAAAAAATGTTTTATCACATCATGAACAACAACAAGAAATTCATCCTCTCTTCCTCCTTATTACTTCTCGGAGCAGCAGGTTCTTTAAGTTATCCCTCTCTACGACGCTATTGCAATGGACCCATGGTCGATCAGTCTCTGATGGATCGTTCCAATCTCAAGAATCGTGTCATCATTGTCACAGGTGTTGCTCCAGGTGGAATTGGCTATGAAACAGCACGATGTCTCTATGAAAAGAATGGAACGATTGTGTTGGCTGTTCGAGATGTGAAGAAGGGAGAGGAAACGAAACAAGAAATTCGAGTCTCAAAAAATAGTGGTGGTGATCATGATGATAACAAGGAGAAGGGACAAGTGATTGTGATGAAAATGGATTTGAATGATTTACAAAGTGTGGCAGAATTTGCTTTCGAATTCCATGAAAAATTTTCACATTGTGACCTGTTGGTTAATAATGCAGAATTTCAAATGTACCTCATGGGCTCTCGAAACAACAAATTGAACAACAATTTGCAGTGAATCATTTGGGTCACTTTTTGTTGACCTTGTTGTTGTTGGATCAATTGAAAGAGTCGAAAGGAAGAGTGATCACAGTGGCATCGAGGGCTCATGAAAACTACAAACCAACTTCTTTCAAAGTGGAGGATGTCTTGAGCAATACAGGTTCCAATACTCATCCGCATGTGTTGTACGCAAGATCAAAATTTGCCAATGTATTGTTCACTAAAAAGTTGGATCGAATGCTGAAACAAGAGGCTCTTGAAACAAATGCTGCCTTTTTTGGAAGTGATCCTAAAACCTCATCAATGATGGCGAGGACCAATCAAAATGATCGATGCATGGCAGTTTGTTTACATCCTGGACTCATTGCTACTCATATTGGTCGACACAGTACCTTGATGAATGTACTTCTGGGTTTTGGAACATTGTTTGGAAAAACGCCAGTGTATGGAGCACAAACGACCTTATATTGTGCTTTGGAGGAAAAAAACAAACTACATGGAGGAGCCTATTATGCGGATTGTAAGGAAAAACCGTGTCATCCAATGGCAGATTCCATTCAATTACAGAATGAATTGTGGGATACTAGTTTGAAATTGGTCGAAAAGTATTTAAATAAGTAGAGAGTGAGATTAGAATGGATGGTTTCAAATTTATTCACACCAAAATGTTTTTCACTATATCTTGTAAATATCACAATGATTTATGCACCAAATAATGGGTTCATTTTCAAGAATCAATCAGCAATGGAACCCAATAACCACATCACATAATGGATGATCTTCTTTTTTAAGAGTGCTATACATCTGATGACCATGAAGTGCGTTGGAAACCCCAAAGAATGTGAAATAGTCTCCAGCATCAACACAAGTTATGGTCGATTTGGAACTTGTCATTAGTCCATATTGTTCCAATTTCAACTCCTCGATTTCAGTATACGGTTTGTCAATCCCTAACTGTCCATAGGTATTGTCACCTCGTACGAAAACGCGTCTACCTTCACAGACAATCACTGAGTGTGATTCACCACATGCAATATTGCTAATTTTTGTGACCGCACTTTTGTTGTTGATATACTTCTCGACTTCTGTCAAGCGCTCAAAGTTATGTGATGTGATTCCATTGCCAGCATAATAAATTTCTCCTCTAGATGTGATAGTGATGATATATCTTGGTCCTGAAGCGACTTTAAAGATGTATTGGTTTTGAGGTGCCTTAAATATTTCTGTACAAAGATGAGGTCCATCCTCTAAATTATTTCCAAATTGATAACATCTGTTCATTCCAAATGCATAGACAGTACGATCATTCACAACAATTACAGTATGGTAGTATCCACAAGCTATGGCTGTAATCTTCTGGTTCTCAATATTTGTTAAAACTAATTCTTTAAATTGAAAAATATTATCAGGAGAGGAATGACCACATTGCCTATATCTGTTGTCACCAGTTGTCTTGATCACATCCAAAATTTGTAAAAAATTAAATCTCCATAATGGACAAAAAACATACATAAATTTTGTTATCGGTTGTGACAGCAACTGCATGAGCGTATCCACATTCCAGAAACTTGATATTCTTACCAAGCATGCCATCAACAATTTGAGGATGGTCAATACTGATTTGTTTAGGGAGGGAAAGTTGGCCATCAACATTTCTTCCACATCCAAACAATAATTGATCTCCCAAATATTCTATTACAATATAGGTAAATGCTTGGCCACACTTGACATCTTTAACCTGCAGGTAGTTTCCACAACACACATTTTGAATAATAGTTTACATTCAATTGGTTCATTAGAGTTTGAATAATATTATTATACATGATCATTCATGGAATCCTAATTCATACCTTGACTTGTTTCGGAAATTCAAAATTCAATTCAATCGGAACCAATGAACAAGTATAAGCACATTGTTTTGATGGAACTCCGATTTGTGAATAAGAATTTTCACCACATGCATAAATTTCATTATCTACTGTAACGATCATGACATAATAGGCTCCACAGCTCACAATTTTGATCGGCTTGTTCAAAGCTCCCGATCCTTTCGGGTTAATCACTGGAAAAGGACGAGCAATATTTCTACAGTTTGATACTTCTCCAAGCCCAAGTTGTCCTTTACTGTTATGCCCTATTGAAAACAACGAACGATTCACATCCAATCGAGTATTCAATTTATAAAATTCTCTCAACTCCTCTTCGGAAAGGTTGTTCTGAGAGGGTTTACGATAAGAGACATTTCCCATTTTTATTTTGAATTCAAACACTTCAAATTACCTTCGCTTGATCAAGCCAATTCCCAAAGGGACTGGTAATCTCTAGTGACAACAAGAGACTTACAAAGATCAAAGGCACATTGTTTTTATAGGACCAGGAATCAATTGAGGCACATGGTGTTATTGGAATCACTTATGATAGGAAAGATTTCTCGTTACAAGCTGTGATCTACTGTCCTCACTGCAGTGTGGTTGTTTACTATTCATCATGATTTCTATCCGCAACGACAATTTCAACATCTCGAAAAGAAAGACTAGTGTTGGAATGAACAAGTTTTTGGAGATGGAGTTTGAAGTAATTTAAACTTGCCTTAAATTCCTTCTTTCGAAAACATTGAATGTGGCCATATCCAAAACTCACAGAATTGAGTCCAAAGGGTTCGAGTGGAATTTTCCTTCCCATGACATGACACTCTAAAGTGGAAGGGTTATAAATTTCAAATGGTTCCACACGTACGAAATCGGTCCGAGATTGGGATGAAGTGTTGTTGTCATGGTGGTGCTGGTCGTCGTCGTCTTGTTGTTGTTGACCAGCATTCCCTCGTGAGAGAGAATCATTCAACGTTTGGGAAGGTCCTTTATATTCTAAAATGTATTCCAATGAAGAGTTGGAATGTTGTTGCACTTGCCCTTGTTTGTTCTTATTGATATGTTTGATGACGTCTCCAAAAACATAGAGACAGAAGGAATATTTGGAAACAAATCCAGTCGAGAAAGCAGAACAGTAGATGTGTTCGGGAATGATCGAATGATTGAAACGATCTTTCAAATGCAACTTTGTAAAAAGGAGAGCATTCGAGTTGGAAGTCAAATCCAAAACACCACATTGTCCATCTCGATTGTATCCACACAGGTAAATTTCATGATTTTCCAAAAGAACAGCAGTGTGAAACATTCCACATTTCACTTCTTTCACTTTAGAAAGAGATTCAAATGGAGTGGCGACGTAGCGATACGACGAGTTGCTTTTGATTCCATTTTGAACATTGAACTTGTTGTCACCTCTTACAAACATCTTATTGGTTTGTGTGAATATAATGTCTGATTTACCTGAAGTGGCTGTCAATGCAATGGGACTATCAATTTCACTACTCTGAACGGAAGGCATTTGAAAGAATAAACTATCAATATTCATCAATTCATTGTCATCTGTGAAATACAGTCCCAAATTCAAAAGGATGAATTTTGAATAACACTCAAATAAAACCTACCAAACACAACCAACACATGATTACTCGAAGGAGAAGTCACAAATAATTTCACCTTCTTTTCAAATTTCCACATGGTATGGTTATGTTCATTGCTCGCTAAAAACAAGGAATCTCCCAAATCTACAAATACAGCATAACAAGAGGCCTCAATGTTTTTGATCGATAACATTCGAACATCTCCAACAATATCATTCATTTCAGGATGATAACGAAGAAAGTGTTTGACCACTTCTCTCCAATTCCATTCTTTGCAATTAAGGATTCGATTCGATTGCTCCACAGCATCAACAACGATCGATGTGTCTTTGGGTCTTCCGATGGTGTAAATTTTGTCATTACTTGTCCAAATGAATGAATTCTTTGAGGAGGACGCAACATGCAAAATGTCCTCGTCCTGGAGTGGTGTGAGGTGAGTGACATGCCATGCACTGAAGGATTCATCAATTTCTGTTATTGATTGGACAGAATAGAACACAATTGTATCATTCTTTAGCTATAATAAAATTGCAAGTGTATCATACTTACCCATCGAACCAGGAGATTGGCTTAGAAATACAATGGGTAGTTGTTGTTGTTGGGATGAAGACATTTTTTCTTCTAAATGTTAGTAACTTTTACAAGGTTCCAAGTTCCTTGAAGATGAAATTCAAGTGAGGTGCATTTAATTCATTGTACTCGGTGTGACTGATGTTGATGTTTGATCGGATGAGGAGGTATTAGTGATAGCTTCATTGTTGTTGTCGCTGCCAGATTTGGTGTCCTTTGCACTCGATAGTGTCACACCATCATCCTCTTCGCCATGATACGAATACTCCTTACAAAATGCAATTGCTTTCTCAACAGCTTCCCTCTGGGTTGGATTTTCAATATGAATTCCCCAAAACAATTGATGACATCGATTGCACATGGAAAAATGATCATTGTCATCATACGTATTTCGTTCCAATAAATGTTTTACAGATTCCTTATTTTCAATTTTTCTGAGTGTTCCACTACATGATGCACAACGTGTGAATAACTTTTCAGGTACATATCTGATTTTGAAATGGTTCACAACTTCTGAAATTTGGTTGTATCTTCCTTTAGTTTTTAAAAGATAATAATCGTAATGATAACTCAACAGAGGATCTGATAGGTCCATTTCATATTGCTCAATTCGTGTTTGTAATTTTTCACGTGTGTCTTTCCATTTATCATAGGTGAGACAGTTTTTATCGACAACTGTAGACTTTCCATTCTGAGCTTCCTGTTCTTCCTGCTCTATTAATGTTTGCAATCGTTTTTTCAACTCCTCAAGTCGTTCTCTCTTTTTTTGAAGATTGTTTCGAATTTGATGAATTTTTTTCTGCATTTTCAAGCTGTATGTAAGGATCATTCTTTTTTGAGTTCTTGCGAGGTAGAGAATATAATTTTGACTGTAATTATTGTCATGCAATGTGTCAATTCCGAGCATTCTCAAGTGCTTTGCCACTCCTAAAATTAATGAAATGATTATTCGGAATAATCAACAAGAGTAAATAATTTAAATAATAATAACCCATTGACCAACATGGATCAATCCATTCATAATGTACGAACATTCAACATACCTGGAATGGTAGTGTCACAAACAAATCTTAATTCTCCATTTTGTACTTGCTCTTCTTCATGATTCTCATGAGCTTGATTTTCCTCAATGTGATGATTAATATATTTTTCTCTTTCATAATACTCAAACTCTTCCTCTGTATCTTCTTCATTCAAATGTTCCAAAATTTCTCTCATTTCCAAATCATCCTGATCATCCACGTTTTCTTCCATACTCTCCGAAGTAAAATGATGGTGATGTTGATGGAATTCTTCTGGGTTTGGCTCCGATGATGAAGTTTGACTCTGAGAATCGTTCATCGTGATTGATCAATCTCAATTCAAATATTCTTTGATGCTATTTTTTGTTGAGACATGAAAAGTCTTTCTTTGGTTTCTAACTTTCTTTTATGGTTGAATTTGAAAATTGCACTCGTCGGAAAGCATGGAATGAACACGTGGAAGAATCAATGAATTGAAAAGAATAACAATAACACAAATAAAACAAGAACAATATCGGAATGTAAAAAATTCTCTTCTATTGGCATGTGCCAATAGTTTGGTTCCACGCAATTTTGTCCATGAATAATGATTATGAGATTTAATATATTACGAATAAATATTGCCTATGAATATTCGCCTGAACAAAAAAACAGTCTCCGGAGTTGAACTCCTCCATCTCCATTTGATTTTTTTGAAAAATGAATTTTAAAAAAAAATGAATCCTCAACAACGCCTCAACCCTTCCCAGCAACAACATGCCATCCAATCGTACTACAGTACGGAGGCTTCACCGTATGACCCTAGCCAATTTCAAAACGATGATGCCAATCTTACGGAAATGACCCAGGAAGAGAATGATAAATCTAAGCAATCAAAAGTGAAGGAATCTATTTTGTTGTACGTGGCTACGGTGGTCATGGTGTTGGCGAGAAGTGTTGATTTTGTCTTGTATGTGAGAATGACGAAAAAGATGAGAAATTATGAGTATGTGTTGTTGTTGTTGTTATTGATCGTATGAACTTTGATGATCATTTATTTCTTCATTTTCGGATGATGAAAAATATCTTTGCGTGTGAAATATCCCAATATCGTCATCCTTCAAAATTTCTTCATCATTTGATGATATACTCCACTAATGCCTATCGGATATGAATAGATACATGCTGGCCGATGTTTTTCTGAGTTTAGGTTTTTGTTTTGTTTCATGGCCTGTCACTGTAAGTACACCTGTAATGACTTTCCTTCCAGTTGAACAAATTTTATATAAACAACATGTACCATATGACAATGTGGACATCTCTTCATGTCATGCCGAATATCAACAATGCTACCATATCATCATCATGACATTAAACATTCTGACCAACATCACAATGATATTTTTTAAAATTTTAGTGGTTCAAAATGTTCAGAGGAACCATCACTAAGGAAATGCGTGCATTCCCATCTTACAAGTTCATTGTTATGGGTATTATGGATAGTTTGAACGTTTTAATTTCGACCATTCCTTCTGCTCTTGTGAGTGGACCTGTCAACGTAAGTTTTATCAATTCCTCACGTTGATTTTATTCTAACCTAGATACTGTTGCATCATCTTGTTTTTTCTAAATTTTTTCACATTGTTGTTTAGGTCTTGATGAGTCAAAGTGTCGTTTTCATTAATATGGTTGCCAGTTTTATCTTTTTACATTTCCGTTATAATGTATATCACATTGGAGGAGTCATTCTCGTAATGATTGGTATCACTATTGATATTTTCCCATTGTTTGCAAATTCCTCAGGAGGTGACGATCCAAATGCTTGGTTGTGGATTTTGCTCTTGTTTGTGAGTAATATTCCTGCCGCTGCCTCAAATGGTAAGTTATACTTTGAAATAATTAGCCACCAAATTGACATTATTTTCTCTCATGGCCGATCACCCAACACCACTTCCTTAATATTTTTCTTTACTGTCTGTGAACACGAATAATTTTTCGAATCACTTTCCGGTGCCAACCAATGTGTCTGTACACATCTTAACACAGTCTACAAGGAAAAGTATTTGAAAGAGGCCAACTTGGACGTTTTCTATTTGAACTCATGGGTCGCTCTTTATCAATTCATTTTTGGTCTCATGTCTGTCTTTACTGTTTTCATTCCTCTTCCTGACAGTCCATATGTTGACCCAGCCAATCTCTATCAATACATGTGGAATGGTATTAAGTGTTTCTTTGGATTTAACTCGGTACTCTCTGACCAATGTGACTTTTTCTGGCTTGTATTCATGGTATTCATTTGCTTTAACATGACCTATAACATTTTATTATTGGTTGTTTTCAAGAGAGGTAGTTCAACATTGGCCGTAGTTGCATCCGTGGCTCGTTTGGCCCTCTCCAACTTTGGATTTTTAATCAAATTCTTGGCTGGTGAAGCTTATCTTGAAGCATTGAGTCCATTCGATATTATTGCTTTGGTGATTTTGATTTTGGGTATTATTATTTATTCTCTGACAAGTGAGAAGGTTGCTGATAAGCATGACCCAATTAGAAAGGTCTACTCTAAGATTTTCTCCATCTTCCCTCGTTTCAACAGAAAGAAGGACCAACGAGAGTATGACGACGAGGAGAATCTTTATCATGACCAATAATTTGTGTTTTCACGTGTGTGTCGTGTAGTAGTCAATTGAAACTACCAAAACGCTTTGTATGCAGTGTCAAGTATACTGCAAAGCTATTTTTCATATGTGTTAAACTAATTAATTTATATAAATTCAATAAGTTGTGAGCTTCATGAATCATTCTCATTCTCAAACAATGAGCAACTTGCTTCTTCGATGGGTGGTTCTAACGAAAGAGGCTCTGCAAAAAAAATGAGAATTGGAAACAAGGTCGTCAACGACAAAATCATCAAGAGTATTGTTGAAAGATTGGATGCAGATCAATGCGACAATGAGTATGTTGCTTTGCATACATGCCTGAGTGCTAGACAACCCGATACTTGCCTCGGGTTGTACACCAAATTTATGATTTGTATGAACAGGGCAACAGATTATTTCAAGAAGAATGAATACACAGCCTTCGGATCCGAATTTGGAAAATTCTCTGCTCGTCATAGATAATCATTATATATTCCGTAATTTTTTTAGTTTTAATCACGAGTAATAAAGTACTTTTACCGTGATGGATCAATTGGATATTCTAATCACAATAATAATAATAATAATTAATTTTTAAAATTGAATTGTCCGCTAAGAAATACAAGCCTCCATAGTCTGGACCATTTGTCTTTTCCTTTTGCGCACGCTGGAACAACAGAGTTTAAATTCACATCATTTAATTAACTCGTTCTCAACTAGGGAACAAGAGATAACTTCCAATATCCACTTTATTGCTTCATATTGGATTTGAGTAGCTCATTTTCTTTTTGCAGCTGCAATATTTGTTGTTTGAGCAGTTGATTTTCCTCACGTAATTGTTCCAAGTCTGATGGTGAATCGGTCTGTACATGGTGAATTCGTGGTGTTTGTTGCATCTTGTTCAAGGCAGATGACAATTGTTTCTCCATGGCTTCGAATTCGTCCAAATTTGCCCGAAGTTTGAACGACCTGGGCGAGCTGCTTGAGGATGATCCTTGATGATGTTCCAAATTGTCGCTTTCTGTCATGCTTAATCTCTCCAAATCCAATGTAGTCAGGGACGAAGCAACCATAGCTGATTTATCGCTCATTATATTGAAACCTGTGTTGGTAGGCATTAAATTGTTTTGATCCAAATATTTGCTGTAAAGCCTAAAATCAAGTTTGTTCGAGCCAGTATCTCCAAAGTACATGGCGTCATTGAAAGTCTTTTCAATTTCGTCCATCTTGATAACATTTTCCATGCTTTCATCAAATGCAGAAATATTTGGAAGTTTAGAGGTTTCATTGAGGGAGTGAGCACTGAGTAAACTCCAAATTTCATCGACACTTGCCGGTAACTCGTTGATTTTGTCGAACAATTGAGGTGGAAGAAACTTGCCAAAGGCTCTGAAAAAGTTTTTACGGTTCCTAATTTCTTCCTCTCTGAGGTCTGAAAGAATTTCTGAAGCTTTTACAACTTCCGAATCAAATTTTCTAATGTAGGCCTTTCTTCTCATAATCTCTAAAAGAGACATGTAATAGGCTCCAGGCAGATATTTGGGTATAGATACATGGTGGAACTTTGTCATGATATTCTTTAGAATGCTAACAAATGTTTGCATTTTCTTATTCAGCTTAAGGATATTGTACTGAATGGTTGAAATTACTTTCAACTTCTCCAATTGGTATTTAGTCAAAATTATTTTCGACTGTGCAATCTTCTCACAGGTCGATTTTAAAGTATTCTCATGCTCTCTCAATTGGTTCAAATAATTTTGGTGAGTATCTACAAGCTGTACAATAACAGTCACATCCTTATTTTGATTATCAGATTTAGATGCCATCTGTAGGAGGGATTGAAAATTGCGATTGATATTATTTACAAGTTCTCTTTGAGTATTTACAATGTTTTCCGATTCTGTACATAACTTGGATAACATTGAAAAACTATCATTCATAAATAATATTGTGTATGTATTGGTATTAGGTGAATACCTTCATTTGAGTGAATTTCAATACTTACTTGACTGGTGGAACAACGAGAAGTAATTGAGTGTCCACATCTCGATCAATTTGCTGCGAGACGGATAGTGTGAAAATCACTTTTTCTTTGAAACTGTTCAGTTCCTGTAAACACTTGTTTCCCCAAAGTTTAATTTGTTGAATAGGAATACAGTCCTGAAGCGACTTTTTGTTTTGAGTTTGCAGTGATGGATGAAGTTCAATCGTTCCCAGCTGAAAAGAAATCAACAGAAAAACAAGTCATGAATAATCGACATTAGGAGAATAAGGAATTTCAATAAAGGTACGTACCTTTTCAATATCTTCATCCAAAGTTTGCAATAAGTCCACATATTTTGACTCAATTTTGTCAAATCTAATGTAAAAGATTTCAAATAAATCATGTAAAACACGTTGTTGAACCCTCCTAGATGAGAGTGCCCTTTTTTCTTAGACTTACCTTTCTTTGAACTTCTTTAAGGATGCAGAGCTACTTTTCGTGTGGCCATCGAGGTTGAGAAGTGCTACGCCGATAGAGTCATTTTGAGCCCGCATCTGCTCTAGTTTAGTAATACAGTAGCGTACTCTATTTTCGCTTGATTTAACAATATTCTGAGTTGGTTCATTGTTTGTCCAGTATTATTAGTGTTCGCATTCAATATTGTTCAATATTAATTCGTATGAAATAGATTTTAGTTATCATCGTTGCAATTTCGAACATCATCACAAATCATTAAATAAAAATTAAATAATTTTAACAATTTAGTTTCTAGAACCTACCTCTGCTAACGTTAATTGCGTATAAAATTGTTGAACATATCTGTAAAGCTCATTATTCTTGATCTTCTTTTGAACGTCGTCAGGGAGATTAAAAACAGTAACTTCTCTTGACTCCAACAGTGCATATTCATCGGAAATAATTTTTAGTAAGGATTGTGATTTGGTCTTTGAAGAAAAGGACATTCTATCAAATAAATAGATTTGTTCCTCTTCATCTTCAATATCGCTCACATGTTGTTCATTGTCCACTTTAGCTCCTTTTGAATCCAACAAAATTTGGTTTTCGAGGGCAATGCCTGCGACTTTCTCCAAAAATTGTTTTAATTGATGTATCGTGTGTAAAGATGAAAGGGAAGGGGATGAAGATAATGGTGTTTGTTGATGGTGGTTGCTAATATTACTGTTGCTTGTTAAAGAAGATTCGGAGGAGGCAATTGGTGTTGTTGCTGATGAAGGAGTTGTCGTTGGTTGCAAATTGTGCGCTTGTTGGATGGTGTCCAGCAGAAGAGTTCCTTCTTCTGCAAGGAATACTTTCATTTTGTGGGTGTTTGTAGTGTTTGTTGATGATGGCGGTGCTGCTTGAATTTGACTTGATTGTTTTTGATGAAGTGTTGCTGATTTTGTTTACGGACGTGTGAGGATGGAAGGCAAACGTTGTAAATATTATTTTGAGAGAGTGCTGCTAAATTGATTTGAGAATGTCGTTGCAAATACAGAGCATTACCATACAACTGTTGTTGTGAAGGCATATAAATAGAGTCGTCGGTTGAAATCTTTACGCAGGTGGCCACCGAATGACGAGACTCAAGAGAGAAGACACGATATTGAAAACTTCAATTCTGATTGAAACCAAAATGTTTTTGAAGTAAGGCTTTTCTCTTTTTATGAAGATAACCGCTATTTTCTCGTCGGGTTTCGTGGGGTTCCAAGAATTGAAGAGGCAACAACAACAACTATACAATTGATTTCAATGAATTGCTAATCTGATTCGTCCACTTGATGAGAACAACTCCAAGTTGGTTGATAATGAAAAACACAGAAAGGCAGAGCGGGTAGTTTTCGTGCCTTTTTTTTGAAGAGAAAAAACTTTGAAATTCCAAGAAGGATGGCATAAGGTTGGCGTCTGTGAGAAGAGCACTCGGGGATTTGTCACCAGAAATCGACAATTCTCCATAAACAATAATGTTGTTGTCAATTGACCTTTTGCTCTTGATCACATGAATTCTGAAAGAATCAAAGAGCAAATGGAATGAAAGGATCTTGTTCATTGAAAATTAAAACACATGAAGAGTAAACAACAAGAGTTGGCCTATCAAAGGATGAAAGACTCAATTCATAAATTAAGTAATAATATCACGCGTCATTTCATAATTTAGAGAAATGTCTTTAAAGGAAGGACAGCCTTTTGGTCAATGAAAAGAAACATTATACCCTTTAAATGCATATGCTCTGTTTTGAATGCGCTTGAACGGCTCTCACGTTGAAATATTTGAAACAATTTCGAGGAACGAAATGATTTGGCGGTCAAATCTACAAAAAAAATTGGAAAGACAGGAAGACACTTTCAACTTTGTGTTTCGGAATAGTCGAATCATCATTATCCAAAATGTTGAATGCAACTGATAGCGAGGATACAAGACCGATATCATCCTCCATATTTTCTCCTTCGAAAATGAGCATGAGAAAATCAAAAGCAAAAATCAGCAATCTGCTGAGACCTGGAACTGCTCCGACCTCATTCTATCATCAAATTCTTCATCAACCTGGAAAAGAAAATGGAGAGGCAATGAGAAACAGGGGAACGTTTCTTGCTCCACAAGACGAAAATTGTAGGTTTTTATTTGCAACAATTTCGAGAAATCAATTTTAATTGTTTTTGTATTTGTTCGATAAAATATTCAGTAATTGAAATTAATTCAGATCTTCCTTTAGCCATGCTTATTTATTTTCATACTTTTTATTCCGTGACGTGGCTGTTAGTCACAGTAGTGTTGCATATTTTCAAACAAAAAAACTTCACAATAACCTCAACTAATACCATTATATTTTCTGTGGTAATTGTGGTGTGGACAGTCATTGAGTTTCCCAGATTACTCATTGGATACTCTGGAGATTTGAAAGAAAAGGTTCCTCGAGTTTTTGCTTTCATGATTTTATCGACCATTCAACCCTTATTGTACATTTACTTTTTTATTTACCAACCCAATATCACACCTTTGGATTATATCATTTGTTCAATTCAACTCATTTTCTATGCTTTGGAATATATATTTGGAATTATTGCAATGAGAAACTTTACAAGAGTGAGTGGAATACGATACAAACTCTATTTCAATAAGGATGGAACCTTGGCATTGGATGACTCTGAGGAGGACGCTGAAAATAATAAGAATCAAGTGGAACCTTTTACAGTAACCACAGGCGACGAAGTGACAACATTTGCAAGCGACAACAACACCGTCGCAGATCATGATTCATAGGAGTCGTGTTAACAGTTATAGGTCATATGTACTTGTTAAACTGATGCATGATCGAAGGCAAGAGTGGAGAAAAACAGCATAACATGATGCTGATTGCTGACGTCACGTTGCACCCTATCCAACACTAGATCAATACCGGCTCAATAACTCTTTACAACTTCCCAAAAAACATTGGAAAAATGTCTCGTATGATACAATAAAATAATATTATTAAAATTTTGTACATTTTCATCACCAAATGTCATTATTGCTGTTGTTGTGACCTGTCCTTCTTTTGTTTCTTACTCTCTTCCTCAAGTTTCTTTTGCTTTTCAATGTCGTCAACATAGGCTCCAACTTCCTCGTCAGTCAAAAAGCGAAGAGGTTCCTTGTACTTTAAGACAGCAACCTCAATATTTTTACCTCCACTTTCTACGACTTCAAGAAGAGCCTTGATGGCAAGCTTAACAGCCCTAGATTCATCATCAGCAGGACCCTCTGTTCCAAAAATGTCATTATCATAATTCTTTTCAAGAAATTCTTTTACGGTTTTTGAGTTTCTTCCACAAGTGTTGGCCTTCCAAGATGAGAATGTTCCGGATGGGTCCGTTTGAGAAAGTGTTGGTGTTCCATTTGGTTCAAATCCTGCAATAATTGTACTAATACCGAATGGACGAACACCACCACTTTGAGTGTATTTCTGTTGAACTTGAGCAATGTATCGTGTAATGTAATCAATTGAAACTTGATCTTCAAATTGTAAAGCATAACTTTGAGCGTGTAATCTAGCCTTGTTGATCAAAACACGAGCATCTGCTGTTAATCCGGCAAATGCCAAAGCACAATGATCATCTATTTTCACAATCTTTCGTACGGAACGAGTTTCTTGCAATTTTGCAGCTGCCTTTCTTTCAACAGCTAAAACAATAACATTATTTCCTTTCACTCCCACTGCTGTACTTCCCTTTCTCACAGCTTCCATGGCATATTCGACTTGGAAGAGATGGCCATTTGGCGAGAAGACTGTGATGGCTCTGTCGTAGCGGGACATTGTTGATCGTTTGGTGTATTTTTTTCAGATGAAAAAAGAGTTATTTTTAATTTTTCGTTCCTGATGCAGTGTTCATGCAACAACTCAACTGAATTGTCTTTGAGGTTTAAGGTTTAACAGTAATTGGGTTATGAAATAATAAAGTAGGACATAGAGATCAAACAGAGAGGGGTGAACAACGTTGTTCTCAACACCCCTCTTTTCTCAACAAAATATCATGACCACTACTACTACTTTTACAACTCATTCATTCGCATCTCTGTAATGAGTGACAAGAAATAGCCTATCCAGCATGATCACACTGAAAAAACTCTCTAACAAGAATTATTCACAAGGTGAATAATTTCTGGTTCCAAACAATTGAGTAAATGGTGAGTTCTGTACCAACTCCAATTTTTCAATTCCATTTCGTATAATCCTAAATCCACCTTTCCTATGCAATGCCTATAAACATGCTGAGAGGCAGTAATTCCATTTCGTAATTCGACATTCTTTTCTATTTCTGAGCCTGTATATCTACTCCTTAACGTTTTCTTAAAACAAAAACGATGGTAAGGATCTTTTGCACCAGATACAAAATATGTAGAAAAGAACACACGTTTCACATTACTTCCTTTCGATTGGCCAGTTCTTTTTCCATGTTTTGTCATTTTGTTACACTTGTTGTACAGTGTACTTGCTTGATAAATGTCATTGATGGATGTGAAATGGTTAAATTGTTCATCTTCCGCAATAAAGTCATACTTGTCAAAATTCATTAAGAAACAACTCTTGTTATCGACTCGTCCCATCATGTAGTAAGCATATTGCGAGCGTGGTGTACCATCTTCGTGTTCCCACTCTTCGATTGGAATGTTTCTACGACTCTTTGGCTCATGTTGTGACCATGGACGACCCTTTGAAGCATTCACTTCGAGTGGCAAACTTCTTTTCACTCGAATATACACATGTTTTCTCTCGTGATCCACATCCACAATAGACACCACAGAATTCAGAACTTGATAAGGATTGCAGCAGTGTTGCGGTAAATGTTTCACATCTTCTTTAAAGTTCTTGAAAAACACTATGACTCGAACAACAATGGTATCAAATCGATCATCGGAACAAGCACTACTCGATTCACAGGTGAAACAAGTGGCCAATTGTGTTTGATCCTTCCTGAAATGCTCGGCAAGAAGGTAATCCACTCGAGTGGTCGGTAATGTATTCTGCATGGCCGCCATGGTTTGAAAATTACTGACGTGATCCGAGTTCATAAAATCATGATCGACTCGAGTTTTAATACCGAAGGAGTTAAGAATTTCAATGAGTTCGCACTCGTGGTGGTGTTGATCTCGTTGGGTGCTGATGCAGGAGGAGGAGGATGGTGAACGGGTAAAAGAAGGGTTGGTATTATAAAGTGGTTTCTTTCGTGTCATGCTTTTTTTTTCAATTTCAAGCATGAACTTGATGTGATCAGGGAGTTTCAATTCTTGGAGAGCAAAAAGACTTCATCATCTTGCTCATTTCCATGTGTATCACCCAAATCGATATCATTCTTCCGGTTGTTCTAAGAATAAGCTCCCGTCCAATTCCTTGACTTCTTCCAAAAAGAAAAATAATCACGACCTTTCTTCACCCTCTTCAGCAGCCTCCTCCTCATGCCTACTCTCATTGTAACTGTCGTGAATGCTAGTAACTTGACCCCAAAGGATTTGAGTGGAACCTCCGATCCCTATGTTATTGTGCGTATGGGAGGTACTAGACATAGAACTCAAACAAGGTAAGTGGTTCAAATCAATCATCGTTAAGAAAGCCGTTACATGACCATTTAATGAACCATACGGCAATCTATATCATGTTCCCATTCATGAACGATAATTTATATTCTTCTTCAATATTATATTATATTCATGATCATCATGGACAATGAATAACTCCTTTCTTTGGGTGATTCTTCGTCGTGAACTCAACTACGACCTTGATCCAATTCATGGCCGATGATGATTTAAAATTTAAAGACGTGGAACAAATAATCCTTTCTGGGGTGAACAATTCACTTTGATGGTCGTAAGTTTCATTCGAGTTCACGTGATGGATTTAAATTTCAAATGTTTCATCATGATTGATTCACTGTGGTTGTAAATCTCTCATCCCTGCATGAAATATATATATTCATGATTAGATGGATCCAATGAAAGACTCTGTAACCTTTGATGTGTATGATAAAGACTTGATCACCAAGGATGACTCTCTCGGATCTGCCATTGTTCAACTCAATACTCTCAGAAGAGGAGTTCCAGAACGAATGAATTTGAACTTGATGGGTGCTAGACAAGGAACCCTTACTGTTGGTAAGTTTTGAACATTCATGACAAATTTGCCTCAATAAGAGAAAATTTTGTGCATTTTGGCCAACTGTTGGCAAATGGATGAAATTATTCAACAGAATTGTTGGCTCAAGATTTTGGTTTAGTCGGACAACCAATGATGACTCAACCCATGATGACTCAACCCATGATGACCCAACCTGTAATGACTCAACCCATGATGTCACAAGGAATGATGGTTCAACCACCAATGATGCAAACTTATGGTGTGACTGGTTATACTCCAACCATGACTACTTCTTATCCTTCTTATGGTGTTCCAATGCAGCCAATGCAACCAATGCCAATGCAACAATCAACAACATACACTACTACAACCTATCAAACAGGAGTTCCTCCACCTCAAGGATACCCACCTTATGGTCAACCAGGTTATCCTCCATATGGCGGTGGTGGCTTCTATTAATTGAAAGAGTTTTTTTTTATTGTGTATGTGGTGAATCATCATTTGTGACACACATTATTATTATTTATTGCACCTTAATAAATTGACTCCAATATCTGTTTCTGTATTCTAAAAACTAACATCAACGTTCAAACGTAAGGCATATTTATTCAACAATTTCTATCAATCGGATTCTTAGCTTAATTGAAAGAGAGGATGCAAATGTAACAACCAATTCAACAAAGTTACTATTGTAATTTACATTTTTATTGAAATATTGGTTTTAATCATCTTTTGCATCTTCAGAAATGATTTTAAAGACAAAGTTTCTAACAATTTCTGCCATCTCCAATGGGTTATTTCTTGCATACCAAATTCCACCCTTGACCTCTTTGGTGGTGACGCTATCCTCCAGAGGTAAAATATTTTCAGGATATACATAGTATGGATGATCACTCGAAGATATGACAAGAATTTTGTCTCCTTTTAACAAATCTTCTAAATCTGTTTTCATGTTGGTTGGAAAAGAAAAGGTCATATTTTCACCTACTGATTCCTTAAAATTGCTAGATAAATATTGTTTGATAATGGTAAAGTGACCAGATTCACTCCATTCACTTTTTGCAAATTTGGCAAGTTCAGTTTCATTCTTTCCATCGTCATAGTAAATTGAAGCCCACTGACTTAAAGTTGAAAACGTCAATATAGGTTTAAACAATTGTTGTTGTTTTGAGTTGGATTTCAATAGATCTGTAAATATTTTAGGGTGTGGACTGTTCAATAGAATAACTCCTTCCAAATGGTCATCAACCCATTCCTTTCCCTTTTCTTGTAACATTAAATAAATAATTGTTCCAGAAAATTCTTGTCCAATCAAAATGATAGACTCTTCAGGTTGTTGTTTTTCTACAATGGATGCTAATTCTTTAGCCATATTTGTGAATAAGGTTGTCTGATTGGCACCAATGTGCCCACCATTACTGTTCATGGCTTGTCGAGTATTTCCAAAACCTCGTAAATTCACACAATTAATTTTGAAATCAACCATTAGTTCATGAATGACTGGAACAAAAGCTCCTAAACAACTCTCTGGGAATGGATTTACAAATAACAAGGTAGGTTTTGTATTTCCCAATAAACCTGTTTCCAAATGCATTTGTCCCTTTAGTGGTTTTCTTTTTGCTGATTTTTTATCACTGGAAGATGACATGTAATTCAACAACATTCTTCTTCTCGCTCCGACAGAGTATACTTCCACCATCAAGGCTGTATTACTTGTATCAAGAGTAGAAATTTGCATCAAGGAGCTTGAATATTTTGAATCATAGGAATCCTTTAACGAGGCTTGTATGGAAAATACAAATACCACAATGATCATGATGGCAATCATCACACAAGCCAATCCAAAGACCAAACATCCGACCCATCGTTTATTAACAAAGGCTTGACCTTCTAAATTTGCTGTTGTAGAACGATCATAATGATGATGAGCATCCAATCCAGATGTTGGTGTTGTTTGATGATCATCCACTCGTTCCAAGCTCCGATCAAATTCTTGTTCTTCCTCGAGTCGGGTTCTTCTTGAATTGGACATTTTTTAAGTTGGTTTGAAAACTTTTTCAGTTACAATGAAATCCCGAAATGGTCACAGAAACATTTATCACCCATGTGTGTAGGTGATACACTACAACATAAGAACCACAGTAACGTATACAGAGCAGAAGACAAATGGAGGGTCACATTCGTGGGTTGGTGAGGGTGGGGTTTCACATGGGCAAAAAGTATTACTTCATTGGTTTTTGCGGCTGGAATGACGTGCAAAAAAATTGACACTATTTCTGTAGATGTAGTTTTGAACAGGTTTGATGAGTATAAAGAAGAGTGTGATAAACCGTCCAACACAAAGATTATCGTCGAATTGATAGGGAAGTATTACAAAGAAAATAATGCGAACGATGAAGATGGTGCTTCTGACAGCAAAAATGGTGATCGTGAATCAATACAAAAAGACATCCCTTGATTCTGGGAGAATAGATTTTTGCGAACAACTCGCTCGCAACGAACAACGAACTGCAGCAGGGTGGCCCTGTATTTTTTTCCGGGTTTGGGTGTTCAAAACAAGTTACCCTGTTCTTTAGAAAATGATCTAAAAAGCGCTGAGAAGCATTAAGGATTCGAAGATTTTTATTTGAATTCACAGCTTATCGAATTTGGACCATTTATTTATCGAGATCCGTGTTTTATTAGTTTCTTTCATTTTATTCACAGCAGTATTAAACATCTTGATCATAGACTCGTCATACTCTGTTTCTGTACCGTTGTAAATCAAATTATCCCGAGCGTTCTTTGAAGTTTGAGGGAATACAAATGGGTTTTCATCGTCAAAAGAGCTTTTGCTTTGGGGTTGAGTGGACGAGTTGATGGTTATGACTAACAAGGGTACGTATTTTTATGCTTGTATATTGCTGCGAGTTATTGTGAGGTGTTTGTATCATTTTTTTCTTCTAACAACTATTTATCTAGAGTTATTAGATCAGTAAAAAACACGATGGACGAGAGGTTGAAAATATAGTACGAGGTCGAATGATTTTTTCACCTTAGTGAAGATTGCATGTGATCTTTCATGTTCGTTGCATCTTAATTGTTTCTTCAAACAGAGATCGATCTGATGATTCTATCTCTCATGATGATAGATTGGCACTTCTCGCATTTTGAAGAGCCAAACTCGGACAAACAACATCTGCTGTCAAACGCCACTAATTGCATTTTCAAAAAAAAACCGTCGATCACTGTTGAACCATTGCTTTTTCAGTTTTACTATTGGCACCGGCACTTGGCATCACAACATTATTGTGAAACGCATCTTCGTCCTTACCTTTCATTGAACGCAATTCTTTACAACCCTGAACCCCAACCATCATCAATATGGGCATTACACAAAACAAACTTCTCACCGTCGTCAAGGATCTCTCTCTCGAGAAATTACAATCTGGTCTCTCCATTGAAGAAGCTGAAAAGTTGTGGAACGAAGCAGACACCAATAAGGATGGAATTTTGAGTGAAAAGGAAGCCAAAGAACTTCTCAAAGATTTGAATTCATCTGTAATGAACAAGATTAAACAATCCTTGCAAAAATTGGAAGAGTATTTGCAATCAGAAGAATTGTTGAAAGAATGGATGAGTGATTGTGATGAAAATAAGGATGGAAAGATTACGAAAGAGGAATTTATGAAGGTTCTCACAACAGGACATGCCATTGATAAGATTCCAAAGATTTTGTTGGAAGGAGTTCATGACATTGAAGAGCAAGATAAGAAGAGAAAATTGAGTCAATGTTTGGGTGAGGATAAGGCTGCTGAAGAGGAAGAAGAGGAACCCAATACAAAGAAGAATGCAAAGAAGGTTAAAACAAAGAAGGTTAAAACAATCTGAGGAAAATATGGAACAATTCATGTAATCATCACTTCACAACACATGAGGTTTCAATGAAGTAGATCTAGAGCAGTACCTGTAAATAATCCCTGTCTAGATTGAAGCAATACGAAAAACTAAGTAAATGGTTATTGATTCATTTTCAAAGATTGTTGTCATATTCGGAAAAGAAATAGAACAACCCAAATTAATGAATAATGACGTTCTGTTATTATTAATATTATTAGTGTAAATCTAATGGTGAGGCAATCTTGAAAAATTCTCACTTGCTTTCGTCATTTCTATCCACAAGAACAATTTACTTGCTCAAATAAGTTACCAAGTCTGAGTAGGACATGGTGACAGGCAGCGTCTTGTCTTCGGCAAGCTTTTTCAAGAATGTTCTATGGAAATCAGTGAAAAGTACCTTCTTCAATTTGTCACTGCTTGGTTGACCAGTGATATTGGTATTTGCAATTCGAATTGGCATTTCTGTTTTGAGTTGAATTCTAAATAATTCACACAAGTCAAAAACTTTGGCAAGAAGTGGATCGTCACCAAATGGCAACTCCTCATTTTGATCGGCTTGCAAGGTGAATCTATTGTAATTCAACTCATAGACCAAATCAAAGAATTTTTCTCTGTCAGTATCCCATTGCTTTCTTCCTAGCCACAAATAAATTGCCATACCATCACACAGTAAATAGCATCCGTCTTCTGGGTTGATAAGTTTTCTGGAGAGAGGGAACAATTTCAAAACCTTTGGCTTATCTGAATCAGTATCTGCGGTTTCATCAGCAAGTAGATCAGTAACTGAAATCAACAAAGGATGAGACAGTAATATTGATTGTTGAACAGTACACGAGGTGAGATATAAAGAAGATGCTATTCTGTTGTCTGCTCTCACTTCCTTTCCTCCTAACAACATATTAGTTTTGCTGAGGCCACATACAAAAAGAGGTAAATATTGAAGGGAAACGGGCAAAGTTAATCCCATACCAATGCCAACATTTGCAACACTCTTATAACTGGTCACAGCTGATTTGAGCCACTTATCAATGAGAGTGGATCTTGAATTAGTGACTCCTTCCTTTGCCAAGTCGGCAGCTAAAATTTTACCCATCAAGTTAATCATACCTGTTGGTTGAGTGCTGTTGTAAAGAACAGACAATGAATTAGTAATTGGTAAGAGTAAATTGCAAACACGAATCTTTCTTTGTCCTTGTTCTGAGGTATAGAGAACAGCAACCTGAACACTGACGTTTGGTGTGGAGAGCATGGCACCAGTGTGAACCATTTGGAAGCCGAAGGTTTGAGTTCCTGAAATATTTGGTAGGGCCATTAAGTCATGTCCTCTGATGAAGAAGTTACCAAAGAAGTTCACAATTTTCATACCACTGCTCACTCTGATTCTCATGACGCTTTCAAATCCAGTCAACTCATCGATCAAGCATTGTTTCAAATCTGCAGCTAATTGGTGGCTTAATTGATCAGGATATTCATACAGTTTGCAGGAACCTCCAGTGAATTTGGAGAGACTAGAAAGTGTTGCAATATCCAAGAATGAGTGTGTAGATTCGGGAATGGCATAACAATACAAGTCACAACAAATTTGGTCCTTATTGAAAAGGAGAGCAAAATCTCTATAGCTGTTATCTACTGGTTGCAAAAGTTTTGCTTCGGTCTTATCATTTCCATAGTCATTTAAACTCTCGCGGTTGGTAAGCTTGTTTGGTCCAATTGTTGGTAATTGAGAAAGGAAAATAGAAACCTTTCCACCAAATCTTCCAATTAATCTACCTGCAGCATTAAGGGCAGATCCTAAACAGCACTCGACACTGGTAGATCCTCTAAACATGACCTCAAGCTTGTCCAACAAAATTTCCACTAAATTATAACTCTCTTCCAAATTAACAAGTAAATCGTTTGGCAATGGGAGAAGTGATTCGTTCAGTTCACCAACAACTAATTGTTGGGGTTGAGTAAGAGTTGATCTCAAGTTGAAAAAGTGAATCTTGCTATCAAAGCAAACAATACCAATCATTGTTCTTGGCGATTGCTCCTTCAAACCTTTCAAACAATTCTTAATAGCCTTTACAGATGCTTGGAACAAACCTCCATTAATACTATTGAAACTTGAATCTATTAAGAATAAATATGCAGGTGGCTGTGGAGGTCGAGACATGTATTCTTGAGGAGCCAAATACTCATAGACACCATTTGTGAGTTCGGGTCTTTCAAAAAAGTCCTGTCTCACCCCATTCATATCGGTTGGGCTGTAGTATCTTTTTGGAACTTCATTGATTTGCTTACAAACGTTACATTGCCACTTATTTCCGAATTCAATGAATTGAACAAATGGGTTGATGTAGGTTCTGCAATTATTACAACGAATAATCAAGTTTCCTCCGATAGTGGGTACTTCTTTGAGATGGAAAGGCTTCAATACACAACCAAAAGGTAATCCATATCGGTTAAGAAGATCTAAACTTTGTGGAACTGCATTACACGACATTTTCATTGTGTTTTCGTCGCTTTGAAGTGATTTGAATACTTCTGCTGCTGTTTTGGTATCATTTACGTAGATACTTTTATAGAGATTGTAATGGGCTTGATAGAGAGGAGAAACATCGGGCTGACCTGAGATGTGAGCAGTCAATAGCTCTCCAGCTTCCTTTGGTTGTGGCATATTATTTGGCATTATATTCACATAAGGAGCATTTTGTTGTGGGTTCAATGTGAGAGTGCCCATATGAGAAATAACATCTTGCACGCTGTAGTTTTGTCCTTGTTCAAAGGCAGTCTCTGGATGTTGAATGGAAGGAATCGCCGCTGAAGTGGTACCCAATGTTGACTGAGTGGTTCCTGGAGGAATAGCACCTGTGCTTGGAGGGAGCACAGTACCATGCTGCTGCTGCTGAGTGAGAGCACCATGAAGAGCTTCACCTCCAAATTTGAGTTCTGTTGGAGGAGGGCCTACATTCTTGGTTCCCGAAATACCGGATTGAAGAGCAGGATTGTAAAACTGTGAAGATGTTGTTGTTGGTGGAGTGATGGAAGTTGTTTGATATAGGCCTGTGGTGCCATAATTTCCATATCCACCTGTAGGCATTGTAGGATCATAAAATCCTCCTCCGGTTGTAGTGGTTGGTGTTTGGCTTGATGATGTAGGATTATAAAATCCTCCAGTATTGGTGGTAGGAGATGATTGGACCATAGATGATGAAGATGGATGATAGAATCCACCTCCCACTTGAGGTGGTTGATTCATCATCATCATATTTTGATGAGGAGAGGGTGGAGATCGAACATTTTGCTGCTGTGCTGATTGCTGTTGATGAAGAAGGGGATTGTAAAATTGTTGTGGATTCATTTTTTGATAAGGTTTTTGGAAGCGAGAGTAGCAACCTACACGTGGCGTTGTGCTGTTTTCAGGAATACTTAATATTGGAGACCTGTTTTCATAATGAAGATAAATTCACCTTGTCTTTGTGTCGACGAGTTTTTATAATTACTCAATGATGACAAAAGGATCTTGTTGTACACGTCTTTTTAATCGTCATCTTCGATTACAACTCTTCACGATGGGTCCTTCGCTTCAGATTGTGCGCTTGCCACATCATATGGTTTCCAGTCTGACACGTGGTGATGATGGTTGTTTATTGAGACGACATACTGGTGATTCGTGCATTCTTCATTTCCTTGAGCTCATCTAAAACCATTTCATAGCTCGTGTAAACAATGCCTCCAGCAATACCTTCCCTGAGCAAATTGAAATAATTCAAATAATGAGCACTCGAACGATACGACGCAAAATTACAACACAAATGAGTTCCAATCGAAATAACAGCTGCCGTCAGAAAGTGGCCCAACCAGTGTGAGACCTCTCGTGTTGTTGTTGGTGAAGTTGACGATCCATTATTCTCTCCCACACTAACCACACTAGATACCAAAATGTGTTGCAAGACTTGACGAGAACTCAACCAACGATAAAGAGCATAACTCAAAGTACTTCTTCCGATGAGTCTACCCATGGTTTGGAATGAGAGAGTATCTCCACACAAGTAAGCCACAAGCCTCTCCATGGCACCACTCACACTGCCTGCCAGTACATGAACGTACATGGAGGTTTGAGTCGACACGGATCGATCACGAACAGGCATTAGGAATTGAGTCACGAAGGATCGAGTCGACCACAACACTCCTCCATAAATTCCAACTTTTGAAATTATGATCAATTCCTTCTTGATTTGCTTGCGTCGATCGGCTGTGGAGGAGGCAACGATCGCTCCTGTTTTGGCAGCATTTAAATCATCACTGTGAATGGTAGAATTCCAAAATTTTCGGAACGCATAGGTTAATAGAGAGGACGATGCTCCTGCCATAAAGCTCATCCATACAGTTTTCCATTCGTTGTGAACCTCCTCTGTGATGTTGTTGGAAGACATTTTTTTCTTAATGTGGAAAGAAACACTCACACACCTTCCATTCCATTTCTTCTAATTAAGTGTTTCTTGCATTCATTAGTGAGGTAAACGCAGTGTTCATCATTGCAGTTTATTATTAGTGAGGTAGTAGAGATGAAAAAGGCACATAAATTGTATGCCCATTCATTCATGCACATGGAAGCACTTTGCATTTCTCATCCACATTGGTTCCTCTTCCACCAGGTCCGTTTGTTTGCCAACTTGCCCAATTACATCCATTTCCTCCAGCAGCCACAAGTAAGGGAGTATTCGTGTTCGAAACGACTACAAACGAGCCTCCTATATATGATCAATGACAAGTAAAACTTCTTTCGAAAGATAATGAATGAACATTCCACTGTTCCTTTGTTGAGTTGGAAAACACCACTCACTTCAGCTCCGTATCCAGCACGAATGGAGTTGTTGTATGGATTTGATCCTCCAGCTGCTCCAGCAGCAGTAATGAGAAAACGGCCATCAAATGGTACTGTCCATTGTTGAATGCCATTGACAAGTGTCACTTTTCCGTTTAGATCGGGCTGATCTGAGTAATAAGTGTCAACACTTGTGGGTCCATTCGGTCCTTCTGTGCCTAAATTTGAAAAACGGACTGATAATATTCTCGAAGGTTCTCTCAAAACATTTCCAATGTTTGACACTTCGATTTCTAAATCCTTAATTCCCTCATCAAGGCCATGCACCTGAACCAGATGAAGCGTTTTTACATTTTCAGAAAAATTATGTTTCAATTCGTTGAAATCTCTTTGAACTCGAATAAACTTTGTGATTTTTGCTTCTATCAATGCATAGGCTCCAAGTGAATGAATGTTTTCAAATGATTCTTTCATATCTGCTTGAATCTCCTTAAACTTTAATATACTTCGAATCGAATCAGTTCCTTCTCGACACAATTCACAAATCTGGTCATTTAATTCTTGACCTCTCTTGTCAATCATTTGCTTTGCATTCTCACAAAATGATTTCACTTGTTGCTTCAGTTCCATTTTTTTCTTTTCAATTTCTTCCAATTCATAACGTAACATCTTTTCATCACAGGAATGCTCTTGAACCCATTCTGAAATATCCTTCTCCAACAAAGAGACATGTTGTTTGAGCCAACTTCTCTCCTGTTCAGCAATCTCTTCAATCAATTCACAACAATGTCCTTTATGAGTTTTACTAAATGCACAACAAGCACAAATCAAAGCTTCACAGAGGTCCGACAATAAATATTCATTGGACTCTGATCATGATGAGGACATGTTGGAGTGATTTTCAACAAGAGACTTTAATTCATGTTGAGGATATCGAACCAAATGTTTTTTACCATGAAATCCACAAAAATTGATTTGACAGTTGGAACAGAGAGATGAGAGGCAGGTTCCTCGTCTCCTAATTGCTTACACATATGGAGCAATGACTCCACACGCATTTTTTTTTAAAATTCAACATGACTAGAATTCACAACACTTGACAGGATGAAGGACAAGTCGGAAATTCATAAATAGAAAAAATGAAGAAGGAAAAACAACAAGGACAACAATGATCATGAAGCTCTCAAAGAGAAGGACCTCTCCCAGGCATGGACCCAATTGTTCAGTTTTTAGATTTACGTTGACGACATTCCACTTTGTATTTTATCCATAGCGAAAGAGAAACTCAATAATTTCAAGAAAAGAACAATATGTAATTCGATCATACATACAAATTCAATGCCACTTTTCATGAAACGCTTAGAGAACAAATATGTCCATTTATTTTTATTACTCGATTAATCGATGTAATTTGAGTAAGGATGGAATCGTTTCGTTATTTAGGGGTTCCATTTATGTCACAAATGTTAAAGGAGATGGAACAACATTTTAAGTTTCACAGCTCAACAGTGTCACAAATCCAAGAAAAATCTAGAAATAACTGTTAGAAAGGTCAGAACTATATTGGAGAGGCTCAGTTCACACTGAAATCTGTGCTTCCTTTTATTGTCTAGAATCCCAAGGTAATGATTGTCACATTGAAAAAGAAAAATTGAATATTATTCTTGATCGGCTGGAATTTGGGAATTAGGACAGCCAAAGAGCAACTTGGAGGAAATGACCATGCGGACTGGCTGTTTTTCTTAAAGATGAATCACTGTGAATCTGGATTGGGACCTTATGTTGTTCATCAAGTACTCGACACTAGAAATTGATTTTTTCTGAGCGAACCAAACACCATTCTGAATACGATGAATATGGAAGTGTTTATTACTTTCACAAGTTTAGGTTCTTCTTTGATCCGCTAAAATCATATCAGCTGCCTTTTCAGCAATGGCAGCCACTGGTGCATTGGTATTTCCTCTCACCACACTTGGCATGACACTGGCATCGACCACTCGCAATCCACTTACACCACGCACTCTGAGACGAGCATCGACCACTGCTTGTGGATCATCACTTCTTCCCATCTTGCATGTCGAAGTGGGATGATACAAAGTTGTGTACATATTGGTGATACATTCCCTCACTTGTTGTGGAGTTTTGAATTCATCTGGATCACAGAAAATGTAGCTCTCAATCAATTGATTCAAAGGTTCAGTTTTGAATGCTTTTTGCAATTCACGAACACCCTCCACCAACACATTGACATCATGTTCATGTCCCAAATAATTTCCATGAATTAGTGGAGGAACCTTAATGTCCTTAGAGATCACTTCGACATGACCACGAGCCTTAGGTTTCAATCCGACTATTCCCACACTCACACCATCCTCTCCAGGGTACTCGATGGAGGAGTGATGAACAAAGAATCCAGGAACGGCCACAATTTGCAAATCAAACGGTTCATTATTTTGTTTGGCATAACTCGATCGGAAAAAACCTTGAATGTGAGGAGCAGCCACTGTGAAAAGTTTCCAACTTTCAGGAACTGCATTAGGGAAGAGTTTTTGAGCCCATTCTGATTTCAAAAATTCAAAAGAAGATCCTGCAAAGTATTGCAATAAATTGAGAATACTTTCATAGGAATGGAGAGATTTGACACCTTTTTTGAGTTTGGCAATCACTGCACCGAGATTGTGATCTTGCAAGTTTTGACCTACTCCTGGAATGTGACTCACGAGAGGAATGTCCAATTTTTGCAAGAGATACTTGTCAGCAATTCCAGAAACGGTCAATAACTGTCACAGAGAAGGTGTGACATGTGAATAAGGTCAATTGAGGGAGTAATAGTATCCAAATGCATTTGAAATTAATATATTCATATTCACAAATAATGGAATATATCATTAAATTCCTTGTTGTGAATATCTAATAAATCATTCTTCATCATCCTCCACTTACCTGAGGAGATCCAATTGCTCCAGCACTTACAATGACTTCACGTCTCGCTCTCACACTCACCACTTCACCTGTCAATTCATTCAAATATTCCACTCCAATTGCTTTCTTTTGTCCTATCAATTCTTTCTCTTCAAACAAAATTCTTCTCACCAAACTATTCGTTCTCACATGAATATTTCCTCTCTGAAGAGTCTCTTCGTCTAAATAGGCCTCAGCCATGGAATGTCTTCTTCCATTCTCATCAATGGTTTGATGATGAAAGGAAATGCTTTCCAAAATTTTGTGTCCTTCACCTTTTTCCAATAATTGTTCTTCTTCAGGAGTGAGTGCATTAGGGTCCTCTCGATGTGGAATATTCATGGATTGACTCAATGATTCCATCACGACATGATTTAAATCAAAACCTAACTGTTGACGTGCCTGATCCATCAATGGTTTCAATCGTCTCACTTTCAATCGACCCTCTTTTCCGTGATATTTCATATTTGCATTCTCAGAAAGGATTTTTTCATTCTTTTTGAAATAGTTCAACATGTCACTGTAAGACCAATCCATGGTCAACTTTTCATTCAATGCTGTTGTTGTTGAATTGTTGACTTCTCTCAGCAATGCATTCCATTCTTCATAATCTAATGGATGACCACGAATATAGAGATTGGCATTCACACTCGAACAACCTCCAACAACACGTCCTCGAGGCATGTAAATGGTTCGATTTCTAAGTTGAGGATTGGGAGTAGTTTCGTAGGCCCAATCCAATGTGTTGTTCATGGTTAATTTACCAAAACCTAATGGAAAGTGAATGGCTGTGAGCATAATTATTAATTTTGAAAAATGTCAGGTGTGAATAGAGAGTTGATCAATATGTGAAATAAATGGTAATGACATTACGTTTGGTGAAATAATAGTGTGTCAGTGACAACAACGACATCATTTCAGAATGATGATGTTGTTGTTACATGTGAATGAGATTGATGTTGCTGATACTCACCGAGAGGATAATTATTGGATGATCCTGCTTCGAGAATCAGCACGGAGTAATTATTGGCATGTTGAGACAATCGATGTCCGAGAACACTTCCAGCAGTTCCACTGTGAAAATGAATGAATAATAATTATTATTATTAATATAATTTGATGGTCATGATCAATCCAAGGATCATCGAGATCGATCCAAATCAAACATTAGGTTTCTTAAATTCAATTGATGAAAATAAAGTGAACCTACGCTCCAACAATGATGAAATCAAATTCTCTAAATTTCTTCACATATTCAGTAGATCGAAACTTTTCGAATCTGTCCTTGAAGAAGAGTGAACGAGGTGCCAAATAAACAGCAATGGCAATGGTCACAAAGATGAAAAACAATGACGTGAGTTTGGACATTTTTTCAACTCGAATTATCATGTTAAATGTCAGAAGAGAATACATCATGATGAAAGCAGCAACATGAACTGTACATGGATGTATTAGATATTTGTGAATGTGAATGGAGCATGCATCACCTTTTTTTTTGCTTTTTTTGTTCCATTGAAAGGGCACTAATTTCTCTCTTCATTTCTTCTAATTTATGCTCATACTTTAATTCTAGCAAATATTCTGATTGTTACAGCAACAAACTGGCGTGATGCAATTAACTAGTCAGAGATGTGAACCACAGCATTTAAAGGGCGTCTTCTTCGTCTTGATGTTGAAATAATTGAGCGACTCGATTCACCAATATTCTTCTTGATTCATTTCTCGACGACGTTTTTGTGATTCCTCTTGGTGATGAAAAGGCCGAATGAACGATTGTTTTCGAGGATGTCATTTCTCTTTTCACTTTTCGATACTGTTTCTTCACGGAGGGAGGTGATGAAGGACGATTTTGTTCTGGTGTGAGGCATCGTTGAGGTGTGACACGAGGTCTATTGGTATTGGATTGATTACATGTTTGGTTACTAGCCCTAAGATGTTTCCGATGTGTGTCTACATAATTCATGCTTGGATATGATGAACATCCTGATTGAGCATTCGTTGGATGATGTTGATCCAATAAATTCAATCGAGTGAAAAATACTTGACTAGTAAGATTCATTGGAATAAATCGCTGACTGCTGTCTGCAATGTTTGAATATAAATTAGGTAAAGCCTGACACATGTTCGATGTTGTTGAAGTGCTTGACAATGTTGGAAACGGCACCACCAATCTTGTAGTTTTTCTCAATGGTCCATTCAAATTTACCTTATTGGGAGAATCAATTCCTCTTCGTTCCAAAAGTTGAACAAAAGCCTCTCCTTGATCTAAAATTGAGGTCGTTGTTGATGAGAATGCATTCAAATCCAGTCGTTCATCCAAGAGTTGAGTCACCGAAGGTAACCACGAAGACTCGTCCGAGTTGGAGAATGAAAATGGTGGTGAGCTCAACAATGAGAGATTGGGAGTGAACACATGAGGAGAGACAATAAGGCTTGTCGAGGGATCGGATGGAAAGAGTGAAGTCTTGTTCGACGGAAGAAGATTCAAAGAAGGACTTGTGTCAAGTGGAGGACGTTCAGTGTCAACTTGCACATGTGTGGTGGAAGGTACATTCATGATGGATGAATGATGATGTGGTTGAGCATGTTTTGAGTCCTTAGAGGAATGATCGTGCTGAGGTTGTAGGGAGGATGATTGGGTGAGAGGAAGAAAAGGCTTGTCATTCTCAAAGGCTTTTCTCTTCTCCAAGGAGGATGATGAAGGCTTCATTCTTTTTTGAAGTTAAATTGGAAGACGAGAGTTATTTTCTTGTTTTTTTTGAGTCTGGTTGCTGTCAAGTTGTCATGCACTGGCGCCATAATTTGCACATTGTGATGAAATACCATTTCCATTTTCAAGTGGGCTTTCCATATTCTCTTGAGGACTCCATAACAAGAGCTCATACATGAGATGCAACAAGTCTCCAGTGAACTCATGAGCACAAGCAATGACCATTTTAGTGACTAGATGCAACTTTTTGAGAGGTTCAGTACACATTCGGTATGAACTCAATTCTTTCATCAACATGAACCTGATTGGCGATTAATACAGAAATCTCCATTTCTGATCACTGTGTTTATTGAGGTTAATATTTTGTGATGAATGTTGTACAATGAGAATACGTTCTATCAAATAAAAGAAGGGAGGAAGGTACCAAATAGATCATCCTAACATCTTTTGGTAGTCAAGATGGTCTATTTGTTACAAACCTCCTATCAACTTCTATAAGATAGAACACACAGTTGTCTTGTCCAGCATTTCATGTACAGATCAACAAAAAGTCAAACCCAAACTCTCACAGAATGTGATTTGACTCTTTGTAGACGTGTACATTTTCAAACGCAGACAAGACAACTCTCAAACACTGTTCTTCAAACAAGTCAATGAATTGTTAATCCATGGCTAGTTTCTGAGCAATGATTGGTAATAAATTCATAGTGTACGGGTTTCATAACGTAAGGTGAATATTTGTTCAATATGCCTGTTCTGGAGGCAACAGTTCCACCTCTTGAAGAAATGTTCACAATGTTATGAACACCCTTTGCTTTGCCTGTTTGGCAATACAAGAAAAGAGGTGGGTTTGTTGAATTTTCAACCTTGATCCAGGTATATTTCTTGGGAGGTTTTGGAATCATCTTCAAGATACCCTTCAAAGAAACATAAATCTTGTTGTTGAGGATTTTGGTGTCTTTGGAGAGAGGTTCAATTGAAATTTTAAGTGTTTGCTCATAGTGGAGATGTTGATGTTCATCGATGAGATCTGTTGGTTTTGGCCCATACTGACGTCTCGGAGTCGAGTACGTGTGTAGATGGACTGTATGGGTTGGAAGAGAGCCATCACTCTCAAGTTCCAACTCTAAATAAGTCGCTGAAGCGGAGAGTTTGTCATACCAATTCTGTTGTTGAGTGCCGTTAGTGCTTTCTTCTGAATGATCATCGCTACCAGTGTAGGAGGAGGAAGAAGAATCCACAACACCACCAGTAACAACAGTCATATCGGAAGAAGCTGGTTTGGTCTCGTATTGTTTCTTCTTCTTCTTCTTATTGGGAGCTTTTCTCTTCTTGGTTTTACTTTCTACTTGCTCCTCCAAAGTGGTGTTGGTCAAAGTAGTAGTGGAGCCTCTCTTTCGCTTCTTCTTCTTGTTGTTGTCATTTTCATCATCAAGACTCTCGTTGGCACAGGATGGAGAGAGACTCGATGACAACCACAACAAGTGGTCCTCCTCTTTGGGACTATCAGAGGGTGCTCCAATTATTAGAGCATGTTGTTGTGAAAGAGGAGGTGGTACTTGAAGATCAGCCAACTCACGAGTGGTGCCGAATGTAAAAGCAGCAGCCAGCATCGGATATAACGGGTTCATCATGAATCCCACTACTTTTTCAGTACTGATACTACTGGTAGTAGTGGTGGTCGTCATAGCAGCAGCTGTAGAAATGGAAGGAGAAACAGCCATCATCATTACTTGTCCAAATTCATCAACATATTGTTGTGGATGTTCGTTCATGAGAGTAGCGGTTGGAGGCATCAACGCCAACGAATGGAATGGATCATCATATTCTGCAAATAATTCGTTGTTGTTATTATTATTTTCGTAGACGTAGTTATTACTTGTAATCAGATCATAATAATTGTTATTCTTAATTTCAACGAAAGTCTTTGAATGACGATCATCATCACTGGGAATGAATTGGAGTTCATCGTTCCGTTCAGAATTATTAATATTGAAGGAATCCTCTTGGGATGAGGATGCGAGGTTGAGATCTGAATACAAGGTACCTGATGATTCAGACTTGCTCTCTTGCTCGAAGAGCAAATCATCAAAATCCAAAGAGTCAAGCATTTTCATGTTGAGATTTTTTTTATAGAAGTGACTTTTGTCAGGTGATTTACAACGCTGTGTTTTCTTCTCAACAGATTTTCAGAAAATCAAAGAGAAAGGCGAGAAAACAATCCTTATCCATGGTCATGAAATGTCAAGATGCAATTCTGTTTCTTTCACACTCTTTTTGAAAAATGTCAGTAATTTTATTGAAATTCTACATTCACTTCTCGGCTGTTCGTATCATGCTTTCGTTGATAGAAGAGCAAGTAAGCGTTTGATGTTCTGATTTCCTTTTCTTGGACATGAGTGACTGAGGAGTCATTAAAGCAATACCACTTGTTGTCTTCACAATTTTTAGCATAAGTGTAGTAATGGCCACCTCCCAATCCTCCTGTGTGACAACTGATGGCAAAAAGGTCATAGAGCATATGGTCCTCAGGAGCTTGAACCATATAATCGCTCAAATCTAGATTGGAGATTGGAAAGTCGACATATGTCGTCACTTTTTCTCTTCCAAGACGATTATATCCAAATCTCTTCAAATGGATGATGAGTATTTCTGGGCTAGACCAAATGCAACATTGCTTGAATGCACACACATGAGTCTTACATCGAGGGCAGTACCATTGATCTCGTTGTCCCAATTGTTCCATTTCACTATTCACTTTCAAGCAATCATCCAAAGTAATATGACCAATTTTTGAGTTTGGTTGCTCAACATGTGTATGTTGCAAATGTACAGTAACAGCTTCTTTTGTCTTGAGGAAAGATACATCCAACCAATCAACAGAGAAAATATACTTGTCATGTTCTAATAAATATTTTCTGACCATATCTTCTTCATCACTGTACAGTATCGGTATGCCACCACAATCGGCAACAACTTCAACAGACTTGTCAATAACAGATAATTTGAAAGGAATATTTTCAGGGTCAAAGGTGGGAAATACAGTCTTTCGTAAAATTTCTAATTTTTGTTCGTTGGTGTATTCTTCTCCTTCGTTCTCTGGAGTTGGAATAATGTTGGACTCGGGATCTTCTGGTGTCTTCTTAGCTACTCGTTGCAAATGATCCCAAAGAATACCATAAAATTCTTTGGTTGTGATCTCTCTGTTCACAAACAAAATGAAGGGTATTCCAACATTCTTGAAAAGCGTTTCTCCTCCCGTATTTGGATATCGTTGTCTCATGTGAATAATCAAATATTTATCCTCAGAATAATCATCTGGAATATCAACACACAACACTTTTGGAGTGGATCTTGCATTTGGGTCAATAACGCCAACACTCTCGTTCAATTCAAGAGCTCTTCCAACAGAAAATCCTGCCATTGTGAAGAACATGACTTTGTTTGGGTCTCTTCCGCTCACTTTGGCGAATTGAGTTGCAAGAACTTGAACTGTTGCCTGCTTTGGAAGTTCAACTGTATATTTTGTTGCTCTGGAACCTCCTTCTGTATTCATTAGGATGACATCCATTCGGAATGGCATGCTTTTTCCAACAGGAACCGATAGGTACTGAAAAAGTGTTAACTAATTGAGATCATATTTTCAACTTGAAAACTTACCATGAAGGGATCAAATTTCACAGAAATCTTGTTGCAAACTGTACAGGAGAGTAAATGTGTGAAAATTAGCCGATTGTTGAGAATGAAATTGATTTCTTCAAATAAAACAAGCACATCGTAGTACTTACTGTTGCAAATAAGAGTTGATTTTAGCTGACCTTGAAATAGATCAACAATGATGCTATCATTTCGTTTTAAATGTTGTTCCCATGCTTCCTTGGCAACAACTTCATCAGGTCTTCCATTACTATCTTTCATTTCAATATATGGCTTATCTTTGACCTTGTTGAGATCTTCGTGAAGTCCATCTAATAAGTAAGATATTAATTCTTGAGAATCATGTTGATTATATCCAGAAAATTGTGGAGCAAACTGACTAATGGCATATTTGAAATTGACAGGTGAATACAATGAACCACCACTCCACATTTCCTTAATCAAAGTGGCAAAATTATTTGCTAATTTTCCTTTTGTTCCGAGTACATTACTTGTGTTAATGTGTTTTGCATAGTGGCCACTCAAGAAATAATTTTTGAGAGGTACCGTATTACTTAAGCATTGAATAGCACTATTCATGAAGCAGGTATTACCCAGGTTTCGTAAGCCACAGAGCCCCTTTTTCTTGCTCTTTCCAGAGGCACTAGTTGCAATGCCCAGGGCGCTATAGGAATAGTCTTTAATACTATCCCAAATTTCTGAGAATTTTCCTTTCTTTTCCTCTTCATCTTCTTCACTTTCGTCACTATTCTCACTCTTCTCTCGAGAATCCAGTGGAAATTCACCTCCTGGTTGTCTAAATTCGAAAACCACGTTTTGACCATCGACTAATTTTGCCTTCTCAAGAGTTTGGCTGTCACTATCAGCAATGCAACGTGCTGGGCTTCCTTCCAAAAAACTCCACAATCTACAATTTTTTATCGCATTTTGCTTAGATCCTCTCTCAATATTAAACAAAATGTGACCAAGTAATTTTAAATCTCGTGTGGCCATCTTCTTACTGACAAGAATGATCTGTTGTGTATTCTTCAAAACCTTTCCCTGTTCATTTGTCATGAATAATTTCAGCAATAATGGATGAATCTCTAAACGTTTCATTTGATTATTCTCCAAACCATCGATTATGACTTTTCTGACAATTTTTTGGTTACCATTGCATTCCCCATACCATGACGACAGTAAATCATAGCTCTAAAAAAGCATAAGCTAATGAATATAAGTACGTCGAATACGAACCTCTTCAGTGATAATCTCATAGTCTTGAGAACCCATGATGTGTTTCTTTAACAACAAGGTAAACAGCACTGATCCGTCTCGGCTCAAATTTGTAAACTCGCTTGCATATGGATGAGAGATATCAAATCCCCTGTAAATAATTATTTTGTCAATCATGTCGCTGTTGTCTATTGGTCCTGGAGGTCCGATCTTTCGATGTTGATGGTTGTCTTTATGCTTTTTCTTATCTTTTGGGTGTTCATCGTCTGAATAATTTACATATTCCTTCCAATCTCTCCACCATGCCTGCGATATTAGAACATTTGTAGCACCAGGCTTGAATGGAGTCTTATTTTCTATTAATTTGATTTTTTCTCTTTGTTTTTTCGCATCGGGTTTAGTGGCCTTTTTTAATTTGCTTCTTGCTGTGGTGACCAAAGAATTGCCGACAGAGGATTGTTTTGCTTCGGGTTGTGTGGTTGTTTCTTCTGTAGGAGGTGTTAATTTAGCTTCATCTTGTTCGTTTGGAGATGATTTTTTTGTGTTTTGATGTGTTTTACCTGTGGTTTCTCCATTGGTTTGGTTTTTATGACCTGTATGTTCAAGACTTGACGACGACGATGATGAAGAGGAAGACGACGATGATGTACAAGGCGACTCTGTCTTATTTGAATTTTGATACAAAGAATTCAAATTCATTCCGTTCGTAGTTTCCATCGAATCGGAGGCAGAAGGAGCCGTAATTGTTGACGGCAGTGGAAATGAATTAGCTGTTGTTGTGGTTGTGGATAAAGAGCCATTCATTTCATGAGCTCCATCCTCTTCCGAAAAATGGGTGTTGTTGGTTACATCGGAGGAGGTGTCCATCTTGGAAGAAGCCAGACATGGTGGTGGCTTCATCAACACAGAAGTTGATGCTGAATCCTCTGAAACATTTTCATTGTTCATTTTTTTTACAATCTCATCGACGACGAACAAATTGGGCGTTGCATTCCGAATGTGGAAGATGGGCAATATTCTCTCGAGTGTGACACAGCGACTCAGAGAGCTCTTCTTCCATCATGATGACGCACCATGATCATTGTTTTCAACGCCCTTTGCGACTTGATGAATCAAAGGAACATTTTTGTTTTGGAAAGCGCATCCAAGTGATTTATTTGTGTGTTGTTGTTGATTTCTTTTTACATGGTGTACACACAATTCGAGCTTGATTCTTTCAAGGGGTCTTGATGAATGTTGAATCAGACAAGCTCCAAATTTGTGTGATTTCTTCTTCATTCTTCAGCTGTACAAACAAACTTTTCAACAACAACAACAAAATATCAATTACCACTTCTTCTTATTGACATCATACTCGCTTTCTCTTGGAATGTTGGATGTTGTTCCAAGTGTTGAAGAGGTAGTACCCGTGCTCAAACCAGAAGATGGAGGAACAGTGGTACTTGTAACAGTACTTGTACCACCAACATCAGTACTACCGAGACCAGCGCCCGTAGTTGGTTGATGTTCGAACTGTTTCTTCTGCTCATGGGTTGGGAAGGTAATGTTTGAATCAGTATCGTGTCTGAAAGGGTGCTGGAATGAATGAATGGTATTTCAGAGTGAACGCCATTGATTTTGGTGATTTAGCAAATAAGGAAAGTGGCGCAAGGTGTGACGAGTGAGTGGTTAATAAGAGTTGTGATGAAATAATTAGTACATACTTGAATCTTCTCCTTAATGTTGTGGAGAGTTCCACCACTTGTTAAGTTTGCGTTAGTATCACGTTGCATGTTGATTGATTTGAAAAAAGGATTTGTTTTTTGTTGTGTGAAATTGAAATACAACAACTTGTGTGGCAATTTATGCACTTCTGAAAGTATGTAAGAAAAAGATGAATTACCAGAGTTGAGTTTTGCACAGCTTTGGTGATTTGCTGGATCAGGGCAATCAATTATAGTCATGTTTAGTAATCGTGATCTTGCATGATAGTCATCATGACGAATTGAATTGGATTATCACCGACCAAATCGATCTCTTTGACTTCCGTCCACCAAGCCTTATTTGTAAACTTGAACTCCAGTTTGTTCTCTCTGTCTGCAATATATACTTTTTGTCATCATTGAAATTATTCAAATGGTGGATTGAATTGATTTGTGTTTTTTCCAAAAGTTAACATCATTTCCATTGTGAATACACATTTTGGGATGATTTGCTTCAAATACCAGAAGGTGATTGGAGCACTCTTCATAAGAGGGTTTGCGTTGTTTTCAACGCTGCATTCATGCTTATAATGATTGACTCTTTGGGAGGTGACAGAAATTACACTTTTTCACCAACCCTCTCATGTGCTTCATCAAGCCAAATGCTTTTCAACCAGTCATTCGGAAATTTGTTGAACTTTATTCAATACTAATGCAACACTACTACTGGTACTCAATGATGTAACCTGTAAAATTCATGACCATTGAATAATTGTTGTTGTTGGTGAGACATTTCTCGCTTGATGATCATCACACCTCTCGGAATTGAACTGTATCAGAAAAAGAAGAAAAAATTGAGTGATTGAAGAATGTCCACGTTTACCCATTCACAACGCAACTCACAGCAGCATGATGGCAAAGAACACATCAATGAGTTACATCAATGGTATCATCAATACGTATTGCTCGATGAAAGTCTTCAAGGAATTTTCAAGAAAAATATATCCGAACAAATTCAATCTTTGAAAAAACAGAATGTTCGTCATCATCAGCCTTACAGGAGTGGAGAGGATGTAAATCATCATCATTTACATCGTGTTCATGGTTCAAGACGAAAATTAAGCAATCATGGAGTTCAGCATTCACACGACGATTGTTGGAATCCAATAAGTTCTTCTTCTTCTTCTTGGTATGAACATTCGTGTGATGATAAAGAATCCATACCCTTTCCGATCATTAGCGACACACAAGAGGAGGAACAGCTCCTTAACAACAATCATAACGGTGGCTACAAATATCTCCTTGAATTGAACTATGATGGATTAAAAGTTGGAAAATATATTTCAACTCAACAACCACACCATCATTTAGCTAAATATCGTACACCACAATCCTTCAAGCACAAGAAACCAATTCAAGTTCGACTCTCATTCACTAAGGAAATCATTCCAACTGTGAATTCTTGGTGCCAAATTAAAGTTCCTGGTTGCTGCCACATTGGAATGTTCAATTTTTACATGAAGAATTACTTAATCAAGTATAAAAACAATGATGGTGTCGAGAATAAGGACAGCAGTAGCAGTAGCGATGCCATCACTAAGGACATGCATGGTTATGAATATTGTGAAAAACTGCCGAATATTACGAACACTCAACAAGAGTCGTATCAAATTGTTTGTCAACTTTATCCCTCTCATATTCCGTTGAAGCATATTCGATTAAGTGAAGGATGTTCGTATCGACACATGCAGCTAGAATCGGTTCAAGAGTGCAGAGAGAAGAGTGAATACCTCTCAATGATGAAAAAGATTGAATTGAGGAATGATATGGATCAGTGTCGTTTTGCCAAGTACAAGGACGAACATGCCAATGAAATGGAGGCTGAATTTTCACGTGATCCTTGGAGTCTTGGGGGTGGACGAATGATTTTAGAACTCGCAATGGAGGCAATTCCTGATGATCTGTATGAGTACTTGTGTGAGTGCGAAGAGAAGTATCAAAATGATTTGTATGGAGTTTATTTGAATGGAGAAGATGTACAAGTGTACTCTGGATCCATGAAAACCTATGAGTGGAGAGGATCCATAGTTATGTACACAGAGTCCTATTTAGAATCCATTGGCTCGTTTGAAATGAGGATGTTGAATTAATAAATGGTGAAAACCTCAATAGATATTGTTGCATCCAGTATATTGACAAGCTCAATACCAATCTGATTGTCATTCATTCAATACTCGAAAAGTATTCCAACAGTGGAAATTCAATTTTATTGAGAAGTCATTCCAAAATTGCTAGGGGCATAATAATAATTACAGGATCCAATAGAATTATTGATTTCCCTTTTGAACAGCTTCCATGGTCTTGTTGAAAAGCTCATCCTCTAGAGAATCATTAGATGAGGAAGAAGCTTCTGTTGTAACACTAGTTTCTGCAGGAGCCATAGCTGGTTTCTGTAATTGTCTTTTCATGTGTTTTGTTAATTTATATTCAAATGATACTTTCTTGTTCGTTAATTGACCTCTTAGTGGTTGAACTGCTGCAACATTGTTTCCTTTTTTTAAAATTGTGAGGAGCTTCTTCAGGTGTCTCTTACTAGCAAGAAGTCCGGGATGCTTTGTATTAATTTCTTTGAACAAGTCAGCTGATGTTGCTCTTCCCATCTCGTTGAGAGTATTGATGACATAGTGAATAGTATGTGTTGGTGTTCTGTAGTTAGGAACGGTTTCGCTCTTGTTTTCAGCCTTCAAACGGTCAAAGTATGGATCCAAAGTGGAGGTGAAGGAATCCTTTGCACATAAATTGATAGAAAATTTATTCGTTCCATTTTGATGCAATGATAATGATGAAATATTGGTGTTGTTGTTACTATGAGTATTATGGAGAGAAGAAACAATAACGGGAGAAATAATTTCTTGTCGGCAATGATGAAGTCCCACAAAAGAACGGAAAGACAGGCCTGACAATGTGGAAAGGGCAAAGCGCTTCATTTTTTGGAATTAAATTATTGAAAGCCTTGACGATGATGATGAATAATAAAATTGCATGTTTTTATTTCTCTCTAGCCAATGGTCTTGTTGTGGGATGATGTGTTGTTCCTCATTATTGTTGTGTTGTACCAATAATGTTGAGAGTGTGTTGTTGTTCTTGTTTTGGTTGTGTGTCGAATGATGACAAGACTTATAAAGTAGTGTTCTTTGTCTTTTCCTCCACTTCCGACATGTTGAAAGTTGATAGTGATCCCTGTTGTTGTTGTTGTTCAGCAAGTATTTCTTTAGCTCTCTTCAGTACTCTCATGTTGAATAATTTATCGTTCAATTCCTTTTGCATTTGTTTCTGTTCTTCCTTCTCGCTACGTCTTTGAAGTCGATCCACTTCTTGTTGTTCAAGTTTGATGAGATAATAATTTATCAATTGCTCTCGCTCCTCCTTCGTCCAGGTAACTTTAATAACCTCGGCAGAGTCTGTATCTTTGAATGGATTACTTGGTCGTTTGAGTCTCTTCTTTGGTTCAGGTTTTGGAATGACAGCGCCCGACTCTTTGGCCATTCGAACTTTGGAACCATCCTCCAGGAAACGCCAACCAACTTTTGTACGTTTATCAGTTTCGGGACAAATGAGAGCAACATTACTACAATGAATGGGTGATTCCTTCATGATGGAATAACCTGCTCTCTCTTCCGTTCTTCTAATGTTCTTTTTCACCAAATTACATCCATCCACGACAACTCTATTGGAATCACGTAAAACCTTTTTAATAACTCCTCGTTTTCCTTTGTCCTTTCCGGTTGTAATTTCCACTAAATCACCCTTGAATATTTTCCAACTAGCGTTGAGGTTTCTCTCCAAAACTTTTTTGTGAAGAGCAGGCATGATGATGATGTATTTGGAGTATTTTTTGAAAAATGTTTTGGTTCTTTTTCTGAATCTCCACCTTTGAAAATCATTTCGAATGATTAATTGAATATGTAAATGGTGTTAGCTTTATAAAACACAATGTGTTGAATAATGACAATAAATTTAATAAGCAAAATTTCAAAAGAATTGGCAGTTAAAATACATTTGTAGCTGTGCTGAATGAAATGCTCTGCTGTCTGTCACGCTCACACAACAACAACAAAATTTTAAATTATATCATTCCAAGCTCCTTTTCCAATTCAGCATCTTCTCGAGATTTTGTGGAAGTCTGGCTCTTATTTCCAATGCTCTTGGTTGGAACTTCGAGATCTAGATCCAGATAGGAATCGTCCTCTTGCATTTCACCTTCAAGCATATCAAGTTCAGCCATCAATTCTTCATCGTCTACTTCCTCGGGTGTTTGATAGTTTCTGGACATGACTTCTTGCAAATCATTAAAATCTTCCATATGATCGGCAATGTCGTCATAGAGATCTTCGACTTTGTCAATATTAATTTCTTTTAACTGTTTTTTCATTGTTTTAGAGGCCGACTTCATTGCGTTTACTGTGTCAAGCGAATCCTTCACAGTATTTACAGTAAAACTCGTTTGTTCTACATTCCATTGTTGTCCCATTAACGACTCTTGTTGTTTTTCCAACATTTTCTTTTGTTTTAAAACGGACATGGCTTTTTGTTTCAGTCTTTCTTGCAAGGCCTTGTTCGGAGCCTTCCGAATCTGATCTCTCAATTTTGACAATTCCGCCTCAAGTTGTTTGATCTTTTTACCCAACACTTCTTGTCGATCTTGCAACCGTTGGCTGGTTTCATCGAGCGAAGGAGGTGGCGTGCTGTTCTTGGAGCCTCCAAATAATCGACGCATTTTTTTGTTTTGGTTTGGAGAGGCCAATTTGGTTCCAATTTGATGACGGATGATCATCACAGTGATGAATTCCTTTTGGAAGGAACATATTGAGGGTGACCTGACTGCAGCTACCACTATCACTTTGACTATGATTGAGCACTAAACAATGTGTATATTATATTACTATTATTATTGTCCGAGGTTTTTCGAAAACTACAAAGCAAGATGGTAAAAGATCAACAAGGGTGAAATCCCACTAGACACGAAGTGTTGTTCAGCAACAAAAAAATGCTCTCCAATCATCCAGCAAGTGCTTCACCAAATTCCGAATCAGCCGCACAGGAAGAGGCTTCATCATCGTCATCCATCATCCCAAATAACAACAACTCAGTTCAGCAAGTCTCTGTTACTCTTGGAGAGGCTATTCGTGTTGGAAAGGAGAAGAAGAAACATCTCTCGGAACTCAACAAACTCATCACGCAAAAAACCAAAGAGCTGGCAAAGACGGTCAAACAGGCCAGTTCCGAGCAAAAAGATGAAATGAAGGAACGTCGTGAACGATTGAAAGAAATCACTAATGAAATCAAAGATCTTCAAAACGAAATTGATGAACTTACTCAACAGGTGGAAGCTAGAATTGAGGGAACAGCCAAAGATAGAGATGAAAAACACAAGTATATCCAATATCTGAAGAACTATGAAGCCGCCTATGAAACAGCCTTGATTCAACATCACAAGTTTGAAGATGAGAAATCTCTTCTTGATGAAGAACGCTCTCAGTTGGTATGTTTTGAGGCTATTCATATATATTCATATATATTCATTATAATTTAATTGATGTATTTCTTAAAACACGTGGCCACCTTTATCAGAAATTAACTGTTGCAACCAAAAAACAAGTCTTACCTTGCTCGTATCAAGTGTTTACAGAGTCGCTCGCTCAAATGGAAGCAACTCTTAGCAATCCGCAAGAGACTCCTCAATCAGAACTCAAACAAATTCGTTCCAAGTACAACAAATTGAAGGATTCTCAAAGATTATTCGACGAGTACAATCGTTTGTTACAACAGCTCAACGATGTACAAAAAAGATTCCAGCAAGCTGTTAAGCAATTGGAGGCCTCTAACAAAACTGTGACAAAAGCCAAGAAAGACTTGGAGAAGGCAAAACTTCAATACGAACCACTTGTCTTGGAGAAATCCAAATCTGAAGACACTAATACTGTTGAGGAGTTGAACAAATTAATTTCCAAGAAGAGAAAAGCTATTGCACAACTCACAAAAGAGAAAAAGACAATTAAGCAAGAAATTGAGAATAATGAGAAAAAGCAGCTTGCTGTTGGTTCGGAAATTAAAAGCGAATTGGCAGAGCTCACTCTCAAGAGACTACAAGTGAGAGATGAAGTGGACACGCTCTCAACGCTTGTTCGTACCGAAATTATTCCATATACAAGTTCTCAAGAGGGCAGTGTACTCGGCCGTGTTATTGGAAAAAAAGGAGCCACTCTTGAAAGCATTAGAAAGACTTCAAACTGTGAAATAACCATCGTTAAATCTGAAAACCAAATTGTCATCAAGGGGTCTCCTGATAATGTTACAATTGCAAAAGAAGCAATTCAAAAGTTGTTGGAGGAAAAACATGAAAGCGCCTCTGCTTCTATTCGTTTCAAATTAGAGATGTTTGTACCTTTAACCAAGCTTGTCGCACACTGGAGAAAGGAGACAAGTGCAAACATTTATTTGGACAAGTTGGAAGGTGTATGCAAAATTTCTGGTTCTGCTGAACAAGTTAAGAACGCCAAGAAATTGGTCAATGATTTCATTACCACAGGTGTTCAAGAAAGAACAATCCAAATTACAAAACTAGGCCAATCGCAAGAGGACATGGTGGAATTGCTATTCGGCGTAAAGGGAGAGAACTTAAAGAGAATTCAAAATCTTCATGGTGTTATTGGTGCTCAAATCGACAAGAAAAACGATCTAGTGAATGTTTATGGTACTTCTTTGGGTGTTGAGAACGCTTCAAAAATGGTTAATTCCATGATGAAAGAGGCATCTCATACCGAAGTGCAATTGGAAAATGCAACATTTGCGGAGGCCGTACTAAATTCTAGTGACAAGATACAACAGGATACAAAAACCATTATTAGTGTGGTTAAAAACAAGAATATTGTGAGAATTTCTGGCTACAAACAAGATGATGTTAAAAAGGCAAAACAAGCAATTGAGGTAATTATTGAAAAGGAGAAGGAACATCAAAGAAAAACACAACACAAACAAACAATCTCTGTAGAAAATAAGGTTGCTCAAATTTTCAAGAAGAAGTCATCATCTCTCTCACAAGAAACTGATACGATAATCAAAATCTCTCACACCAAACCTCCAAAGATTACAGTTTTTGCCGAGACTCAAGAGAAGGTTCACCATGTCATCCACATGATACAACAAGAGGTTGAAAAACAAGCACAAATTAAGGCTGAAAAAGAAAAGAAAAAGTCTGAAGATGTGAATAGCGAGAAAAAGCATGAGGATAGTTCTGAAAACCAGGTGGTGAATCAAACATGTGAGGAGCAAGTTGATACCACACAAGAAGCGCCAGAAGCTGTGAATCATCAGCAGAAAAAAGTCGAAGCTGAATCCGAACCATTGGAATCAACCGAGAATGTCACCAACTCTCAAGAAGAATGCTCTTTGAAAACACAACAAAGTGAAGAGAATTCCAGTACGTCAGTGCAACAACAACCTTCCGATGATACCGTAGAGAAATTGGAGACTTCCAATACTGTAGAAGCTGTTGAAATTCAAAATGAAGAAATTGAACAAGTTGCGGTTTTGCAATAAATTATACAGGGTCAGTTTAGTCAACAATGCTTTTCGAAAATTTTTACAATTCCAAATCGGTTCCAACTGTTTTCGACATGAGGAGCCGTTTTTCCATTGCGACTGTTGGAAAGTCATCCTTACCACCCAGTTCTTCAAATCCAACGATTCTATCAACAGCCACACCATCTTTGAAAAGAATAATCGATGGAAGTACTCGTACTTGAAGTTTTGTCACAAAGAATGGAGTTTTTTCAGCGTTAATTTTCACAAATCTTGTTTGCCAATACTTTTGACATAAAATTCCCAAATGCTTGTCCACAATTTTGCATCTCTCGAAATCTTTGTGGAAAAAGTGACAAACACAATATTTGCTTTTAAGCACAGCATCTAAAAAGTCACCTTCTGCAATTTCCACATATTTCGTGTGTTGGCGTGTATTCACTAATTCCATTTTCTTTGAGTTGGCTTCTTTTAATTGTTGAAGCCTTTTCTCTCTTAGTGATCTTAACTCTTCATCGTCATCTTGCTCCAGCAAGTAATCATACTCGTCGTCACTATCCTCTTTCTTTTCGGCTTTTGGTTTATCTTCTCTCAATCCCGAGCTTTTGTCTTTAATAAAAACATCTCTTGGTTGATCATATTTTGGTCTGTTCTTTTCTTCTTCCTTTCTCAAATTTTCTCTTGCCTTCTTTTCGACGAGGGTCTTTGTGGCATGCTCGAAAGCATTGGCTGCGTTAGCCTTGTCCTGATCCGTGAAAAATCCTGTTCATTGCCAAAAAAACAATGCTCACTCCATCTTTCTCCAGGTTCATACAACACTTACCACTTGATTTCAACATGATTCCGATTCGAGGTTATTTGTAGCAATGTTCAAGGCCTCGTGCTTGTTCAAAAAAGAATTTCGCTTATTTTTTTTTTACAGAATACAAATTGAAAAGCGGGAAATATCGCAGCACGACTCGACGACATACAACCACACTCAACATTCTGACATTTCACTCACACACACACGCGTTAGAATTATTATTATTATTATTGTAGTAATTTCATTGGTGAACCAAATATAAAACCATCATCATTGGATGGTGGTGTCTGTGCAAGTGCTGCTACCGAGAATATTCTTCTTACATTGCTCCATCCATTGAAGAGTGGGTAAATCCTTTGAAGCACTTGTTCCATCATCCACTTCCATCAAATACTTGTCAAACAATTGTAACGCACGTACATAGTCCTTCTCAATCAGCATCACTTCACAAGCTTCCTCATAGATTCTCCATTTCTTACATTTCGATTCATCGTCAGAACTCGAAACAATGCAATGAGAAGAGAATTCTTGTGTTCCTTGGAATGTTGGAAAATTGTAACAATTCTTATTTGGCGCGACGTTCGTGGTAATCAGTACATGATCTTTGACATCTCCCAATTCATAGACTGCTTGTTGAATAACTCTCTTATCCATTTCATCTTGTTTGGAATAGCCCAATATTTGCACCACGGACGAATATTCATTGTCAATAATGAATGGCAGTGTTTCAAGATATCGCGTGTAAAAGACATTTCGAATGTTTTGATGAATACTTTCACTCACAACAATGGGAATGGAGAGTTTTTGTGTGAATCATCAATTCCAAATTGTGACTGGCACTTGAAATGCAAACGGTTGACTTTAACTCACTACTTCCAATGTTTCCAACAATACATTCCTGAGAACAGATGGCAATATGTAACTTCACAGAGTCGAGTAAGCGTTTCATCTTTTCGTAATATTCTTCATGCTCTTCATCCTCTTGAGAATGTGGTGGTGGTGTGGATGTTGCGGGTGGAGAGAGATGGACCTCCTTACTCGCAGTCGTCAAAAGTTTTTGTTGTTTCGAAGGCTGTTGTTGTTTAGAACAGTGTTGCTGCTGCTGCGTGGATGATTTGAAAGATGTGGTTGTAGGAGAACGACGTGAGCACTTGTTCATGGCCTTAATGACATGAGAACTCCATTTCTTTTCTTTCACAAGAGTTAACTTGTCAAGAATTAATTTACCAGCTTGTGCTCCTTTTTCTTGATGTTTCAATTGCGGTGTGGTGAAATTGAATGACAAGGTAATGGAATCATTTTCAAAAGAGCCAATAAATCCATTCGTGGTTCGACTCACATAAGCAATCTGTTCAAACACATCGGTTAATAATGTCAAACAGTCGTTTGGGTTTGAAACATTTTTCAGTAATTCGGAAAAACCAACCAACACCAAATTCACAATGGTCACCTGTTTCTTTTCCAAAAAGAGAGAAAATAAATGATCCATTTGATTCTTTTGCTGCAGTTCTGGTGAAAACGTGGATTCTTTCCAATAAAACTACTCTTTTCAGACATTATTTCTGCATCCATGTCATTTTCTTCTTCAGTTTTATATGCAATCGATCGACGGTGTGGACTGTTTTGAAGGAGAGACAAATTATTATTGAACGCGAGAGTTGCTCGTTCCTCCTCCTCCTCCTCGATTGCATCATGATGATCCAATTGAGAGAGCAAGTGAGGAGGAATAAAAGCTCTATATAATCGAATGTAATGTGCCATATTCATGAAATGCTGTTGTAATAATTTGACTTCTGAGAATTTGCTTGGCTGAATGTGAATATTATCTAAAATCATGTGAGAGATGGAATCGAATTGTTGAATCAAATTGTAAAATGGATGAACAATCTTCCATGAAATGAGAGTTGAGAAGGATATGGCGACAACGACCAGTAAAAAACCTCCACTGATCGATGACACAATTCCAATAATGATTGAACTCAAGAAGTTCCATTTGGGAATGGCCATTACGAAAATCCAATCCAATTGTGTTGTCGTACAAAGTCGATTCACAGAAATGTAATCAGAGAAGAAAGTCAAATCGAGCGTCACCATGGTATTGCATGGTAGTGATTTAACATTCTTATTGAGGGTTTCATAAACTGTGGTAGCGACTTGCGTGGTTCTGTCATCGTTAAGAGAGAAAATAGTATTTCTAACAATTTGTTTGTTGTCTTGGTTCAAGTAGGCAGATTTTAGATGTTCATTGTCAACTGTGAAAAGAACCATGTCAAGTCGAGGAGTATATTTAGAAAGTGTCACTCCATTAGATGATGTTGTTTATGAAAATTTTCAACTTGCAACCAAATAATTCGTTTCAGTCTCAAAGACTATCAAGCCTTTAAAGCTGAAAAACAGTACCGAAGTGGTTTGGTAGCCTCAGTCTATGTGGGTGAGCCAACAGGAAGTGCACTCGGAATTTACTACGAACCAGGATTGACCTCATTTCTCAACATGTCCTTAGACGCTCAAACCATTTACTATTGCGATTCGAATATTGAAAAGTATGAATATTGTAAACGGAGTGAGACACCAAATGACGTTATTGATCCAGTGGATCTTTCTTCTCTCACTGAAAGTTGTTCCAAGAATCCAAACAAGTTAGTCTTTGCAAGAAGTTATGTTGACATCACGTCCGTTAACACTGACACTTTTTTAACCCTCTTGTATTGTTATGGAAATGAGAATTCCACTTCGAATCAGACTCCTTTTCGCTATTATCTAGCGTATGATTTGACGGTGACCAGTGCTTCTAAATTTTTAACGGAATCCACTCGAACAGTGACAGGTTCGAAAAGCTTTTTCAATTTGTTGTGCATTGGAAAAATCCAACATGGCCAAGAGTTGCCCTTTCATGACATTTAATGACTGTGTAACATCATTCAACAGTTCAGTCACTGATTCAATCATTCGTTTGAATTCACCATCTCGTGCTTTTTGACTCCAATGAAAATTGGAAGGTAATAAGGCTGCCATCCAAATTCCAGAAGCAATCATGACACTAGTCAACACAGAAGTACCTATCAGTAGAATGATACAGAATTTAATTGAGTGGAAGAACGGAATTCTCGGATTGCCCGCCAGACTCAACGTTGTAAAGACGGAAAATCTATCCGTAGCTTTCTGTTCATGATGATTATTGTACGTGGTATTTGTCGTATTCTCATTATTAGGTTGTCCTACAGAAAAGACAATACTCTCCACTTCATCAAAGGGAGCTACGGCATTCGTTTTGTCATATTTTGTTTGAAGGGCCATAATGGTGGAGATGATGTTTTGGTGCGATTTGCTAACTCGTGCGAATGTATATATCTCCTTCCCCTTTCAGTAGTATACTTACTCAACCTTATGACCCTGTGATGAAATAAAGTCTGATGATGATGGGTGAACATACGGTCGAATGGTATAACATAATGGGACTTTTGGCTCAACCAGTCTTGCAATGATTCAATTCTATTCAAAATTCTTTTTACAATCTTTACAATGAGGGTATGCATTTAATTTCAAAACTATTTCAAAAGGAATGAAAACTGCACAACAAAGACACATGGAATCCAAGTTTAAATACAAAACGAGTTGTTATTGAGTAATAATCATCACTTCCATCTCAAAAAACAATGATATACAATATTTTGGAATGTACAAGTGTGTGAGTAGTTCTCTCAAACAAGCCATGCGAGAATGTGCATATATTTCCTTATCGCACATGCACACACTAGTATGAATACATGACACCATTCTCCTTTCCTCCTATTTATATATATTCAATATTCAATAATAATAATAATTTAATTTTTCCTTGGAGGTGGTAATGGAGATCGCTTGTTGAGGGTCGATATTCCAGGTGGAGGTGTGGAAGGGGGTGGTGGAATGAATGTTGTGGAATTAGTCGTCATTGCTGAGATTGGAGATGAAGATGGTTTTGCTCCTTGTGGTTTTGGTAGTGGTTTATCCCTTGGTGAGGCTATTAATTGATTCAACATCGATGATGAGGTTGAATTCATACCAGAGAGTGAGTTGTTGTTTGTTGCTTTTTGAAAACCTGCAATCTTTAAAGCTGTTGAAGAAGTGGTGGAAGAAGAGGAAACAGCAACACTGGTACCACCAAACTTGGAAGTAGTTGTGGTTGTATTCGATGTCTTTGGTGGAGGAGGTAACACAGTTTTAAAGCTGCTGCTTGGAGGTGGAGGAACAGTGCCATTACTCTTGTTGTTCGATGAAGAAGAAGAGCTACCACCACCACCACCACCATTACCATTCGATGATGAAGACAATGAAGAAGAAGATGTTTGTACTTTTGAGGGAGGTTGAATATGAGGCTTGGATGGAGGGCGTGGAGGTGTTGTCGGATGGTTGAACAATTTCAAAGCACTGGTTCCCAACTCACTTCCTGTCGTGATGGATTTTCTGAGTTCAGAACCTGGAGGAGGAAGAATGTGTTTGGGTCTCGAGGAGAAGGGAGTGGTGGTTGGAGAATTGTCTTCCAATGAAGAAGAAGAAGAAGCAGATCTCAAAGACATGGATGAAGAGGCAAATGATGAGAAGGAAGAAGAAGAAGGAGGAGGTGGTGGTGGTGATTTGAGAGGTGATAATGAATCAATGGCATCATCGATGGAGGATCTCGCCGCTATAGAACTACCACCACTACTGCCAACATCCACCACTTTGGAAACTTCCTTCATGATGGCTTGTATATCCACATGTTTGTAGGAACTACTCGTATTCATATAGGCCAAGTTATTGGATGGACACTTCTTGAATTCATCCACTGGATCTGTGAGAGTCTCTTCACCAAAGATGAGAACAAAATCTTCATCGACATTGTGAACCATCTTATCAAAGAGAATGTCATCTCTGCTCTTAATTTCTTCCAAGTGTTTCTTGAGTTGGACCTGAATGTCAGCACACGCCATTTGAATGGTTTCCATTTCTTTGATGGTATTTGCTTTTTCTTCTCGTTCTCGAGCGATTTGATCGACAAGTCGTCGCAACTCCATTTCATGATTCTGAATGCTTTGATCGAGCTTTTTCAAACGTTTCTCTGCAGTGCTGAATTGTTTGCAACTGGTTTCTAATTTTTGTTTGGTATCGTCTCTCTTATCGGCCAATACGACTCGTTCTTTACCAACCGAGTAGCTGTCACGATCGAGTTTTAAATTCTTGAAGCTTTGACTTTCTTCAATACTTTTGATTCTTTCATCGAATAGATCGTAGAGAGATTTAGCATCCTCTTCATTGAGTGCAATGAGTGAAAAGTCTGTTTCTTTTCCTGAGGTAATGTATCTCATTTGAATTTCACAATTATTTCTTCCCAATAATTTGGTGAATGAGAAGTAGACAAAACTGAAGGATTTCTTGGAAAGTTGACTGAAAAGACCTCCACTTTCTTGTGACAATATCAATACATCGGTAAAGATGTATCCTCTGTATTCGTCCTTGTCTGCTTTTTCTTTGGTTTTAATTTTTAAGACATAATCCTTAATGAATTTTCTTGTTGGTTTGACCAATGCCCTGTAGTGTTTGTTGAGTTTGTTTTTCAAATCTGTGAAAACTATATTGCTATCGTCCTCTTGTCTCTTTCTTTCATTGCAAAACACAGCAACATCACTGATTGTTTTAAGGGCTGCTTCGTAGTGTTTGTATTCTACATTGTCTGGAGGAATTGTGGCAAGTATTTGTTCCAATAACCTGTGAATTGATTGTTCATAATGAACACAGAGAACGTATTTGATGAGAAGAGAATGATTCACATTTCATATGGTTCAATCATTCATTAAAAATTTGGTTGTAGCAATGATATTGTTGAATGAGAGAAGTAATGTACGAAGAGAATTACATGGTTTTGTCCGTGTGTGTGTTGAAAGTAGCAGTACATAGAAATGTACAGTAATGTGCAAAGAAAGACATGTTAGACATGGAATGTGAAAAGAATTATTAAGGTTGAAAAATCATTCCTGTTGTTTGAAAAAAAAAACTTACATTTTGTATCTTGGAATTCGTTGAACAGGCATAATCAAGAGAGACCTCAAACCATGTTCTGTTGGATTCTTATTCGTTTGTTCGGTCATGTATTGATAAAATTTGTTCTTTTTCTTTTCACATCGTTCCAATAATTCAAAAGCAGCATCATAATTGTTGATATAAGTGACATAGGCCTTAAAAAACGGAGCCATACGATTAAATGTTTCTCCCATATCATTCTTGGAAGGCCATTTCAGCATGGATGCTTGAATGGATGACAAGACTGTTTCATTAATACCCAAAATTTGTTCAATATTTGAAAAGATAATTTTGGATTTCTTTTCAGAAAGTAATTGTGTGTTTGCTTTTGCTGGTTTTGCGTATGTGTTGACAAATAAACGAAGGGATGACACATAACTTTCCTCAGTTGCTAACAATTCTTTCACTAATTCAATTCTCTTTCGTGAATTTTTGTGTTCTTTGAGTCCCATCCAATCTTTGAGTTTTTTTCGTTTCGAGGAACTTGATAAGAATTTGCTCAAGAGATTCATGGCTTCGGGTTTGGAATATTTCTAATGAAATGTGTGAATAAATTGTAACCCAAGGTTGGGTGTGTTGTTGTTCATGAGGTTTGAAACAAAGAAATCACACACACAAGGAATCGATTTGATCAATATCATCCGTACGCACACACACATGATTCATTTCACAATCATCATCATCATCATCGAAAGATTCACCGATCCATCATCATGATGAAAACACATGATTATTATTCAATAATATGAAACCAATCCATTCATGAATCCTCGCATCATCACTTACCACTGCACCTGTTGGAGAATACAAATTCTTCTTACTGTTGTTATTGGATGACACAGTTCTCACAATCTTGATACCATTCGATACACTCACATGTTTGTCGGCACTGATCAATGATTTATCTTCAATCATCCATTCCTTTCCACCATTGGCTGATAATGTTGAAATAAGAGATGAGGCACTCATGCCTGAGAGAGAAGTCATGTCATCATCGTTATTCCACGCCGAATCATCATTGGACAGTTCACAGTAATTGGTTGGAATGAGTCCTGTCTCGTCTTTCGAGCTCACCGATGATGTGATTATTTTACACATACTCCATCCATCATCGTAATTTTCAATGATTTGAACAAGATCGCCTTCATGAACAGTGAGCTCTCCTTCATTACTCTTTTCAAAGTCATAAATTACTTGGTAGCTGTAATGTGTGGGTGTGTGATGAGAGTTTCATTCATGATCGTAGGTGAATACATGTGATGAATCAATATTTGTAGGAAAATTTGGAGAGAGTGGAAGAACAGGGTGATGACAATCATGATGATGACGGATATCATGTGACAATTGACGTATGTTATATTTATCGCATCAAATATGATTGATGTAATTTTCCCGTGCAAACCATGATGAATTAATCGGCCATTAGAATTTATTGTTTGACAATAACAATGTTAGTTCAGCTTGACCATGGTGAGGAAAAACACAGTTCAACCTACATCTCTTTTGAAGACATTTTTTTGTGTGAGATTACTGTCAAATGTCATTCAACATTTATCCATCGATTTTGGCCAACCTCTACACCTTAAAGGTGGATCCTTTCTTCATTTGTTTTTGAAGTGAGAGGAAAAAGACATCTTTTGAATCCAGCAGAGTTTTGCACATCTTGGAAAATATCAACAAAATGAAGGAATCCACAAGAGAGTGATGACTCAAACGACGGTACAATTGCGACAAAGCCTTCACCAGAGCATTGACAATCTCAACTTCCACTATTCGGTTTTTGGAGAGAAGTAAGGCTCCTAATTCATCAGAACTGTTTTGCCTTAAATCTTTGGTGAAAATAACAGGTTCGCTACATGTCTCAAACCATTCCAACAACAAATACACGAGTGTTGGAAAAGAGTTACATTTTCTTAGAGCAGTCCAGTCGTCATGATTCAAGCTCTCTTTTAAAGTTTCAATTTTTTGAAATAACGAGTCAGGATTAAGCAAAAAGAAGTCCACCAAAAGCTGTGACAAATCTTGTGTTGCAAAAATAATGTGAGACATTTTGTTGCAAATTTCATGCACAATTTTTGGAATTCTTTGCAACAGGAGATATTCAGTACCACAAGCTTGCGTTTGGAATTTTGAGTTTCCTTTTGAATCAATAACTTTGCAACTTACCTATAACTCTCTGCTTTTCCATTGCTGATTTCAAAGATTTGCAAACAAAAATTGTTCTGTTTTCCGTCAAGTATGCAAAAAAATCATAAACAAATTTCACTTGTGACTTGGTTTGGATGCTCCCAGGTCGTTTGCTCCTCACAAAATCTATGGCTTTCTTTGAAGAGAAAAAATGTTTAGTATACAATAAGTAGCAACAAATGACCAACCCAGTTCTTCCAAGGCCAGCATGACAATGCACCATGACCTTTCCCTTTTCACTATCCATTTTCATTGCCTTTACAATTGCTATCATTTCATCAAAATTAGGAATTGACATGTCTGGAAACGCGAAATTATAGTAAGAAACTACGATTGAGACGCCAAGAACAAAAATTAGTAAAATTAGAATGAAATACCTACTCTTGTGTTTCATAAAATCATCTTCTGGGTCGTAGGAAAAACCTGTTTTTTCCAAAATTCCATCGCCGCAATAAGGATGTTCTCCTCTTTCTTGTAAATTGACAACAGCGATGATGTTGTGTTTTTTAAATTGGTCAATGATGTGATATTTCTGAACCAATCTTGACGAAGGTCTCTGTGAAGCAATAATGTTGTCAAGAACGTAATGGGAATTTAAACCCTCAATTGCCCAAAATTTTCGTCGTCTTCGTGGTGTTGTCAATAAGTTACTATTGCTTGATTTATGCATTTCTTTAAGTTGAGTTTCGTTTGGAGGTGTTTTTAAATAATTTTCATATTTACAATTTTTTCCTCCACAGAAAGAACAATGTAACTTCATAAAGAAGGTTGTTGAGTTAGTTATTGGTACAAGAGCTAGCGTCGAAGGCAACGAATGAAACTCCGTCATTATATTTTGCTTTCGTTTAGTGAGAGAATTCCTTGTGGAAGCGTTTCTTGGAGAAGTATAATTCATTATCTCTCCCCCACTAATTACATACTTTTTCATACTGCTGATGGAACTAGAAGTTTTTGAGTAACGTTTTTCCGAGAACGGTTTGGCAGGAGCAGGTGAATCATGGTGATAGTGTTGTAAATATTGATCTTCGGAAGATAAAGGAGTGTGGTTATTTAGGACTTCCATGGATGATTCTTCGTTGAGTTCAGCATTCGGCGTGGAAGTGTCGCTTGAGATGATTTTGTTTTGTGTGTCAATGATTGTATTTTCGAGAAAAGTATCTCTTGTACAAGCAAACTTGTGGGTATGATTTTGAGGGGTTGTGAAAGACTGTTGTTGAGGTTTTTCATGTTTCGGAGTACCGTGATGATGATGATGAACTGTGGATACGGTAGAGGGAGAGATGAAGAAACCATTATTGCTAGGAGCATGTGGTACCACACAATGTTCGACAAAACCCAGTGGACCCGACGATACAACTCTTGAATTCCTTCGGCTAGAGAGTGAGTTTTTAGTACTGTGAGGAGTGTGCGACATTTTTTCGGTCACTCATCTCTCATAACCTTAATGAGGTAAAAGCTTACCCTCAAGACTTTTGAATCAGAACAGTATAAACACAAGAAGAAATATCAATGCAGCTCAAAAAACTCAATGTGATGTTTATTCCAACATGTACATCACATTATCGCTTAGATGTTAGGAGCCGCAAATGACAAAATTGTGAGTTCTCAGTTAGGGATTGCTTATATGTACAGGCCACAAGCATGATAGAAATTAATGTGTACAATCTAGACCAATTATCGTAACGTAAAGTCGTGGTATGTCAAATGCACACACTGCATGACGTTCGAATAAGTGTAGTATCCTGATCATACATTCTGTCTTCCTACCCGCTTGTGAGCAATTTATTATGCTCAGCAAAAGAAACGAATTACCATCTGTTGTTATTGAAACCGCCACCAAAGCCACCTCCTCGTCCACCTCTGAAGCCACCTCCTCGTCCACCATAACCACCACCTCTTCCACGGCCACCTCTGAAGCCTCCTCCTCCCTTACCAGAGAATGGATTAAAGGCAGCATTTTCAATAAATTCAGGAATTTCTTGATTTGCGTCTTTTAAAATCTTGACCAAGTCTCGACACAATTTGGAGTCTTCTTCAGTATCAAACAAAGCAGTAGCTTGACCCAAGTTACCAACACGTCCAGTTCTACCAATTCTGTGGACATATGAGTCAATTTCTTTTGGAAGATCATAGTTGACAACATGAGTTACTTTTTCAATGTCCAATCCTCTAGCAGCAACGTCAGTTGCAATTAAAATAGTTGAATAGCCTTCTTTAAATTGTCTCAATGATCGTTCTCTAGTTCTTTGATCCTTATCACCGTGAATGACACAACATTTAAAACCTAGAGGAGTTAAGTGTTCATAAAGTTGGTCACAAGTGCTCTTTTGTTGAACAAAGACAAGAGTTTTTTCAGACTTGTGTTCAGTCAATACTTCTACGAGCTTATCTTTCTTTTCTTTGGCAGAAACTTGGAAAAATTTTTGTGTAATGTTCTCAGTTGTACCACCGATCACACCGACTTGAACAAAAAGTTCGTCGTGCAAAAAGTCAAGAGCCAATTTCTGAGTTTCCTTTGGAAATGTGGCACTGTATAACAATGTCAATCTTTGACCCTTTGGTGGCATACCACTACCTTCGACAATTGATCTAATTTGTGGTTCAAAACCCATGTCAAGCATTCTATCTGCTTCATCCAACACTAAATATTGGACACCAGACATGTCCAATTTTCCTCTCTGGATAAAGTCGTTCATTCTTCCAGGTGTTCCGACAAGAATGTCAACACCACGTTCTAATTGCTTCATTTGATAGCCACTTGAAGCTCCTCCATAAACAACCACAGTTTTCAAATAAGTTTGGAAAATAAATTTTCTGCACTCATCATAGATTTGTTGGCACAATTCTCTGGTAGGAGCAAGGATAACAGCTTTTGGTGCGCCCTTGTAAGGATTGAATCTCTTTCTATCCTTGTGAATACCAGCTTGCAAGAGAGAGTTAATAATAGGCAACAAGAAGGCAGCGGTTTTACCCGAACCGGTTTGGGCACAAGCCATCATGTCTCGTTTGGATGTGATGATAGCGGGAAGGGAGTGTTTTTGAATTGGAGTTGGTTTGGTGTAGCCACTCTTGACAATGTTGTTCATTAAAAGCTCGTGGAGTTGTGCTTCATCAAAAGTGTTGATTGGAGTTGGAGGGTCTCTACCGAACACTTCAATTGGAATATTCTCGTATTTATCAAAATTAATACCCGTGTTCTTCTTTGCAAAAAGTGCTTCCTCAGGCTCATCATCTCTAATATAGTCTGATGATGAAGCAGCAGTGGTAGCTTGACGAGAGGATGAATCATCAAATCTTCCTCGATGATGTCCTCCGCCGTTGGAACTATCACCTCGACCACCTCCGTAAGGCTGATAACGGCTTGTGTTGGATCTAAAGTAATTGTTTTGTTCTCTCATGACGATGTTGAACGAGGTGTGAGGTTTGTTGTTGTTTTTTTTCTACATCGAAATGTTGACTTCGTTGCGTTTGTTGAACTGAATATTCTTTCAGCAGCAGCAGGTTCAACAAAGGCTTGCAAGTGGTTTGTCAATCGCTCTGGATTCTGAAGATTCGTCCAGAGAGACTCTTTTGAACAATACAACGAATTGCGAAACCTGTCCATACAAAACAAAATCGCTAACTTTGCCAATAGTATACTGTTATTATTTTGAAACTTTTGATCTTTGTTATCACTGCAACTCTTTGCATCACACAGACACTGAGCCTGAATGATTGCAGCATCATCCGATCATCTTATTTGCCAATTCACCAATAAAAAATGAAGAGAACATTTGAGGATTTCGATGACGGCAATGATGATGTACCTCTCGATGAAGAGGATGCTCTCTCCTCATCCGAAATGGCAACTCCTTTGGACGAATTACCTCCAGCTTTAGATTTAAAAATTGAAGGAAAAGTACCTACACTCCACAAAAAAGCCAAAACTGAACAAATGCTTTATAAATACCACAAGTTCTTGCCAAAGGGACTCGTAAAGGTTATTCCGGAAGAGAGCGAAGAGTGGAGAAAGGAATTGATGCATCACTTCCGACAATACACTCCCGATGATTTAATTGTTGAAAACATTCGCTGGGAGCATTTTGATTATTCTCTCATGCTATTGAAGAGGTACACAGAAATCAAATATCCTCTATTGCTTTCGGAAAAAGCCGAGCTTTGCAAAATTCTATTTAATATTCTCAAAATATCGAGCAAAGATAGCTATAGTGTTGACTTTTCAACCCAGGTGAAGTGTTGTTATGGATTATCTTCACTCATCAAGAAAAGCGAATTATTGGATATTACATTTGATTGGAAGGTGGTGTATGACATCATAGACAAAACCTACTTCACCAAATTTAGAAATGCCTTGTACAGCCCAAGAGAGCACGGAGCAGCTCTGATTGACTTGATTAGAAAGTTAAAGAGATACTTTACCGAAGATTCAACAGATGAAATGTTAAAATTCTTTAGGCCCATGTTATGCATCAATGACCACAAGATTTTTCAGGCACAAGCATTTCTAAGTATCATGCTACCAACTAAGTTAGAGGGCTCAGCGTCAAAAGATCCATTGGTATTCAAAAAAAATCATTATGACAAGTGGGTTGACGAATTCTTTGGCATATGGGATTGGATTGGTTTGTATCCTACTTGGGATTTGAGCTTTTTCACTTTATTTGCAAATCTTGCTCAGGATCAAGCTGGCTATGTAGATTGGGAGGAGCCTTATGTATTGTTCATTTTCACAAAGATCATGAAATGCTTTGACTTACCCATTGGAAACACTCCGGTTGCATCGAATTATGAAGAATATCCAAATGATGAATTGAATTTATTAACTCCATTTGACATCTCAAAGAATTTACTTTTGGCAAATGCAGCTAAACTAATTGTTTGGATGATTTCAAAGAAGACGAATGTCCTCAAACATCTCAACCAGCTTATCAAATCAGTTTCAAACTTTTTCCAACCTTCCAATGAAGGCCAATGGACAAGCAAGTGTGCAGACTTTCTCTTGATTTTATGTACCAAATTTGGAAAACGTCTAGATATAGAAAGAGGAATGAAAGGTTTCACAGAAGAAACATATTCACCATCAAAGAATGGAGGTTATCAATGGATTCCTGAAGAGTATAGGCTAACGGAGGACGAGAGTAAGGAGTTTGTTGGCATCATTCAACCTCTCGCGATGACCGCATTGTTTTCCAAAAGCAGCCAAATGACTACATGTGCAAATCACTCTCTAAAGCATTTAGCTTACATCCTACCGCAAGAAGTATTCCCTTCTCTTATGGAGAGAAGTTTTTATGCATTAGAGACGCTCACGAACACCCATCAAACAATCTCAGCTCTTGAAACCCTTTCTCTAGTTGTATTCCCTCTTTTGAAATATTCACTTTACCCAGATGGTGCCAATTATCTTTCTAATTTATTACAATTAACTCTTCCTGGAATTGACGTGAACGATAATGCCAAGACGTTCTCTACTCTCAAATTTTATACTTCGCTTTTGGTTTGTGTACCTCTGTGTACAACGGGTGCGTCACAAGGCGATAGATCTCCCCCTGAAGTTGTGAGAATGTTCGAAGATTGGTCAATAGAGCTATTGGAACGAATTTTTAATGTTCTCTCTCATCAAACAGATCCAAAAACAGCACAAGGAGAAAATGATGTCATTTCCCCAAGCATGTTTTGGGGGTTATGCGACTTGCTATTCAATCAAATGTCAACTGAATTGTTGGAAATCTCTCTCAAGCGAATTTACAACTTTGTAGATTCTAATTTTTTATTTAATGCAAGGAAAAATATTGCCCATATGTGTTCCTCGATTGCCTATGCATATCCAGAACAAACATTGGCTCTTTTTATTCCTATGCTCTACAAGAAGCTTGTTGACAGGGATGGAAAACGTCTCAAAAACTTAACAGACATGGAAACTCACTATTATTTACAAATTCTTGGCCAAGTTTGTTATCGAACAGGTGCTCATCTTTTGAAGTATAGACAACAAATTGAGACCGTTATTTCTCTTTGCTATATTTCAGAAAAAAAGAAGGTGGTAAAAATATGCGGAAAATTATTTAGGAATGTGTTGAGATCATTGACGAAGTACTATTTGTTGGAGTTGAAGTCAGTAAACGCAAGTCAGTGGAGTACTGAAGAATTTAAGAATTATAATCATTGGCAATCATGGGGAGAATTTATTTCTCTTGATGAGTTTGAAATTAATTGGCATGAACCTACACAAGAAGAGCTACAGTTTGCGATAGAGCTTTGCAATAGATATTTGACTGACTCTGTTGCCAACATTAATGCATGCATCGCACTCATGAAGGAGAAGGGAGGTAATATACCTGATATTCAGAAATTGAAGAATCACCTTATTTTCATAAGGTATGCAATGAGAGGAGGTAACACTCTTTACCTCGAGATTGAAAACGGAATAATGGAAGAAATGAATCAATATCCATCTTCTAGATTGATCGACGCTGGTTTGTGTGTGGCTAAAAAGTGTAAATCAGCAACCTTGGTTACTGGTTACGAACAAGTTTGCGACACTTTGCATGATCTTACGGAGGTTATACTTGAACATCGATCCGATAAGGATCCTAATCTCATTGGAAAGATTTGTAAAATATTTTTCCCAATGATTGCGATGAGAGGAGGTAACACTCGTTACAGATACAAGAAAAAGAAATCTTCACATGAGTTTGTCAAACAACACAGCTACAAAGATGTCTACTCGACCACATCAAACAAATATCCTAGATATTTGTTATTGATTCAAGCCCTATTAGAATACAAGGTCAGATGTGTCATTCATAACGAATCTATTCCATACACCAAACATCATCAGAGATTATTGGATGACCTACTCCGTCTTTCATTACATTCATATTCTGAAGTAAGAAAACGTGCACAGTCCGTACTCATGTCATGCATTAACAAATTCTCTGATAAGGTTATTAAGAGCTTCCTTCCCAGACTGATTGAAGTTCTAGTTGACAAGAAATCGACTGATGAGCAACGAACTGGATGTATTTTCATACTGGAAAAACCTTTTGCAGTTTCTTGTGTTATTAGAGATTGGGATTTATGTTCCAAGTTTTTGCTTGCCCTTTTCCAAACAAGTCATATCGAGAAACAAAGCATCCAACAACGATTGGCACAATTATTTGAAACTTATTTCAATGCATTTTATCACATTCAAATTGCCAATGAAAAAGACAGGCAAAAGTATGAACGCATTATTTTAGAAACGACAGAGATTGCAAAAAGTAAGGGAGGATGGCACTGGAAATATCACACATTTGTCAGCAGTTTTTTAATGTTAATGATTAGACCTGATCAATTGTTCCCAGTTGAGGCTGCCAAGTTCTTTTTCAAACAAATGACAAGCGATTTGGAAAAGTCTAGAATTATTGCATGCGAAGCAATTAATTTAATTCTTTGTCAATACAAACCTGTGCAAAAGAAAAAGCTAATTACCCCTCATCCAACTAAGGTCAATAACACTCTCGATTGGGAAGCATTGGGTATTGATTTTGGCTCTGAAGAGAATTGGAGGAAATCTAATTGTTATGAAAAGAATTACTTTGGATGGTATACATTACCAGACAGAGTAGAAGTTTACGATTATGAACAACCAAAAGATTGCTCCAAGCAAGCTCTTATCAAGAGAGAATTACTACCAATTCTGCTCGAAGATGGTTTTGTCGCTAAATTCATTCGTCTGTTGACACATAGAGATGACGGCTTTATTGAATCCAACGCTCAGTTGTTTAAAGGATTGTTCCAAGTATTTCCCTGTGAAGAAGGTTCTCAAGGCTTCCTTGATCTTTGTAAACCCCATGTGGAATCAATATTAATACCTATGGTTGGTTCAGGTGGATCTGAAGAAGTTCACAATGTTGCGTTGATATCAGAAATTGTTGGAGGTTTGATTCGGGGTATGAAACATTGGGACTATTCTCAACAACAACGTGCTATTACAGAGTTTATCATTCCAGTCTTTGATAAAATATTGGAGCAAAGTTCCACAAATAGCGTCGGAGAAATTTCTGAAGGGCTCGAGTTTGCTATTTGTGACAAGGATGTACGAAGGTTGGGATGGCTTATCAGATACATGATGGAAAAAACAAAAGCTTCTCTTCAAAAGAAGGATGTTGAGGCCATTCTCCAAGCCAGATTTTTGAAGTATTTGTATGGTATTGTTGGAGAAATCAGTTGGAGATCTCCCTATTTATTGCGCTTGTTATTGGACGAGTTATGTTCAACCACCCTTCATCATGATGCGGAACTAGTTAGAGAGTATATCGGTTTATTTGTTTCGTTCATTTACAAATCATTGTGGAATCCACCTCGACTTGAACATAACAAATTACCATCCTTTACATTGCTTAATACCACAATTGATGATACTCAATACGATTACTTGAGAAAATTTAATCTCGATTTGTATGAGCTTCTTGACCAGAAGGAAAATATCATCAAAACCATGCCACATGATAGCCCTGAATTTGACAAAAGATATTCAGAATTCAAAAACTTAAGCAAAACTGTATTGGCAATCATTTCAGGGTTATTCAACTCAAGCTCTCCTCATTGTAGTTCCGGAGAAATTACAAATTATATCAAAATCATTTCCACCATTTACGAGCATACTACATCACAGGATGATGATTTACAATCTCTATGCCAACATGATATTATATCACTCTCTGCATTCTCTTTTTCTAAACTTCTGGCCAACACTGTAATTACATTTTTATTTGATGAAATTGTCGGAAAAAATTCTGCTAGTTTTGTTAATTGGTCAATCAGAAGTGCATTACTTGAATTTCTTCAAATATTTGCATATAGACAAGAATTTTACTTGACCGATAAACTACCCAAGCTTTTCGAAATTATTACCACCATGCTCAAAGATCAACAGCTTGAAGTAAGACAAATGGCCGCAATTACACTTTCAGGATTTCTTAAAATATCCAGCACAGAATATTCACAGAAATTGATTCCGGAATTCAAAGAGAAAGCATTCAAAAATAGGAATACCAAGATATCATCTGACAAACTCTCTTCGAAAGAGACAACTGAGCGTCATAGTGGTGTTCTTGGCCTATCTGCCGTTGCTTTAGCATTCCCATATTCTGTTCCGGATTTTATTCCTGATATGCTCTGCTCGTTGGCTAAATTTTCAAATGATAGTGTACAGTCGATAAGGGAGACAGTTAAAAAAACATTCCAAGAATTTGTAAAATGTCACTCGGATATGTGGCAAATTCACCAACAAAAATTTACAGAACAACAATTAGGAACATTACATGATCTTTTCCAAACCAGCTCTCCCTCATACTATGCGTGAGTTAATAAACTTGTGTTGTGAGTGTTTAGCCTTACTTATTCAACAACTGGGATATGTAACAAGTGTGTGGTCGTCATGATCTTGAAAACTCTAGACACCCTTCAAGCTTGAAGTTACTGAAAAGGACCAACTCCACACCTGTCGAATGAGGTTAATAGATTTCTCTCATTTAGCGTGTGAACCTCGTTTGAATGTGTTGGTTCAAATGAAAGATCTGTTATCCGAAAAGAAGAGACTGAGGTTGAGGCGTTTTCCATACCCTTACTAAAAAAAATGCTTAATCCGGAATGGATGGTCTGCGATGACCATCACCGATCCGAACCATCCCATAATAGCAAGGAACCAAAAGATGAGGATGAAGATGTGCTTGATCAGTTCAAGAAGCTTTTGAGATATTCCAGAAACTCAAGTAAGCATAATTTCAGCAGACATATGGCCAAGACTGAGAATTCAAACAAGTTTTTGTGGGTGAAACCCCAACAGACCTCGGAGTGGTTCAACTCTGTTGCTTCTCTGATGATAAAACGATTGAATATGGGAAAATCAGTGACCCAAATTCGTCCTCACTTCTTAACGAGCCTGCTAGGTCCTTCTGGGATTTCCCATTTCGCAATTTCCAACAATCACTCTGCCGAGATTCTCTGCTCGAGGATTACCGAGTCCCTGAAAAATAACAAACCCCAAACCATCGTGTTGCTCGGGAGGACCAAAGAAGAAAGAATTGATGTAATCATCAAGACTTTGGACAAACTATTCTTCGAGTGCACGTCTCGAAAGAACACCGAAGATCTAAACAAAAGTCCACAAACAAGAGAAATCGAAGGAATATCTTGTTTTTCTAGGTGCATTCTTTCCGAACAATTATGCCTCTTGTACAAACTCGGATCCAGTAGATATGTATCATCATCATACGAAATGATTAAACCGGGTTTTGGATTCAATATAACTCTCACGTTCAAACGAGGTGACAGTACTAACATGAACCAGGTCAGCAGTTCAATAATTGATTTTGATATTGCAGCATATTTATTCAATCGATATGAAATGGAGTACGTGCTGAGAAGAAAAACGAATCCCTATCAAAGTTCTGTTCGCCTAATACTGGAACATTTCGAAATATTTAAAGATTTACTATGTGCTCCAACCAAGATGATTGAGCCGCTTCTTGGTCATACGTTCATTGGACTGAAGCATTTCAGCTTCATTGAGTCAATGAAAAAAGAAATTTCAAACGCGGAAGCCAAATTTTATGATTTGCTCAAAAATGTGAAAAGAGCTCTCAAATGTTCTACAAGAGAAATTAATGCTTTTTTGAGGGGCCTTTCAATTGTATTACTACTCATCGATATTGATGACAGCTCTTCAGTAGATGTATTCAAGGAAGGGTTAAGAATGGAAATGGAAAGACATATTGAAACATTCGACAGCGAATTACTTGAGCATTTATGTGACATTCTCCAAATGGAACGATTTGAGGTTTTAAAAAATATGAATTTAATGATTAACGGCAAGGTGTCTTTACCAGGAGCTTTCAACAGTTGCATGAACTTTGCATGTGTTGTTTTCGAAGCAATTTTCAGATGGGTTGTGGAAAAAGGACATCTCGCTTCAAAATCCTTCACGAATATTGAAGCTGAAGATGAACTTGAGACAGATCAGCTCTCTGCTGTACATATAATTAGCTTACCTGAACTCGTCAACGACAATTCTTTGCATTATTTTGGTGATTTATGGTGCAACGTTAGCAGCGAGCATTTATACTCATGGGCCTTGCAATATCTTATCGAAGACATTTCATCAATTCATACTAGAGAAGGATACAAATTGACCGACCCTCTGGTAGATGTTATTGAGAAATCTCCAAGCAGAGAGATTATAGACTTTTTATTTGGAAGTCAAGGAATATTATGTTCATTTCCTTCTTTGTCTCAACAATCAGATTATCAAGAAAATCATGAAGCCCTCGAAAACGTTATTCAATACTTCAGAAATAATTCGTACTATGGATTGAGTTGTGTGAATATATCCAAATCTGACGAGGATAAGCTTATCATTGACCACTCATTCGGAAGATTTGAATACAGCATAGATGCTGTGTTTCCACCAGCTGTGAGTGAAGCTTCCCAGTATCAAATAATTCGGAATGGAATACCTTATGTTGACATTAGTGAGACTCATAAGGAGTTTTTATCGAACATGAAACAATTATTAAGCTCCACGGCCTTAAATGCAGAGCCCACCTTCCTTACATTTTGTTATATGAATGCCACCATCCCACCTGAAGGGCAATGTGTAGAGTCCTCATTTTCTAATTTGACGTCACAAATTGCATGTAGTGTGTTGTCATTTGTAGCAGAAACTAACGAGAAATCGTTTGATTATGTTCTCTCTCCTACTACATTTTGGAAGTCTTTCGGTAGTCTAACATTCAAACTGTACTTTTCAAATGACAACAACATTGATAACAAACGAAAGGACATTCTAACACTGGCAACAAAAATTTTACAGCATTATCTTGGTTCTAATCATAATGCTAATGAAAAGTTGTCCTATTTTGTTGGAAAATATAACATTTTAATGAAAAAAGATGCCTATGATTTGCTTAGGAAAAAGGTACTTCAAATTATGGAGGAGGCTGCACTAGTAATTCAAAGGCAATGGAGATTATCTACTATTAGACGACAGATATGTAAATCTCTTAAAGAGTTAATATCGAAGGAAAAAGATTCTCTGCAAAAGAATGTTGCAACTGGAGCTCCATCTGAAAATTCTCAGCCTAATATCATAACAACTGTACATGATACACACAACGCACTACCACAACCGACCCCTCTGAAAGAAAGAAAGAAAAAGATGCAAAAGTCCTACGCGTATAGTTTGATGAAACGAAAGGAGATTGCAAAACCTCAAAAAGCACAAAAATCATTAGTCAATAAGAAAAAATCAATATTTTCTGTCACATCTAACAAACCTGAATCAAGCAGCCAAGACGCTATTGAGAGAGTGACATTAATTCAGGCGTTAATTCGTGGAAATTTATTGAACAATCAATTCTCTAAGCTTAAAAGATTGGCCATGCTAATCCAATCATTGTACAAAAAGAGGAAAATTTTCGAAATTGAAAAAGAGATGCGTAAGCGAAAATTTGAAGTCATCAAAAGGAAAAACGAGCAAAAGAAGAATGAGTTTGAAAGGCAAAATCGAGCTGCGCTTACCATCCAACATGCATGGAAAATGTTCAAACAAAGGTATTTTCACACACAATTACTTGACGCTGTAATCATCATTCAGAGAGCATGGAGAGCGTACAAAACTCGAAAAACCATCAATTTGGTCCTCATGAAGAACAAAGCCAAACGTCAGCAAGAAAAAAGAAGACTCGATCTCGAAGAACGTGAAAGAAAGATCAAAGAGGCTGAAACAAGAATTGCCAAATATTCTCAGGAACTCGAGGAGAAACAAAAACTATTGAAAGAAGAAGAAAACCGTTTCATGAAAAAACAAATGATGGAAAGAAAACAAAAGGAAGAGAAACTGTGGGCAACAGTTTCTGAAATCAGTAATAGCTTACTACTCTCGCATGGTAGTACCCTGAACATGACTCATATCTCATCTTCTGGAAGTAATATTAGCAGTATGACGTCCTCTCAGGATGAGCCATCTCCTAAAAAGAAAACCTATTCAGACTTTTTGAAAGAAACCTATGGCAATGCACCAGTGGTCAAGCTCAAAGAAAAGACTCCTAAAATTGCAAAGCAACCATTATCTTCTTCCAATATCCCCTCCAATGTTTCTCCAAAGAAAGAGGCAAAAACTCCAAAGAATTCTTTTCGTCGATTGAGTCTCAATAATAGTAGCGGTGGTGGTGGTAGGCAAAAGTCTCGACAACGAGATGCAAGCACCTCCCCAAAACCTTCCATTCCCAAACTTCCCCTTCATAGGATTCTCAATGACAACACCACTCATGACTCTGGATTTTCCATGAAGAAGCAACATTTGAAACATTCTGCCAATGTTGCACCACCACCCACACAAGAAAGCAAGAAAAAGACAGAGGATGGCTGGTTGTATTGGCAGAAGGGTATTGACGAGCTCAGCCAACTGTTCAGTCGCAAATAAAAAAAATTCATCATGTCCGAAGAAGGACCAAACCAGCCAGCAGCATTGTTATCGCCCTCGCAAGAGAGTTCTTTCAAAGTGATGGATTTTAATGGTGGTGCCGAACAAACCATTCATCATGATGATACAGTACCCAATTCCGCTTCTTTTCCTGAAGAAATCCATCAAAATAACACTGCCGAAGCAACAATCAATGAAGAACTCATTCCATCAACCCATAACACAACAATTCCTTCTGTGGATGATGAAGCAGAACTACATGCCACAATTCATTCAGAAGAAAACGAAGAAAACTCAACAACTCCTGAAACAGAATCTATACATCATCAACAGGACGAAAGTTTAGAACCATCAATAAATATCCAGGAACAACAACAAACACCAACAACAACGGAAGAGGAATCACAACAAACACAGGAGACGACACCAACTCTTCTTCACAATCACGAACAAGAAGAACATCAACTGCTGAAACAAGAGCCACAAACAGGCAACACTGAACCATCCCAAACAATAACAGGTGTCTCGGAAGAGCAAACAAATATCGTTGAAGAAACTTTTAAAAACAACGATCAAGAAAATACTATTATAACCGCAACAGCATCCATCAAGAATGATGATGATAATTCCAATGTCCATCAAGAAATTATTTCTCATGTGCACGATCAAAATAATTTATTTAACAGCAACGATACATTATCTCCGAGTGAAATTCAACATGGCACTGCAACTAATCCTCAACAAGATTTTCAAACAGACACCCCTTCCTACTTGGAGTCGCAACACAACACATCCTCAAAGAATGATAAATTTGAGACAAGCTTTGTTTCCGCATTGGAATCGAAAAGTGATCATTCTAACCAAGAAACAGCACAAGAAAATTTTGAGGCTGATTTCGAAGATTCTGATTTTGACAAATCTGTCACAACACAACCACCAACAGCCCAACAACAAGAGGAGCCAATCAAAAACCAATTCGAAGCAGAGTTTGACGATTCATTCGGAAACTCTTCCACACAACAAGGAGAATTCTCGCAAAATCAAAGTTCCAACCCTCAGGATTTTAATGACAATTTTGAAGCTAGTTTTGATTCATCTTCGTCGTCTGAACCAACCAATCAACCAAAATCATCGAAAATCGACGAATTCGATGCAAATTTCGATGTAGATCCTGTAGCCGAAAATTCACAAGCGAATGAATTTGAAAATAGCTCATTTGACAGTGCACCAAATACAACAACAACAAATAGTTTGACATCTTCCGAAGAGAACAACCAAAATCAATCTACAAATGATGAAGATTTTGGAGATTTTAATGAGCCAATAGTTACAGAAAAAACAAATGACGAAGATGACTTTGGAGATTTTAAAGAACCTGAAAATACTGAACCTCAACAAAGTGGTGATGATGACGGGTTTGGAGATTTTGAAGAGCCAAAGGAAGAACAAACTCAATCATCTGAATCCCAACAGGTCACTACTACAACACTGGATTCGACAAAAACTGTTGAAGACTCTTTTGAAATAGATGTTAATACTCAAAAATATGTGATCGATTCAATCCTTTCACTGAACAAGAAAACCACTGAAGAGGCCACCAAGCTTAAAACTTCCATTCATAATATGCTTAATGGTCTTGTGCCTCCAGAGCTTCGTGTGCCTACCTACAGTAACGATAATGATACAAGTTCATTCTCTTCTGAAAATCTTTCAAACAATACTCTTGAAAAATTGTTTAACATGAACTCGAATCATAATGCTGATATTTTAAGCAAAATGGCTGTTTGGCAAAATAGCTGCATAGAAAAACATTTCTTACTTGCGTTAGGATTAGAAAAAAAGAAGAACAAGAAACAACACAAACCATTACGAAAAGTTGTTCATAGAAGAACAGCCTCTCATACGGTCTCATCTCCAATAACTAGTGAAACAATTCAACAAGGAGAAACATCGGAGACAGTCGATCAACGTATGAAAATTGATGACATTGGAACAATTTCTCAAAGAATGATTGGAGGTGCAAGACATCGAAGAATGAACTCAACAGTCACAGATTTACATTTGTCTCCAAGGCTACCTTTGAACACACAATCACCAAGATCAGTGTCTCCAGTTCCATGCAGTAGTTCCATGTCTCCAACAACAACGACTAATCAACAACACTTTGATGAGCTAATTTCATCTTACACTCCAACCAAAACCAAGAGTGCTGAGCTTGACGATATTGCAGCTCTTGTTTTTGGTTCCGATTTCACTTCCCCAAAACCGCAATCCAACACTGTTGCTGCAAAGAAGGAAACATCTTCGTCAATAACCCCAACACCTATCAAAAACAAGACAAGTACTGTTCCCAATGTACAACCACCTGTAACTATAACCACAACAAGTGCGTCACCAGTGTTGGAGAAGATGTCAACTCCTGTTAAACCCACTTCCTTCTCTTCTTCACAACAATCTTCCAAATGTTTTGAGGATGATCGTTGGGGAAATGACAATGATTCATGGGATAATGCACCTTCTACTCGACCAAGTAGTATCACTACTCTTTCTTCATCATCAGTGGCCATCCAATCAGCCACAACTGTACCAAAGCAAGAAAGTCCAATATTCCAAAAATCAACACAGGAAACAAGCGAAAAGTTTGAGGCCAAATTTGACGATGATGATTTTGGTAGTAGTGGCAGTGTTAGCAACGATCTACCAGCAGTAGCCACCACTAATTCATCACTCTCAGTAACAACCTCTCAAACTGGTGGCCTCGTACAAAACAAATTTGAGGATGATGGATTTGGAGATTTCCCAACATCTAATAAGGAAGAAGATGCATTTGCACCTCAACAAAAGATCTCTACAGTAGTGACAACAAAGTCTACTAATTCAACAAGTGACGACGATGGATTTGGAGATTTCCCAGAACCAAAAGATACAGTTCCAAACTTTGCAGATGATGGTTGGGGAAATGACAATAGTGGATGGAGTTCAAGCGATGCTTTTATCCCTTCAACAACAACAAGTGCCTCCTCAACTCAACACATCTCTGTTCCCCCCAGCAGCTCTCCTCAAACAACGACAATTCAAGCTGTGGCAAGTCAATCTCGATCATTGAAGAATGAGGAAGCTCACAGCTTTGATGATGACTTTGGTGAATTTCCTGAGCCCAAAGATGATGAGAAACCAACAGCTCCACAACAGCAGGATTCTGAAGTTTTTTCAACACCACCAAAAGAATCAAGCTTTGGAAATTCTTCACCATTGTTCCAGCCTTCCTCTATCAACGCAGTTCAGAAGCCTTCACAGGATACTTTTTCTGGAGCATCTAATGACGACTTTGGAGAATTCCCACAACCAAAAGATGAAACTCGACACACCACAACGGCCACCGATGACGACTTTGGCGAATTTCCAGAACCAAAGGAAGAGCCTGTTCCACAATTTGCAAGTGATAACTCATGGAGTGACAATACTTTCACATCGGCACCTATTTCTCAAGCCAGTGCTAATTCTATTGATCAATTTTTACAACTTTCCTCTCAACAGTCAACATCGTCACCAGTTGCATCATTTGTGGAGACATCGACCACAATTAATACCACCTCCTCAACAGTTCCTTCATCCAATTTCAATGATGATCCGTTTGATTTTAAACCTTCTGTGAAAACTGTTGAGGCTCCTCCTACTACCAGTGCACAACAGGCTGCTACTAGCCCAACCTGGCCACAATCGGCAGGAAGTCCTTCTACATTCTCCACCAATGCTGACAGTTGGATGATGCCTTCTACTTCTCAATCTGTTTCAACCCAATCTCCAATTTTTGCAGCACAGAATCCAAAAATTAATGAATCCTCATCTTGGATGGATACTGGAGCTAGCTCTTCTTTGAACAACGCGATCTTTGGCAATGATGATGATTTTGGAGATTTCCCAGAACCTAAAGATGAAGAAACAGTTCACAGTTCTGCCCACACAAATATTGTTTCCCAAAGTAATATGAGCCTTGATTTCACACAGAACAATAATACTGTTTCATCTTTCCCAACCATCATTACTTCTCAAAAACCAACATCTACATTTTCGAATAACAGTCCAACTCCTCTTGGTTTTTCGAGTGTTACAAATATGAGCGATTTCCCCAAACGAAACACACCTACTTTCACTCCTACAAAGCCAGCCATTAATAATGACCTCTTTGATTTTGGCAGTCAAGCTCCATTAACCATGAATCCTCTTTCAATGATGACGTCAACAACTGGCACATTACAAGGTGTCAACAACAATACAAAGACGGATGACGAATTTGGTGATTTTCCGGAAGCGAAAGAATATCCAACTACACATAAGGACAACAACAATGATGATGATGGATTTGGAGACTTCCAAGAACCACTCGATGAACAGCAGCAACAGCAGAACAATAATAATACTTTTGGTATGGCTTGGGGTGGATCTAACAAATTACCAACCAATATTCCGTCACAACCTTCCCTCAATAGTCCCCAAGCGGCATTTAATGATTTGGACAGCTGGTTGAGCACTGGAACCACCGGTGGTAACCCTGCTTCCAACAATAACAATACCGATGACTGGATGTTCTCTCATACCTCCAATTCCACTTCGTCAACAACCACTCAGCAACAGCCAGCATCGAGCACCAACAAGGATTTATTTGAATTTTTCTAGAACAAGCCAATAAATTATTGTAACCCAACGAATGTTATTGCTTGTTCTTCTTCTCTCTCATTCTTACGAATGCCTGTTGCAATCCACTCCACACACTCGTCCATTGACTTTTCACATGATTGTACCAAGTCGATACAAACGATCCAGGAACCGATTGCCACAAACACAGAGCTGCTACCACATGGAAAAACACTCCAAATGAAATCAAAAGAGCAATATTCACTCCTAACATTTCCTGAATATATCCTTTCAATTCAACACTTTTCGAATATTTCGTGTAATACTTAATCTCATTCAAATACATAATTTCATTGGCGTATCTAAGGAAGGATAAATGTGGAATGAAGGGATAAGGGAGTTTCATTTGACTCATATCACTCAAACTTGGTGACAATCCAGAAAATAAATAACACAAAAAGAGTACAATGGCACTTGCAATTTGAGCCAAGTCACTTTTCAAACAAATCGAAATGATAAATCCCAATGGATAGGTCGTGAAAGCAATCAAGAAAAAGACACCAAAATGTTCCCAAAAGGATCCTTTTGGTGAAATTAAGAGATACTCTGCAAGTGTATACAACAATGAAGCACAAACCATTGGAATGAGATAGAGCACATCCTTCACCACAAAATAAACCAACGTATTAAGACCTGTTTGAGATTCTCTTCGAAAAACGACCTTCTCCTTTCCAAAGACACTCAATGAACTCAAAATAGAGGACAAACCAATGGCAAAGACACCCAACAAGACAAAGGAAGAAATGTCATCTTGAGTTGGTTCCGAACAATCCTCATAGAGAATGAGTGGACACTGTTTGGCAATACTCTTCTCACTTTGACCTGAATACGTCAAATTTCCTGTAAAAACAGCTCCAATGAAGAGACCACTAATGGCATTGATGAGAAGGTCAATGAGGAAGGAAAATTCATGAAAGAGAAGGAAGAGACCTCTCAGAAAGAAGGCCATGGCTTGCATGTAGAAGGGAACAGTCGGAACGGAGATGGAAGTGGCCATTTCACTTTGATAGAGACCTCCTTCTTCTCCTCCTCGTTGTTGAAGTTTGAACTTGCTCAAAGAGGGAGGTACTTTTGAAAGAATTGTTCGTTGTTCATCGTTCATGACTTCGAGAGCAGCAATGACATGGTCACCTGGATTATTGAAATCGGAATGCCATGTTGAATGTTGGGATTCTAGAGATGGTTCGTCTTCATTAAATTCTTTTCTCGGAGGGAGCTTCAAGATATCCCGCGCACAAATTTCGGCAATTTTTTGGGCATCTCCATGAGCAATCATTTGTCCGTGATCAAACAAAATCAAATCGTCAAAGAGTGAATAAATTTCAGCCGAAGGTTGATGAATGGCACAAATAATATTTGTTCCTTCTTCCTTTTTCTTGGCCAAAATGTTACAAAGTAAGAGAGATTGTTTCGAGTCCTATTCATGGATCAATCAATTGAAGATGATTGTTTTATGGAATGATGATGATTATGAGCATGTAACAAGACAGTTACATAAAAAAGGATGAATACATGCAAGAACAGTCAAGTCAACAAACACCACTCAATATTAAATAACTAAATAACTTACCAGACCACTCGTTGGTTCATCCAATAACAAAATTGGAGAATCATTAATCATTTCAATTCCTACATTGAGTCTCTTCTTTTCTCCTCCACTCAAAACTTTCTGATTCACATCTCCAATCGTACTAAACAATTTGTATTTGATATTCAACATGGATGCTGTCTCTTTGACACGTTTCACTAATGGATAAAAGAAATTGGTCATACTTCTGTAAATTCCACTAAACATTAAAGTTTCCCAAACTTGAAGAGAGCTAATCATGATATCATCTTGTGGAACAAATCCAATAATTTTCTTCATACTTTCGGTTAACATTTTACCATTTAAAGTAACAGTTCCTTTTTGAACACCGTAATAGGCCCTTTTTGAGAGGACAGTGAGGAAAGTCGATTTTCCACTTCCTGTGGAACCCATGACTGCTGTCAATTTCCCACTTTCAATTCTTCCTGAAATATTTCTCAAAATTTTCTGACCTTCAAAACTTGTGAAACTTAAATTTTTGAATTCAATTGTGACATCTTTTTCAGAATGAGTTAAATTCTGTTTGGAACAACATTGAAACAATGCAATCCATTCATCTAAAAATTGTTCTCGATTCGTTGGATCAAATGAAATCATGGATAAATATGTTTGATTACTCGCCACCACACACACTAAAAATTCAATAAATAATAACCATAAAAGGGAAAGAAAATTTCGAGATAGTGAATACTGTTCATCTTCAACCATCACATGCAAACGAATCGAATAAGGGAGTGAAGAATTTTCAACCTGAATCAATAAGGTAAAATTTTGATTTCCATTTCCAGACATGTTCGTTTTGTCCCACAATCTCCAACTCGTTAAAATCATTCCTTCTGTTGTGTCATTGATGACTTTAACATCAGATGAATAGTAATCGATCGAGCTAGAACGATCAAATTCTTGGTACAATGAGTATTCCTTAAATAGAATCATTCGCATGGTCACATTGGAAGTATATAATCCAACAAGTGCAATCGAAGTATTCTTGTCCAAAAGATAAATTAAACTCTCGACATAGTGCTTTGTTCCATAAGGTTCAATCATGCTTCTATTGGTCGTCTTACTCGATGAATAATCTAAATTAAAAGTTTTCATTCGTTGTTCAAGATCATACACTTGATACATGGTGACACCTGTCACAATGGCAACACTCAATAATGCCAAAATGATCATCAACGTCACAACAATCAACAATGGGGCATACAATTCAAGCATGGGTTTCGAAGTTATGGAAGGAGCTGAATGAATGGTTTTTAAATGACTCTCCGATTCTAATCTTTTCATACTTGGACAGCATTGCGAAATGATTTCAGAAAATTGTTGTGGTTGATGGATTCTCTGACTGTCACCTTCTTGTTGACAATTGTCATTTGTTGGCATGGACTGGTTGTTTGCATTGGATCTCTCAATTTCTTTCGATCCAACCGTAATGGCATCCCACATCTCTTTATGATTCGTACTTGAATCACTCGCAAAAGAAACTGTCTTTCGAACGGTTCGATGGACCTTTTCGAACATGTTTGAAACATTCGATGCTGTGGAAGTAGAAGCATCAGAAGGTTCATTGGAATCTCCCTCTAACACTCCTGATGGAAATAACGTGTTGGAATGGATGTTTGTGATCCTTGATTCAACTGTGACAACACCACCTTCAATACCTTCAACACCTTCAACACTTGTAGATTGACTTTTCACTTGATGCAATTCAATTTCATTGACATTTGAAGCAACGTTTCGAATGGTTGCCATTCGATGAATTCTTCTTCGTTGTTTTTGTCGTTTTGGAAATTGAATCATATTTCGAAATCCAACACACAAAGAAAGGATTAAACCACTCGAACACAAGACACACATGAAGAGAGGAATGGAAAGAAATCCGAGCCAGTCCTGAGTGGAAGAGGAAGACCACATCCTGGATGGAGTGGAATGGATTTCTCCATTTGTGTAATTGTTGTTGTTGTTGTTGTTGGAGGAGGAGAGAAAGTCATTCCATGAGAGATTAGAGAATTGCCACATGTGCAACATGTTGCTGTTTCTGTGAACTTTGAGCAACTCGAGTGGTTGTTGATGATTCGCTGATCTGTTGAACTTTTTTTTGTGACACTAAAGCAAAGAGATTTATAGGAAAGAGAGGATTCGAGAATATCACGAATCATTCCAACATGGGCATGTGTGAATCAAATGACATTTGTGATTCTTTTACTGGAAAATCCATGAATCTATTTCATAGACTTGTTCAATCAGTGATGAACATTGGTATGAAGAAAATAGTACTGGCTTTTCTTTGTCACTGCCGAAACTATTGTCGAACTAGTTCGTTCGACAGTTGACAGCCATCCTTATATAGCTAGATACCAAAAAAGAAAGGCATGCATTTTTTACTTTCAAAAAAATCACCTGATTCCAACACATGAATCCTCCCTCGAATGATGATGGTCGTCAATTGACCCATCTTGCTCAACCTATCAAAGAAGAACTTATCGAAGAAGAATCACAGACTCATGTCATACCAACTCCACCACAACATTCCACCAACAATGAACAAGTCATTCCAGATACACCTAGTATTGTCATTATCGATCCTTCTCCTCATCCCTTACCAAGTACTGATAACTCTTCAAATAGTGGTGTCTTTGATCATTTGAATACTACAGATAATAATAATACCACTGACACTAATACTACTATTAAGAATGATAATGATAATAATACTAATCCTACTACAAATAATGACAGTCGAGACGATTTTCCCAAAGACAATGAACAAATTGTTGCACTCCAGAAATTTATTCATCAAAGTTCATACAGTTTAGATTCAAATTCACAACATTACCACAACTTTAATATTCAACTCATTCGAGCAGGAAATGGATCATTGGCTCATGTCTCTGCTGACAATTCACCTGCCTCTACAATGGACAATTTATCACTCATGAGTCATGATCTTTCAGAGGAGGACCAACATTTACCTCCTCAAATGGTTCCAACGAATTCTTCCACTTGCAATGGTTCAGAATTAGTGGCATTGGATGTGAGTGATGTTGAACAACAGGAGGAACAAGCTTCTTCTGTTGATGTGAAGGAATTAGAAAGAATGAAAAAAAGAACCATTTGTGTATGGATCTTGGTGGCATGCTGTTGTTTTGTGTATTTATGTGTGGTGGGAGGATTGGGTTATTTTAGTGGATTTGCGATTGACAAGTCGGTACATGCATTTACATATTTTAATTTGAGTTTTAGTAGTAAGAATGAATGTAATTTTGAGAGTGGACTAAAGTACAAACATTATAGTTTGAATAATACCATTTTCAAGACATGTAGTATTCAAAAAGTATTGGAAATTGATGTCAATAAGGACTCGTTTGAAAATAGTGATAAGTTGACATTTTTCTATCTATCCACTACACCGATGGATATTTATTATTTCAAAGAATTGTCAAGTTTCAGGACCTATAACTCAACTGGATATCTTGATCCTACCTCTGTCAATTATTGGCTAAAAACTCAAGGCCAATATGGATTCAAACAAATTGGACTTTCCATTATTGACAACTCCACCGACGTACAAGTGAATTCCAATTATGGTGTGCGAGTTGTTGTGACTTTGAAAATGCTGACCACAGAGTCGACCAATTCAAGCACTCTCTTAAATTCACTAACCACTCTTTCAGAGTCATCGATGGATGATTATCAAGACTACAACTCGACCTCATTTCCCTTAACATTCCAAGGTTCTTATTATATTGAAAGTTACATGTGTGAAATTACCTTGTACATGACAGGTGTGGCTCTTTCATGGCTTTTTATTCTCTTGACAACTCTGGTCCTATTGACACGAGTGAAACGTGCAAAAGAAGCTAAGGAGTTGGGAGCCTTTCTTCCATTCTCAATAAGGAAATTATTTGGTATTTCACAAGAACCTTCAAAGAAGAAGGAAAAAACAAATGATCACAAGAGCGATCGAAAGGTTGGTGTGAAATTAGAATACGAACGATTGACCTTTCAAGATTTTTCTGGAAGTACACATCTTCATGAAACTTCGGGAGAATTTCTACCATATACGCTTACTGCACTCTTGGGAGAGAGTGGATCTGGAAAGGTAGGTTATTGTTTGTTAATTTCTAATTTCACAATTTTAAATATTTAACATTCTTTGTATGACGAATGAAAAAGACAACCTTTATCAACTCTCTCAGTAAACGCACAGGTCGAGGTAAAATTGGAGGACATGTGGTTATTGGAGGAAGAAGTTTGAACTCTGAATCCATGAAACGTTTGATTGGTTTTGTACCACAAGATGACACAATGATTCCAATCCTCACACCGAGAGAAACCTTGTTTTTCAATTCCTATGTTCGAAATTCAGATTTGACTCTCCGAGGTCATTCTGAAATTGTGAATAAGGTTTTGAGAGATTTGAAATTGATCAAGAAAGATTCAGATGTGTCAAATACTATTATTGGAAATGAAGAAAAGAGAGGGATTAGTGGCGGTGAGAAGAAGAGAGTGAATGTTGGCATTGAATTAGTGACTCAACCACCTGTCCTCATACTGGTAAGTTTTTAAAAGCTTGTCATGATTACCACTAATGTCAAGAATATGAATGCTTATTCCAATTCTTTTATGGCATCATTTGACATTGTATTTTACCAATTTTGAATCAAACAACGCCAGGATGAGCCAACAACTGGATTAGACTACCTTACTGCGAACAAACTCTGTAAAATTCTTTTAGAAATTTCAAAGACAGGGAAGACAGTTATTTGTGTCATTCACCAACCTGCTTATGAAACATTCTGTCTATTTACAGATCTCATGGTTTTCAAATCCAAGCATGTCGTTCTCAAAGGAAAAAGACATGTTATTTCTCATGAGATTGGTCATAATTATTTGAAGTTGAATCGTTGTGCAATCGCAGACGAAATTTTGGAATTTGTTTCAAACACTTCCTTTGAAATTCTGAACGATTTGCAAGTGATGGTTGAAGCACGCTCCACAAAGAAACACTCAGTGAGTACTGAACTTGAATCAACAAATTCTACCGATCAAGTTGAAAGCAAGTCCATCTCACCAGAGGAGTCTTCTACAATGAAAGACAACAAAACAGAATCTCGAAAAACACGAGTTCTTTCTGAAGCCTCTCGTCCCAAAGATGTTTCTCCATTCTATAAGCAGTTCATTGCACTTTTGGTGAGAGCATTCATACAATTGTACAGAGAGTGGTTCAATTTGGTTGTTGATGGTTTGTTGAACCTAGTGGGTGGTTTGTTAATTGGAATTCTCTTATTGAATGTGAGAGCAGATTTGTTCCAGGGTCCTGTCGACAAGTCCATCGTATTGCAATGCCCCACTGAGAAGCTCTCTGTTTGTGCACTGCCTCAAAAAGATTATGTCACAGCTTTGTCAAGTTATGTTATTCTTGGAGTATCCTTAGCTGGGGCAATGTCTTCCTTAAGAATATTTGGAAAGGAGAAGGCAAACTTTGTCAGAGAATCTCAAAGTGGTGTCAATTCATTCATGTACTTTTTAGTGAAGGATTTTCTGGCTGTCATTCAAATGTTGATTGTATCCATTTGCTTTACTCTCTCGTTTTACTATATTGTGTTACCAAGGGCGTCGTTTTGGGTGTACTTTTCCATCTTCCTATTGCTGAATTTCACTGTTTTCCCAATTGCTTATTGTGTGTCTGTTTCGGTGCGGCATGAGCTTCGACAACTCACTTGTGCCACCATTATATTTGTGGGCTACGTTTTTTGTGGAAGTACACCCTCTCTCACAAGTATCAATGAAATGTCAGAACCTTTGCCATTCTTCCCTTTCATATCCCATGCTCGTTACGTGAGAGAACTTATTTATCTTTCAGAGGTTCTACATTATCAAAGCGATTATATCATTCTGAATAGTTTTAACTTGCTTAGTTATCAGTATGACCATTGGGGTTACTTGTTGTTCACAACCATATTCTTTGCAGTAACCTACCGTGTACTTGCATATGTGCTGCTTTGGCAATCGAGACCTACTTCATTTGTGAACAAGGTGTCAGCTGTAACCAAGTCGGCATATTCTCGAGTGATTGCTCCTATCAAATTTGTTCAGAGAAAAATTAGTACCTCTCTTCAACGTAAATTACAAGAACGGTTCGGTGAATAATGTTAGAACCAAAACCTGTACACAGTCTCAAACATTTTCTTCCTGTCAAGAAACGAGTGAATTTGAGTTGAACACAATTCAATAATAAATGATTTTGTATGAGTTTCTTGAAATGATTTGTGACACGAATCACCTTTGTTTGATTGTACTTTTCCACGGACATAAAATCTTGGTGATTTATCATACACCATCTCATTAAATCATGAGATCTTGATTTCGTTTTTTCACCTTCCTGTTGTAAAAGTATCACCACCTAATGATTCGGATTGATCTCATATTCTACTTATGAGCATTCCTTTAACTTCCATGCAACCTCACAAACAATTTGATAAAGCAAAGAATAATCATATCACTTGGGATCGAAAATTGCTTTTTGCTTGAGGATCATCAGAGGTAAGACAAAGAATTTAGTTTCAATGCAAGTAATACCAGTAGAAGGTGTGAAGGTTTAATGACTCGGTCAAAAAGCCAAAATCAGGATAAAAAAGTTGTTGACACCTTTCTCTCGATCGTGCGATTTGCAAGATTTTCTCATGTCTCTCTTCCGCACATCACCACAAAATAAAAAAAGAAACTAATGCATGCTTGCTGAAATCTTGACAGTGCTGCCAAACGTTTCCAACATCATCACCACAACAATCTCCTAAAAGCCAACCATGAACTCTCCTTCTGGTCAGCAACAGCAGCAGCTGCCTTCTTTTCGTTCATTCATCCAACAAACCACTCGATTAAATTCATCATCACCTACGACCGATATTCATCCTTCACCATCGACGACTTTACACAATTATCGTGAGTCACCCTTTCATCATGGCAATGACAGCAACTATATGAACAGTCAACAATCGCATTCAATGATGATTACGAACGAGTTGCATACGGAACAACAACCATCAGGCAACAAAAATCGGTGGTCAAGTCATCACACCTCCTACCAAAACGGAAATTCTAACACAACCATAAATTGTTTGTCAGATTACCATACACTCCAAAACGATCATTCAAGACCCTATTCATACCCAGCGCTACGTGTTCATAACCAGAACAGTCACTTGGAGACTGGTTCTATAACAACCACAGCACATCGTCATGACGTTCATATCCATGTAATGCAACAAGGCCCATTGGATGACAACGCAATGGTTGATGATGAAGCTCCACGTCGTGATCACCAGCATCCTCATCATCATCATGAACGGCCTCATGACAACGAGCATCATCGCATTGGGGTTCCGTTCAACAGAAACCGAAGTGGAGGCATGCTTTCCCACACAACACCACCACCACCATTATTGGCCACACAAAATTCGTTCGGTTATCAAGGAGTAGTAGTAGTAGTAGATCAGAATGATCATCATCGTCATATGAACCTCCATCCGATGATGGATACTATTAGCTCTCATCATGCAAGCACACCTGTTCTTGTTGCAGACCATCCGCATCATCATCATCAATATCCATCAAATCAAAACATCGATGCTCGTAATAATAATAATAACAACAACAATAATGGAAAGACCACTAGCAACACTCGTGCCAAACAACCACAATACCAAGCACACAGAAGAGCAGTCATCATGCCTGGAGGATCCCTCAATTATCCTCCTCATCATGATACCACCAGTTCCGAGCAGCAGAACGAAGAACCACCAGCAAGCTTTATCATGATGCAACTCTCGGAGCACCATAAGCCCCACCCCCATCCTCCTCATCATCAATATCTATCCTCGGTCCAACCCACCTCATCATCGACCCACCACCATCATCATCATTACAGTAATTTTTACAGTCCGCATGCTCATCATCTTCCTCAACCTCTCAATAGCACCACTGCACAAGGTGTACCACAAGGCTTAACACCCTCTTCCAATGATGGAACCATGGTTGTGCACCAAATGAACGCCAATTACTCCTCGTCGTCTCATCACCCGATCATCAACTTGGCAATTTTGAATGCCTCGTCCTCCTCCTCTTCAGGAATGACACCTCCACCAGTTCCACCAAGAAAACCACTGTATCGAAACAATCATCATGGCGCCATGATGACAGAACCTTCTTCAACGAGTGGTGGATCATTATTGAATGCAACACCACCAACCACAACGAACAGTTCTACCAGTATGAATTCTATGCCTTCCAATCAAGTGAAATCATTCTCCAATTTTCAACCCAAACCACCCAAGAAAAGTCCTAAAGTGATCTCAAGACAGTGTGAAAATCCAAAATGCAATACCACAGATACTCCATTGTGGAGGTAAGTTGATCGAATTTTCTACATGATCACCTCACAATAATGCAAATGCAATTTATTATTATTCCATTCACAATAATGAAAATGTAATTTTATTCCACGAACATTATTCACACAAAATAATGTACTTTCAACTGCATTTACAATTTCATGATCATGATGAACAGAAAGGGATTTGCCGTAGAGGGAGGAAGACGTGCCAATCTTTGCAATGCCTGTGGCTTACACTATCGAAAAGGTCACTTTTGCAAATTTTGTAATGAGATTTACAGAGATTCCAGCGAGCTTGTGAATGCTCCAGAACCATGGGTGACTTGTCCAAAATGTGAGCGATGGGTTCACAAGAAGTGTCTCTTTGCTGTCCTTCCAAACATTGAAAAACAATTCATGATTTTGAATCGTGTCATTTGTGATGAATGTATGAATATGAATGGATCATCCACAACAAATACACCTACAACGATCACTTCTACTACTTCAAAGACAACGATCACTACTCCAGCCATGTCGACAACGAATGTATTGATGAGCTCATCCATAACTGCTGCTACTAGTGCAGATGATGATGATAATGACACTCCAACAACTGCTACATCGAGTCCACACTTGTCCTCACCACAAAAAACACCAACACTGATTGTGGACGATCAATCTTCTTCTTCTCACAATGGCCCAACCACCCCTGTGAGTTCAAAATTCAACAACAATCAGTCACCACCATCTCATGGCATCCACAACCATTCAACGAGTCCTTTGATGAATCATGTGGTGATTAATCCAACGAGTACAAGCACTGCCTTTGCTGCTCATTCTGGTTATGACAGTAATGGTGGTGGTGTTGGTCGAAATAACAACAACAACACCACAGTGACAACGACCATGATGGTTGGCCGACCTCAATCCTTCCAACATCCAACAACACCCATTCGTGTTGCTCAAAGACCTTTCACAGTGAGTGCTGGTAGTGAAAATGTGGTTTCACTTTTGAAGAGACACAATGAAAGTGGAGGAACGTTTTTGAAGGATGCAAATATGAATGCAAATATCACTAAACATGAGCCATTAGCTTTACCTTCGATTCAAAACATACTAAATAAATCAAATTTCTGATTATTGTTTTATATATTCTAAACATTAAGGTTACATTGGAGGCAATGAACTCATTTTGTCAGACATTTTGTTTCATTTAACTGTTGGAATTAATTTATTTCATCCTCAAGTGAACATGCCGAGTATTAATGATAGACCTCATAGGAAGGTTAAGTGGTAGAAGATCTCACCACAAGAATCACGTGGACAGTGGTAGAAAGAATCAGGTGGACAACAACAGTCAAGATGGTAGAATGGAGATTTTAAAACGGATTTGTACTGTCAGAAGTAAGTTGGATTTAAGGAGGAGGCCCTCCACACATCATGCATAATTGGCCAAAATCATGAACAAACCGCCAAATTTAATTTCCCTCCAAGAAGTACAAAAAAATTTAATAAAAAAAACAAATGATTGGTGTTGCGAAACTCCATTAACTGACAACTGCATTCGGAATCACTAATCATGAAATTTTCGTCTTATTCAAATTATTACAAGGAAAAGAAGAAGCTCAGTCATCCGGCATTGATCAAATGGATCAAAGAGGAGAGAAAGAACCAATTGCCACCTCCTCCGAAAACAACAACAAAAAATAATCGAGAGGATGGTGATGACCTTTGTCGAAAATGTTTTCCGAACGGCCTTCAAGATGACAAAGAAAATGTTCTGAAAGAAGAAGAATTAAATGATTCGAAAAGGTTTGTATTTATTGGTGGCCTACAACAACGAATAGATGGACCCAACAACTTGAATCGATCAGAGTTCGATTTTCAAAGAATTCTGAAGAAACATCGCAACAACATTTTAATAATTTAACAAATTCAACATTGATAAATAACAAGTTAGATCTTCATAGAAAAGTAATATTCATGCATCATTCCAAGAATGAAAAATCTGATGAAATGAAAGATTTATCGGATGAACATCTTTTCGGAAAAGTGCACTCATTACTGTCATCCATCAAATCCAATAGAGTCGAACAGCAACCCAAAACCACAAACATTAGATCATCGACTGAGTTTGAGGAACAACCTCGAAATTGTTTGCACGTCTCGCCGTCTTCTCTTTTCCTAGACGGACTTCCAATACAAACCCCTAACTTTTCAAATACACTTCCCTCCACCTCAACAGAATTCTCCTCAAACGTGACTCTTTCAGAGGCATCTAGGCAAATACAAAGCATGTATAATCAGATTACATCAATATATGGTAGTGAGCCACTAAGACAGCGGCAGATTATCTTCGAAAAGCCCATTCAAAATCTAGAAAACGAAGAACGTGACGTGTCATCAACATTAAATTATTTAAAGGAAAAGCAAAAAACGTTAAGGATCACAAGATTGCAAGAAATACGATATAATATTGATCTTGAGAGGTCAGAAATGGTAAAACATCAAAAAGTGCAAGATCTGAAAAAGAGAATTAATGATCTTCGCAAGAAAATAACGTTAGAGCGTGAAAAGGACACCTTATTTAGAAAACAGAGGCTGAAAGAAATCAATAGGCTTCGTACCACAGTCAAAAATTCCACAAGGGCAAATGAAAAAACCAAAATGTTCATTACGGCTCTAAACGTAAATCAAGATAATTACAGATATCAAGTTGCAATTTATGAAGGAGAAATAGCGACTTGCTTGGCCAAATTATTTTTCTACTATTTGAAATTAGACTGCTCGACCAGCAAATACAGACAAGAATTGATTGCGAAAATGCATGATGAAGTTTATGAAGGTTTGGCACGAAACAGTTTGTTGGCTCTTCGAAACTTTGCTAAAAAGAGCATTGATCTAAGACGGCGATATGAGAAAATTTCCTCTTATGTGAAAACAAGAAAACGAGCTGAAGTAATACATCAATGGAGGATTAGAACCAAAGATTGTATTGAAGACAAGAAAAAAGAGGAGATTGCACTGACTCATTATTACAATGGTCTTCAAAAAAGAGCCTTCAATAGCTTGGTGTATATCATTACAAAACAACTCTTTAAACAATGTGGAAAAGATCTTGCACACATGTGGAAAGACAGGCAAACTCTCGGCAAGGCATTTCATGGATGGAGGCACATGGCAGAAAAGACCAAATATCTAAAACACGGCTTATTGAGGTTTGCTGTTGCTGACTCTTTCGAAGATTTGGATCGTTTCAAAACGGAGCATGAACTAGAGTCCTATCGATCTTACAATATCAGACTCAATTTTCGAACAAAAATAACAAAGAGTCTGATTCAAGTGTACAGAGAAAAGAAGAAACTGTTGAACGAGTTCGAAAACCGTCCAAAACTGATTTATGTGGATAGAAATCCAGCCAAATTAATTGATTTATCAACAATTTACAAAATCGAGAAGTCAGAAGAGCAAAACTCTTTCTATAGACACTACCATGCTTTTAAAAAAGAACATGAAGATTATGAACGGTCTCTTGAGCTAGACCTTAAACCTTTTGAAAAGACCTCCATTCCTGATTTAACTCAAAAGGTGTGGGAATTAAGACTCAAGAAGAAGGCGTTGCAACATTGGCGACTAGTGTTCTTTGAAAAAGTACTTCACCAAAGAGCAGAAACGTATCATAGAGACGTGTTGTTAAGAAAGGCCTTTTATTCTCTCGCATATAACAAGGAAGATGCTCACGAGAAAATATCTACCGTTCGAGAAATGAGTAACAAACATTTGGTTTTAAGCTTTTTTTCAAGATGGAAGGAGGCAACAAATCGCATCATCTCTGAAAAGGATTGTATCGCTGAAGAATACCACAATATCACTATTATGAGAAAGGTTTTTAATGCGATGAAACAGTCATGTTTACCTGATTACAACACTGATTTACTTGAGAGATTAGTGACGTGGAGAATGAAAGAAAAAGAAAAAACTCTAAAAAAGTGGAAAATTATGCTACTTGTCAAGAAGAGTAAGGAAAAATTTGAACAAGCTGTCAGTGATCAGTACAAAATGACTCTACTCCACAAATTAATGGTTCATTGGAAAAAACGAACACAAAAACAACAATTACTCCGTAAGGTATTAACAGCAGCTGTTGAACGCATGCGAGCCAAGACTAGAGTATTTGAAAACAAAAAACTCTTAGGAAAGTATGTATTGAAATCGCTGAAAAGGCACAAAGATACCCAAAAAGAAAGGAAAAAACAGTTCAACATGTTTATGTTGGCCAAAAAGACATATGACTCCAGTTTAAAACAAAAAGTATTCATTCTGTGGAGACTTAAATATAACATTGAGCTTGAAAAGAGAGAAATTATGGAAAACGAAGAGGAACAAATCAAAGGAGCACTTGCATCAGAGCATTATCGAAAGAGGATGACAAGAAAAATTTTGCATGCTTGGAAAGAATATACCATTGAAACGAAATTTGTGGACATTATTCTCCAGAGAAAAGCATTCAATCAATGGAGACGATTTACTTTGGAATCTAAAGAGCGATCGATTGAGGAGCCAAACAAGTTTTTGAGGAAAATCATGTTCAGAAGGTGGAAATTAGCAACCATTGAACACAAAGAGACAAGAACTTTGAATGCCTTGGCTGACCGATACCGTCATCGAAATTTGTGTAAGAAAGGCATGCAATCTCTGAAGGAATTTATCATTCATCGCAGAATAGAACATGTACAATTGATTCGCTCCAAACAATATTATATTGACACACTGAGGAGAAAAGTGATCATTTCACTTTTAATGAACATCAATGAAAAGAAGGAAAAGAGAAGAAAGAAGGATAAGGCCGATCTGTTCTATCACAAAAAGCTCATTCAATCCAATCTAAATGCACCTTTGAGTTTAGAACGATTTCTCAGACTTCCTCCAGATTCTCCACTCAATGTCGCTACCACTCTCAATATTGTGTATTACAAAATTTTATTTAAGACCATTGATTCTTGGAAGATGTTTATGAAAATTGAGAAAGAAAAAAGGTTACGATTGGCGAGAGCTGTTCATGCACATTCCACGAATTTGAAATTCAAATTCTTTGATTTGTGGAGAAGAAACAGCAAACTTGTGAGTCACAGAGCACCCAAAGTCAGCACTGAGTCATTGAGGAGAGAGAATACTTCTTCCACTGCTCTTTCCTTGAATTGGCAGAAACCCTTGTCTTTTGAGAAAATGGCAGCATCACCCATCCTTTGCAATGTGACAACGACTCCAAACAATGATCTCCCAAGCAAGGTCTTAATTCATCATCATCATTACTTGATAGCTTCAGACTCTGACTCTGATGATATTATTGAATATTTGGAAATGACTGATCCTTGAATCATGTGAATTTGTGAATATCAATTTTTTGAATGATCTAAATTTGAAATTTCAAACAAATGAAGAAGGAATATCAATTTATTGAATTATTGACATTAAAAGTCACGACCACTGGTGAAAATTTTGACCATTTCCAAGACATTTTTAGGTTGATCCATTGGTGACAAGTGACCTGCTCCATTGACGACCAATTGAATGAGATTGTCGAATTGATGCACATATCCAACGACTTGATGATCGATTTTCCATGGTTTTCTTCCAGGACCTTCATCATTCAAATATTCTTTGCTACCATGCCACTCCATTCCATCAATCCATTTTGCTGCTCCCATATAATTAATTAACCAATCGTATTGACCATTATATAAGAGAACTCTGATTTTTTGAATTGGACAATCCAACAATGCTTCAATTTGATATCTGGCAGATTGACAAATATCTGCATACAAAGCATTCCAAACATCTTGACTTGAATCATAATACTTGACTCCAAAGGTGTGCATCATTTGTTTCACATGTGGAAGTTCGACATTTTTGATATAGGCATCATTTTCATTATCAAAATAATTACGGATATCAAATTGATTAAATCCTCCTGTGCAATTAGTAATGACATAGTCTGTCATGTTGTTGTAGACATCCATGGCTTGAGAGTAACGTCCTGCTTGAATGAAGGAAACAATTTGATTTTGATATTCTAGAGTTTTTCTTCGTTGTTTGTCATCCAACAAACCAACACTATAGGTGAACAGATCATAGGTGTTAAATTGGTCAATGGGATGAGTCAGGCCGTCACCTGATTGATGAACCACATTGAATCATTGGGATATTTAAAGGGCAAATTGAATCAATCAAGAATTACTTACCAATTCCAATACCAACCAAATTGAAAGGAAAACCATATTATATGCAAATGCTGGAATACTTGTAGTAGTATTTGAATTCAAATCACCATCCTATTGAGGACCAATCCTGTTTGACACATGAAATACTATTTTCCAGCATAACTCTCTCCAAACAAATACAATGGGTTTTTCTTGTATTTGGATGCAAAACTGAGTTGGAAAAATTTGGACAAGAAGATGTGAAGCTCCATCGCCACACGTTCCTCGCTGTGAACATAACCATTGGCTTTCACATGTGAAAAACCAGCTCCTATTGGGTTGTCAATCCAAATCTTTGTGACACCGTTCAATGATTTTTTTATAGATCATCCTACTTGACATGTGTGTACACACTTACCATGTGATGATCTTCAAGCCAAGTATATTTGTTCTTGACCAATTCAAGAGTCGAAGGATCGACAAGATAAGGACCATTTTCAACAAATACTTTCGCGACATGAAGATCATAATTTGTGAAATCACACAGAAAATGAAACTTACAACCAAACATGGAACTGCTTCCAGGACCTCCTTGAAACCTAATGTCATCGTTTGAAAATAAACAGCAGCAAGCTGAAACAGAAGCAACTTTCCAAATAATCAATGGAGCGTTTTCATCTCCATTCAAAGCTTCCATAAAAACATAATACATTTGGCCACCATACGTTGAGTTCACTTCAATGAAACCACTGTACTTGAATGGATTGTCAATTTCTTTGAGATTCACACGAGGAGCATTTTGTAGAGTCTTGTTAGGAGTGGGGTTCTTTCTTGTAGCTGGGCCTGCTTGTCTCTTGCTGATTCTTGACAGCTCAAAGAATGATTTTGCCTGTGTGGAGGAAAGACAGGCTACGAGAACAAGCAATACACCAATCAACAGACAAAGCTGTGCTTTCAGCATGTTGTTTGCAATTTTTTGATCAATTCGAGTGAAAATTGTGTGAAATCTAAAGAAGAATCTGTTTGTCCCTTGAACATGTGTTGCATGAGAATTAAATGGTTTCCACAAAACAAGGTTGTTCAATTCGAACAAAAAATGATTTAACATTTATTAATAAGTATCTACCTTCGGAATAAGCTGAAAAACTGTAGATCGCTCTAATGGAAAAAACTAAAGCTACTCGTCGAAAAACCAGATTTTGTCATCTTTGTATGATGGTGCTCTTTTTCTTCTTCTCGATCTTCTTTGCTGGATTGTCGTTTCCGTTTTTGAGCAATATCATCATCGAATAAGGATTGATTCTGGATCGCTAGAGAGGAATATCGCATCGAGTTGATTTTCAGAAATTCGTCAAAAGACATGACTGCGGGATTCATCTGGTGACACATTTCATTCAAGTGAGTAGAAGTTACAGAAGCCATTGGACAGTGATTATTGTTACAATTAGTGGCGAGTGGATCGATTGAGGAGTGATGACAACAATTTAAGTCCTCTTGAATAGGTGAACAATGAATAAAAGATATTGGAAGAGTGGGAGTGGAGGGTGACAAGGATTGAAGCCTCACTTTATGACTCGTTCTATAATGCTTGTCAATCCTTAATGGAGGAACTTCAAAGGTTGGAGTAGGAGAAAGGCTCATCATGGATGAATCCTCACTCGTCGACTCATCATTGTGGAGGGAAGAAGAGAAATTTAGACTCATGTCCTCATGAAGACACGTTTGATGATGGAGTGGATAATTCGTTGTATGGTGTTGCGTGGAATCAAGCCATTGATGGTTGATGTTCATTGTTGAAAAGGAGGAAGAGCAATTAGTGGTGGTGGTGGTGGTTGTCGTGAAGGTGGTGTTAGAGAAGGTCGTTGGAGTGAGTGGGGTCGATTGATCTGGAACGAGCGAAAATGTGAAAGGTTGTTTTTGTTCTTGTTGTTGCATGATAAGCCTTATAATGTTCTATAAGAGTATACTGGTGTTGTTGAAAAATGTTTCTGAAAAGATACAAACAATCCTCTTCTTGTTCGTCAATAATGAAGAGAGAGAGCCTCAATTTGTGGTTGTGGTTGGTGTTGATGATCTCTCACGTGTGTGTGTGTTCGGAACAAATAGGCCTTGTACACACAAAAGTTAGGAGATAAAGTGATAATGGTTGGTCTTCAGTGGTGAAGGTTGGTCTGTTTTGCAAACAACAACTACTCAGAAAACTCTTGGTGAGTATATAAACTTGTGTGTGTGTGTGTTGAGGTTTTGTTTTTTTTTATTGTTTCTGATGAAAAGTGAGATCCCGCTTCGAACTTTTACATTCTTTGGGAGTATAAACTTCACTTTGTGATGCACTGAAATGAGGCTTGTGAGACAACGACAACACTATTCATGACCGAGTTGGGGAGAACCTCTTTCTTGATGTGGCTGCTTGTTGTTTACGATAGGTTGTATGTTTTCAATTATGGTGAGAAAAGGCTTGTAGTAATGACATAAAGACTTGATGATTTGATGATTGCGTTGAAGGAGGAAGTTGCCTAAATTGGATGTTGTGTGACATAATAAGGATTGACTGTAGGTGATGAGCTTTCATGTACGTGTCACACATAAGGCAGGTACTAGGCATACAACATTCTTCTCATGTGGGGTGGAATAAGACATGATTCATCCATCCAAAAGAATACTCGCAATGAAGTTTCCTCTCAAGGGTCGCTCCATTTCCTGTGTACCTTTTGAGCGTTCAGAACAACATAAATTAAATGTTCTTTTTATTGGTGTGAACAAACTCGTTTTCACAAGAAAACATTGAACATTAATTGAATAAAGGATGGAAATCTGATGATGCCAAAATACTCTCACTCTCAAAAGACAAACTAGTGCTCATGTGATTGTTGTGGCTATGATGAGATCCAATTTCGCATATGGTCAAGAAAAGTCCAGAATCATGGCAAGATTCATGTTGTTGTGGTTCTCCGTGAGTGGTAAATGCATGAGATTGGTTTTGGTGATGAGAACAGCTAAATGAATCATGTTCAATATCTTCTGCACTTCCAGCCTGAAGAATGGTTGCACTAGAGTCGACAATTTGGTGTTGATCATCAATATGAATACCACCATTCTCTTCGTGGTGAGCGTGATGAGACGAATGATCCATGTCACCGTTTTCAGGAGAAGGCATTTGGGTCATTTGAAGCCAATGTTGCTGTTGCTCAACCAAATTTGAATAAAAGTGTGAATACAACTTTTGTTGCAACAATTCAAAGGCAATGGTCTTGTCGTTGGCATCCATTTCGTCATGCAATTTGAGCAGTGCATCTAAGGTATGGGAGAATTTTTCCATGAGCTTTTTCTTTTGCTTGAGGGTCTTTGTGGGAGAGGCCGAAGTAGGTTGAGCGTTTTTCACAGTGCTTGTTGCATTATGCTCGGCACTCGATGGTTGAGGAGAGAGAGAAGTCATTTCTTCACCATTCGAAGCTGTCAACAACTTGGAAGGTTCATGCTTCTTCTCAATCTTTAAGGGAATGACAGTATTACCAGCCATGGAGGTTGAACGCTTTCTCTTCTTCAAATCCATATGAGCAGCACCCCTTCTTTTTCTTCTTCTTATCTCCAGAGGCTTGATTGAGAAGAGCATTGGCCACTACATGAGCTCCTGAACTTTCGGTGGTTTCATTATTGGCATCACTATTGGAAGCAGTAGTGCTACTAGAGGTAGTACTACCACTGGACGAAGAAGCTTGTTGTGACGAAGAGTTCATTCCCGATGTTAACAAACCATCGGAGGCTCCTCTCTCAGAGACCTTAGGTCTTCTTGCATAGACAAGAAATGGAGCTGACTTGAGCACAACAACTGGAGTACTAATTGATCCATGAGCATCGGAAAATAATTGAAGCAAGAGTCTCCATTTGCTCTTGTTATAATGGAAACTCACATCTTTAAACTTGATTTTGTGTGTGGCTTCAAAGGAGAGAGCACCCCCCGAGGAGGTTTGCTTGAGAGAGATGAGAGAATCATCAATGATGGCCTTTCCATCCTTTTTAATTTCCTTCGCAGAATCTTCATCAATTACTGTAACACGACACATTAAAAGTTTGGGGTTCTCCTTCAATTCATTACCATCCACGTTCACCGTACACTTGTATTGGAGTTTATATCTGAGAGAAGAGTACATTTTGCAGGGAGTGTCATAGACAGGCTCGGACTCATCACGAGTAGTGATACCAACGAGAATGGAATAGGCTGCTGTTTGTTGGTTTTGGACGGTTTCATCCTTTATCCATTGTCTGTTGCTGTTGTTGAGAGAGGTCGTAGTGGTGGTTGTGTCTGAGGTAGTAGTGCCGTTAGGAGTAAGCTCGTTATTGTCTTCAATGTCATCTTGCGATTCGGTTTGAGGGGTCGACGAAGACTTTTTGAGTTGTCGTCTTTTAGAGGTGGTTTTCTTTTGTTGTTGTTGCTTCTTAGAAGAGGTTGTTGCCGTTGATGATGATGGTGATGCGGAGGAGAATTCTTCTTGTTGTTCAGTTTCGTTATGGTCTGGCATTGTTGTGGATATGGGTATTTTGTTTAGTTGGTGTGGTCGTTGCGTTGAGGAGATGATTTAAGTAAATTGTGCTGAGAGAGAATTTTCAATGTGGGAATTTTCAACTGAAGGACGAGATTCGATGAATAACTAAACACAGATGCAGCAAAAGATAGCGCTGAAGAATGTGAGAGATGTGAAAGTTGTTGTTTTTTTTTTCAAACTATCCAAAATGGAATGCAATTGACCCATATGAATATACTGTGCGACGCTATTCTTGGTGATTCTTTCTTCATTACGATTCGGTCAAAAGTAAGGTCGCTGCTTTCAAATCATCTAATATATTAACCCTTAGAACTGTAATTACCTTACAACATCTTTTCATCTCGAGCAAAAAGTTGAGCTCCAACGTTTGTCAAGTGTCAATATTAATTAATAATAATAATATTTATCAATACTAGTAAAGAAAGGTGTCAAAGAGTAATTTTTTATTAGAACAAAAGACCATAAAGGATTCGTTGCGTATTATTTGAAATCAAACAACAAAAAATTACCTCGAGATGAAGTTGGTCCCTCTACGCAAATCAGATTTCATTCAACACCTCAAGAACCAACAAATAACCGCAACCACATGCACATGCAAACCCACGAAAAACGACATTGGCATTTTACTCGAATTCAATGAGGAGGAAGAAGGTCGTGAATTGGCCATTTCTCCACAAAAACTGTCAGAAATAATTAATGAAAACACTAATTCAATCAGTAAGAGGAATATCATTGGCCTGGCTTCTTCATTGAGCTTCTCAATTCATGATCATGCCATTCCTTTTGGAATGTGGAAATGGGAATATCCAAACTCTGGTCGCACGTTGTTTGTGACGCTACCAGGGGATGGAAATGAAATATGGAATTGGTTGGACAAGTTTCCAGAGCAAAAGTTGTCAAAACTTTGAGAACTTGTTTCAAAATCGGGCTGTTATTATAAAATCAACACTCCAGAGATCCAAAGCAAACCAAGATCACAATGCTAAACGTTCAAAACATGTTTAAGCTATGCCATGTCATTAAGATTTCACTGGATGAAACCGTGACAGTTTCGATATTTTCAAAAGTAGAACTAGAGTTTCTAGTGGTGTGTGGACACAATTATGTCAAGTAACAGGTGATTGTTTGGATTTGATGTATTTGTAGCCTTTAGAAGCTTTTTGAAAAAATGCAAAACCAATCCCTCGGTGTAATCCAAGTAAATAACATATCCTGAATGTTGAAGGACAATTTTCACAATAGTTTTGTAAAAATCTGCTTCCCTAGAGCGAGGGAACATTCCTTTTGAATACTTATCGAAGGGTATTATCTTTGAAATATCAAAAAATGTTCCATGATATTGAATTCCACAGTAATACGAGTTGCCTGTGAGGTAGATTAATTTAGGATTGCAGATGGACCTTCCCAAGAATAAATCTCGTGTAAATTGAGCATCGAAAATATTTGAAAAATAGTCAAAACCGTGGTGATTCGCCTCATCACTATTGCTCATGTTAAATTTAACAAGTTTGTGCTCAAGCATTGGCTTTGAAGTAGTATTTGTTGAATATTCTCCAATGAAGTTCTTTTTAGAGCCACAGAAATAGAATTCTTTTTGCTCGTTTTCCTCAAACAAATAAAACACAGTATTGCTTCCAGAATACACATTAGATACGCGAAGATAGTTCAAAGGAATATTGACAAATGGGACATCGTTCTCAAACGTGTCGTATGTTGTCAATTGATTTGAGCTATTACTTCCTGCAACTGATACTGTTTGATCATCGTGCAATACAACACTATGAAAGTCTCCACATTCCATTTTCACAACCCGTTTTTTAAATCGTTGAACCATGAATTTCCATGAATGATATGCATTATTTGAAAGATATTCGTCTTTACATCTAACCCAATTTTGACCTGTAAAATGAACATCATGGTAATCAATGATGCACAAACTAAACGAGAAGCAACATCCACACTGAGAAATCTCTAAAGGGTTATATTTCGTATAACCATTCACATCAACAATTTCTTTTTTTGGTGCAAACATTAGCTCTGGTCGAGAACAATACAAATCTTCTTCTCGAGAAAAGGCCATACGATAGTACCCATTGTTTCCCATTCCGTAGATGAAATTTTCTTGTGTGGTTACATCTTTAACAACAAATAACACTGCTTCAGTATAGGATGCGATTTCTTTCACCCTGAGATTTGTGGATCCATCAAACGGATGTAATTTTGAAATTCCCTGTCGACAGGGAACGCTTTGATCATCTTCACTGACCGATGTTTTGATCACAAAAACAATACCGGAATGACTCACAACAAATAATATCTTATTCCATGCAGAAAAATGCACTTGTTTGATGGACTCTATTTCTGAACAATTAAAATACTCGGGAGGCTCTTGAGTTTCTGCTCCATACGAATTCGGAAAGGGAACAAACACCAACTCCATCTTTGTTATTATATCTGCAGATCTGTTATAACAATTACACAATATTTTTTTTAAAGTGGAGTGAACAAGTTCCTCTTTTCTGGAAATTGCAAACTTGACGGTTATTAGGATCAACATTGTTCTCTCCAAATTGAGATGGAAATTGTAGATCCACCATGAGTAAATCAAGCTTAATCAATATTAAAAAACTTTTTTCATTTCACCGTTTTTCAATAAGCCAATAAACCGTCATCTGTCAACAATAATTTCCGTTGCATGACCGCGATCAATACTGAACTCAAAAAAAGAGCACTCTCTTCAACCGCACCACCAGCAACAACAAAAATGAAAAAGAAGGGGTTCTTCTCGAGCCGAGATAACACCTCTCCCAAAGCCAGAGATCACTACGTTCTAGGCTCTACATCATCCTCTTCTACAACAACTTCTTCGTCCAACAATAACCCTTCCATCAATGGATCATCATCAACAACTACTACTTCCTCCTCATCAACAACAACAACCACAGGTGGAGGTACTTCAAGTAGTTCCTCCTCCTCATCATCATCACGTAAAAAGGGATCCAAACAACAACAAATGGAAATCTCTCGACCTTCCAGTTTCAAACTCATTCAAAGTTTTAATACCAACGGAGCTTCTGGTGGAAGTGGTAACAATACTCCACTCACCATTACCTCTTCCACCATGTTGGAAGGTCAATTATTACAGAAACAATTACAAGAAATTCAGAATGAGAGTAGTAGTAGTAGTGATTCATCATCTTCCATGACAAGTGCTAGTCATAGTAGTGGCAGCACGAGTGTTAACACTACTTCTTCTTCCTCAACAACCATGACAAACAACAATGAAAGTGATTCATCTTCACTCTCGATTGTAACACCAACCATGAACAACCGAATGAGAACAGTGAATCCTTTGGGTGATGCTTCCGCAACGTATTTAAAGAGTCCAACTATGAGCAATGCTTCGATGGCTCCATCACTCACTTCGGTATTGGTACAACAGGGAGATCGAGCACACCATAAAACGAAATATACGACTCTTTCGATTAGTACGCCTCGAGACAAGTCTCCTGTCAAGTCTCCTGAAATGGATTTGTCAGCTGACAACTTGAAAAAAATTGATGAGGATTTTGAAAACGTTTTGAAAATGAGAGCGGTCAGACAGTTTGAGATTGAATTCATGGTCAAAAACTGGACCATGAAACAAAAATTATCGTTGATTCAGATGAATGACAGATTGACACGCCCAAATTTGGGAGAAAATGGTATGGACGGAATTCTTTCAGAGCATCCTTCACTTTCTGATGAGATTGGAGAAATTCTTTCTGTGATATTTTCATACTTGCAAGAGTATGAGCATCTCATTTCAAACGTTAAACATCATCAAAAGAAATTGAGAACCATATTAGACGTTTTGAGACACCTTTCGGTGTCCCTCCGTACACGTGAAATTAATTTTGTCATTGAATTTATCCAACAAGATGGTGTTCATGCAATGAGCTTACTCCTCACGAAGGTCAATAGGCCCTACAAGTTGAACCTAGGGTATGTAGTATCGGTTGTTTGTGACATTGTAAAACATTAATTTGATTCATTATTATCATTTATAATAGTCACGACAAGGAACGAAAGAAGAAAGTTGCACGTCAATTATTGGAATTAGAGGTTCTACAACAGGTAATTCTTTGTTTTCATGGAATTGTTGACATAGATGAAGGAATGGTCTCATTCATTCAACACGCAGATGTTATTAAACATCTTTTAATGATTTGTGACTTTGAGGCATTCCTCAAAGAAATGGTAGAGTATTCAAACTTTATCAGTGAGCACTCTCAGAGTGAAATGGTGACAAGTCCTAGAGGAAGTAAACCATTCACTCATCTAACCAATCCAAACTCTAACAGTTCATCCACTTCCACCTCAACAGCCGACAATCATACAGATGGATCAAGTTCAGATGAAGAACCTGAAGCTGATTTACCATCTACGTGCACAAACAATCAGGTTATAACCTCTCCAAGAAGAAAAATGACAAAGACTCTGAAAGGTCTTGTCAATGAATTAATTATTCAAAAATGCAATCTTAGATCAAAGATTCTACTGTTACTTTCTGTAATTACATATTTTCCTGGAGAAAATGGATTTTGGGTGACATTAGAGTGTGTCAACAGTTACAAACTAATGAAGAATGAAAAGTATCGATTCAAAGAGATTGTCACATGCTTAGAGTCAACATTTTATCACGAACAAGAGTTATCTGCTCACATGCTAATGTTCATTAATGCCTTCCTGTATGGGACAAAACAGTCAAGCTTTGCCAGCCATCTTTATAGAGAATTTACAAATATTGGTCTCAAGCAATTCATCAAAACAAATTCAGAAAAGCAAGGAGAAATTACAAATTCCAAACTTGCCACTCAATGTAAAATGTTTTTAGATTACGAAGACACTGAAAGAAAACTATTCCAAAGTGTCTTTAAAGGAGACAATCAAATTTCCAAGCAAGATGAAGAATTATGGCTCTCAATTTCTGATCCTATAGAAATGGCACAAGTCATGAAAATGCGATTGGGAGAATCTGTGGAAGCCAACAGCTCAATGATTAACACTCTCAAGTTGCTTCTTCTCGTGTCCATGCACAAAAACAAGGATAAGCTTGACAATAATTGGAGTGTGATCGAACAAATTATTTCACAAACAATTTCTCCCTCAGGAGATGTCCAAGAAAAAAGCGGAGGAGGCGCTGACCGAATAGAAGCTTTGAAATTACAAACACTCACTGAAGAGCAACGCAAAACCATTCAAAAACTTGAAAAAGAAAGATCCAAAGCCATTGACATTCTCGATCAACTTTCAGACATTACTCGCAACAACAAGCAAAATGCCACACTCACAGTCGATCAATTAGATTCACCTCAACAACAACAAGAATATCCTCTTCTTCACAAATTAATTCAATTCTCAACCAATCCTTTATCAGAAAAATATGGTTTCAACATTGATGCCAAACCTCTCGAAACTGCAACCATTCATTCTGATGCGACCAATATTCCTCCTCCTCCGCCACCACCAACAGACAACATGGGTGGCAATATTCCTCCGCCACCACCAGGTATGGATGGTGGCAATATTCCCCCTCCACCTCCTGGATTGGGACCTCCGCCACCACCTGGAATGAATGGCATTCCTCCTCCGCCAAGTGGTGGCGGTCTCTTTGGCATGTTCCAAACGAAACTTCCAAAAATTCCTGATCTTAAAGCGAGTACTGATACAAGAAAAATTCACATTGCTGGTGACAAGATTAATAATAAGGAAATTGAAAAAACTGGTTGGTTCAAGTTATTGGAAACTCATGCTTCTTCTGCTGCAACATTGTTCGATACACGTTTGTTTGAGAATAACTTTTTAAAGAAGGAAACAAGGGATGCACCCACTGGATCAGATCCTAGTGCTCCTGCTCTTGTGACATTCTTGGATTCAAAAGTTGGCTACCAATTGTCATTGTTGTTGGGTTACTTGAAAAAGAGTGAACGAGAGATTAGAACATGCATTATTGAGCTCAATGACAAGGAATTGCAAAAACAAACCATTCACGCTCTGAAAGATTTGTGTCCTGATGATGAAAAGTTTAAAGAAATTGAAGGGTTTGTTCAAAAAGGAGATGGCTATTTGGAACAATTGGAACCTGGTGACAAATTATTTTACTATCTCAAAGATATTCCAAGACTTAAACAACGATTTACAGCTTGGTCTGCACAAATTTACTTTGAAGGTTCTGTGAGAACAGTTGAACCAGATATTCAATCATGTATCAAGGCATGCAAAGGAGTAATGGAATGTAAGAGCTTCCAAAAAATTCTTGCATTTATTGTAATTCTTGTAAATTTCTTGAATAAGGCCAAGACAGATAAGGACAAGGTTTATGGATTCAAGCTTAACTTTTTGACCAAACTTGGAGATATCAAATCATCGAGTGACCCTAACCGATCAGTGTTGAATTATTTGTGTGAATTAATGCTCGTAAAAGAGGACAAATTAATTCCTACCATGCTAAATGAAATTGCTGATTATGCTGAAATTGGAAGTAGAATTGAGGTTCCAGAACTCAAAAAGGAAATTTCAAAATTAGGTGAATCTCTAAAGATTATTAGTACAGAGCTTGATTATTACAAGAAGGAAAAGAAATTTGTACATGATCGATTTCCAGCTCAACTCGAAGAATTTTATCAGCAAGCCAAAATTGAAATGGACAAAATTACCAAAGCTCAGGAAAAGTTAGAGAAAACTCTCAAAGATCTTGCTGTATTCTTTGGAGAAAAGGAGAAGGATGTTTGTGAGACACCTCACCTCTTCTTTGCAAGCGTATCGACCTTCCTGAAGCAAGTGGATGCTACTTTCAGCAAGATTAAGGAAGAAAAAGAAAAGCAAAAGGATGCCCAACTCAAGAAGGAGCTCAAGAACTTCCTTCAAAACCGAAGGACAGAAGGAAATATGGCTATACTTTCAGCTGTTGCCAATGGAGATATTCGAAAATAACTTTTTTCAGAATACAAATTTCAATACATGAATGACATTTAATAAATAGGTGTGATATTATTGTTGTGTTTCTTTTACACAACCAGAGAGTTGTTGATGTCTTCTTTTTCATCTTCCAAATGGGCTAAATTGAAATATCCCTTAAACTTGGGAGCATTCTTATTGGTGAGAATTTTAGATTTCACTTGTCGATGACTCGCCGAGAGTTCAAGCATGTTTAATTGGTCTTCCAGTTGTGTCTCAATCAAGTCTCCATTCATCACTTGTTTGAAAATAATTCTCTTCTTTCTTCCTTCGGAAAGATCTGTCACTTCAGAGTAATCAGTGTCACTCGAAGAACCGCTTCCACTGCCACTCGCATCAGAATAAATACCAAGCTCAATATTTTCTCCTTTTTGTTGTCGTCGAGCTTCCTCGCTTTCTCTTCTCTCTTTCCTTCGTTTTCGTTGCAATTCTTTGGCATCCTTCAGCTTCTCTTCTGTCATGCTCATTCCACCAAATTCTTTGGTGATTCTCCTTCCAGCTTTGATGGTTCGATCTAATTTCCCAAGTTGACTTTTCACTCGATGCAAAGCTTCCTTTTTGAGTTGCTTCATTTGTAGTAATCGTTGTTCGCCCTCAAGAAATCCCTCCTCTCCATACTTTTTTGCCATTAATCGCTGCAATCGTAAATCATCTCGTATTTGCATAATTTCAGTTTGTAACAGTGCAATATGATCCTCCATATTGGACAGGACGTCATCCACCTTTTTGGCCCTTCCATCCAGAGAGTTCGTTTTCTTTATAAATGATCGAGTGGATGAGGTTGGAGACAGCAAGGTATCTCCCGAATTTGTATTTCTATGCGAGTTGTTGTGATGATGATGATGATTGTTTTTAAATAATGGATGAGAGGAGGTGGAAAGGGAAGAAGAAGATAGAGAAGAGGCAGCTGCACCATTCGCACTACTACTCACTCTCGAGGAGGAGGATGAAATATTACTTGCATCTTGCAGAAAGGAGTGCTGCTGTATTGGAGCTCCTCCTCCGGTTCGGTTGTTCGTCATGGAATTGGCCAACATATCTTTGGATCTGATGCCAGTCTAACTTTTTTTACAACTTTTTTTACAAATTGCAAAACGTACAATTTTGGCGGGAAAACAATGATGCTATTTCAATCAACTAATTTGTATTGATTTAATAATTTCTAGAAATAAGCATATTAGATAGATCTTCTCCTAATTGTACAACACGTATGGTTGATCCCAATATTGGGTTATGAGTAATTTCGATCCTTTGTTAGGTACATTTGATTTATAGAGAATTATATATTAATAGAGAATAAGAGGGAATGGAAGGAATGCAAACCAATTTCTCACAAATCCATACATAAACAAGAAAAGCATGACATCACCAAAATAATATCCCAATTGATCTTGGTTCCACTTTTGAATATATTCTCTTAATGGAAGAGAGTTGTTTTTGAGATGGGTTTGTTCTGATTGTGATTGATAATTGGGTCTATAATTTCCAATGACAACGGTGTAGGAAAATAATATGAATGCACGAATCATGGTTTTGGAAATGGTTAATAATTTCAATGACTTTGGACGTTTGGCATGAATGAAAAATGCAAAAGCAGAACTTAATATAAGAGCTTTTACGAACATGTGTTGATTATTGGAATAATCTGGATTAAGCCAATTTTGTGTGGAAGAAGATAACGATGCACTTGTTTTACCATTGATAGTCATGTTCATTCGATCTTCCAATACGCGAACTTGATCTCTGAAATCATAATCTGGCATTGAGGTGTTTAGTGATGACTCAATCATGCTCTTGACTGGATTGGAATGAAGCAATTGAGATGTCGTCAATGATGTGGGATTAATTGCTCCAGACTGGTTGCTTTCCAATGTTTGAACCATTCGACTCACACACAATGTTGCAATGCATTTATCGAGCGCATGTTCACTCTTGAAGAGCGTGGTGAGATGATGAGCATAAATATTGGTCGAAATGTTTTCTCCATCCTCTTTAAGAAGGTGTTCCAATAAATACTTGTTGGAGAAGACATTATTGAGCATGTCCAATGCAATCTGTTCCTTTTTGTTCAGACGCTGCTTGTTGGAAGAGGTCGATGGAAGTTGTGAATTTGTCACCATCCATGCTTCCTTGAAATTCAATTTAGAATAATTCTCTCTCAAAATGTTTAAGGTCATCTCAATGATATTAAATTCAGGTCTTTGAGTGGAGGCCATGAAAAACTCTTCAGACAATTTGGGAGAGGATCGTTTTTGAAAAATACATGACAAAATTTCGAGGGCACATTCACTGAGGTCACTATTGTTCGAACAAGCCAGAGAATAAATGTTGTTGGTAAAGTTCTTGATAGAATTTTGATTCATACAAGTGAGGATGAGTTACTACCTTAAAAAACTTACGACATTGAAAAAATCCTCAATATACTGATGTGCCTTGACAAGAGACAAAATTTCTTTCAAAAGATCCAATACTCTGTCTTGCTCATTCGGTTTTATAAACGTCTCGTTCAACAACAATTTCAAATCTTCATTATTCGACAATGATAGTCTTTTGAAATAGTAATACGCCATCCATGCGAAATAGGGAAGAGAGCAAATTCCAAACATGTTCAACCATGTGTTGAAATTGAAAATTTTAAAGTGATCCTTTTCATTGTTATCGCCATTCGTAGAATTTTTGTCTTGTTTGCTCTCTTGATCTCCCTTTTTTCCAGAATTGTTCAATAAAACTTTTGTTGCTCCTCCTCCTTGTAGTGACCAAGTGGTGGCAGCATAGTGAAAGGCTCGGAATGATTCTAGCATGCCGTGTCTTGTCGAAAACACATGACTTTCTCCTTTCATCCATGCTGAAATTGGGTTCTGTATTGTGGATGATGAGAAAAGAGTTGCACGAGATGTCGACATCATTTGTTGCTTTGACATGTGTTTTACTGCACTTGACCACATTTTTTTTTGAATGGGACAGATAAGGACAGAACAATCAAAATAATCATCTCAAGAGGTGATTAGTAAAATACGATCCACTAACGTTAGTAGGTTGTAAAACCTTTTCAAAAACACAAAATTATTTTTTCAAAATTGTGTAGAGAACTATCAAACACTTGAGAAGAGCTTTGCGATCAGTGATTATGAATCATCCTTTTGTGAAGAGACTCACTGCCCTAGTGCACACTGATAACATGACAGTCTTGAATCTGAAGAGTAAGTGGAGCTTCGTGTTGGATGTGCTTCACCCTTATAGGATTCTCGGTTAACGGTTAAAGACTTTATACAAGCCAAGCGGGCGTGTCAATTATATGGAACGACTTTGCTATTCTCATTGTGGTTCTCTTGAATTTAATTTTTTATTGCCCATTATTGTTGATGGTGTAAGCAAATTCGAGGCACTTGATAGCAAACTTTGCTCAAGGTCGCCACCGATGGAGAAACAACATTACTGTGTGAGTTCTCATCACCATCGTGGTTCAATCCGAGAAGAGATTGGAGAGAGTTAGCAAAGAATTGTTTGGCATGGTGCAAATTGTCGAATAAACGTGAGTAGGTTTTGCCACTTGATCCGAGAGTACCAAATCTTGAGTACACAACAAACACATTCCTGAACAAGAGGTGAGTTTGTAATTGGAGGATGACAAACTGTCCATCTTGCAATCCGTGAATGAGTACATTGAAGGCCTGATCGTGCTTGTTGTTGCTTAACTTGCTGACTGAATCGTTAGGAACAGTGGCTTGATGATTATCCAAATTCTCAGCATAAACTCGACCTCCTGTGAGCATGAGTGTACAGTAAGGATCAATATGTAGTGCATATTTAGATGACAAACTGGTGGCAGCTGTGGTTGTTGTTGAAGCCAATGGCGATGATGATGACGCTAATTCTTCCCTAGATTCCCTTCCAACAACAAGTAAACGTTTCAATCTGTTTTCAAGAGTGGCCGGTTCCTCAAGAGCAAGACAAGACGAGGATGTTTCACCAATCACTGAAGTGCTGTCATTTCCATTGATCTTCCACGGGCATTCGAGTACTGCGTTCGGATCATAGCTTAGGGTCGTGTTGTTGTAGCTACACGTGAAGAGAGAAGAGGCTTGCAAAATGTTGGAGAGGAGAAAGGCAGAATTACTCGCATACTCAATCCCCATCACTGCGGGAAGAGCAGCTGATGATAATGATGAGAGGGAGTTAGACTTGGTTCGTTTGGTGAGTTGTTGTTGGATCGTGGTGGAGTTTGGTGAGTTGTTGTTGTTATTGTGGTGATGACCATTACTATGGTTGTGCTTGTTGTTGTTGTTGCCATTCTCAGGTGAAGATGATGGATGCTCCTTTCGTTTCCTAATCCTTCTCTTGTGATGATTCATGAGGGAAGAGAAACCATCACTGGATGAAAGTGGTGTGTCTTTGATGAGCAATGTTCTTGATGATGGTGATCCATCAATGAGTGTTGCAGAAATATCTCCAGAGAGAGGATGGTTATTGGTGAATGAGGTGGACGTGCTTGTGGTAATATGATGATGATCATCATTCATTCTAGCACTGATTCCATTGTTGTTGGATTCGTTTGCCTTGATCTTGTCTTGAGGAGGAGGAGGTTGTTGTTGTTGTTGCGGAGAAGTATCATCGGCGGCGGAAGCTTGAGCAGAAATCATTCTTGTGTTTCTTCTTCGTTTTCTTTTCGTCTTTAAATTATTATTATTTTATTAAAAATTTCACAATTTGATTGATTGAATTCAACAACAGCAGTTACGAAGCACACGTGTGTTGGTCTTCTCCGTATGATTTCCAAATGATCATGATCAGAAAGGCGTTTCATCGACCTGGTGGTGTCGAAGGTTACAATACTACTTTGAAACAAATTTGCAACCACCTCATCATTACGATAATTGGATCATTCCGACGTTGCCACTTCACAACACCTGGCCCCCTTCAAACAAAAAAATATGTCAACGAAGAGAGTGGTCATGGGTAGGGCAACCAATGCTGTCAAACATGACAGCAGCATCATCCACACACATTACAAGAACCCAAAATTTTCTTCTACTTTTCTTCTCTCTCTTTTCACGCTCTTCTTGTTCATGATAATGTCCATGACGAAAACCGACTGTGCGTTTTCTCTCAATTTTGTGAGTGCAGAACCCCTTCCGACTTTCAAGTTAAATCCCATTGATGGCAGAATTTCAAGTCTTCAATATATTGGCAAAAATGTTGTCGTGGTTCAAACCAGTGATAAGTTTAGTTATGTGAGTGTCGATCAAGGTGTCAACTTTTACAATTTGAATCAATTGCTCAAAACATGTGAGGAGTACAAGTGCATTGACAGTGTGGTGAAACACCCAACAGATACCAACCTGTTTGTCTTGCTATCAAGTCAGAAGAATTCACAGTTTATTTGCACAAATTTAAACTCTCTCACAGGTCCTCAAGAAATTGATAAATTGAGTTGTGTTCAGAGATATTTACCAAAAAGTACACTCACAGACGACGACTCCAACTCTTCAAAGAATAGGTATCATCATGCAGTTTTGAAATATATTTTCCATCCTATTATTCATGATACAATTCTCGTTTTAATGAGCGATCACACGTTATATATTAGCTATAATCTGGGAGCGAATTTTTTCAAGTTAAAATCTGGTGTGAAATCAATTTCATTTGCGAACAAGGAATCGAGAATGTACAGCGATACTCTCTTGTTTGGAATTAAAGAGATTGAAGACGGAACTAGTTACTTCTTCAGCATGGACTCTCGTAATAGAAACGAGGAGGACAATGAAATTATAATGCATCCCAGAGATTTCATGATGTATGGACAATTTTTATTTGTTGCCACCACAGATGCATCACTTGTGACAGCAAATGGTCAACCTGAATATGTTGCCAAACTCTATGTAAGCTCTGACAATGGTCACAGCTTCAACCGAGTGAGAATAACAAACAGAAATGGAGTTCTCGAGAAATCGTTTGTAATATTGGATGGAAGCGAGGGAGCTGTTTTTATCAATGTACAGCAAGAACAAATTGTGGCATCCTCATCATCGTCACAATATTCACCCAGATTTGGAAAAGTCTATCTTTCCGATTCGCGTGGTGTGAAATATAAGGAATCTCTGTGGAATAATAGAAAAGAAGGAGGTCATGCAGATTTTACAAAAGTAAAATCACTCGAAGGCGTCTATTTGGCCAATCAAGTTCACACCGATGATATGGGAACTGTTGAGATTTATGATTGCAACAATTGTAATGGCTATGAGGATTGCACAAACAAGTGTAAAACAAAATCATTGATTACATTCGACAAGATGACATGGCAATATATTCAACCACCCAAAGTAGACGCTCAAGGAAAGCCCATTCAATGTTCCAACTGCTATCTCAATATTCATGGGTTCACAGCTAGCTCTTCTTCAAATTATGTCAAAATTCTTTCTCACAAAGATGCAGTAGGCATCATTCTAGCCAATGGAAATGTTGGACAATATTTGGACTCCAAAATTGTGAATACCTACATGAGTAGAGATGGTGGATTGAGCTGGTTTGAAATTGCTAAAGGATCACACTTGTATGAAATTTTAAATCATGGCGGAATTTTAGTCACTGTGAAAAACAATCAACCTACGGTAGAGATTAGATACACTCTCGATGAGGCAGAAACTTGGATTACTGCAAACTTTACGGACCGATCCAATAGTCCCTATCATATCAGCAAATTATATGTCAATGAGAAACATGATCCATTGGCAAAGTATATGATTATTCATGGCTCTGGAGATACTACTGGAGACATTCTTATTCGAGCTGATTTTTCTCATGTCCAGGAACGTGAATGTAATGGAATTAACAATCCATACGATCAGAACAGTGATTATGAATACTTTAAACCTCACAGTTATTCAAATAATTGCTTCTTGGGTCGCGTGGTGGAATACACACGAAGAAAGAGAAGTGCCAAATGTTTTAATCCTCAACTCACAGAAGATCGACCCATCAAGATTAAGAATTGTGAATGTACCTATGCAGACTATGACTGTGATTATGGATATGACAAGAAATTGAATCAAGACAGGACTAGTTTCACTTGCACTGCACTATCACCACAACTCGAAGAAGAATCTAAAAGCCCATCACTTTCCTCCTGTCAAACTGAGAGGTATTACAATGAATCGAGAGGATTTGCGAGACTTCCTGGCAATACATGCGTGGGTGGAATGAGTTCCAAGTTGGATCCTATTCAGAGAGATTGTCCCACGTCCATGAGTGGATGGGCCATCTTTATTCTACTTTTATTCTTCTTCTTCTTGGTCATGTTCACTGTTCTTCTCATTTACAAACATTCCTCTCGTTTGCAAGCATTGTTCAATCCAAACAAAATGAGATATCGATACAATCAACTCATTAATGATATGAGCGCAAGTGAAGGATCTCTTGAACAAGATATTGAAAATAATAATTTTACCGATCGAAATCAAAGTTATGAAATTCACAATAACCAAGATACGTTTGACAATCGTATTGAACAATCGGATGATGAAGATTTTGGTTTGGATGTTACTGAAGAGGAACAGGAAGCTCCAGAAGAACTTAATGAAAGAGGTCTATTCAAAACTTCTCAACAATGAGAGTTCACATTGTGTGATGCTATGAGCATGCTTGTCATGTGAGTGAGTGAGTGAATGAGTGAGTAGTGAGCGAAATGAGCTTCAAGGTTCTCCTAGACACACACACACAGTTAAGAGAGTACACAACGCGGTGGTGACAATAGCAGCTCCTTGATCCAGTCCATGGACACCTCTCAGGATACCTCAATTGGTGAGATCGAATAGGAGTAGTAGTAGAAGTATAGTAGTACAAGTACTAGTGCTTTTATCCTTTCAACATGTGTAAGAGTTGTTGTGTAAAGCGTATTAAAAGTAGAGAACCCTTCAAACCCTTAAAAAATGCATCAATGCTTAATAAGGTTCTGGGTTGTGGGTTTGTGTGTGGCGGTTGGTGTGTGGCATGTTTGGGTTTCGGAATGTTACGAGTTGGAATTGCGAGAGAGGTGGTTTCGGGAAGTGATGGATTTTGAGAGACTTGATTCGGAATGTTATCATCAGTTGGTGAAGAATTATTATTTTGAACGCTCCATGAGAGAATTTAAGAAATGCTTGATGGAGAGGAAATGTAAGGACAATCATGAAACATACTTTTCAGAGGGAGAGAGAATGGGCAGAGCTATAGAGACACTCGTGAATAATCAGATCAAGAATAGTTTGAAAAATCATTGCAAGAACCTAATTTTGGATTCTTCCTTAATTTCACTTTCAAAATTCCGAGAGGCAACACAGCTTTTTACTAGAGGAGAAGATGAGGTTTACAAATTTTGCTCCTCCTTTCATCACAACAACACATTATGCAAAACCCGAATCATTGATTTAGTCTTTCAAAGAAAAGTGTTATCTTTTGCTGCAAGATCGCTTGAAATACCTTCCCCGATGATAGAGGAATTTATGAGGCTTTCTCTTGTGGGTAAATTGGGAGTAGATCATCAAGACGAAGCACTCTCCTTAATTCAATCTCCAAGAATTGAGCCAAATCCTGGGGCAATAGAAATTCTTGCAAGAATTGAAAACGTACAAAACTCCAAAGCTCATATTTGGATGCTGGGATTAATTGCTGCATTGTTAATATTTTTGACTTTTGAATGGATCAGCTATAAAATCAACATGGACAAGACAATGCAAGAGGAACGCTACTCAGTGTTGGAAAAAGAATTAAGCTCTGCGAACGCTAAAATAAGCGATCTGTCCACAAATCAAGTAGATCAAATAGTTCAAATTCAAGAGTTGACAACCGAGAAAAATAATCTTGAAAATGATAAACTCACACTTCAAACGAATTTGACGCAATGTAAATGTCAGATGAGCAAGTTGTTGGACAAAAATAATGCTCTCATCATTAAGGAGCAAATGATGATCAAAGAGCATTCTACGAAGCTAAATGAAGCAGTTGATAAACTGAAGAAAAGCCATCGAAATCAACTGGAAGAAAAGAACGAAACGATAAAGAGGCTAGAAACTAACTTAAACAAACTGAGACAATATCAAGATGAATGTGACAGGTTAAGACTCCAACTGAAGCAAGTAGAAAAGGAGCGAGATTTTACTGCATCTCAATTAAAAGAGTTAACTATTATCAAATCAAAAATAGATCAAGAAAAGCGTGAGTTACGAGAGAAAATTAAAGAAGAAGAAAAATTATTGTCCATCAACAGTAAGATTCAACAAAAGATTGAAGATTTGAATAACCTACTAGAGATCAAAAGTATTGAACATGAAACTTGTTTAAAAAACCTTGAAATGCAATCTCAAAAGATCACTATACTGACTGTGGAAATGGAGAAAAACAAATTAGCCTTTGAGCATCAAATTAATGAACTCAGTGCCACCAAAGAAACCATCCTTGAAGAATTGAATCTTGTTCAGCGAATTTGGAAAAGATAAAAGACACATGCAAACAACAGAGCTGCGAAATTTCAGAGCTACAGCAAGCATTGGACCTTTCTCAAACCCAAATCGAGGAAAGGAATGATAAAATTGCAGAACTTGAAAAAGAAGTTGAAAAAAAAGAAAGCGAGCTGGATAGAGTTTATGACTTGTATAGTAAGGTAGAGCAAGATTATATTGACCTCAAACACTTGCATTCTCTCTGTAAACAGGAACAACACAAGAATGATCCCAACGAAATTAATGTAACAACAACGGAGAGTCATTGCCAAAGCACGGCCGAGCTCAGTGAAGCTCTCACAATGAGTCAGACTTTGATGGATGTGACCCCTTCAGGTTCTCTGCATGAAAAGGAGCACTCCCCATCAGCGTCCAACCAACATCAGAATAACGAATCGCAAAGGAACTCGAAAAAGAAGAAGAAAAAGAATCTTGCATCCAAAACAACAAGCGTCACTTCATCTCCACAGCAAGATTCTCCTCCAAAACAAGAGAAAGTGGAAACCACAAAAAATCACAGCAATAACACGCCAACCAATGAGTCGACACAATCAGAACTAGTGTCGTCTGTTCATCTCCAACCAATTGACCCGTCCAGTAGTACCTCTTCAGAAGAGCAGCTCTTGAGAGCAAGCAACAAAATGAAGAAAAGGAAAGTACAGCATCACTCTGTCAAAAAACAACTCTTTGTCAAGACCACCAAACAGTAAAATGTAAAGAGAATGAATTTCCAAACAACCCGCGTGGCAAATGTACAAGAGGTGGTTTATAAATTGCGAGCACATCTTTGACATTGAATCCTTCTTTGGTTGTGACGCCTCCTGTGGAAATATTCCCTGCAATATATAAAATAGCTATAAAAAGTTCACTGCATATTGAGTCGTTCAGCTGTTTAATTAAATTTGTAACTTGTATATTTTACAATGTCATACTCTTTTCGAAATGAGCATTGTCGATCATTTGAATGACTTTTGATGCTGTTGGTCTCTTTTTGACATCCAATGCCAACATGGAGAGCACAATGGCAATCAATTCTTGATCGTAATCAAAACCTTTCTTTTCAATAATTAATTCCAATGTTTTGAAGAATTCACTTTCGTATTCTGCCTCTTCGTGTAGTTGTGAAATGTTCATGGAAGTGTCCATGGTTAGTAATTGATAAAGACAAACACCAAAATCGAAAATGTCAGTTGCAGTGAATGCATCAGAATAGGAACTTGTGGATTGTCTGAATGCTGTCGAGAAATTTCCAAATCGGTCATTCAAGGAAGATGAAGGTTTAAAGCTTTCTGGGTCCTCTGGTGATTTTGCAAGAGTAAGATTTAGAGAGTGACGAGATCTTGAGTGACCGAACTCTCCTAAACATACAACTATTTTCTCCTTTGACATTTCCTTAATAAATATATTCGACAATTTGACAGCTGTATGGCACAAGCTGTGTTGATCATGAATACAGGCCAGTGCTTGTGAAATCTGCTTCAATATACTCACAACTTCCCATTGTTCAAAGCGAGCTCCATTTTCTCTTCTTGATTCCAATAATTGTCTTAAATCTCCGTAAGGGCAATAATCCAAAACCATACAAATTGCTTTGTCATCTGTATCAATAAATGTTTCGTACAAACGGATCACATGAGGATGAGTCACCTTTGATAAATTCGAATATTCTCTGGTAGCATTGGATTCGTCAAATGTAATAAAGTTGATTCTCTTAATGATAATAATTTGGTTATTCACCAAATCTTTTGCCTTGTACACATTCTCATACTCGTCTCCTGAAATAAATTCTAATAGTTGATACTGCCCATTCAGAAGATCACTTGGGCGTGATTTTTCTTGAACAGCATTGCCATAATGAATGACATTGTGATCGTTATGATTCTCTGTTGAGCTAGTATCCACTTCAATCTTATCATCTGAGGAGGTAGTCGTTTGGTCTGAGACTGTATTTGGAGAAGTTTGCATGGCTGGCTTGTAACCATAACCAGTTGGTGATGAAACAGCACTGGCTGCTCCAGCAGCATTTTCTCTTCTTCTTTTCATGACAATTCTCACACCGAATATGCACATGATCAACATGCAAGCATAAATCACACAAGAGCTTGCCAATACGACACATAAAATAATGACCAATAAGGCATTGTCACCACCATTTAAATTCGTTGGAGGTACTGGAATATAGACCGGAACGCTAGTGACATAGATACTTCCTCCTAAATCGGATGTCTTAACAGAGCATGTCACTTGATCGGAGCCAGCTGCATAGATTGTTGTTAAATTTTGATCTTGATTGAACTGCACTTGATCGTAGGAGGTAAATAATTTGCATTGAGGAACATAATTATTTGGTAAAGCAGAAGGTACGATCGTAAATGTGATATTCACTGATGGTGCATTGCTACTCAGAATTGAAACAAGTCCTTGCCCATTCTTTCTAACATTGAAGTGAATAATTTGAGTACTCGTTAAAGAAGCTGATAGTGATGACCTTGTCTTGGTCATTTGCTTTTGTAACACTAGTTCAATCTCATATAAATCGAATGATGAAGCGTTAGAGTTTGTGTCAAAAAGAGAGGCCAAGTTGATATTAATACCTTGCGATGGAATAGATAATGAACTGGATTTCTTGAAGGAATCATCTCCATACAAGTTATTCTTCAAGACCATGTAATTATTAAATGTAGATGTTGCACTTGGATTCGTAATTGAAGATAATGTGATTCGAGTGGAATCCAACAATGAGCTTCTGCAAAGATCATCACTCACACTGTCCTTAAATAGTGCTTGTTTGTACTTGATCAGGAATTGATATTGAATTTTGGGGTTTAACAATGGCAACAACAAATCCAATAATTTTGAAATGATAACAATCTCAGAATCCTTAAAGTAGGCACTTGTGCTGTGTGAATTTCGAAGTATGAATACGCTCAAAGCATTGTCCAAAATGTTTAGCAAGTAGTCAATATTGCTGGAATCTGATAAGACACTCTTTGAAATGAACGAGTCCACCATCTTCAATACCTTGTCCATGGAATAAATTTCACTTTCTTTTGCATGTTGCACAAAGGTACTCAATTTTGGAAGGAATAATTGAGGGTATTTAGAGATATCTGAAAGTGAGCTTGCCAAAGAATAACATGAATTTTCAATGTCCAAACCAATGGATTGTTGTGAGGAGTCTTCGTTGAGAAGGGTGTTTATCAATGAATCAGGTGTACTATTTCCAAGTGGATGTGTTAATTTCACTGGAATAGACAAAGTTGTGAAACCATTCCAGACATCCTGAATGACTATTTTCAACTTTGGATTTTCCATGTAAGGCAATCTTGTGAAAAAAGATTTCTTTGTTGAAGAGGATAGAGCAACCTCAGAGGTGTCATTGGAAAGGTAAAACCCATATTGAGCTATATTAACATCGTCATAGGAAGAGTCTGAGAAACATGAAATGGTGAATTCAGTTTCAAATGCAATTCCTTCTTTTGGATAAATTTTACACCTTGGAGAAGGAGGTTCAAGTTGAATTGAAAATTGTTTTTCAACAAATGCAACTTGTTGATCAAAGTTTTTAGCCTCAAATCTAATGGTGTATTTCATGCCAGTGTCGAGTTGTGAAATATCAAGAGTTGATGAAATAAATTTCATGTCAGATGATTGATATAGAGTGGTAAAAATCTTATTGTTCATAACCTGAGATGTTGAATTCTTCCAAATGCTAAAACTAACACTAGAGATTGGTTTGGAACTTGTCACTACCGCATTCAATGGTAAGGATTTACCTTTTCCAAAACCAACAATACTAGGAACAATGCTCAATAGTTCGGCATGGATTGAATTGGTATTGGTGAATTTCACATCAGTTGCATTTGTTCCATTGATTGATGCGCTCAACTGGATTGTAGAATTCGTGAGCTCAGTGGATCCAGATAAACCATACACAGAACCGTCTGCAATATTTCTCTGAAAAAGTGAATCGCAACTCAATCGATTCACGTTATCTGTACTGTAAAAACATTTCCATAAAATATTGCTTGTTGAATCGAAAGTAGGATATTCAAGTGTTTGTGCAATAGGGTTAAATCGTATCAATCTCAAAGAATACTTGCTGGAAAGACCATCTCGTTTGGATTCAATATAGTACTCTGTGGGTCTTTGTGAGAAGAACCGAACACAAATATCAGTCTTGGTATTGCTTGCACTTCTTTGAGAGGAGGCAGTGATACATTGAACATCATTGTTTTGAATTGAATTTTGGGATCTAAATATTTTGGACGCTTTGAATGAGTGTTGGTATGAAGTGTTGAACTTCAAATTGGTGTTGGTTCCTGTCACCTTGTAGTCAATAATTGAACCTTTCTGTGGTGCCTCATTCAATTCAACAAGACATGTATCCATTTCAGAGCAAGTAATTTGATTCTTTCCATACGTAAAGACAGAAGTTGGACTTGAAGATGTACTTAATTGGGGCTGATAAGACATTTTAACTGTTGTTGAAGTGTTAAATACGAGGTCTACTACGTTCAGTATGAATGGAATGGAAGAAAGCTGTTGTCGTAAACTTCTCAATCTTCTGTTCAACTTGGTTACTGGAATCTTCACAATCATTTGATTCGTATATGCAGAGAGGAAATTCGAGAGCTCAGTATTTTGATCAGCAGACCATCTATACTCTAACTTTGATAGTGGAGATAAATTCTTTGAGCTAGCTTGCAACACTACAGGAAAAGAAGAACTTGTAGGTGTGAGTACAGCAGTGGATGTTGCAATGGCTGTTTCAGAATCGAGTTTTGGTGTCGTATCAGGGTCCAATACATAGTATTTCACATTGTTAAATGCTGGAATTATTGTATTATTCTTGATCCAAGTATTTGGAGTGAAGAGGATAACGTCTCTTTGCTGATTCGTGAAGCAGCTGGAAGTGGTCTCTCCAATGATCAATGTCAAAGAAGTTGCCGGAAATATATCACTGCATGGCAACTTGGTGACGTCTGAACCTGAATTGACTACATAGGAATAAAACTGAGCATAGGTTAGTCTTTTGGCCAAGTTCCTGTTACTGGTAAGGATAGTCTTGTCTTTGGAGACGAACAGTATTTGATTTTCACACATGGTGCCATAACTACCATCTCTACAAACACAGTTATTGAAGAGCGTGCATTGTCCTTGACCAGTGCAGCTCAATGGGTCTGTAGAAAGGACTCCAAAACAGGTGGTCTTCTCACAATTATCCCCCAAGTAGTTCTGTTGGCAAGTACAGGTGTTTGTTTTAGTACAAACACCTCTTCCGGAGCACACACTAGTTGTATAATGTGGAATCATGTTACAATACATTGGATAGACCTGTGCATCTGTGGTCGAGTTGTTAATGATTAGCGTACTTGACACGACTGAGGTCAATGCATCAGGACTGCCATTCAAAACGAGTCGAGCAAACTTTCTTAATGTAGAATTCCAGTCAATGGGTGGCGCTGTGCAAGTCAGTGCACTGGAAAGACCATTCGTACTGGTTGCTCTAACAAATAAAGGATTCAAATTTCCTTCATCGTAGAATTGGCAATACAATCGATCCAATAATAATTGCTCTGTTGGCGATACAATTCCATTTGGTTGAGAAAATGGTTTTTGGGTACTGACAAGCAAGGCACCACTGGATATCACTCTCTGTGATTGGAAGTTCAAGAGAGATTGTCTGAAGAGCACAATAGAAAGAGGAGATAAACTCAACTCATCATTTGGAGCATTCTTCAATATCAATGACACATTCAATCTCAATAAGTTTCTGTTGAGAGGTAAGTTAATCTGTCCATAAATAAGCGGAGGAGATAGTTTTGTTGGCTTGACGACTATGGGAGGTGTGAAATATTGCAGAGCAGTGTCACCATCGCTAATCTTGAAATTAAAATTATCAACAGAATCCAGTGTTGGGAATGTCTTGAATAAAGAGCTGTCAATATTCAAAGCAAAGTTGTAAAGAGCAAGATTCCATGGAGTAGATTGCACAATCAATGAATTGTTATCGGACTGATTGTTCATCTTGAGAGCAGTATATTCAAATTCATTACCACCAAATGTCACTCCTCTTTTAGAGATTACGGAGAGAGATGCTCGCTTGGAAATGTTTAAAGCGAATGTGGAGTTCACCACATATGACACGTAAATATCTGTTTCTCCTTCCTTCAATATTGTCACTCCGGCGCATTTGAGTGAAGTATTACTTGAAAATACTGCTGGATAATTTGTTCCAAAAACATTGCAACAAACATTGCTTGGAAATATCTGTGAATATGGAATTTCAAAACCTTGAAGATTAATGTCGAAGCTGGGCAATAAAGTCTGTTGTGGTGAGTACACAACCAAGGATCCATTATTGTAACTTGCTTGAATTTGAATTTGAGGATCGAAGAAAAATATTTTAAGCGGCTGTGTTCCCAACAATTCATATTTTCCACTATTGATATTTGTGTAGACCGTTAGATCCTTCCATCCAACGCTGCTAGAAATTAATGGAACATAGAATAGTCCGTCAGTCAATTGATCGGGACTTGCAAAATACTTCACACCATTCAAATCAATCCAGATGTTATTCTTGAGCAGAGTAATCAATTGAGAACTTGGTGTTGTAATTCGTGCCATAATTACTCGATTAACTCCAGCCACACTGACTGTTTGGTCAATGAGGAATTGAACACGAGGAAGTCCTCCAACACTCCCACGAAGGGATACATTGTCTGTAAGCGCCTTACCACCTGTTGGCATCTTGTTGTAATTCAATATCAACTGAATAGTGGAATTTTGCAAGGATTCTGGGTTGTTGTATTGACATGCGAATTCTGTCAAGTTTTTGTAGTTTAACTTGGTGAGAGGAACCAAATCTGAGATTCTACTGTTAAAAATGCAGAAAATATAAGGTAAGAAAGAAGTTGGAATTTCATACTTCATATTCATGACCACAGAGATACTTCCATTGCCTGTTAAAAAGTTTTGAAAACCAGTAAATTCGTTATACCTCAAGTAATAGACCGTTATGTTGTTTGTGAGTTCAGTGGTCTTATTGAAAGTCAATGTAACGGTTACATTAGCAAATGGAGCAATGACATTGTTTGCAGGAATATTAGGCATATTCACTGATGAAAGTTGAAAAGATATTGCTGCAATACTTGAAATTGGGTTATACACCAAATTTTGTTGTGGATATTGCTGCTGGATTCTTAGGTCTAATTGGGAAAATGGAAGATTATTACGATTAATACGACTCCAATTATCAAGGAACAGACTTGTGACTGGGAAGGTGGACTGTGATGAGTATTGCTTATCAATTACATCTAAATTCACACTTGAAGTTTCAGAGTTGGCAAATATCAACTTTTTCTTCTCAAATGTAACAATATTACTTGAAATTGGAGAAGAGATATCAAATGCGTAGGTAGCATTGAACTGATAACATAGATTCAAAACCGAGTTTGCAACCTCTGTATTACTTATTGGAACAGAGCATGTAAAAATTGAGTTCGGTTTGATAATGGAAACTGCATACACAGCTCCATTGTAGCGACAACACAACTTGTTTGGACTCACATAGCTTTGCAATACTGACGGATCGTTCAATTCGTTTCCAAAATCAATTGTGACATTCCAAAATTTTCCTGCATTGTTTTCGGTGTTGTCATAGACTAAGACTGCTGTAGTTTGTATGGGAGAAAGAATGAGAGGGCTGGAAGGATTAAAGAAGTATACGTTGATGGCATTAAGGGACATATTCACAAATGAATTAGGTCCTTGCTGTAGAGCCATATTCACATTTTGAACACCTTTTGGCATTGTGGCACCAGTAATCAAAGGAGCAAAGACCTTTCCAGAGGCATCTTTTTGCAAAGGTGACATGACATTACTGATGTTAATGTACACGTTCTGAATATCCAAATTTGCATTATTAAGCACAACTTGAGTTAAAATGAGATCTTGTTGATTAACCACAGATGCATGACCTGTAAGCTCAAAGTATTGTTTGGAAATAAAAGGAATGGATAAATTGGCATAGGTTGCAAAAATTGCCAAGTATTGATTAGCAAAATTCCAAACCTCAACTCCAACCTTTCCTGCACTTGCCATGTCTTTGGAAATTTTTACATTGGCAACTGAATAGAGAGTATCAGACTTTGTGAGAGGATATTGTGTGCGTCCTGGATAAATAAAGACCATATTTGGATCAGCGTTGATTGTGGCTGGTTTGTTCAATAGCCGTAAGTTAATTGTCGTTGTGATGGAGTCGCCACTGGATGAATCCAAGGCCAGTAAGCTTTTTGGAGAGTCTACCTCAAAAGTAAAGCTGAAAACAGGTATTAAGTACGTTAAAAAACTTTCTCCTCCATTCAATGAACCTCCAACATAAAAGACATCAACCTCCTGATTTCTAACAATGGCAAACTCAGTCATAGTAGAATCTTGATTTGAAGCATATGTCACATATTGAGATACAGAATTAAATGTTGTGCTTGGAAATTGTAAAAAGGCCAAATTCATAGAATTGGCAGAAATAGAACTACCCCCAGGCAAAGTCACAGTTCCTTTAAAAGAGGCACCAATCGTGAGCACATTATTTTTGACGAGAAAATTATTTGCCCTCAATATTGCATTGGGATCATCCCTTCCTATTGGGATTACTTGTGAAACAGCACCCGTACTTGATGTGTAAACAATCAAGAATGACCACGCACTACTGGAAACTGTGTTTGTGAATCGGTTTTGTGTGTCAAATGTGATGGCTTGTTTCGAAGTGCTTGTTCCTAGTACTATCAACTGTTGATTGTCATTAAGGTAAACCTTGGTGCCGTCTTCATCACCATCAATACCACCAACAGTCGTAATCCATGAAATTCCCTTACTTGCGAAGGAATATTTGAAAACAAACAAGTCATTTCTAGAACCAGTGGATTGAATAGTAACAGTGTTTGTTGTATCATTAACACCAGTTGGTAGCTTATTGAATGTAATCCTATAATTAACCGCAGCAATAAAGGACCCAATCACATAGCATTCATTATTTTGAGAGTCCAAATAAACGCTCTTTGGGACAATTTTCACATTTGCATCATTGGTTTTATCAATCACATTGGTCATTGCATTCTGAGCATTTCCACTCGAAGGATCAAATGAAAGAATATATAAATTCTCTGGAAGTGATGTAATTGGGGTCGTGTTGGTACCATTGCCGATTGCAGATCCTCCCAAATTTAGATTGTCCGAAACTGTAACAATACCCTTAAAAGATCCAACGACCACAATGTTATTCGATGAAAAAGTGACATCTTGAACACTTAGATAGTCCCCTCTTATCACTTTGGTCCAATCGACAACTACGGATGAACCGGCAAAGGCCGAAAACTTTACAATGAACAATCCTCCGTTACTATTGATCACACCCACAGCCACGTATTGAGAGCCAGTGCCTTGTAAGGATCGAATTGCAACAACCTCTGTTGATTGAAGGTTTGGTACGACTTGTGAATTAATCACTGTTGAGGGTATCTGGTAGGCCCAATCCACAGTTCCATTTGCTGTGGCTCTCAATAAATAAGCCTCACTTTGAAGAGAGGTAGAAAGTTTAGCTGTTGATGGACTGTTAAATTGAATGCTTGATGTAAACATTCCACCCACGAAGAAGCTACTACCACTCTCATCGCTTTGCACGCTTTGACATGATTGTATGTTGGGCTGTGAGAGTTTCCATTGAGGGAGGTATGTTGTTTGAGGTTGTTGTTGTTGCTGTGAATAAACAAAGTTATTGTTGGAGAGTAAGCTACTGAAGGCAATAAAGAATGATACTATAAATATTGATGAAGCTATTCGTTGAATATGTGACGAAGATCTTTCTGTATTATATGCGGAATATCTACTGCGCCGCATTTGCTGTTGGTTATATGAAGGGAGCTGAAGAGTGTTTCTATTTTTTCTATATGGATGAGTTATAGAAGTGGTATTGGGCACCCATAGAGCAGAGTACAAATGTAAATTAGACCAATACATGTAATTTTCCATTGGCATATTAAAAACTTTTTACAACTATTTCCCAAAATAGAAGGTACGTTGACATGCCTTTACAGGAACTTACGATAATAACTGAGTCCAATCTTCGAACTGGGCAGTTTCATCAACATTCGGAAATCTTAATGGGACTGTTTAGTCAATGATGGCAGTTCATTTCACATGATGGTGATCCTTTGGATTTTGAAGCATTGCCAATTATTGTTCTGGAAAAAATCGAACCTATCAAAATCATCGAACAGAAGACACATTTGGGAATATTCGGTTCAGAACTATGTCTGGTGACGATAGTGGTTTGAGATAACAAGGTATGCGCCATATTTTCAAACCTTCCAAATCTTGACGATTGAAACTGTCATTCCTTTGAATGCCCTTGTCTTACCAACTAAAATACAAGTAGAATAGCATTACCACAACTGAAATGATCATAATAAATTGAAAAATAAATTTGCAGCTCAAATCAAGAGTAGTGTCTTGCATGTTTCTTACTTCTTCTTCATATTGTTGTAAAATATCCATCTGTCTTTGTAATCGGGCCTCTATCTTCTCAATTTCAATAGTGTACAATTCAATAGCTTGTTGTGATGTTTCCTGTTGTTGTTTTTCTTTCATCTCATTCAATATTTCTTGTTGTATTTGCAATTTCTTTTTAATTTCTTTAATTTTTTCATCATTCCGCGAATTAATTTTCATAAAAGAGGAAACAATTTGAAAATACAGAGAAAATCTATTCCACACATAGGTGGACATTATTTCAAGCTGGGTGAGAAGGCTCTTTTCGTCTTCCATTGTATTGATCAACGCACGAATTTTATCGGACTGGATTATTTTTAAAGAGAGAAACAATTTTTTTTTAATAATCACTGTCCATGCGTTTATTTGTTGGAAAATTCAAACGATATTCAAGAGAGAAACAATTTTTTTTAAAATTTAAAGAAAAAACACATAACAATGAAAGAGGATAATCTTTCTACGGGATTGCCACGAGAGGAAGGTCCTAATGCTCTCTCCGATCCGTGCCAACAACAACAACAACAACAACAATCAACAGGAGATGATGACCAAGATATTGGTTCTCATGAAAATTCCAAATTGAAATCAACTGCATGTGGAATTCATTTTGGAGCCACTCGTTTTTGTTGTTGTGTCTATAGACATGAGGATGATGCAAATGTTGTGGAATTAAAACATCATGCAGCCATTACGAACCAAAAATATGAAATAATTCCAAATGAATATGGAGAGCTTACGAGTGGATGTGTTCTTTCATTTATCGGAGAGGATATTGATTTTCCTCAAATTGGAAACAATTTTATCACAAAACCACTTGTCAACGATTCGATCAGTGATGTGGTGATGGGTTTGAAAAAATATAATTGGAAGAAAATTTTCTGATCCAATTTTACAGAATAATTTGAAATTCTATCCTTTTGGTGTCATTGAAGGGCCCAATGACGAGCCATATATCACTGTAAAGAGCCGTATGGATATGTTTGCTCCTGAGTTATTGACTTCATTTATTTTTAGATATATCACACAAGTCATGTTGGCCATGTCACATTATGATTGTAGCGAATGTGGAGTTGTTTTAAGTGCTCCATGTTATTTTACTGAAACACAAAAGCAAGCTCTTCGAGAGTCATGCGAGTTTAACAGTGTACCAGTTTTAGATATTATACGTGAATCTGAATGTGCATGTTTGGCCTATAATTTAGAAAAATCATGTCACGATGAATATGTGTTAACTTTTTTCTTTAGGAGGTAGCTCTCTATTGGTATGTGTGGAATATATCCATGAAAATGGAGAGATAGAACTGAAAGGTTTTGATGGAGATTGTTATTTGGTACGTTTGAATTTTGAAACTCACGTGTTGCATTCATATTTTCTTAAACATTATAATCACATGTGTCTTGATTATTTCAAAGGGAGGAGATGATTTTGATAATAATATTGTGAAGTATGCTTGTGAAGAGTTTCTGAAAAAACATAATCAATTCAAGATTCCACCAAGATCATTGAGAAATTTAAAGTATGAATGTGAGAAAGCAAAAATCAATTTATCTATCAACGAAAATACCTCCATCCATGTCAAATCGCTAATTTCTGAACCAAATATTGACTTTTCTACTGATATTTCTAGACAATTATTTGAAGATTTGAACACAAATCTTTTTGATACCTGCATTGAAACAATAGCACAGTTATTGAGCGACCTAAAACTTGAGAAGTCCCAAATCAGTAAGGTCGTTCTTGTGGGTGGTTCATGTAACATGCCCAAACTCAAGGAACTATTGAGAAATTATTTTAATCTTCCTTCAAATGACAATTCGAATAGTACTTCTCACCAATCATATTTGGTTCTTCTTGACAGTATTCCACCTGAGCATGTCATTGCAGTTGGCGCAGCTAAAAAAGCAAACGAGCTCTACCACATGAGAAATCAAACCTCAAACGTTGCTGCAATTCTCCCTACATTCGTCGATATTAATCCAATATCGATTGGAATCGAAGTATATGGAAATTATATGACCAATATTTTGGAAAGAAATTGCTACATTCCTTGCACCAACTCCATAATTATTACTCCTTGCTGTAAGGACCAACACAAAATTACATTGAAGTTCTTAGGTGGCGAACGATTGTTATCAAAGGACAATATCACCTTGTTGCAAGTTGATTTACAGTGTCATGATGACTCATACTCATATTCTGACCAAGAAATTGACCATTCCACACCAACCTTTAAAATCGAATGTGAAGTTAATGCACACTATCAATTGTTGATTCGAGTGCATGAATTGCGACCAATTATCCCATTCAGCATTGATGAAGAGACAAATTCACCAGCACTCCAGTGTTGTCATTCCTCCACTCTCAAATTTTCACACACTATTGATAACTATTCCCAAATTGTCAGCCAAGAAGAAATCTTCTCCATGATCAAACATGCCTCTCTCACTCAATCTCAAGACATTCTGGCACTTCGAATGATTCATTCCATGATCGTTCCTTCTCTCATGGAAAATCCAAACAGCACGGCCGTGTGTCGTCTTTCAAACATCAACACCTCATCTACTACTACCACAGACACAACTACTACTATTAGCAACAACAACAACAACATTCGATAACAATCAAACCTATCACGTGTTGTGTGAAGATGGTCTCATCTTAAGCACAGACAGAGAAACCAATCATCATGAAAGAAAGAACAGACGAGAAGATGAATCTGATCGGCAATCCAAACGTTCACATGAAATGATTCAAGTGTCGTCTTCGGCAAAAATGTTGAACCATAAAAAAATTTTGAGATTCAAAAAAATATCAAAAAACAACCACCACAACAGTCTGCTCTTCTTCGGTTCTGCTGAATTCAACTCTCTGGTAGTAGATTTTAGGCTTTCGGACCACTACATTACATTCATCATCTCCAACAAAACATTTTTGCAAATAATTATTATTCCGATAAATCTCGATCTTTGCCAGATCCGAAAAGATGCCAGCATCAAGCAAGAAAGTGAAAGTACCCAATGTGCTTTCTAAAAACACGACCAAACAACAACGAAAATCGAATTCCCACTCACTCGATCAAAATCGTAAAGTGGATAAGAGTAAAATTGGTAAAGGACCTACTCAGCTTCGTTCTCGTTCAACCATTAAACGTCTTCTCATGTATACATCAAAGGTCAAAAGAAATGAAGATGGAGAAATTATTAAAGGTTATGTTACACCAAAATCACAACAAATCAAAAAGGGAGAAATGGCTCGAGTTGCTCCTGATAGAACATTGTTCGGAAATACAAGAGTCATTGGTCAACAAGAAATGTCAAAGTTCAGACAAGCGTTGGAAAAGAAAATTCATGATCCTTACACAATTTTGTTGAAACGTTCAAAAGTTCCAGTTTCTTTATTGCAAGCCAATACTAAAGATACAAGTACAAGCTCAATATCATTAGCATCATCCAACAGTACGAATAATGCAAAACCAACAAATATTGGAGGAGAAACATTAATTCCATCCAAAGATAATATTCATGCATTGCATCAAAATTCTACTTTTCAAATCAAGAGACAAATTAATTTCCAAGAAACGTTTGGTCAAAAAGCTCAACGTAAAAAACCTACTCTCTTATTCACAGACTTGACAGAATTATCTCATCAAGTAGAAAAGAAACAACAAGAATATCAACCAATCAAGGACAAGAAACAAATGTATGTCCCAAATGAATACTATTATTTGCACAAGGAAGGTACAGATTCTCATGATGTTTCATCAGTTTTGGCTTCAAGTGGATTTGTGAGATCCCAATTGTATGATCCATGTACTCAACGTGGTACCTCTAAACGTATTTGGAGCGAATTGTACAAGGTGATTGACTCGAGTGACGTTCTATTAATAGTTTTGGATGCAAGAGACCCCATTGGTACTCGATGCTATCATATTGAGCAGTATCTCAAAAAAGAGAAACCTCACAAACATGTAGTGTTCATTCTCAACAAGTGTGACCTCGTACCTACTTGGGTCACTGTTCGATGGGTTAAAATTCTCTCTCAAGAGTATCCTTGTTTGGCCTTCCATGCGAGTGTTCAAAATCCATTCGGTAAAGGTGCCTTAATTCAACTGTTGAGACAATATGCTCAGGTGCATCGTGATAAACCATCCATCAGTGTTGGTCTCATTGGATATCCCAATGTTGGTAAATCTAGTGTCATTAACACATTGAGAAAAAAGAAGGTCTGTAAGGCAGCTCCAATTCCTGGTGAGACTAAAGTTTGGCAATATGTTGCATTGATGAGAAGAATATTCCTTATTGACTGTCCTGGTGTGGTGCACACGACCGATAACGAGGAGCAATACCGATTGAAAAATCAATATAACACCTCCGAACAAGATGAACATTACCAATATATGAACCGAGTGGCTGATAATGTTCTGAAGGGAGTGGTGCGTGTCGAGACAGTAACACCAGATGAATTGATTGATGTCATTCGTGTCATTTTGCATCGTATGAAACCAGAATATGTGCAACGTACCTATCAAATCTTGACATGGAAAGATCATTATGACTTTTTAACACAGTTGGCATATAGGTCAGGAAAAATCAATAAGGGTGGATCTCCTGATTTACACACAGTGGCTAAAAAGATTGTACAGGACTGGCAACGAGGTAGAATTCCATGGTTTATTGTTCCTCCATTTGAAGATGACATTGATAAGGCTGAAATGAAGAGCTTGAGGAAGGAATTGGAAGATAAGAAGAAGAACCCATTGTTGAATCATAATATTAAGCAGTTGTTTTACAAGTTAAAAACTGATGAACAATTGTCTGCTGTTTATTCCAAGCATGATTTGAAGGGTATTGGAATTATTCCGGATGATAAACAGGAAGCCATCATGCAAGAGTTGGCCAAGCCTTCAAAAGAGCAAATGAAAAAGATTGAAAAACAAAATGCAAAAAAGAAGAAGCAATTGTCAAAGGAAGGTTTGAACAAGAATGACGAAGAGGATGCTGAACAAGTCGAGGAGGGAAATGATCAAATTCAAGAGGATGACAATGATGATGAAATTGTGGATTGGGATGAAGTGTATGCTCAGTTTAATGACAAGGAGGTCATGGACGATGATGAAAATGATGATATTGAGGATGACGAAGATGATGAAAATGATATGGAAGAGAGGAATGGCTCTGAGTTTATTGAAGATGAAGCCGAAGAGGACATGGATGCCGATGAGGAAGAGGATGAACAAGCAGATGAAGAAGAAGAGAATGAACGCCCTGTAGTCAAGCCTCCAGTTGACATGAAACCTGTCAAAGTGAAATCACTCTCAAAGCTTGACATTTTGAATCGTATCAAGAAGCAACGGCAAGAATCATCGAGTGAAAAGAAAAACGTTGTGGACGCTCCTGTTCCAAAGTCAGACAACGTGTACATTCCTAAGGCTCTCAGAAATAAGCTGAAAAAATAAATTTATATGATACACCATTTACTTGTTGTTAGAATTCAAGGCTGTCAACACTAAATTTTCTGGAGTCAACAGAGTGAGTAATTTTGAATTAGAAATGAGAGTCTCGCCTTCATCGTCCTCTGCCAATGTGAAAACGGTCTTTGGTCGTTCCAATTTTTCAAAACACTGCATAAAAAGTTGTGTCATTTCCTCAGTCTTGTCCAAATGGATAATCTTTGTTAATTGTCTTGAATGTTGTTCTTCCTTCTTTGTTTGACTCTTACTAACAAAACTATAGTATTTACATTTGCTTAGCTCCAAAATTAGGGTGTTACTGTGGTTAGTGTCTCCATTGTCACTGCTGTCACTTGCCGACGATGAACGTCCTGACGATGTAGAATTATGTGGCCTAGTGTTAAAAGTAGTAGTATTGGTGGTAGCAACAGCTGCGTTCGTTGTAGATGCTTTCTGTGAAGTATGAAGAGAAACATTGTGATTTTCACAATAGTAAATTTCAAAGACATTTCTACTATCTACTGTTTCATTCCTCGCAATATCTGGAGGCATTTGATGTCTGTCCTTTCTTTTAGGTGATAATAATTTCAAAAAGGTTCCAACAGCACTCGAATCCACTTCGTTCTTTGTCTTGAGAATCGTTTTTGTTTTTGAAGCAATCACAATCAAGACATCATTCAAAACATGAATTTCCATCGATGGAATGGATGTCACAGAGGATGAACCACTTCGAGGAGTCAACAAACCGCTGTTGCTAATTGGGGACGCTGATCCATCGTTGTCACTACCGCTTCCTCCACTGCTAATAACCAACGGCGTGACTTTAAAAGAGCCAATCACTTTGCGATAAGGTTGAACTAAACAGGGAATTAATCCATCCTGTTGCTCTTGTTTAAAGAGTGGTACTTTCTTGTTAATCTCTTCTTGTAAGTTCACTACCAGCATTCGAGAATGATATTCCTTTACAAATGCATTTACTTTGAACGTAATCTTTTCCAATTCCTTCACACATTGTTCAATTTCTTTGAATTGATGTGGTAGTTCATTTAAATTGGTACATTTCGCAAGTTGCTTCAACAATAGTACATAACGAGGTAATCTCTGAGGAATCATGACTGAAAGGGATGCCAAGTCGAGTGAATTTGCTGGTTTCAAGTGAGTTTTTGCCAATCTCAAATTCGTTTGAAATTCTGGATACTGATTTGATAATTCATTGACATTCATTCGACATTGATTAAATTTTGAAATATAAAAAGCATAAATCATAAACGCAGGCATAAATTTGTTGAAACATTTTTCAGAAATGTTGCAGTCTTCTCTCACTTGTTTCAAATCATATCCGAAATTTTCAATGGAACCACCATTCAACAAGTCACCAGAGGAGGATCCAGTGCGGACGTGACGGGCGGGTGACCTCACACCTGGTGGTATTGGCAATGGACGACTTGTTGGAGATGGTATGTTATCACTCGATGAAGAAGATGCTAAACCAGAAAGGGAAGCATTACTGTTGCCATTGTTGTTAATAGCAGTACCAGTAGAAGGATTTGATGCAGTGTTTGGTTTTCTAAATAAACTTCCAATCATATTCATGCTATATCGATAGACATTATATAAAAATCGATCTTTGGCATGCCATCCTAAAATTTCACTTTCTAAACACTTTAAAAAATCCTGATTCAATTTGTAAATATTTTCAATCTCAGGTGGAATGAGAATCATGGAGCTATCTTTGAGAGTATGAATGGATTTAAAATCAATGATTGATCGCTTGGTGGTTTTTTCAACAGTTTCCACTTGTTGTTGTTGTTTGGAATCATCCACATCACTTGCATGATTACTGTTGGAAGTCAAAGACCCAGAAGAGGATACTCCCCCATTGGTCACACTCGTTGTCACGGTTGTTGCATTTTTCACCGTTCGTGTAATTTCCAACTGACATGAAGTATCTCCCTTCTCCAAAGGCAAATAATACTGTTCATACAAGACTTTCAAATATTCACAATATTGTCTCTCACTCACTAAAATTTCATACAAGGTCGTCAATCGTTGTTTTCGCATAATCTCTCGTTTCTCATTTTCACACACACGTTCCTTGTATTTTCTTTGAATGACTCGATAACACATGTTCACAGTCATCCCTATTGCACTCAAAAGAAGAAGATACATCGATAGGCGCATCCAACAACCACCTTCACAAGGATACCACCACGAAGAAGATGATGAATTTCTTCTTGTCAAGTTGCTCCATGCATTCCACCATTTCCCAAACCATGAAGATGAGCCTGTTGTTGTTATTGTTGGTAGCATCCTCATTATAAAATTGCATAGGGAGAGAAGGTATTGATAGAGAGTGAGAATAAATTGTGAAAGGAAGGAGCAGATGGATGAGAGAAATTCATAGAAATATTTCCACCCAATGGAAAGGGGTGTTGTTTTTGGAGTGTCAGTTGTTGTTGTTGTTTCTTGAGCATGAATGAAGAAGAAGGAATGGTGACAGGAAGATTCCGAGGTTGGAGATGATGGTATAGAAGAATCACACGTCGTTGATGAATTTAAATCATGATGATGAAGGATGTGATGATGTAACGTACAAAATAATAAAGAAATAAAAAGAAGAGAAATGAATTTGATGATGATGAGAGAGAACGAAAAGTGTTTCTTCATCAGCGTCATTGCGTGAGACATCTGATTCTTCATTCTTCGCTTCAATAATGAATAGCAGTGATCCTCACGAAAGAAGAAACGATCTTCTACTTCATAATCATCATCACCATTTAGAAAATCTCTCTCAAACAATCGAACAACACGAGGAGGAGTAGGAGAGGAATGACGACTATTGGTCCTTGCGTTAGATAAGGATGTTGTATCTTGTCTCATTATGGACAATTCATTGTTTTTTCTTTTTTCAAAGAGAGGTGATGTTTGACGTTTCATCACTTTCTCAATCAACTGATGTCAGTTTGATTATTGTGTATTAAACTTGCACCAAGTACGAAAAAAACTCAATATATTATAATATTTCCTAAATGTGGGCACCTTTTGACAATGGACACTGTAAGAATTGCAGTTTCCTTCGAGCCAAAATCATTCTGAGGAAAGCTTGAAGAACTATGATAGCCTCCAATCGTTGTTTTTCGTTCTTCTCTCTTGTTAAAGTGGTGAAAATGCGTTTTTCGACATCATTTCTCATTGTGAGTTGTGAGGTTACTTCTGACTCGCTGCATGAGGAACAATCCTTTGAGCTCGCACCAGTTGTGCTTGGTCGTGAAAAATTGAGAGGAGACAATTTGATTGGGCTTAGGGTGTGTCTGAAAGAAGTGGAACTGCTGTCAAGAGAAATGGGGGCAAACATTGTTGGAAAAACATCACTTGGGCTCTCGTTACATTCTGACGAAAGATAAGATGTGTGGTTCATTCTTAGAGGTGACAGAAATAATTTTGATGATTTCAACGTTTTCACTGCATGATCAAGTGATTCTGATATGGATTGCTTTTGAGATCGAATATGGCTCTCATGGATTAATACATTGGAATAAAAAGGGTCACACTTCAACAAAGGAAGTATGGAAATCATCTTCTTAACCCTCATGTATTCATCCTCGTCAATGTTGGCTGTTTCAAGGATTTGCTGCTTTTGATTTTCCTTAATCACGAAATGAATGGCCTTGTTCAAAGTCATAATGTAGTAATTTTGATTCCTAAATGGGCTTGTGTTCTTATTGTGGCTTTCTCCCTCCATGAGTCCCTCATCTTGTTCACAAAATTTGTTCATTAAGGTTTGAATAGACATGGGGCAATCTATTGGGACATGTTCGAATTTGAGAGATATAACCTTGAATGTTTTTACCATGTGCTTCAACCATCTTTTTTCTATTACAATGTTATGGTGTGATGAGATATGCTGATGCATCATATCAATGGCTTGAAATATAAAATATCGACACTTCAAAATTTCGTTAATACTGTCTGTTGCTTGTGACGGCCGTTCTGTACTCTTTTCATACAAAGTTACACCATAATTAAACATATTAAAACATTTGTTGATAATCAAAAAATATTCATTCTCACAAATAAATGTTAAAATTCGATTAAAGTAGTCCAATGAATGATGCTGCACGTAAACATTATCCTTTTGATGAGCATACAGGAATAAATTGTTTTCAAAATGCTGAATTGCTTCATCATGTTTTTTACAATAGAGGCATGATGTTGCTAGAGCTTGAAGAATATATTGTGAGTAAATCAAACATCCAGTTTGGTTATATCTGTTAAACGCCTCTTTGCAACAATAATGAACAAGTTTAGGTTTTTTTCTCTTCCTAAAGTAATTGCTTTTGGAAATCTCAATCAATGAGCTAAAAAACATTTGTAGATGAGAATTTTTGAATTGTTTCAGCATTATTTCTCCAACCTTTAGAAGTTCCATACTGTTGTGATAACTTTGATATTGAGTTGAGAGTATGGTTGAATAATTTAAAATAACGGTTACATATAAAGCAACAAGGGAATTAAGAATCAATAGTTCATCATCCCTTGCAGGAGTTGTCACGGTTTTTCTTTCAATTAACTCCTGCAGAGTTGTTAAACATTCTTTAAAATTTGCGTTCGAATATTCTAAAAAAGATTGCTGAAGTAGTTCGATGTTGGTTGGTGTGTTGGCCTTGCTATTTCCTTTTTTGTACTTGGAATGTGCTATTACCTCTTGGTTGGTAATTGGAATCATGACATGGCCCTCCATGGCATTTGGATCCAATTGATATTCAAAATCCAACAACAAGGTCCAAACCGTTTTATCCAAGGAAAGATAGCAATAACCGTAAAGCCATAATGGTTTGATAGCTGTTTCTGTTTCATTGTTCAACTTTGAATGAGCAGCATCTCCGTAAGCTATTTGCTGAGAAGGATTAATTTCCGATGAAGTTGCTGTTGGGGAACAAGTTTGTTGTTGAGGAACAAACTTGCTCATCATTTGCCTTAATTGAATTAGTTCGGAAATAATTGGTTTCCGTTATGGATGAGGGTAATGTTGTTCTTGCAAAGCGAACACCACCACTCCAGCCTACTTTGTGGTGTCCTCAGAGCGCTAAGATGCAGAAGCTATTTTTTTTAAGGGTTTTGCGTTGTTGAATTTCTTTATTGCCAAAGTCATAATTTGCACACGAATGGGTTACTACAAGTTCTTGCTTGGATTCTTGGAAGGTGAAGCAATGGTACTGGTAGCGATGGTGGTGGGAAGGCTGTCTTTGATCTTGTTTGGGGATTGAGCGATGGTGGTCTGCTGATCATGGGAGGAAGAGAGCACAAGGTCTTCACCATGGATGTTACCACTGCTTTGACTTCTTGAATTTCGATTGCTGGGTTTTCTTTCAAAATTGACAATGAATTCATTCTGAACCACTCCATCCACCATTTCTTCAAGGTAGTCAAACAATGGAACATAAACAGTACTATCAATGCCATGTGAATCCATAATGTGTCTCATGTTGGCCATATCATGATAATACACAAAGAGACGACTACTAATGTAGAATCCAATAAAAACATCAATCGAATAGTGTTCATGTGCAGCCAATACGAAAAAGGCTCCAAAGCAATTCAAAACCCATGTGATGATATGTAGACCCTTCCAGCTCTTTGGAGTATATTCATTGATGGTATAGTTCAAGAGAGTAATAATACTGACATGTCCACTGAACATGTAGTCACCACAAGTTTTGACATTCATGATACTCAATCCAAATCCCAGGGTAATTTCAATCGCTCGATTCATCTTCTCCTCAAATGTTAGTGTGATATTTGCTGCACGAGTTTTCATGCACTCACTGGTTAAGTGACTTCCAGGAACACTCAAGGATGTAATAAACATGGTGAGGCATCTCAACAAAAACACAGTTCCAATGATGACAAATAATCTTCTTACAATGATTCCTCGGTGCTTGTGAAAGATAATAATAAATAGAACAATCAGTCCCAATATCAGGCAAATAAGCTCAGAAATTGCAAATGCACTTGGAATGAGTGGGACATTGTCTAAAATAATATCAGGTAGAGGAGGATAATCTTGTGGTACCTATTGAGAGAGGAGAAAAATTTTCAATTATTATTATCAGAATTTTGTAATTGAAAAAACATTGAGTCAATTGACAATTCAGAACATGTTGATGGAAAAGATATTTGTATCCTCCATTGCAAATAATATCACTTCTACTTACTCTTTCATGAACAACAACCATGGTTACACTTGTGCAAAAGACTGACAGCATCAAGTAAGAGAAGGATACAATGACCTTGGTAATCATTGAGCCCCAACTCTCTCCCGGTGAATACTCATCCAATATCTTAATTTCACTCGGAAGAATTTGTTTAATTAATTGAGGAATTGAGGGAGGAAGTGAAGAGAGAATCTTTTTTGAGAGAGGAGTGGGTGTATAGACTGGAGTTTCTGCCAATGTATGTAACAAGAGTGGTGATGGAGGGGGCATGGATGGTGAGGTTGGAGTTTTGTGACTTGGGCTATGATGGGACGATGATGCTTGTAGCAATGCAGTGGTGGTGGTTGGTGATTTGTTCCCTAAAATGTTGGTTGACGAGCCAGAATGTGAAGAATGAAGGTGATGAGGATGGCGTGTAAGGAAATGATGATGAGGATGGGAGTGATGATACATTGTTCCTCCAGAATGATGGTGATGATGATGTTGTGAAGTCAAATGTTGAGACATTGTTTCATCATGATGTTGTTGAGGAGGAGGAACAGAAATATGAGGCAGTGATTTACCAAGCAATGTGGTTGTTGATGGGGCAGATACTCCATGATGATCCATGGCATCATTCGGATGGTCCACAACAACTCGAAATAACAAATCCAATTCGTGTTTCAGATGAACCAAATCGTGCAATGTACCAATATTCAATCGATCATTCAATTTCAATTGTAAATCCATACAGCTGCCTCTTCCGTGATGATTCATGAATCCATCATCCATTGACAATGATTGGTTGGAGTACATCCACAAATAATAAAGAGACAAACCATCAATCTTTTCAGTTCCGAATGCCTGCAACATGGATTGAGGAAAATGTTTGGATTCAAGAAAGGATTGAACTTGTTCCACAGACCACTCCATAATGTCCCTAATGTTGTTTGGACGGTCGTTCATCGATGAAGAAACACCATGACTGCTACTTGAGGAGCTGCTCTTCTTCTCGGATAGTGTGGTTGTAGTGGTAGTAGGATGATCCATTGTTGGTGAACATGGAGCGTTATGGGTGTTTACGGTCGGAATGTTTAGAGATAAATTTCTCTCACCATCCTCTTTGGTCGAAGCCTGAGAGTGATTGGTTGTTGTTGTTGTTGAAGAACGAGAAGACATTTGTTTTTGTGCCTCTTTCAGGAAAATTTAAACAGAGATGCAAAAATATTCATCCATATATAAGAAAGGACAGGATACCATCCGATAGAAGTTCGAAACAGCTGTTTGAAAAAGAGAGAGAGTCACTCTTTCTCTCACACTTTCATGAAAAGTTTCTGGTCTTCTTCAAACGTTGTTGCAATTCAGAAGTGTGAGCTGGCAGTTATCCAAAGAGATTAAAAAATACAAAAAAAAACCCCCTTTCTGTTTCAACAAGGGAAATCTGTAACAGCTTTCACAAAAGCGTTTTGACGATTGATTTGCAGAGTCCCACAATCATTTATATTATTTATAATCGAGAAGAAAACAATCTCTTCATCTCGGAACAATTTTTTCCAACGTTGCAACAAGAATTACTCCATTATTATCCCAATACACACCTTGCTCGTAAATTAATACCTCTCCACAATGAAACTCCTTGCAATTAATGTTCTGTACAGACCAAACGATATTGGTTCATCATCAGGCAGCAGCAGCACAACAAAATCAATCATTCTTTCAGGCTATGACGATTTATCATCGTTTGGATTCTTTCAACGTTCTACTGTTCGTGAATATATAGTTTTTATAAGCAGAGTATTATCGGACAAGAATCCGCCCGGTACAAGACAGCAAGTGATAAAAGATGAATATACTTGTTACGTTCAAACTCGGATTGATTCACAGTTGAGTGCCGTCATTGTTTGTGATGCTGAATATCCTTCAAGAGTTGCATTTTCATTATTATACAAAGTTTTGACAGAATTCGAAAAGAAATATCCAAAATCTGTATATTTGAACTCTCCATCAATTCTTCAATCAGATTATCAACTTCAATTAGAAACCATTAACGACTACCTTGTAAAATATCAAGACCCTAACCAAGCGGACGAATTGCTAAAAATTAAAACTGACTTGGAAGAAACAAAAACCATCATGAATCAAGTATTAGAGAAAATGTTCGAAAGAGAGGATGACTTGAAAAATTTGGTTGGAATGAGTGAGGATTTATCCATGAGCTCTAGAGCCTTCTACACAGCTGCGCAAGGAGAAAATGGTGGCTGTTGTCTATTAATGTAAATAATTTTAAATGTGCAGCACTATGTGACATTGAGAGTGTCAACCATTGTGAGATTTTTGAATTTCACAATTAGTTCAAAGTTTTACTGCTAGTGATTTATTAACTCGAAAAATACAGTTATTGCACCTATTCCTGTAACCCCTTACTTCTGTTTTGAATTCAAATATTCATAGACCATTTTGAAAATATCAGTCAAGGACAACAATGCAACAACTTCCATGTCGTCATTCATCACAAAAATACGATGAACTCGATCTTGTAACAAACGTTGGATGACGTCTCCTACAGTGTGAGTTTCAACCTTACAAAAAACAAGAGATGACACTGATGAACCATTCTTTTCTCTTGATTTTCTTTGGAATTCCAGAACAGGAGATGCCAAATGGTGATAATCTTCATCAATGAATCCTTGCAAATCGCTTGCTGATAAACATCCAATTAATTTACCATCCTTCTCACTCAATACACCAACAGCACTCAAACCATTATCACTAATGACTTTGATAGCGTCAATAGCCAATTGAGATTCCTTGACATTGATAACTTTTTGAGCAGTAGTCCTGTTTGCTAGAACCTGCTTTAATGTTTGTTTTTTAAAATCTGTAAAAAGCTCAGCATTATCCTTCAAATCAATATTCTTGAATAGATATTGGAAGAGAGTCATTTGGGAGCAAACTGCAAGGACATTGTTGTTTTCATCCATGATTGGAATACGGTGAACACCATTTGAAAATTCTTTCAATAATTGCAGGAGAGAATCTGTAGTCTTCATTGGAATGTATGGATTTTTACCAGACATGTCTATTTTAATAATGGAATGCATAGGGATGATTTCAGCATTGGATGCATGATACATTTTTGAGAGAGTGAATAATGTACTTACTGATAACACTTCCAACTTGTTCAACATCAAAAGAAAACTGTAACAAGTAATTCTTGAATTGAGAATGGTCGCTATTATCAAAGTAGGTTTGTGTTGTGAAAGTAGCACAATCCAAGACATCAATGAGGCCAATACATGTATTTGTAGAAGGATCAAACACCGGTGCACTCAAAATATGATTATTGGCCAATACTAAAAGGGCTTCCTTCAAGGAAACGTCCTTACGGAGAGAAATGATAGGACGGGATGGCAATGTTGAAACAATATCAGAAAGGGTATTGGAATCAAGAGGTCGAATAGGTGATGACATTTTAAAGGAGTATTTTTTATGTCGGATTAAGCCCGTATGAATGAAACAATAGCAAGATGGTGAATGTTTTGGTTTGATAATGGTGTGGGTACCAAATTGTGTGTGGAGATTTTTGCCGTTGTTGCGGAGAGAGGTGTGCGTAAAAGACGATTATTTGGCAATTTTTTTTTGCTTATTTAATTTTTAATTTTTTTTTTTAAAAATGCACTTTTTTGGATTCCACAACCGAACCAATTATGACTCCAAAGCGTCCCATGTTGTTTTTCCTTAAGAGAATGAACACACATCAGAAGAAAATGTGAAAGGCTTCGTATTCCTGTAAATAATTTTGCGGTTGGTGAGGAACGTCCGATTTAAATTTTCCGAGCATGATGATGGAAATTGCAAAGAAAATGATTCGACTCGCTCTCACCCTGTTCTCCATTTCACAACACTTGATTTTCAAATTCTTATTCTGTGTGAGTGTTGTCGTTTTCTCCGTCTATCGTCTTGTCATTCAATTCTATAGAAAATATTTCCATCATCACCAACATCACGATCATGACGGAAAGCAAACGTCAAATCATGCCATCGTATGGAACAAACTCATTCGACACGCTGTGGTTCAAAATTTAAAATCGGTGACCTCTTTTCGACAAGCATCGAGAAGATACATTCCATTGTTGTATCCACCACTTGAAGCTCCATATTTTGGATGTGCCAGCAAGATTGAAAAGATTGACAGGTTGAGAAATTCTTATTGGATCACCATGAAGACACATCATCATTTCGGTGCATCGAAAGATCATTCTCCTCTCAACTCTACACAAAAAGTCATGCTCTTCATTCATGGAGGTGGATTCATAAGCGGCCATCCAATCGGTCTCGATGCTCAGTCTGTACTCTATGCGATCAATGATTTTAACAAGTCCAATTCATCCATCAAATGCAGTCATGTGCTCTCTGTGGAATATCGATTGAATGAAGATCCAAAACACTATTCAACCATGGATAGAAATATATTGTGTGAAACTTTGGATGATCAAGTTCAAGATTGTTTCGATTGTTTCATGTATCTTATTGAGGAGTTGAAAATTCCTGCCAAAGATATCATTCTTGGAGGTTATTCTGCAGGAGCGAACCATTGCATGAATTTGGTCTTGCACAAATTATTGCCAATGGTCTTGAAAAAAGACACTCTGAGAGAAAATTTACAAGTTTGGCCCATTCATGCAGTTTCTCTCTTTTCAGCACCTTGTGACATTTCTAATACAATTATTAGCAATGATCAATGGCGTCACGAGAATGTTCTTGTGTTAACGAAGGGCATGGTTGATCTCATTCACATGTGTGTCTCAGTTCCAGATAAATTGAAATATTCCATTCTCAAGAATATTAAGGATATGGAAGAGGAATATGGAGATGAATTTTGGGATACCCTCCTTCAAACCAAACGATGGATCATCAATTACAGCAATCACGAAGAATTAACACCCGGAAATGAATATCTTGTCGATCTATTCCGAAAGAAGATTCAACAATTTGAATCCACACATCCACACGTGGTTTGCAGCGTGGTGAATGAGGATCACCAAATGCATTGCTACACCACAGCATATGCTGTGTTACCTGAAGCCAAACGATCCATGAAGACCATTATGAAGTGTTGTTTTTAATAAATATATACACACATCACAGTGAAACTTTCCCTTTCCTCACTTTACTGTTCCAGCAGGGCCATAGAGTGACAGAAATTTTAATTAAGCTTATTTGCTAATCCCCTCAATATTGTGTTCCATGAAACCCAAATGCTTAACGACCGTTACCATATAATAATCCAAAGACCCCATGAGCTTCTCCATGTGTGTGTGTTTCAACGAGTTCCCAATAAGCATTTTAGATGCCTCTTGCTACCACTGTTTTCAATAAAACACAACCAAACTTCACATCAAAACTACGGCTACACAGCTCTGCTCTTAGAAGTTTCTCCAGTCGCGACGAGGGTTGAAAAGATTCACAATGTTCTCAGTTTCGGTTGCAACGCGTGGAGAAATGGGCTCTTCATGATTTTCCTCAGACCCTTTTTTACCTGCCGCAAATGCCATTCCTGCTCATCACCAATCCAAAAAAAGCATCGCTGCTAATAATCGCAACAGTTCTCTTAAAAGCGTGTCTGAGCATCACGCATCTCCACACCAAGAAGAAAGCCTTTCTCTTTCGCTTGAGAACACACACAAACCTCTGTTCACGTGTCTCTGCTCTTTTCGAACAATAATATCTTTTCTTTGCCGGTATATATAATAACAAACAATTATGCTTATTATACAACAAACATGACATCTTTAGAGAATTGTCGAAATAGCAACCATCCTCTTCCTCGTCATTATAACAATTTTGACTATCATCATCACAGCAATAACAACCTGAATACATTCTCATCACCGTTATCATGTAAACACGATTTTGATCCTACCTTCATCATTGAAGCAGAAACCATTCATCATTTACCCCTTCCAATGGATCATCCGAATTATGACCAAGAAGAATCCTTTGAGCAGAATCCTGTAAAATCAATTCCCACTCCTCCTCCTCAACAACAACAACAACAACAATTACATGTGGTTCCTTCAAGCGATCATGAGCATTCCATCGATTCGCCCTCAGAGCACGCAAGTATTCCTCAGACACTCCCCCACGTCAACAACAAACATACATTAACCAAGCGAAAGAATTCGTTGCCATCAGAACCATCCTCCTTTCTGCCCAAGACGTCTTCGTTCAAAATGAACTCAAATGGTCAACCCAATTCTCATCTCTTTCGTCATGAAGAACCCATTACTTCAAATTATGACCAACAAAAAGGCCAACCTAATATTGACTCGACTCATCTTTTCCGAACCAATTCTCAGCCTCAAACGAATCATCTTCCAGCCCACTCTCCACAAAATTCAGCTTTTCCTTTACCCATGTTTTTGAATCCCTTTCAAGCATTCGACAAAATGAAACAAGAAGGTATTCGGAAATCCAAGTTAGCATTCGATCAAATTGTTATACTTTCGTTATTTGCTGGTTGTTTTGCAGGAATTGGAGGTGCCTTGTCCTTGTTAACTGCTGGCAACTGCCCAACATTGGAAAAGGAAAATCCTGGTCTTCAAAAATTTTTCTTTGGAGCGTAAGTACCATCATTTGAATGTTTTAAGGAAGCACACTCGAGTGACAAACACAAAATTACAGTGTTTTTCCAATTGGAATTATTTTCACCATTCTTTTTGGAGCCGAATTATTTTCGACAAACTCTCTCACTGTTTTTATTGGACTGCTCTCTCGTAAATGGAGGAGCAAAAAGTTTATTTTGCAATATTTACAATTTTCAAAGAATTTATTTCTGTCGTACATTTTCAACATGATTGGATCCTTTATGGTTGCCTATTTTTTTTTGTATCTAACACAGCCCTGTTGTGATGCTCCGTGGATAGCATACGCTAAAAAGATTGCTCTCTCCAAAGTGTCAAAAACTTTTGGACAAAATGTCTTGTTGGGAATTGTTTGCAACATGATGTTGACTTTATCGATCTATATTTCCTTTGCGGCCACAACAGTAGAAGGTAAAATTATTGGTGTTTGGTTTCCTGTCATGGGCTTTGCTTCAAGTGGTTTCGAGCATTGTATTGCCAATGCATTCTTCATACCTCTTGGAATGTTGGTAAGTGTGACTTTGTTTTTTAAATGTTATTGAATTATTGTTTCTCGTAACTACTGTTACTAATAACTACATTTACGCATACCTTCCTTCTCATCAGTTTGGAGAGGATATTTCAGTTCAGGATTTTCTTGTTCAAAATTTGCTACCAACAACCATTGGCAACCTCATTGGTGGCTCTTTCATTGTCGGATTACTCTTGTACTATGTTCATGATTTGAGACATCGTCACCGAAGATTTCTTTTCAACACTATTGAGCGACTTTGGAGTTACCTCAAACAACGATACATTCATCAGAGACTGCCGCACAGTAGCAGCACCACACCACTTTCTAGCACAACGGCAGCGACCAGCCATTTAGGAACGGGTGAATCTTCTTCAAAGCGAACAGATAGTCCTTCCACTCAACAACCTTCAAACAAATCTTCTTTGGAGTTTACCGAAGAGGTTGAAATGGTGGATATCAATGTAGAGAATAAGGTGTAATAAATGGAATGTCGTGCAATGGAGCTTTGATGTTTCTTGTTTGGTCCAATCCAAAAATATTGGTCTGTTACATCCGAGTGCCTCAGTGTTGAGTTTGGGTCGTGTTCGGAGTCTGCGCAGACTAGAGTTGCAACCACCAAAATCATCATGACAGAGCAATAATTATCATTTTCGAAGAAAAAGGAGAAGAATATCCACACTCCCATCGCTCCGATAGCACACACTTAATTCCATTTTGGTTTGCACACCACCCATGACGCACGTTCTCTTGTAAATACACAACCACCCACAAGCAAACCCAAGTCATGCCCTCCCTACCTGCTGCTTTAGCACTCCGATTTGTTTCTCGTAAAGGTGGTAACTCCATTTCTTCACTGGATGAAGAAGATGAACGCCGATTCAATAACACCCTCGCGAGCGGCGATGCAAACAATCATAACAACAATACTAATAACCGTCATTCCTCTTCATCATCACCCGAAAATGATCCATATTCCTCCACATCATCCTCCACAATCTCTTCCTACTGCCCATTGCTAACATCACCCTCATGCGTGCACTATGGTTATCTGTATAAACGAGGGTTGAAAAACAAGAAGTGGCAAAAACGCTTCTTTTTACTCTATTCAGATGGATTTATGCTGTACTACAAATCACAACAAGACATCATTTTGAATAGCGAACACCCGAGAGGAGTGATATATCTGAAACCACAAAAGCAAGTCTTTGTTTCGCGACAATCGAATGATGTCACTCCAAAGACATCCACGACCAACACTTTGGACCATTCTTCGCAAGAGGAAAATTCTACCATTCCCAATAATAACAACAATTCATCCTTTCATGGATTTGTACTCACTGTATGCAGCAGAAGGTACTCTCTAGCATGTGAGTCTGAACAAGATAAGAATGAATGGATTGAAAAGATTACAATGGTCGCTTATCATACGGATCACACTTCAACCCAAAGTACCACCATTGCAGAAAATCATCATCACAGCACTAGCTCATCACCTCCCACTCAAACTTTACCGTCCATGAATGGTACTTCAAGTAATCAAACAACGAGCGCAACAGGAACCTCTAATGCATGGATTGGACAATCAAGAAGAAGGCTTTATGGAGATGCTGAGAGAGTGAGTGAAAGTATCGATCAATTGGAACGAGAAGGAATATTTAAGATTTTACAGGGAATTGAAAGGCTTGAGAATTTAATGAAATTGTTGAATAATGAACGCAATAGTGAGGAAATTAATAGTATATTTTCATCTAGGACTCTATTAGATCATTCACAATTGCCTTATTACTGTAGAAATGCTAATAATTTTACAAATCAGAGCCAACACAGCACAACGAATCCATACTCGAATTCTGAAGATCAGAGTACAACAACAACAATGGTGATAGATATGAACAGTCATCCCACAGAGAGATTACAAGTTTTGAATGAATATCTTTTGAATGAATCAAGTCAACGCTTGAAAGAAGTTTACAAGTTTGTGCAGTCTCGAGTGATATCGAACAGCAATGGTCATTCGGCAACCAAGAGTGATTGCAGTATTGATGGACCAAAACAAAAAGAATCCAATTCTTCGAGTCTTGAGGAAGAAAATGAAAAGCTTAAGGCCAAAATTCGACAACTCACACTCGATAATCAACAACTGCAAGATAAAAACGAAGAATATACCAAACACAAGCAATTGCTTGTGAAAGAAGTTAAGAAATTGCGAGGAATCATCAAAGAGAATAATACCCTGTCAAATCACCACACCCACAACAATAATGCAGACGACTCGAACACTCGTAATAGCAGTACGAGCAGCAACAGCAGCAATAGTGCAGATGAGGATTAAAACATGATTACAATCTTTGTAATTATGAAATCGATTTGTTGTTGATTGCTCAGAAAGATGTCACCATTCCACAAACACCAAAAAAATACATCAAACAACGTTTGTTCCCATCAGGTTGAGGATAGAAACCATTCATCCAATAATGTCCAACAACAACAACAGCATCACCTTTCCATCATCTTCTTCGGAAGCACAACTAACCGATACAGATCCACTCTTTCACCATCACTCCTCTCAAGATTCCTATGAAAATGAAATTTCCGAGTTATTCACTTCTCTCAAAAACTCAACGGCAAACAGCAACAGTTCATTCACAAGATCCGATTTGGACAATTATTCTAAACTGCTACAAAAATTGAGACAAAATATTCAATTGTATGAAATGAATGAATTTTCATCTTCTTCCAACAAACAAATCAATTCTCAACAATACAAACAACAATTAAAATATTATCAAAATAGATACAATGTGTTAGAGAGACAATATTTATTAAGTCAACATGTGATTGGAGGTAATACTAGTTCACATAATGTTGGAAGTGACAATGATGATGAATTTGATGACGATAATATTGATTTGGAATATGGTGGTGGTTTTGACTTTTCGAATAGTAAGAATAGTCGAAATACAAGTAAACATTTTCTTGAAACTCAACGATTACTAGAGTCGAGTAATGACAGTTTAAAAAGATCTCTTCAAATGATGGATGAAACTGAAAAATTAGGATCAGAGACACTGCAAGTATTGGGTGAACAAAAGTCACAAATGCAACAAACAAAACATAAATTGAGAGGTGTTCAAGGAGATTTGAAAATTAGTGAACAATTAATTGGAAGCATGACTTGTAGAAATTATATAATAATGGGTGTGGTTGGATTATTGGGAGTGATTGTCATTGTTTTGATTGGTTTGATGATTTATGGATGGGTGAGCAAGTTGAAACAATAAACACTCAATTCTATCAATTCTATCAATGCATTGTATTGTGACTCGGACTGAGTTTTTACTTTTAGAGTCACTTGTTAGAGAGATTCTGAACTTGAATGCAAATCTGGAATGTAATACAGCTCACATTCCCATTAAAAAATGTCATCTCACAAATCACAGCAACAACAAGGTCTTGTTGATGATGATGATGAACACTATTGCCACCATTACATATTTTCTCAACTCCCAATCGAGCTCGTTCTCGATCATGTCTGTCCTTTCTTTTCCGACAATGGTCTTTTACTTTATTTTAGATCCATTAACAAATTATTTGATCAGGTCATTACGAGATTGCACGTGAAAACACTCATGATCAGGAATCATTTTCCATATCTTTTGATTCCTCCTATTGAATCGTTTTTTGAATTGATTCGCAAGCTTGAAAAATTAGAATATATTTTAACATCATCATTGCAAATCAATTATTATCAATGTCCTTTAAAAGATTATTTGGAACAAATTTGTGAAATGTGTCCAAATTTGAAGAAAATTGAACCAGCTCTGTTTCACACCTATCAATTAGACATGAATGTGGTGAACAAGTATTGCAAGAATTATGAAGAAATTGATTCGAAGAACACGCAATCACTTCAAACGATGGTGGATGAGCATTCGAATCGCTTTTCAATTTTCAACTTGCATCAATGTGAAAAAATAGACTTCATTCACAAACTTCATCATGTTTCGACTGTGAATCTCGAAGATTTGGAAGAAGATTTCACAATTCCAATTCAAGATTGGTTCGATCATGTCAATCAGGAATTGAAATTTCGAATTTCACACAATGCTTCTATTCTTGGAAAACTCGAGAGTTATACTCACTCCAAAGAGTCTCTTTTCATGTCAGAAACAGAACAAACACCATGCTCCTATCCAGAACATGTTCTGATTCATGCCAATTATGAATATGGTTCTTTTTTGAATCGACATTTACCAACAACACTTGAAGAAGAAATGGATGATGATGAAACATCTTCAAACACCATTTTACTCATTCATCCAAATATTTACTTTTCTCTTACCACTCATAATATAAGGAAAATGAAAATGGAAATTTTGAGACAATGCAAAACGATACGTGTCTCTGATTCCTATCATGCTCACCAAATGATGAATCAAGATTTGAAATTTCTTCTCCAAAATGCTCCTCAATTGGAAGAACTTGATTTGAGTGCCTTAACTGTGGAATGGTTTGAACCAAGACAACAAATCACTTCAGAAGAGATGAATTCCTCTTCTTGTCAAACAAAATTATTGCCAAAAAAGAAAGTCATGATTCAGAGTCCTTTTTTGAAACAAAATTTAGAATTAGCCATTCACTATCGAAACCAATTGGTGGAATTTATGATACATTGTTTTACCTTGCAAAGAGTTCGAATTGCCATTCCTTTTACTGTATTGGTACATTGTGGAAAATTCTTGAGAGAAAGTTTGTGTCATGAAAAGTTGGATCGATACATTCATTTGGATTGGGTTCCACGAAATGAGTTTTATGCTGTGGTGAATTCAGAGAGTTCACAACCTCATATGTTGTTAAAGAGAAGAACTCGTTAGTGGTGATGGTAGTTGTGTTTGTGCAAAATTTCCATCACAATGATGAATTCATGTCACTGGTTGTAAGAAATCATTAAACACTCTTGTGTCGTTTTTTACTTGGGATCACGACTCTTTTCCAAAATGTCCAATATGCCACATCGTGATATCTCAATTAGATACAAATTGTTGCTATTTCTAATGCTCTCACTTGATACACATCCAAGTGGGTGTGATTCTATTTAGAAGTTATTACAAGATCGAACATTGTGCCTTACTCAATTTCATCTTTGGCAATCGAAGATTCTTCTTCTTTGAAGACTTGTTTTCCTTCTTCTGAGAATTGGTGGCATTTTCCTCCTCGTCAGTCTCCTCACCATTTTGCTCATCCACTTCATAACCATCCACCAATTTCACCACTGTCTCAAAAATGGTTGTAATATTCACATTCTCCTTTGCAGAGGCTTCTACATATTTACAATAATTTCCCAATTTCTTTGCTGCTGCCAAACATTCTTCTCTTGAAATGGCTCTTTCGCTGATTAAATCACACTTGTTACCAACAAGGACAACAGGAACGTCATCTCTATCTTTGGATCGTTGTAATTGTTCATGCATTTCAAGAGCATCGACCAAGGAAGAAGGATCTGTCAAATCAAAAACGAAAACAAATCCATCTCCTGTTCGCATGTAGGAGTCACGCATGGCTGAATATTCTTGTTGACCTGCCGTATCGAGAATGTCCAAAACTCGAACGCGTTGATCGACTTCGAGATGTTTTCGATAAGAATCTTCGATGGTTGGGTCGTAACGTTCGACAAAGCTACCTTGAATGAATTGAATGGTGATGCAGCTCTTTCCAGTACCACCTGATCCCATCACGCAAATCTTTAAATCACTCATTGTTGTTTTGTTGTTGAAAGGTTGACGTTTTTTTGATGGTTTGAGTTTTGGCAGCTGAACTTGGAATTTTAATGCTGTTGGACAACCAAACAAGACGAACCAAGAACAAACAAACTTGTACTTGGACGAAAACAGTGCCATGTTCATTCAAACGCGAATGTTGAGGAATGTCCAAGCAAGAAGGCGAACCCTAACAACATTTGACCATTCCGAGTAGAGGGTAAGCACACGATAGTTTTATTATTGAGAAGCAATATTCTCCAGTCTTGTTGAATGCGTTCATATTTACAAACAACAACAACAACAACTAGGAGAAATGAACCTTCTCAACTTGTTCAACATGGAATTCTTCTTAATTATAAGTATCTACCTTCTTGTAAGTATCAACTTTCTTGTAAATGTCAACCTTCTTCTTCTTCTTCTTACAAACTCTCTTCTTATAGACACAAATCTTCTTGGAAGGAGCACGACTCTTACAAATCTTTCTTCCTTTGGTGTACTTGTATTTGGTACACTTCTTCTTTGGTGGTGCTCTCTTACAACACTTCTTCCAATACTTTTTATGAATACACTTGGCTGGATAGGTCTTTTTGTGAACACAATATTTCTTCTTCTTGTGTTGACAACATCTTGTCACCTTCTTGTAATGATTACAATATTTACGAGTGCTCCATTTGCGACAATATTTTCTGTACTTGTGAGACATGCATTTGGTGTAACATTTGTGTCTCTTGCAATAACGACGATAATTGTGCTTTAAGCATTTGGTCTTGTAACCAACGACGCGACATTTACGAACGGTTTTGCATTTTCTTGAAGGAGCATAGGAGTCCACATACTTGTCACACTTCTTCTTGGTGTAACACTTCTTAATTGGAATTCTTTTTGGAGTTTTGCAAGTGGTCTTTTTTCTTCCCCATTTGGTGCATTTTCTGTACTTCTTGGTTTGGACACAATACTTTTTATGGAAGTGTCTCTTGCAATATTTACGAGTGCCATAACTATCACAGACTTGTTTTGTTTCATACTTGTGGCAATACTTCTTGTACTTGTGTCTAACACACTTGATGTATGGCTTGCTGTACTTGTCGCACTTGGAATATCTTTTATGCTTCAAGCAACGACCTTTTCCAACGACAGTGTACTTGTCACAATACTTTTTACGACCGACCCACTTGTGTTTGAGACATTTTCCACGAATGTACTTGTGAAGGACACACTTTCTACGACAATGTTTCTTCTTTGGAGGTTTGTAAGTGTCGACCTTCTTGTAAGTATCAACCTTCTTGTAAGTGTCTACATCTCCTGCTACGTAGATGGATGCAGCAAGGAGTAAAAGAGCAAATAGCAAAACAAGTGATAATGATTTCATCTTGTTGTTGTTTTTTTTTTGATGGTTTGAGTTTGTGAGGGTTAGTGAATGAAGTTTTTAAAAGGAATTGTGGATGTGGTGTTTATGGACTGACACCTTGCATGGCATTGATGAGAAGGGTTTGTTTCCAAATCAGAAACCAGCAGATGAAGGATTTGAGTCCAAAACAAATGCTCGATCCAATTAAATGGGACAAAAAGGGTGAGACAAGAGAAGGTAAAAGTTTCAAATGGTTTCCGCACACATGTTTGTGCTGTATTAATCCGATGAACAACACAATGTTTCAAACAAGGAATGACGGGTGATGATCCTTTATTTCTTCATTCTTATCAATTTCGCAAAACTATATATTGTAAAGCGGGTTTAGCGCAGTCGGCAGCGCGTAGGTCTCATAATCCTAAGGTCCAGAGTTCGATTCTCTGAACCCGCATGAGAATTTTTTAAGCTTCTCTAAATAACCAATTTTCTTCGTATATTCCACAAGCTGACAATATTGAGTTGCAACAACTTGCTAATGAACTAAAATAACAAAAACCCATTTAAGACATCAGTTTCATATGTTTGTGAATATTTTTCCAACCACAACGATCTTTTCTAGCTTGTTGTGTGCTTGTGAACTGTATCCATTTATGATGATACTGCAGTTACAGTTTGTCAATTCTTTCTTGATGTATTCTTGTTTGAAATACGGTCTTGGTTTTATCAATAAAGTTCTTAACATTTTCAAATTGCAAATGAGATTCTATTATTCTTGCAAAATAAGGACAAGAAAGTAGAGCTCCAGAAATATTAACCTCTTGGATCTGTTCTTGAAAGATCATGAAATAGGTTGGATTGATAATAGACTTCATTCCTTGCTCAATTTCTTCTTTGATGCATTCTAGTTCTTCTGGTAACGACATCCATCATCTCTTTTGTCTTGGCTGCACTCTATCATTGCGGAGACAGCTGCAATTTGTGTTTGTCGGAAGATTTGCCTCTCCGAGAAACGCCGAACAATGTTTCGAACGAAAGAATTGATTCATGTTCAATCGATTTCATCATTAAAAAAAATGGGCAATCAAGGATCCTCTCATCATCACCACGCCAAAACAAGCACCGAAAAAGTCTCCTCCACCACCACTCCAACTTCCCTGAACCGAACGGAAACAGTTGTATCACCAAATTCCAACACCACAAATAATAGCAACGGAGTTTCTTCCATTCCACTTGAACAAACACCAATCTCATCATCGGAACTACCGAATAATGATACGCCTCAGCAAGAAACACCCGAAGCAAATACACAACCATCAACCCCATTTTCATCTTCAAGTAGTTATTATTTTGATGCTCCACAATTGTTGGGAGAATCTGAAATTCTAATCGGAGATGAAGGAAATTCCATTGCACAACAGATAAGAGCAAGTTTACCATTGGAACAAAAGCTCCATAATCAATGGACCATGCTGTATAGTAATAAGAAAAACGGAGCATCTATTGCAACTTTTGCTGAAATTGTCATGTATCATGGTCCCATGCTAATTATCATCAAAGATATGGAGAATAATATATTTGGAGCTTTTACTAGCATTTCACTGGAAAAGAAGTCTTCGTTTTATGGAAATAGTAATTGTTTTTTATTTAAAGTAGACACTGAAGAAAATAATGAAAATTCAGAAGCAAAGAAAATTGTTAAAGTTTTTCCTGCTAGTGGCAAAAATGAAAATTATGTATATTTCAATTTTGGAAATAAGTATAATCCATACAATGGGTTAGCATTTGGTGGAAGAATTGGATGCTTTTCGTTGTGTATTGAACAAGATTGGCGCTTTGGGAAAACATGTGGAGATTTAATTACATACTCCTTTAGCCCTCAGCTCTCTAGCGACTCCGAGTTTGAAATTAATGTAATTGAATGTTGGATATTCCCTTTGAGTGAATCTGTGCAAATCGATCTAAGATATAGAGCAAAGGCAAAACAGTCGAAGCAAGCATTAGGAGAGGGTAATGCTGCTGAAATTTTCATCATGAAACAAGCTGGTATCATGTCAAGTGATCATGATCATATCAGAGAAACAGCTTATCAAAAAGATACTCCAAACAGTTCCAATAATAATGTGAATAATTGATGTGGCACACCTTCATGTAAATCAATAATTGATGCATCATACACATTACACATTATTGTGATGTTCATGAGATTCATCATCAAGTCTGCAATTGAATTGTGCTAGCTTATTTTAATTATTGAATATTTTTGCATTGTATTCCACGAGCTATTTCAGTGCCGACACGACAGAGCAGACTTGAGTGTATCTACCTCAAGATATTGCAAAATGTCGCAAAACGTTTGACAACACATTAAATGAAAGTAGGTAAATTTGAGACTTAATTTATCATGGATGATTATTTATGACTCTTCTTTTGTATGTATTCTGTATTAATGTTTCAATTGTGAATCTAAGGTAACTGGAAATGATGCTTGTTTGATTCCATGTGCCATTGATCAAGATCCTTATTTCCGTGATGTTGCCAGAAAATTGAAATGGAAAACTCAAAGTGTCATTCATTCCAAGTTCTTCCCTGCATTGCAAGGAGCATCCAAGAAAATGTCTGCCTCCTCTGAAACATCATCGATTTATTTAACAGAAACTCCAAACCAAATTGAAGAGAAAATCAAAAAAACAAACGAATTTCAGCGGTGGACGTGCAACCAAGGAAGAACAAATGCAATTTGGAGCTGATCTCGAAGTGGATGTATCATTCAAATATTTAGAATTCTTTTTAGAGGATGACAGCAAGTTAGAGGAAATTAGAGAAAAGTACAGCACTGGTAAGATGTTGATGAGACACTTCAAAAGTTGGTTGGAGAACACCAAAAGAATAGAGCGGCCATTTCTGATGGGACTTTGAAAGAATTTTTCTCTGTACGTCCTCTAAAATTTGGAAACAAAGAATAAGCAAAACCAAACAATGATGAATTGTAACAAATCTATTTTTGATGTACATATAAATGATTTAAGGTTTCTTGTTTTCATTATTATTAAAATGTTACAACATTATTTTCCAATAATTAATTATTATTAATCTTAATTAAGGGTTTCAAAACTCAAAACCCTTGCTCAATCTCGACATCCACATGTCGCGCCACGTCAATTTTCTTTGCCGTTGCAGCCGCAACAGCTTTCTTTTTCAATACAACAGCCACCACAGAGGTGACAATTAATGCTGCGGAACCCACTGCAAAGAGAGGAGCACCCACACCAACTGCAATTCCAATAATGAGGGAGCTCTCATTTGGATCTTGAGGAGGAACATTCATTACTCTCAAATTCTGCCTTGAAGATATTCGTTCTGAAATGGCGAGTTGAGTTTTGACGTCAAATAAGGATGCAAAAGCCGTCACATTTCCTGTTTGAGCAATGGCAGAGGGAAGAGAAGTCGAAATTGCCATATTGGAAGCGCTGCTCAAAAACGCGATGAACTTCTCAATCCTGTATATTAGCGAGATTCCATCCATCACAATTTCCCAAACAATTTTAATGTCTCTTCCAGCATAATATCGTAGAAATCTTGAATCCAAAATGGTTAACTGAGATGTCACATTGTCCGTTTCTCCAATAAATGCTTGTACACTTGAAAATCCAAGCACAAGTCTTTCGTTGCGCAAAAATAACAAAGAACAGTCGTAATGAATGGTATCATTCAAACATGAACAAATATCTAAAGCAACACAAAGACCGTTTTCGTTGCACACGGAGGAATTTGTTGCAGAAATTCCAAAACACGAATGAATGGAACAGTCTTTACCATAAAACTTGTCATTGCATTCACATTGATTGTGAGCAGTGCAATTTCCATGTCCACTACAAACTTCGAAAGTCGAGTTTGAGAGTCTTCCAAAACAATAAGTTTCTTTACACTCAGGACCTGTCCATCCATTGTGGCAATCGCAAGTGTTAAAATCAAGGCAGATTCCATTTCCATTGCAAACAGTGTTGTTTTCAGAATTAATTCCAAAACATGTCGTAAATTCACATTGGTTACCGAAATAATGTGGGTTACATTGACAAGTGTCAGGTAATAGGCATGATCCTCTTTTTCCTCTACACACTTTTGAATCGTTGGACAAATATCCATAGCAAGAAGGAAATTGGCAATTATTTCCAAAATAAAGTGAATTACATTTACAAGTGTTATAATCCACACAAGTACCGTTTCCAAAGTTACAAGTCAAATTACTATTTGAGTCAATTCCACCACATTTGGTAAATTGACATTCATCTCCATGATAACCGAAATAGCATGTGCAATTGTCAAGAGAATTGCAACGACCTCTTCCTCCACTGCATACCTCAGAGGTGAAATTTGATAAAATTCCATAGCATGATGAGTATTGACACTTGTCACCTCCATAACCTGATTTACATTTGCACTTATCCACATTAATGCATTCGCCATTACCACTGCAAACATTAGAACTATTCGAAGATATTCCATAACATTTGTAAAACTGACATTCTTGACCATCGTATTTCATTGCATCACATAAACAAGTATTGTTTGAAATACATGGTCCTCTTGAAGAGCAAACCTGAAAATCCGTAGCAGGTATTTTAAAGCAAAGTGGTATGGAGCAATTCGCGCCTCTCCAATCTTCAACACATTGACATGTATCTTTTCTCACACATGAGCCATGTGCACTGCAAACGAGCGATGGAGCATCACTTTGAATTCCAAAACAAAGAGGTATTTCACAATTGTTTCCAGTGTAACCAGAGTGACAGGTACAATTATTGAAAGATGAGCATGTTCCATTGTTATATGAGCATACCAATGAAGTGTTGCTAAAAACTCCATTGCATGTCGTCGCTTCACATTGATCTCCAAAATAATTGGTATCACATTTACACAAATTCGTGTCCAGGCATGTTCCGTGAGAAGAGCAAACATTTGAGGAATTTGAAAAGAATCCAAAGCATTTGCTTACTTCACATTGCGAGGAGAAGTAGTTTGGATTGCATTGACATGTGTTATAATCAATACATGTCCCTCGTGAAGAGCATACACTTTGAGTATTATTACTAAATATTCCAAAACAAGTTGTCACTTCACAATGGCTCCCGTAATAATGAGGAGAACATTGACACTGATTTGGATTCACACATGTGCCTCTACCACTACACACGTGTGTAGTGTCGGTGGCATCAATACCAAAACAAATAGGAGTGGAACAGGTTGGTCCGGTATAACTGTTGGTGCATTGGCATTGATTTGGAGCAATACATAAACCTTGTTGTGGTCCTCCACAAGCATTGTTTAGTGTTTGCCCATAGCAAATTGGAACACATTTCATCGAATTTGAGTCAAAGATGTATCCATTATTGTCACAATAAGGGTTCAATTTCCTAATTCTATTGTTGTTGAAATCAGTAAAATAGATTTCTCCACTCGTTGTCACAAAAACGCTACTTGGATCATACAGCATGGCATCCAAGGAAGAAGAACCGTCTCCAGAAAAACCTGAAGAACCGCTTCCAGCCACCGTTGAAATGATTCCCTGTGAGTCTACTCTTCGAATTCTCCCGTTACTGTAATCTGCAATAAAAATGTCTCCAATGGGCGCCAGGAAAAATCCTGTTGGAATTGATAATTGTGCATTGGTTGCCAAACCATTGTCTCCACTGTATCCCTGTGTGGTTCCTGCAATGGTAGAAATAATTCCTTGAGTATCGATGTGGCGAAGTCTGTGGTTCAGTCGGTCCATGATTAAAATGTCGCCACTTGCATTCACATAGACTTGGCTTGGCTGATAAAGTTGTGCATCTGTTGCGAGTCCTCCATCGCCTAATGCTCCTCCAATACCTGTGCCAGCAATGGTCACAATGGTTCCATTAGTGAAAATCTTTCGAATTTTATGGCTAAAAGAGTCACATAGATACACTTCTCCATTCGAATGCTCATAAACACAGATGGGGGAGTTAATTTGAGCTGAAATAGCTGGTCCATAATCTCCACTCGAACCAGCAACACCCGTCCCTTCGTTCCTTAAAGATGAACAAAATATTTTGTCCAATTTTGTTTAACTTACCCGCAATAGTGGATATTAATCCATTTGTTTCAATTTTTCGTATTCTGTGATTTCCATATTCAGCAATATAAATACTCCCAGACAATGAAACAAATATTCCTATTGGATGATTGAGATTTGCAGAGGTAGCCAATTGATTGTCTCCATTGTAATTAGTTGAACCAGTTCCTGCAATGGTCGACATCAAGCCTGTTTGCGAATCAATTTTCCTCACTCTGTGATTATCAAAATCAGCAAATATTACATCTCCAGAAGGTAGCACTTGGCAGTTAAATGGTTTCATTCCACTACTCGTGGCTGAAACTCCATCCCCACTAAACGTTGGATTTCCATTACCTGCAAACGTTGTAATGTTGTGTTTGACATCAACAACAGCTGTTGTACAAAGATGAACCATTGTGAGAATAATAATGACTGAGAGCATCCATGAGTGATGATGCTGATTCAGAAAGGATCGGTCCAACTGAATCATCATCTCAACGTTTTTTGCAAGAGAATGTTATTGTTGCTTTAGTGAATATTTGTGGAGACGACGTGAATATCTTCTTCATGTTTGGACCTCTTCTCATTGCTTCGGAATGATCTTCTCAAGGGCATGAATTACATATCCTTCGATGGTTCTTTACCTAAAAACTCAATGAATGATGGCATCCTTATTTGATATTCAAGAATGGATATTTTTTAGTTTGAAATATAAGAAATTCCGTTGTTTCCAAAAGAATGACCGTGATGATGATGATGAAATAGACAAAGACTTGGAGAAAGGTTAGAGAGACAACTTTGAGTAATTTCCCCTTAATAATAGACTCACTTTAATTATTTTAGAATTTCTACCTTGAAAACGTTTAGGTCCGTATGTTCAAATTGGGCCCATATCGAGTTTGTTCAAGTATGAAACAAATTTCTCTCGTGCGAACTAATAGCATTGTAAACACGTGAGGTGTGATCAATCCTCCACAAAACAAAAAAAATTAAGCTCACACGCACCCTACTCTCACTCATGAAGTATCATATTGAATACTGTACTGCCTGAGGTTTGTATTACCAATGATTCTAACCGACCTTCAAACGTTAATCCTGTACGCTACGGTCAAATACATCAATGGTCTTTACGACATGTTGGACGATCAATTCCATCTTGAAATTGCTTGATTTCTGATTCCATCATCAAAAGGATACGCCTCTCGCTTCCGTAACGCCAAAACATATATTGAAAAGCATGTTCCTGGTGCGGTAGTGGAGGGTAATACCAAAACAAAATCACCAAGAACAGGTGCATTCGAAATCACTGATGAGAATGGTACCGTTTACTTTTCCAAATTGGAGACTGGTAATCATATCACCGAACAAGATTTGGAAAAGATTGTTGAAAAGATGAAGAAGTAAAGCTTCTTCTTTGAGATGGCGGAATCGATGACCTTTTGGTTTATGGATACGATCAACAAGTATAGTCACGAGGCTCTCACTGCCATCTTTTTGAGTTCATCACGATTTTGAGAAAGGTGCAAATGACAATGGGTGGTAGTCTGGTATATGACGATCCTGTTACCTTGAATGATCAGAGTCTGCATCCTATTAGATCAACTCTGAGGGGTTCTGGAACTGAAGTGATCAGGTATTATTCGGCGTTGTTTGTCACTCTTTCAAAATAAATTGAATGAATTCCCAATAGTTGTTTTATTTCTTTCACATTTCATTTGTGTAAAAATTATCCAAAGCAACCCGACCATATTTATATTAAATTGTGCATGAAGATCGACCATGGTCAGTCATCAACCCTATCAATGAATGAACAGCAAAACTGTCACAAACAACAACAAATTGTCATTTTGAACATTAGAGCTAAATTCACACCACAATTTTAAGTATGACACGAGAACTGCTCTGTGGTTGACCTTAAGGTCATGAGTCGATGAGGGTTGATCCAAAGAACTGCTTTTTCCATCCTCACCACTGAATTTGTACTTCCACTCATGAACAAATCCTCTTACGTAACTTGCTTCAATTAATTCCTTAATGCTCATGGTATCTAACACTTGATGAATGAACATGTCATCTTCACGAATGAGATGCACATAATATTTCAACAATTTTCGTTTGTATCGTTGAGGCAGCATTCTTCGAATAAAGTCGATACTTGTTGCAGACGCTCCCATGAACAGATGGTTCATCATATACTTGAGAGAATGCATTCCCGACTCCAACCCTCCAGATCTACTCCCTATAATAGAACCACTATTTGTCAATTTGAACACTCCACTAATTCCATTAAAAATCAAACGAGCGACAAAACTATATCTACACAAGCTATCGATAATATTGTCTGACAATTTGTCTATAGTTAGATGTTGTGTGAACAATTCAGATTGATCCAATTGCTTTAGCTCCTTCAATAATGAGTCTAAATTTGGTAAAATCTTAAGAGGCAATGGATGAGATTTGAGAGCATTAATTTTTTGAATGACTGACAATAATAGAGAGATTTGGTCGTTTAGAATTTTGTCAGTCTCATCACCATTTTGCAATGCCTTTGCATTGTTACTTCCAAAAGAAAGTAATGATACTTGTCTTAATACTTCTTGAATAATTACATCTCTTTGCTCCTTTCTCATTTGGTGTGAGTTATCTCGAATTGCCTTTTTCAATTTTTCACTCTGATAGTATGAGGGTCTAATGCTGGGATAATAATAACACAAAGGTAAATAAGCCAATAATAACTTTGGATATAGGAGTAAAATGAGTCCAGTTGGTATCAATAATTTCACACAATCAAATCTAAATCCATTCATAAATAAAAGTTCCTTTCTGGAGGCTACTCGAAAAGGTCGATAAGATATTTCTTTTCTCATTTCTCTGTACTTGATAAAATCACCAAAGAAGTGAAAAGTAGAGCCAATGAGGAATTGTTTGTATTCGAGAAAGACGGAGAGAACAGATCGAGATTGTTCATAAAATTGTTTTTTTGAATCATAATTGGGATCCGAGGGTTGTTGTTGCGAATTTTGATTGAGTTGAAGAAGTGAAGAATGAAAGAATGACCTTCTGTAATTGTTTGTGATGCAACTATTGTTTCGAGCCAGCAATAGCCAAGCGGAAGGTGCAAGGGAATTGGACCTTTTATGCAAATATAATCGACACGTTTGTGATGACTGAAACATTTTTTATCTTTAGGTTTTTGTTACAAGTGATTATTCGATTGGAACAAAACTGAATCATTTGAATCTCATAAGTTGCCACTCTAATTAAGAAGAATGCGATTTTGATGATTTTGTGAGCTCTAATAATTTATTATTCGTGCAAAATTTACTTTGATCTCTTCTCAATGAAGGCCTTTTGTTCCTTTTCTAAATCTACATTAATATTTCCAATCACATTATCAACAAGGTATCCCACAACTGCAGCCTTCTTCATTTGTGCATTTTGTTGGATGTTGTTAATAATTTGATTCTTTTTTTTGTTGGAGAGCAGTATTGGATCCACCTGCCTCAATTTGTTCCTTTACGAACTTTTGGAAGTACTTTTCTTTATCTTGTCTGAATTTTTGAAGTTCCTTCTCTGCTTCATCTTTAGCTTCCTTCAATTTGAGTAATCTCTCTATTATTGAGTGAAAATGTGGAGTTGATGATGTTGTGAACGGATGATGTTGTTGATGATGATGGTATCAGTAAACGCATGGTAGGTGATATTTGTATGGAGATTGTACATCACGTTGTGTGAGAGAACGCAACGAAATGATAATAGGTGATGATGATGATAACCAATGACCAACAATGTGGTATCGGTTTCAACAACAAAAAAATCCATCAACAAACAACAATATGAGCGTGATGAACATGTATATTTGTAAACCCTCCTGAAGGAGTTCTACTTACGCTTCTTTGCTTCTTTAACAATTTCGGTGGCTTCTTGTTCGGCCTGTAATAATTGTTGGATACTGCTTGATTTTTTGGTGGCCATGATGGAATATTTTTTATGATGAATTTTGGATAATTATTTTTTTATTTTAAAAAATTTTTATTTGTTTTCCATTTTTATTTTGGGAAAGAAAAATTGAAAAAGGGGCTATTTTTCCCATACTCTCACCTTATTCTGTGAATGCCTGCAAAACAATGGAATGTTTCTTGAAAAGTGTGTATGTTCAGTTTTAGTAGTAGCGGTTCAACAACATGGTCAGGGCTTACCAGAGAAAATTGAAGCACAGAACTTTGGCGCCATGAATTACAAATACCATTTTCCGTGTACTAAAAAAATGATGGAAAATACAACCTCACAAGAAGAAAAAAACAATTTCTCCAGCCTCGAGACTTCTTCAACACCGATCATCATGATGGGTCAAAGCGCGTCCAGAGACGAGACGGAAAGGGAGCCCCTACCTGAAAGCATTGATATTCATCAAATCAGAGATGGAGACTTTCATGAAAATCGTGTATGTCAACAAGAAGATGAACGACACACATCACATCATACAACGACCTCCAAATTAGGAATGCATGAGAGGAAGGAAAATTCGGAACTTGTTGATCTGAAACCCTTACAGGTTAAAAACGACTTCTTTCAAGGGGCAAACAAAACACCTCGTTCAAAACTATCGGAACCCTATCAACCAACCCCTCGTGAGCTTAAATCTCTTGAGAAACTATCAGTACTTCCTCAATGGAGAGTTGATTTACAAAAAAAGAATCGGGAAGAGATTGAATTTAGAAATAGCTTAAAAGAAAAGTACAAAACTGAGATGTATGGTTCATGTGATGGTTATTTGAAGAAACTACAAGAAATTAACGAAGCAAAGAAAAGCATTTCAAAATCTTACACTGCTTCAAAAAAGCCTGCCTATGTGCCTGAGGGAAAATATGTTCCACCTTCAAAACCAAAAAAGACCATTGAGGAAGACAAACTTGTATTCAAGAAACGATTTGAATATAGTGAAAAGGTTGCTAAGGCCATTTTAGAAGAAAACTTGAAAAAATCCGCACGTATTAAAGAGGCAAAGCTAAAAGAAATGGAACGAATGAAGGAAGAAGAGAGAAAAAAGAAGGAAATGGAAATGGAAAGAAAGAAAAAGGAAACTGAGGAGAGAAGAAAACAATTAGCTCAGTTGAAAGAAAAGAAACCTCCACTATCAGGAGAGGAGCTGTATAAAGCTCGTATGGAGAAACTGCGACAAGAAAATCTAAAGATTCTGGCCAAGAAAAAGGGAAACATTCAATATCCGGTCATGAAAAAATTAGCAAGCAAGAAAAAGCTCGACACAACTAACCCCAGCGATCAAAAAGAGCGTGGTGAAGAAAAAAAGACTCCACGTGAACCCTCAGAAACAAACGAAATAACTCCTGTAAATGATGAGATGGTAACAAAGAAAACGTTGACAAATAATCCAAGTGTTTCTGAGGATAATGAACAAAGATCCTTGTCTGAACATGAGCAGAACGATGACGAAGAAAATGAGATCGAGTATGAATCTCAAGAGGAGGAAGAAACAGAGGTGACTAATGACAAAGAACAACAAGTTGAGAATGATGTTGAAAAGCCAACAAATGTGTCACACTCCTCCATTCCATCACAAGAGAATCAATTTCAAAATATAGATTCTGACGTTGTGAAGGAAAACAAAATCCTGAATGACGATCATAACATGCCTTTCAATTTATCTGATGATGAAGAGAGTGATAAAGATCTGGATAACCACTCTCATCATAGCGAGGAAGAAAATGAGGGCCATTCCCCAAATTTACTCAAGGAACCTGAACAAAAAAATAATTCATCCGATCTTGAATTGGATGAAAATGAATTGATAGCGAAAAAGATTATTTCAGAGATCATTAATCGGTACGAAACAATCCAAGGACACATCCAGGAATGTTTTGCATCATATGCCAATGATATATTTGATAAAGGCTTGCTGAGCAGTGATGAGTTTAGCTCAGTGTTCTCCTGTTTGGGATCAGTGAGAAGCTCAAATGCCAACATGCTTGCTGACTTGAAAGCAGCTAGTGACTCTTCTGACAGTCACAACGAAATTTGGGATGCGTCGAATATTGAGGCAATGAAGGATGTGTTTGTTAAATATGTTAGGTCTCTTCCTTTAGCTGTGGAAACATGTTTAACAACTCTTCAACAAAATCCAAAATTCCATGCGCTGGTAACATCCAAATCGAATGATTTAGTAAGTATTGTTGATACAGACCATTGCTTAAATGGAGATGAATTCATGTTTGTAGTTTTTCTATTTGCTTCTACCATTAGAAATGTTAAGCCAAATTACTGAACCTGTACAAGATTTGGAGCACTATGTTCCTCATGATCCTTCTGTTAAATCCATGTTGAATTGTATTGGTGAATTACAAAGCATTGGACACGAGGTTATGGATAGCAATTATTCCACTTTCAAAGTGCTGGAACTTTCCAGAAAACACAAAATTTCAGATTTGCTAACCAAAAAGAGAAGTCTACTCAAGGAGGGCATTCTATCAACGGGGACAGACATGCACTCAGTTTATCTTTTTTCTGATTGCCTCTTGGTAATTACTCCGTCCAAACAATGGTTTATTCCTTTCAAAGTTACAGATGATATTACGGGAGAGTACAATATCGCAATTACCAAAGACTCTGATGCGAATGCCCTCGAAATTGATGAGCATGAGGTCGAATTCCATGTGAGTTACAAGTTTGACAATTATGATTTGGTGAAAGAGTGGAGCAAGGCGTTCAAGGCTTGTCTTGAATAAAAAGCAATATTTCTCTTCCAGCGCGCTCTGGAAATAAATTTCAAAAAAAAAAATCAGAATGACAACAACGGCTACGCTCTTGCGACCTTCGGGTTTGATTATCACATCAGCAGCCAATTATTTGAACTCCGATATTTATCTTATTGATAAAGCCACACCTGACTCAACAGGACATTCTCGATATGACTTGCAAAACGATCATGCGAAGGATGGTTCCAATGATAATAACACATTTGTGGACTCTGAAGAAGAAACAGATGTAATAGAGAGCGTAGAGAAGGATCCGTTTTTGCCCAACAACGAAGATTTACCTCTTTATTCTCAAGATCCTTTTGAGGTCGAGGAAGTTGATCCTTTTGTAATTGGGGACGAAGATGTCTTTGATGTTGCAGATGCCAAATTGGAGAATGATGTTACAGAGTTGGATGAGCTAACTCCAGATCTAGAAGATCCTTTCGAAGAACATGATCAATTCCTTATGGGCGAGAAGGATGTCTTTGAAGAAAGGGATGAATTCTTGCAAGGAGATGAAGATGTGTTCGAGAGTGAAGAGGATATTTTTAACATTCAAGAAGTTGACCCTTTCTTATTGGATGCTCGTGATGAGTTTGAATCGAATGAACATGATAAGAAAAGCAACATGATGTCTATGAAATCCCTTTTCAAAAAGTTATGGAGAGAA